TGGACTCTCTGCTGCGGGACGCCAGGGAGCGCAGGGAGTTGGTTCTCTTGAAGTCCCCCGTCCCGTCCTCCCCTCTGCCGCCCCTCTCCACCGAACTGGACAGGAGGCTGAACGCCCCGTGGATGGAGCGGCGGACATTTCCCACCCATCCGGTCATCTGAGAGTGGGCCACTGACAGCTTGTCCCCCAGATACTCCATCACAAATCCGTCGCCGGTGAGACCTGCTGAGTCAGAATCTGTGACCCTCGCTATCACAGCGGCATTAGAGTCCGGTTACGCTGGAGAGGTGGCGGTCCAGCAAAGGTGTTCACTGATCGCTGGGTCAATACTGCAGCAGTGAGGGAGGTGACAGCAACAACACAGCTCAGCCAGTCCAGTGTGGTGATGTTGTGATGCTGCTTACGGCACTGCAGCACGCCAGTCAGACCCTGTTCCCTCTCCTCGGTTTGCTTTCCAAATGGCCTTTCTGCAGTGCAGTCCCGCTGGAGCCGTCGGGACTCTGTCTCAACTCATCACTGTGGAGGCTCCAGGCTGTCGGCCTGAAGTGAATGGCGAAGCTCTCTAATGTCTATTTCGATGCGCACAAGATCAGCTGTGGTATTCTTGGCCAGCACTCACTATTAGTTCTTCTACTGAAACACTGCTGCGCTATCTGCCAACAGGTTTCTCTGCCATGTTTCTCTGGCTCCAAGCAAGTACAACTACTCGAGTACAGAAGTAACGAGCATCCTCAACATTCACTTATCTGTTTCCATCACATAGATCATCTGCGCTCATAAAACCGAGTATGTTTTCCAGGTGCGAGCTTCTCCGTCCTCTCCTGGAGCTGATGATGATGATGCGTCCTCTCCAAAACAAGGCCCAGGTAAAAAGTTGAGAAACCCCCTCCTCCGTCCAACAAGGTTACATTCCCACAGTGGCCGTGTGAGACTGTGCTACCTTCTGGCACAACGCTGCAAGGAGAAATGGTGCAGAAAGGGAAGCTGCTGTAGTCATTCGTATTCCAGAAGGAAAGCCAGCCAGTGTGGAGGAAACGGGGGAGAGAGGACTGAGATTGAGAGGAAAAAATGTGTCTCTCCTTGCCCGTTCCTGCAGGTACGGGCAGGTAGGAGAAAATGCGTCAGCACAGTGCTGCTCTCTGTACTCAGCGCTATAGGACGCACCGTCAAGGAGAAACTGGGTAGAGAGAGAGAGAGAGAGGGAGGGAGAGAGGGAGTGTGGTACAGAGTCAGAGAGTGAGAGTGAGAGAGAGAGAGAGAGAGAGGGAGAGAATGGGAGGTCCCTGATTCAGAGCGGGAGGGAGAGGGGAGGGTGATATATGTTCTGCGGTGCTCCTGATTCAGTCGCAGGGCAACACGAGAAGTGTGACAACCAGAATCAGTGGAAACAAACGTAAATCTCTATTTAAAGCCGGAGCGAGAGAAAGAGAAAGAGTGATAGACTCAGACGGGAATGAGCATCGTCATGTTAACGAAGAGACATTAAATAGATCCATTAGACAAGCATGAGAGAGAGAAAGAGAAAGAAAGAGAGAGAGAGAGAGAGAGAGAGAGAGAGAGAGAGAGAGAGAGAGAGAGAGAGAGAGAGAGAGAGAGAGAGACAGAGAGAGAGAGAGAGAGAGAGAGAGAGAGAGAGAGAGAGACAGGTGTGGCTCTACTCGTGGTGTCAGCAACAATCATTACAGTCAATGTTTGTTTGAATCTCAGCTCAGTCGGACTCAAGCAAACAACACATCCTGATACTGAACCAGGTCTCAGTGAGCCGGGTCCCTCAATAAAGCCCCCCCCACACACACACACACACACGCTTCAGAGAGCTGACCTCAGAGCAAACTGGGACAGAGGGGTTCATAAAAACTCAATCCCTGTCCACATATGCCCCCTACAGGTAATCTGATTAACTTGTGTTTGAAGTGCAGCGCTGCAGGCAGAGTCTGCTGTGAACTCAGTTTGAAACAGCACAACACAAACCGACCTCTCCTGAAAATGGCTGCCTGTACGGTCACTGTTAGGGACGAGCTAACAGAGGTTGCAGCATTATCACTTTCCTGTAGCGAGAGGAACCAAAAATATATCATTATTTTACTAATCTTATACATATAAAACATTAAAACATAAACATAAAGTTTCGTGGCCACCGTAGTTCCTCCTACACACCTCACAGACACTCTCATTCCCAAATACAGACGCGAACAGTGTTCAGTTAGTTCCAATCTGTAACTTCACCGCTAGATGCTGCTAAACCCCACACACTGGAGCTTTAAGACAACCTGCATACATGTGCTAATCTTGGTGTAAAAGTGGGATAACCCTCAAAATTACAGCTGAAAAAGGAAAATCTAAAAGAAAAGTGGAACATTTGCTGGTTTCAGCTTTTTAAAGTTTTAATTGATGATTGTAAATTGAATATTTTGGGGTTTTGAACTGTTGGTTGGACCAAAGAATTTAAGATGTCATATTAGCCTATGGGAAATTGTAGTGGAGAATATTTATAATTTTCTATCATTTTATAGAAAAGAATTAATGAAAGAATAAAAATATATAATAAATGATTAGTTGCAGCCTCACTGAAAATAGATTTCTCTTTAAATCATCCAAAAGGTCAAAGATTCATCATCAAACACAGACTGCTATCTTAAGATGAGTTGACTAATATCATAAAGAATCACAGACAAAGATAGAGTATGTATAACTGCTCTGGTTTCTCCCTACGATTCCTCATCCCAATACCAAACATCACCGACTGGGAAGTGACTCAACGGCTGCTCATCACTTCCTCTCATCTGCTGACATCATCAGTGCAGTAACCCGACCGGCAGCCGGACAGAGGATACAGGAAGTAACTACAGTACATACAGTACACACAGTACACACAGAATATATGTATATGATACCACATTCAGCAGGCAGAGCACAGAGAAACATCTGTAATAAGACAGCTGTGCGCTCACTCACCCAGAGGCAGTGTGGAGTCAGGCAGCATGACCACATGTACAGCACAGCTCTCAGCCCGGTGCCCATCGTGTCTCTGCCGGTGCTCACCGGCCGCACACACTCCAACTCACACACAGTGATGTCACCACACAACCATTAACTCATCGGTGAGAGAGAGCGAGGACGCCTCCGCCGGCAAAATACAATGCAGGGAAATTAATCATATCTCACTCTGACGCTGAGTTTGGCATCAGAAGTCATCTGTAAATCACACGTTCTCTGATTATATCTCATGATATAATAATATATTGTTGCTTATTAGTTGCAGTCCGGTTGCTGTTCACGCTGACTTTTTATAAACGAACTCTAATAAACATGAATTAAAGAATTACAGGTAACTGGACAGTGTCGGCGATCGTCATCCTGCCTCATCGGGACCGATGTGGATCATCAGGATTAAAGTTTATGTAGAAATGTTCATTTATGTTGTTTGGTATCACTAAAAGGTAACGAAGAAATAACTGACTAAGTATTATTAGTATTAGGTGTGTTGTACAGTAATGATTCAGGGCTTTTTACTGACAAAGATAGAGTAAGATACAGCACTTCAGCCTAATCAGAGTAAACACGTATTATAAAATGATTTGTATAAATGTAAGATCCACTGTAGAGTCACATATAGTCATGAGCCTAAACTAAAGTGTATAACTGACAGGGGCAAACACATTCCCAGATTTTAAACCAGTGAGAGAAGGTGCTTATACAGTGTATTTATTTTATTCTATCTTTAGTGGGGATGTTCCTGGTGACTCATTTTTCCGTTGATTAAACTGGTTGACTGGTCTGAAAGTAAGAAAATGCTCAGAAAACAGTCAAAATGAGAATTTAAAGAGTGTGAACACACAACCAGGCTTCACCTCAGTATGATCTGTTATACACAACTGATGCAGTTTGATACAATATCATATTTATATTTATAATGTGAGTTTTCAGTGCTTAACGTCACCCTAACCTACCGTCCTCTCTCCCCTGAATAGAGCCATCGCTAACAGATCAGAGCTGTGTGAGGTTAGATGCTAGAATCCCAAAGCAGGAAGCAAATGTTACGACTATAACCTCTAAAGTGGGACAAAAGGACTCTTAAAACCAGCGCTGACATTAGTGCAGGGACACACTGCAGAAAGACGACCAGCGCTTTACATTAAAAACATATAACAATTAGTTTATCCGACTAGTATTTCTGGTGTTGAATAGCGAGGGGAGCGAGCGCCCACATCCTTTATCTTTAATACTATTTTTCCATTTTATAACAAAGTGTCTTCTTCTACGTGCAATGTTATCTGAGCTGTAAAAACACAACAGCACTCCTTCCAACAGTGTGTATGACTTTCAAACACGAGCAGTGACCACAGCGTCGAGGAACCACTAGATGGTGGTAGTGATCTTAAGACTCACGGTGACTTAATGTGAGCTCTGTATCACAGCAGGGTGCAATTACAGCACGCAGTATATATACTGTACTTCTGGGATCATAGTGTAAGACCTTCAACCTACAATTACAGTCTCAATGACAAAGAGCCACCTGAACCCAACCCTGCATATCAGATACACACTGTCCACGCCTGCACACAGCTGATAATAATGTGTGTGTGTATGGTTGTAAACAGCCAGAGGTTAGAAAACCCATTTCAGGAGTAAAAGTTGAGCACTGAGAAACACAGATATTATTTCCCTGCTGATGACTGAGACGTACTCATTAACCCTTTGACTAATCCAATCCTGAATTACAGGCCTGAGAAGGTGTTTGACCGCCACTTTCCTGCAGCTTGACGTGGGAGGGGTGGAGGCCATCAACATTAGTCACCGACCTTTTAAAACCTGAGCTCAGCAGCACTGAGCCGTCAACTGACTGCATTCCTCTCCTACCTCGTCCGTCTTCATTGCACGAGACACTCAAACTACACTCTGCTGTAACAAAGGGTTCACAGCCAACCACCAGGCAGCAGTTACATCTTTCCAGGAAGTTAGTTTTGCTGTTACAGAGGCGGAGCTGCAGCCTGACTCACCCAGCTGTGGCGGTCCTGCTCCCTGTGGGCGCTGCGACTCCTCATCCTGGACAGGCTTCCCTCCACAGCGCTGCTCGAAGGGGCCGATCGGCGGGAAACGCTGCGAGACCGCATCCTGTTCAGCTCCTGAAAACAAACAGTGACCAAAGTGAACTCCTCGTCTGCGACGCCGCAGGTTCTCAAACTGTATTTCATTAACGGGACTTTTGATTGATCCCATTCAGACTTCTTTCAGGTGCCAGTTGTTGTTTTCTCTGATGGGTTCAGCAGGTTGGACAGCTAGTTTTTAAACTGGTGGAACATTTATTACAACTGTTATAATAATAATAATAATAATAATAATAATAATAATAATAATCTGGAACAACCAGATTGTAGAAGTACAGTTTACAGTGATTCTGCACAGATTAATACACTTTTTGCTTTATAAAAGTTATGATTACTTCGACACACCAATGCTAAACAAGCTATAGCATATTACGTGTTAAAACTACGACTGTTCATTTTGTCTCATACGGTTTAATCTCAGGCATCTATAAAATGATTTGCATCTTGCAGCACTTTACAACAGCTCATTTGCATTTAATACAACCTGCTTTTTTCTGATCTTTACTTAAAGATCTCTCAATATAACAATATCACCTGTCTCTCAACCCAGAGTCTGGGGACTATTTATTTCATTCACTAAATGTTAGCCCAGTAAGAGAATGTATACGAATGTTTCACACTCTTCAGATCTACAGTACAGACAGTTATGGAATAACTAAATCTTATCAGACGAGGATCTCTGACACCTCTAATCAAATACGGGTCCTTGGCCTGATGTGCATGAATTTGAGTACAGCTGATGTATAACTGTCTGATCTCTGACTCACCTGAGATCCCTGTGATCTCCTGTGGCTCCGGACGTCTTGAGGCTGTGTCTCTCTGGGGATCCAGATCTGCTCTGCAGAAGAAACTCCACCTGGAGCGCCTCCAGGTTTGGTCTCCGTCCCGGCAAGAAGAAGCATCTCGTCCAGCACGGTGGACCGGTGCCTCTGTGGAGCCATGAGCCGCTCCTCCTGCCTGAGGAGGAGTTGCTCCGGGCTGAGTTTGCTGGCTGGTTTTCTGGGTTCGGCAGGCACCTCGACAGGCCGCAGCTCCCACGGGTCCTGGGGAGACGTCGTCCATACTGGGCTCGTGAAACCTCCAGAAGTCTGTGGTGGTGCCTTCCAGCTAATGTCTCTCTCAGGCTGTAATCTCGCTCCAAACCCAGTGTCTACGCTCTGAATACCGGACACAGAGAACAAGTCTTTACTGGGGGAGAGCTGAGCCGGAGACGTGAAAGAGTCTATGTCGAGGATGCTGGGTTTGTAGGACTCCTCTGCTCTCGGAGACGGCTCCTTCCATCGGGTCGCAGGGTCGCTGCGCTGAGGAGCCGCCTTTGAAAACGGGTCGTTCCAGAGCAGAGAGTCCAGATCAATCCCTTTGGGCCTGAGAGGCGACGGCTCCGACCTCGCCCTCTCCTGCTCCTCTTTCTTCTGCTTCTCCTTCAGTCGCTGCCTCTCTGCTTCCTGCTGTTTGGCGATCTGCCTCATTTTCTCGGCCTCCTCCCGTTCCATCTTCTCCCTCAGTCTGCGTTTCTCGAGCTCCAAGATTTGCTGCCTCTCGAACTCCAGGAGCTGTCTTCTCTCAATCTCCCTGAGTCTCTCCATCTCCTCCTTCCTCTGCCGCTCCGTCTCCTGTTCTCGTCTCAGCCTCTGGTTTTCCAACTCCTGTCTCTCGATATCCAGCTGTCTCTGTCGCTCTCTCTCTAAATCTCTTTGTCTCTGTCTCTCCAGCTCCTTCTGCTTTTGCCTTTCCATCTCTTTCAGACGCTCCTTCTCCATCTCCCGTTGTCTTTCCCTTTCTTTTTCGAGCTCTCTCAGTCTTAACATTTCCTGCTCTAATGCCATCTGTTTGATCTTCTCGGCCTCCTCTCTCTCCTTTTTCTCTCGGAGTCTCTGCTTTTCTGATTCCTGTCTCTCCATCTCTAGTTGTCTCTGTCTCTCTCTTTCAGTCTCTAGTTGTCTCTGTCTCTCTCTCTCAATCTCCTGTTGTCTCTGTCTCTCTCTCTCAATCTCCTGTTGTCTCTGTCTCTCTCTCTCAATCTCCTGTTGTCTCTGTCTCTCTCTCTCCAAATCCCTTTGTCTCTGTCTCTCCATCTCCTTCTGACGCTCCTTCTCCATCTCCCGTTGTCTTTCCCTTTCTTTTTCGAGCTCTCTCAGTCTTAACATTTCCTGCTCTAACGCCATCTGTTTGCTCTTCCCAGCCTCCTCTCTCTCCTTCTCTCGGAGCCTCTCCTTCTCTTTCTGCTTCTGTTTTTGAGACTCTAAGAGCTGTAGTCTGTCCAGCTCTTTGATTCTCTCCAGCTCCTCCATTTTCTGTTTCTCCCTTTGAAGCTCCAGCAGCCTTCTCTCCTTGTCCAGCTCTCTCTGTCTCTCCTGCTCTCGCTGTCTCTCCCTTTCAATCTTTTTCTGTCTCTCCATTTGTTGCCGTTGCCTTTCTCTTTCCTGCCTCTCTAATTCTTGCTGTTTCTGCCTTTCCAGTGCACGTTGTTTCTCCTCTTCGTAGGCTTTCTGTCTTTGCCTTTCAAACTGTCTTTGCTTCTCCATCTCCTTCATTCGCTCAAATTCTAAATGTGCTTCTTTCTCCATCTCCAGCTGTCTCTGTTTTTCCCTCTCGAGCTCTTTAAGCTTTGCTTTGTATCTTTCTGTCTCTTCTGCTGATCTGATGTCCCCGTGTGACACGTGGCTCCTCATCATCAGCTCCTCAACTTGATCTTGAGCAGTTTTCCCAAAAGCTTCTTCTAACGATGGATTCCTCCTCGCTGGAAGAACCTTCCCTTGAGAGCTTCCCGGTGCAGACCTCATAGAGAAATCATCAAACGGCGCCGACATGTCCCCGATGCTCGCTCCTGCATGTACAGGAGAAAATGGATCCTGCATTTGTCCCGTCAAAGCAAAATAGGTTGCCCTGGGCTTCGGCTGCTCCTCTGCCTGCAGCATTTTCAAACGTTTCGGAGATGCAGCCACGTCCTCCTGTTCTGCCTCTCTCTGTCTGTCTTTGTCCAAAGACACTTGTTCTTCCCTTCGTGGATCCTTTAGCATCCCTTTCTCCCCACCGGCCTCCTGTTCGAGACCCGTGTTGTTCCACTTCTGCAGGGCTCCGACTCTCAGATACCGCGGCTGCTGATCCGGCATCAACGCCAGAGCTGGTTCGCCTTGAGCTGCACCGGTCCGGCTCCCCTCTGAGCGCCTGGAGCGTAGCGTCATGGCCTTATCCTCCCGCTGAGCTGATGGGATGTTCTCACTCACCGCCCTGTTCTCCTCCACCGCCTGCACAGTGTCAAAGGCATGCAACACCCGCAGAGGACCTGATGGAGACGCAGGCTCTTTATAGGTGGCGGTGACCAGAGTTCCCTCATCCTCGCCACTTCCTCTCTTGAATGACGGGCTGCTGAGCGAATCCTTGGCCTTGCTTACAGGCTTTCCATCGTCCACCATCAGCACACTGCGCCTCTCCACTACATTTTCAAACAAGGCTGCTCTCACTGTCTGCACGTCCCCACCGGGAGCACTGTCCTTGGAAGTGGCGCCAAACGTCTGTCCCGCCTCGGGTCCTTCCGGCGTGGAGGCCTTCTTGAGCTGCTCTTGAGAATCTTTTAAATCCACAAATGTCCTCTGGTCACTGGGGGAGAAAGGTGAGTCTTCGATCTAAGAGAAGTCAGAGATATAGTGAATGAGAACAAGCTTGAAATGTACTTTTATTATTTAAATGAAAGCTTTAAAAACTCCAGGAGAAAACACAGAACACAAAGGAGTTAAAGTGATTGAGTGAACAACTGTCAGCGTAGAAACGGTATCCCCTTGTTCTACGTTGGCCTCATAACAGTGGGTGTGGCACAGAGGTGGTAATCAAAGCCTCTCTGTGTTGACCTTTTCCCAGTCATCTCCTCTCTGCGTGTTTCATAACCGGCAGCCACGGGGCTGGGTTCGGTTTCACAGCTTTGTCAGCTACGGCAGTGATCGTTCTTTGTGTTGCAATGCCCCATTTCCACTGGGGAAATGTTCTTGTGAACGCCGTCAGACAGGTCGACAGCAAGAGCTTATTTTATAACAGTAATTATATATGCAGGCAATCACACAACAACTTCCACCTTGTTCACAATCTACTTCTCAGACTTTACCTGTATTATGCTCATGTCCCCTTTGTGTTGCCTTTCCTTTGCTATATGCTGTGAACAGCTGTAAGCAACTTTTATATTACTATCCATTAATATGTCCATCATTTCCTCGATTAATATATTAGTTTTTTGTTCCATAAAATATCAGAAAATAGTTAAAAATGCTGATCAGTGTTTCCTAAAGCTCAATCTGACATCCTCAAATGTCCTGTTTTGTCCACAACACAAAGATATTCAGTTTAAACCAGAAATGTTTCACATTTGAGAAGCTGAAATCAGAGAATCAGAATATTTCTTTAAGAAAAGTGACTCAAAATGAAGAATTGATTATTATAATAGTTGATGATTCATAAGAAATGACAAGAAACACAGAGCAGGGGTCTCAAACTATTGACCGGGGGCCATTTCTGGTCCTACATCAACCCTCTATCTAGTTTATAATCGTTTAATATAAACATATTTATAATTTAAACTAACCCCTTCATATACAATTAAAATAAAAACACTATTAGATATTTTCATTATTTTTGTTTGGCTGTAAAGATGATAAGCATTTTTTTAAAGCCTGATGTTAGAAATATTATTGAGCTTTCCTGTAGTATCTGAAAGTTGAAGTGGCCCTTCTGTAAGAGAGGACAGTACCAGCTGTGGCCCCGAGCCGATTGGAGTTTGAGGCCCCTGATTCAGAGCATGAAGCTGTAAAGGCCTTTAAACACTGGGGGCAGTTTATTATTCAGTAGGTTTTTTGAGGAACAGACGTCACAACTCAGGTCGAACCTGTTGTTTATGTCGGATTGAAGTGTGTGTGGATTTAATTCTTTATTTCAATGTGTCACTAATTCACATGGGTGCTTGTTCGTATAGTTTTGAGTATTTATTGGTCTCGCCCCCGGTGTGTAAAGGCATTAAAGTTGTTTCCCATATCCTTGTTAAACACAGAGCCCAACAAAGAAACCAGTTCCTACGAAGCTGAGTCCCTCTCTTACCCTCCTCTGAGGATCTTTGCTGATGTCATGGCGGTCTGTGGCCTCGCTGCCAAAGTCTGGCGACCTCTCGGATGAAAACCTGATGAACATACATCACACGAGACAAAAGCCATGCATGACAATGGAACTCCTGGACAAAGACGTGGGGACAAAAGCGAGCCGAGGAGACATCAAGAGCAGCTCTTACCTTTTAGTCAGGTCGAGGAGCAAGGGGCGGGGCTTCGGTGGTGGTTTCGGGACAGGGCTCTGAATTGGTGTCGTGTCCTCTGTCAGCTGTTTGATGAGCTGTTTCACACCCACTGCTGGTTCGGCTTCAGGGACTGGTTGCACCGGAGAGAGGTCCGACCCTTGACCTGTGGTACCTGCCCCAGGAGAGGAGGACGAGTCGAGGAGGAGACTGATTCGTGACTTGATGCTAACCGCGCGCTTATCCTCCTCCGTCTCTTTCACTTCTTCTGTCTTTTTGTTGCTTTGGTCTGGGGCAGCGGGCTTCGCTTCACCTTCGGTGCTCTGCGGCGTGGAGCTCGTAGCGGTTTTCTCCGGCTCTTTCTTCTGTGGAGCGCTCTCCGGAGTGTTCTCCTTCGTGTCTGTGGGGGTTTTACGATGCAGGGAAAGACCGATAGACTCAAATCTGGACGTGAGATCAGCTGACAGAGGTCTCCTCCCGACCCAGCGAGGGGCGGGAACCGGTGGCTCCGCTTTTGTTGGACTGTCGAGGAAAATGGCCGATACGGGTCTCGGCCTGGAGCCTCTGGGGTGGGGTCGCATCGGCACTGCCGCCACAGGTTTAGCTTTTTCTTCTTCGTCCTGCCCCACCTGAGCGAGGAAACCCATGGACTTGGCTCTGGTAATGGATGTCCCACCTTTGCTGGATGTCAGCTGGTCCTTCTCATCTTCCTTTTTAGTGGTTCCGGACCACTCTGCTGCTGCTGCTGCTGCTGGGAGTTTCCTAAGGCTCTTGGAATAGGCCAAGCTCGACGCGGCAGGTTTCTGCCTCTCTGCTGGAACAGGGGTGGCGGGTTTGCTGGGGTCAAGCGAAGGGGCTGGTTTAAATGGCTGGACTACCGGCTTGGTCGTTTGTCCGGTTTTATTCGGCGTCTTAAAGGAGGTAGAGGCAGGTCGGTTGGGGTTGGTGGACACCGGCCTGGGTTTGCTGGGCTGCTGTGGTTTCGGACTGCACAGCTCTGGTTTGTATCCGACAAGGCGAGTGGACTCTGGTCGGGGCTTGGTGTGGGGCTTCGGGGCGACTATGGGCTTAATGGTGGTGTTTCTCTCCACAGCAAAAGGTTTGGGAGTGAGCCGTGGTTTGGGGCCCGGCACAGGTTTGTTAGGTTCTGGGGTGATGATGTGGGACTGGTTGATCTCGATGAGGCTATTGCTGGAGTCAGTCAGGGGACTCAGGTGAAGCCGTCCTCCCACCACTGTCCTCCCTACCTCCCCGGTCTGGACCTCCACCTGCGCAGCCATCGTCTTCAACAGCACCTTTTAAAAAAGAGAAAGTTCTCCTCAGAATGACACAAACTGATCCGTGGTCACTTTTATCATCGAGGTACTCGTAAATAAAACACCACAACGTGTGGACTTTGTCCTGGGAGTGTCTGCTGCACGATTATACACCTGAATGAGAAAGATATTTACTCAAGATTATTGATCACTCTAGAAGGTCAGAGCTTTATGTGTTGACAGCTGAATGAGGAATCACAAATTAATAACTGACTGTCATCCACAGGGATGGGCCCGTTTCATGATAGATATTATTAATGAGAAACTAAATGGGATGCAGTCATTATTGTGTGTGTTTTCTCTACCATGACATTAAAAAAAGGACTTTGGTTTCATCTGGAGTTGCGTGTTTCAGCTGTGTCAGTGACACAAGTGACGACTATTTAAATGCGTTTCCTGTATTTTTACATACACTATATTTGTTTGGTTGCTACGTACTCTGTGCACTCTTTCAGTAGGTGATTTAAAGCCGGTTGAAAAGAATCATAAAGACATCTTTACAAACAATGTTCAGTATTTTTATGCCGTATATAAAAAGGGCCATTCCTCTGTGCCTCCGATGTTCCTGGGACATTACAACCATAAATCAACCAACAACCTTCTTAAAAAATACCAGCAACACTAAAAACATACTCTCTATTACTCTACTAAATATAATGATTACAATCCTTATTTCTTGGGTTATTATGTGACTTTATCTCCAATTTTATACATAAAATACAAAACACAACCACTTCAAATAGTTGAACAATTGAGGATTATATCTGCAGGAATCCCATCTGAACAAATGTTTAATGTCAGGTGTGAAGATAAAAACAGTCAATCGAACGAGGATCACTAGTTACAGTAAAAACTGACAACTTTATATGTTTCCTTGCTCCAACTTCTTAAAAAAAAAATGCATAAAAGTTCAAATATTACTGTTTCATCAGGAGTCATTGATAAAACCATTAATTAGCAATTAATTAGGAAAGTAGTTTAAAAACAGGCACGCAAAGGGCAACCTTACTGCCCTTACAGTACAATCATCTGATAATGATCCTGATCAGCCAGCGTCAGTAATCAATACATACATTATTAAAGCATTAATCAAACTCATAACTAACCGCAGTCAACGTCAGACTTTAGCAGGTAGCTAGTGTTTCTGTAATGGAGACAAAATGTTAACAATGATCCATATTCAGAAAGACACAGTGTAAACTGATCAATATCATCCATAAAGACACAGTGTAAACTGATCAATATCATCCATGAAGACACAGTGTATACTGATCAATATCATCCATAAAGACACAGTGTATACTGATCAATATCATCCATAAAGACACAGTGTAAACTGATCAATATCATCCATAAAGACACAGTGTATACTGATCAATATCATCCATAAAGACACAGTGTATACTGATCAATATCATCCATAAAGACACAGTGTATACTGATCAATATCATCCATAAAGACACAGTGTAAACTGATCAATATCATCCATAAAGACACAGTGTATACTGATCAATAATCCATAAAGACACAGTGTATACTGATCAATATCATCCATAAAGACACAGTGTATACTGATCAATATCATCCATAAAGACACAGTGTATACTGATCAATAATCCATAAAGATACAGTGTATACTGATCAATATCATCCATAAAGATACAGTGTATACTGATCAATAATCCATAAAGACACAGTGTATACTGATCAATATCATCCATAAAGACACAGTGTATACTGATCAATAATCCATAAAGACACAGTGTATACTGATCAATAATCCATAAAGACACAGTGTATACTGATCAATAATCCATAAAGACACAGTGTAAACTGATCAATAATCCATAAAGACACAGTGTATACTGATCAATAATCCATAAAGACACAGTGTATACTGATCAATATCATCCATAAAGACACAGTGTATACTGATCAATAATCCATAAAGACACAGTGTATACTGATCAATAATCCATAAAGACACAGTGTATACTGATCAATAATCCATAAAGACACAGTGTATACTGATCAATAATCCATAAAGACACAGTGTATACTGATCAATATCATCCATAAAGACACAGTGTAAACTGATCAATATCATCCATAAAGACACAGTGTATACTGATCAATATCATCCATAAAGACACAGTGTAAACTGATCAATATCATCCATGAAGACACAGTGTATACTGATCAATAATCCATAAAGACACAGTGTAAACTGATCAATATCATCCATAAAGACACAGTGTAAACTGATCAATATCATCCATAAAGACACAGTGTATACTGATCAATAATCCATAAAGACACAGTGTAAACTGATCAATATCATCCATAAAGACACAGTGTATACTGATCAATATCATCCATAAAGATACAGTGTATACTGATCAATAATCCATAAAGACACAGTGTATACTGATCAATATCATCCATAAAGACACAGTGTATACTGATCAATAATCCATAAAGACACAGTGTATACTGATCAATAATCCATAAAGACACAGTGTATTCTGTACAAACTGGCTCAGCCTCCGTTGTAGCTGCGCTCCTTCAGTGTTAATGAGAGTCGGACGGTCTCAATAATTAAGATTTCTCACTACAATAAGAGCTGGTTGGCGGAGCAGATACTCGACGTATTGAACTCCGACTTACGACGCAGGTAGTTCACCGCCTGCTACCCGGGTCGCTGCTTCCTGTCTGGTGCTGGACAGAGAGTCGCATGGCCCCCCGAGTCCTCTCTAACTAATAATCTCTAATATTTAGCCCAGTAGATATTCTCTCGGCCTCGGGGAACGTACAGTTGAGCAGTTCACAACAACAGCCTGCGATGAATCAGCAATCAAACAGAGTGAACTTCATCAGCACTGTGTGGCTTTAAGGTGGATCCTGAGACAGGGGAAGGGCCGAACAACTGTACAACGGCTTTGTTTTCTTTCTCCATGTTGTTGTAAGGCAGGCAAATCAGGCTCCGACAGTGAATGGGGATTCCACTGAGGAACGCACAGCAGACGTCTCAGAGCCGACTCCGCCCCTGCTGAACTTTCACAACTTTATCTGAACCCGCCTGATCTAACGCTGCCTCTGAGAGTCATATCAGTTGTTTCTATAGTGACAGAGATAGACACAAATATAGAAGACAGAAAACACCTTCAGTGTCGGTGCTGTAAGAGCCTGATACACAATCACACTCTGGATCAAACCGCCGCCAATAATCCGCCAAGTCTTACCTGAGCAGCTGTCAACCGTCTGCCGTAGAGCTCTGGCCTCTGGAGGAACCCAGCAGCGGTGTCATATCACGCAGGAGGAAGGAGCCTGAGGAGGAGGAGGAGGAGGAGGAGGAGGAGGAGGAGCACACTCTGTCAACACACACAAGTTTTTTTACTCGTCGAGATTGCAGCGGCGTCAAATCACAGCCGAGCAGCGACAGCCGGCGTTCTCACGCCTCCGTACAGAAGCACACAGATGATGATGTTTACACTGACACAGACAGTTGAGTACACACCGGCACGCCCGCCACCACGGCGAGCACACAGCAACCAAAGAGACGAGGAAAGTCATTAGCCGAGCGCTGCTTTACCTTTTTCTTGCGCTCACATTTGCATCGTGGCCCTCGGTCGCTGCTCGCCTGCCGTCACTCACACACTATTTATCATATCTATGTAAATTCAATCTGTGGATGCTGGAGCTATAAATACTGTAAACAATGTTTGTTTACTGTGTGAGCATCAGCTGTTGAGTTATACTGAAACCTTATGTGCTGATTGAACCGGAGTTTAAAGATTGTCTTGACTTTAACTGATGAAGCGTTTGTGGTTCATCACGACGCCAAAAAGAAAGCTTCAAACTGTTTTTCGGGTCCAGTTCGCTTCTAGTTAACCGACTTTAAAGCGTCCGCCGCACAGAAAGTATGCAGATTATATTCTAGGATTTTAAAGCTGAAGTATGAAACTTTCCCTCCATCCTGACCAGGTTCCTCCGGCTCCTCATCGAGCTCGGGTCCGAACGAAAACAACCAATCAGAGCAGAGAAAGATTTAATTGTTGAGTCTTATTTCCAGGTTGTAAACTACCGATGCTTTAGGTTGGTGGCTTTTTGAATTCTTGCAAATAGCTTTATTAAGAGGAGCCGGAGGAACCTGATTGTCCACAGATTATCTGTCAGGATGTACAGACACCTTATAGCACATATGACTCAAAGCTTCCTACTGCAGCTTTAATCAATCTCCAGTTTTATTTCTCTTTTTTTTCAGCGATGCAGGTTCATGATAAAGTGTCTCAGGTTCATTACAGGTCAGCGTTTATGAGCCACTCAGTTAAAATACACTAAAATAACACATTTATTTTTGCATGTGATCAACATAAAGACCTGTAAAGGGAAAATCACCAGTTTTTCCATCGCCATCATTTACCCCAACGTTGGAGCGTTATTCAGCCTACCTCTCCTACATGCATGCGTGACATGGTTGGTACCAATGGATGCGTTATCTCATCTAGTTTCACCTGATACCAGGATCTTCACTGTAGTTATAAAACGGAGCCCGTTACAGCCTCTGAAAGACGGAGGGGAAGAGGGGAGGATGATGGGGTGGCCAATCAGGTTTCAATCGGCGTCCCCCTCTGTGCACGGCCCTGCCTCTAACCTGAGTTTACATGAGCGATATGAGTGAAAATACAATCACAACATTGATTATTTACAGTATTTTTAGCTCATTTTAAATAATTCCCAGCTGTTTCTATGACTACGTCTTTAAGTATGCAGCTTTCTGCAGGACGTGTGTGAACCCTGTTGAGTCAGTTTGATCCGTAGATTCACAACAAACGGAGAAAGAGAAAGTAAAGAAGACGACTCCGAGGGGAAACGCAGGGACTCGGGCTGGCAGACGCTATAAAAGCTGAAAACTTGAACTTTAGACGTCGACAGGAAACGCCTTCGCTATGATGGAATGCTAAACATTCAGCGAGATGGTGGGTCGAGCTGATCGGCCCACTGGGGGGGGACCAGGATCTGCTGCCTCCTCAGAGCCTCGACAGGGCAGATTGTTTGTTGTGTTTTGGCACAACGGCGAGAGATATGGAGTCGGTAACCTGGTTGATCCTGTTATACGGAGGACGTTTCCTGCCACAGACAATAGGAAATGTTTACTGATCTATTAACAACTGAAAGAAGAAGTCTCTCTGCAGACTGTAACAACAATCAGGGCGTTATTAGGGCCGGGCAGTAAAGCATTATCAGTAATAATAATAATAAATAATTGTCTCCATCCTTTAGAATCGGTTCTTTTCTTGTTTATAAAGCTTTAGTTGAGCTTTCTCCTCCTTAAATCAGAGACTTCTTCCTCTAAATGTTCCTGATGTTTCCTATAAAAGTCTGTTTTTATGCCCTAAACTGTGAAACTCTCTGGATATTAAAGGAAATTAAAGACTTTTCTTATCAGGCTTTTACTTTGAAATAATGTTATAGTTTGCCCTTTTATTCTTTAGTTTTTACATTATTTGTCTCCTTAGTGTTTATTGTTATAAAGATTGTTTCTATTTATTCTTAATCTGGTGAAATGTGATTTATTGTTCATTTTGTTTGTTATGTGAAGCAGTTTGAGCTCCATGTTTGTATAAAAGGTGCTTTTATATAATAAAGTTGCTTAAATAAAAACATTGCAACTGATCTGAAATCCAACAATCAATCACATCCTTCGATTAATGTTTGTAGTCGGGGAGGAAACTAGTTTGGAAGATGGAAACAACGTGGTAAGATTTACACCATTTGAGGCGTTTTAACCCTTAAAAATTACATCAAAACAACTAAAACAGATAAATTAAAATAGATTAATAAAAGTTATTTATTCAACTTCACTTAAATAAACTAAATTAATTAATTAAGCTACATTAATGTGATATATTTGACACCATTTGAGGCGTTTTAACCCTTAAAATTACATAAAAACAACACAAACAGATTAATTAAGATAAAAATAATAAAAGTTATTTATTCAACTCAACTTAAATAAACTAAATTAATGAACAAAGCTACATTAAATATTTATTTGAGGCATTTTAACCCTTAAAAATTACATAAAAACAATTAAAACAGATGAATTAAAATAGATTAATAAAAGTTAATTATTCAACTTCACTTAAATAAACTAAATTAATTAATTAAGCTACATTAATGTGATATATTTGACACCATTTGAGGCGTTTTAACCCTTAAAATTACATAAAAACAACACAAACAGATTAATTAAGATAAAAATAATAAAAGTAATTTATTCAACTCAACTTAAATAAACTAAATTAGTGAACAAAGCTACATTAAATATTTATTTGAGGCATTTTAACCCTTTAAATTACATAAAAACAACTAAAACAAATCAATTAAAAAGAGATTAGTAAAAGTTATTCATTCAACTCAATTTAAATAAAGTAAATTAACTAATTAAATTAGATAAATGTGATATATTTGACCATTTTAACCCTTAAAAATTACATAAAAACAACACAATCAGATTAATTAATAGAGATCAATAAAAGTAATTTAATCAACTCAACTTAAATAAAGTAAATTAATTAATTAAACTTCATTAAACTGGAGACTTTGTAGATTATCACCATCACAACCAACAAGTGTTAACCGCGGACGGTGGACCGAGCCCGGCCCGGTTCGGTCCGGTTCGGTTCGGATCGAGGCGACACACACACACACACACACACACACACACACACACACACAGGCTGCGGGCTAGCGACACAAAGCTAACTAACTCTCTCTCTCTCTCTCTCTCTCTCTCTCTCTCTCTCTCTCTCTTTGGACTCTCGGTTCCGGACCGGAGACAAACTTACCGGACGGGGCGGTCGGTTCTGGTCCCGCTGCTGTCGAACTTTAACCGCAGTGGACCCGAACAACTTAACAATAACAACAAGTTCCGGTTGCTGACAGTTGGTTAATGCGACGGCTACTAGCTCCGTGGCTAACTTAGCTGGTTTACCCGCTAGCCGAGCGTCCCGGCTCGGGTTGCTGTTGATGACAGGCTGCCTGTTAGCCGGCGTGGGTTCCGGTGGGTACTTTCAAAATAAAACCGGTATCGTGGCATAAGAAGCAAAGAGGCATTAAAAAGACTTTATTGATTCCCACAGAGCAGCTCAAAGGTTCAACAGTTTACTGGACAATACACATAAAGTAAAACATACAATAAGATAAATATATATTATGTATTATTGTGGATTTTCTAATAATTTATTTATAGATGGATATACACACTGTGTGTAACATGATACTATATATATATTTATTTATTTACTATACCTCCATGTATATCCTTTTATTTTTCTGTGTGACTCGTTTTCTGTTTTCTATTTTTTTTTAAATAAAAATCTGCACAAAAATGTGTAAAAATAGATTTGTATTATATTGTGGATTTTCTAATCATATATAAATAGATAGATATGTACACGGTGCGTAACATGACACTAAATACACACATATATACATATATTTATTTATTTATTATACCTCTATGTTTATACTTTTATTTTATACGTGACTCGTGTTGTTTGTTATTTCTGTGTTTGATTTTATTTGACAAATTATTTACTACAATTCTATTTTCTTGAATGAAAATCCGCATAAAAATGTGTAAAAACAAATATAGTTATATAATCATACAATAAAGTATTAATATAAAGCCAATATAATATAGTACATAATACGCTATAAATATAATGATATATATAGAGAGATTGTACTGTGTAAATATATAAAGATATATATATAAAACTGCACAGTACAGGTCAGGTCTACATTAATATTTATAATATAGATTATAATTATATACAAAAGAAAACACTACAGGGCATTGTTTAACTAAAATATATCACCATGAAACTTGCCTTGCCTCTGAATTTCCCTCTTATTTTATTTATATTTACATATAGTACAAGTTTGCTGAAATGTTTGTTTTAAATATGCAAATGAGGCATTATCTAATCTTAATTTAATGGAGAAATTTAAACAAAATGTAGTAAATGAAAGACCTAAATGTGTATTTGTATGTTGAATTTATGTATTTACTTATTATCTTTGCAACAAATAATGTATTATCTTTATTTTCTGCCTGCAGTGTTTCACTTTACTGTATAAATAAAAGTCGGATTATGAGTCAGTTTTAATCTAAAGGTCGGTGCTTTTATTTTAAAGGTAAATCCGCCCGACTTCCGGTCTGATGTTGATCTTAATGTGTGAAACTTGATGAATTTGTCCTCGTCGATAATGGGATTATCCCATCACAGCTACACACAATAATTACAGTTTCTCAGGTGAAAATAAACTCTGGAACTTTCAAACAACTGTTATACACATAAATAAATTACACAGAATATAAAACTTTAATTAAAGTTTGTCTGAATAAAGAGATTAATTATCATATAAACCAACAAACAGATATAATTAATGTCTTTAAACACCTTCATTTATTTCATTAAAGTCTGCGTCTGGTCTGTTAACCAGCCTCTTAATGTTTAAAACTTTAACTCTGTGGTTGAGAAAACTTTATAATAAATGAATTGAACTATAATAGACAGCAGGCAGGTGCAGAGCGCCCCCATGAGGACACAAGAGATTACTGCATTAATAAGATGGCAGCAGCCTGGTGACTGGTTCCCAACATGTTTACTTATGGGAGCCTTTTTTTTTATCATTGATTCAACTAAGAACCTGATTAAATGACATATTTTATGTTTATTTCATATTATATTAAAAACTGAACAATGAACCCAAACAGTGAACTCAGTAACTGCAGGAAGTTTGAGTAAAACCAGATTTTTATGAATTTTGAGCAGATTATTTCCTGTTTAAGGAACTTTTTATACAATTCTGTCAGTATTATGTATTTTATTAACAGTCATAGAGACTTTATAAGTTTCTTTTCTGACAAATTCAGTGTTTTCTTCTCCCTGACACCATTATTCTATTAAACATTTACTTCATATTTATTATTCCTCACAGAAGTGAACTTAATGCTGATACACAGGCGTCCTGTTTATATTTCTTAAGTTTTATTACACACATTAAAACCCCCTGTGAAGCTCTGGCGACCCCTAGTGGGGGTCCCGAGGTGTTTGACAGAGTTCCTGCAGCTTTCAACAGGTTCAATTTAAGACTTTTTAAGCCCTTGAATGCAATTTAATCTCTATTTTACTTCCACACTGACAGAAAAATCAATAATGGTTCTATTTCTGTTTGATTTTGTAGCTGTTAGGGTGCGATCAATAGAAACGTTTCCCAAATACACATTTAAAAGAGACTGAAACATTTAATGTCAACTTCTTTAACCTAATTCATTTTTTTAAGAGCTGTCAAAATAATTTTAAGGCCTAAAATTCATAAGATTGGAGACTTTTAAAGACCTTGCAGACACTTCGGTTTCTCCTTATCAAACATGATCCTTTATTCCTCCATTTCTCTGTAACTAGTTGTCAAAACACACAAAACATACATTATAATGTGCTCGATGGGGAGTCTTCAACTTTAAACACTCTGAGACAACCAGAAGCTCCAATATTAACTGAGAGCTAAAGAGAAAAGCTTTAATAATCACGTTTGTAACTTTACCCACACAAATAACACAGTGTGTATGTGTTCAGCAAAGTCTCAGGATGCTGCTGGTCACATTATTTCAACACCACCACCTTCAGTTTCTGAATTACAGCATCTCCTGCGAGTTCTAGTTTAAAGGGTTTTCACTGAGGATGAGGCTGTTCTTTCAAAATAAAAGCCCTATAGGAGCAACTGTTGCTAATGTCAGTCTCTAGTTTACACTGCAGCATCAAACACTCACTTTCATTGATTGTGCATAATTGTTTATTCATTTCAACAGACTAGTAATGCTCACTAGTCTATAAACTTGCTCAAAATAAAAGGTGAATTAAAGAACCCTCCAACAAAAACACATTTTTTAAGTTTTTTCTTCAGGTTTCAAAACATTCCTTTAAACAACGGCAGCGATTCCTCACACGTTTCCAACACTGAAGTTAAACTGAGTTCATGTTAAAGGTTAGATAACACTCTACAACAGAAGATGACACAGAGGAGAAACTGAAGGAGAAGAAAGTGCAGATGTATGGTTGAACCAGGCTGAATATACTGTTGGAGTAATCTCTACTATACAATACTGAGTGTTCGCTTCCTCACGAAGAACGTTACGTACTCGTGTTGTTAGAAAACACCGATGTCATTGTTTCCTTCCGTTCTGAGGCTGAAGTTCCCGATTGATGTCCGAGTACCCTGGAAAGATTTAAAAGGTGCGACGTATCTGCAGCTGGCTGACTGCTACTCTAATCTAAAGCACCCTACGATCATCTTATCCAAACTACTCACGGATCCCGGCTGCAAGAAGTCGGATCTGAAAGCGTACGCGGAGCCAGGAGCTCGTTATTAAGATGTAAGAAACGTAGACGCGTCGCTGGTCGCTGCTGAATGTGTGGTCGCCAGACTGCGGAGGTCAGGTAAAGTTAACACAGAGAGACATAAAGTTCACTTAAAAAACGACTGTAACTCAATTCTGAACAGATTGTCATTAAATTTGGTTTGTTATAAAGGTTATAAAGAAGTGGAGCTAATTATCTGGGACATTTAGGCTTTATCTATAAACAGCAAGTGTAAATTATTTAATATTTTTACCTTTTGTTGCTCTAAAAATGTAGATTTTATATCTGTAATATTGTTATAAAGACGCCTGTTTGCTTGTCTTTGTGAACTGTATCTACAGGAGAACATATCATTTGAAATAGGAGAACAGTTTTTATTGTTAGTTTCCTGTTGGACAGTAATTTGTTCCATGTGTTGAGACTTTATGCAGCAGCTCAAACACACTAACATTAATGTTTTCATGGTTTTCATCCTTTGAATATTTAATCCCTGAATCCAAACGCCTGAAACATTTTTCCAATGAATTAATTCCTGTAACCATCAGGTTCAATTCCTCACGTTTATAAACAGACTAAATATCATGAATATCGGTTCAGAATGAATAAAGTCACAGTCGGTACTGTAGCGACGTCTGAATCTCTCAGTATTATTAACGAGCTGATCTGACCTCCGCGATGTAGCGACCGCGCAGACGTCAAATACAGAATCTACGTTTTCTGTATCTACGCTCGTTATATTCCGTGTTTTTCTTTGGATCTGGACAAAATGTTACCCACAAGGCTTTTCAGTGTGACAGACAGGAGGCTGCTATAGAGCTCTGACCTTTGTACGACTAATAATAATGAATGCAAATCAAACCCAGAGCACCTGAACCTCTGGCTGCTGACTAAACCCTGTTTCTATAGCTTCTAGTTTTCCAGGGAAGATCTGCATGGAAGTAAAAACAAGCAGCGGGAATCATTTATGAATATCAACTCAAGAAAAACACTCAGAGTAAAAGAGCTTCAGTGTCGTCTACTTCGTGTGAACCATCGACGTGCTGAACAGAAGTTTCTGCTTCTTCTTTTTCTTCTTCCCTCCTTTCTCGTCTGAAAGACACAAAAACAAAGAGACAGACGCATTATTACAATTATTGGTGTTATTTTATTATTTTTGATTGGTTGAACATCAACAGTAATAATAGTAATAACTGTTTAAGAAAACTTTGAAATGTCGTTTTTTTTGCAGTATTTCACTATTATTAACACTATTCTTGTATTTAAAACACTTATTTATAGATAATTTCTCAGAAATATTATTTAAATGCTTTTATTTTTATTTTTATATATAAAAAAAAAAAAAAAAAAATATATATATATATATATTTATTTATTTATAGTATTAATGCATTTATTTTTACAAACTTCTTATTCCTTATTTTCTATGTTCTTATCATTTCTCTTTGTTTAGATTTATTTCTATTGTAAAAATGGGAGCAACTGTTAACCCCCCAAAAAAAAAGGATCAATAAAGTATTTCTGATTTAATTAAACTGAAATTAAATAGTTTAAAGTGCTTTAAGATCTTACTAAACTCCTGAATTCAAGTTGAAGTGCGGAATGATAATATAATGTATGACTGGATTATAATTATTATAGATTAAAGTGTTCATCACCTTAATCTATAATAATTAGTTGATTTATATTTTGTATTAATAATCTGCAAAGTTATCAAATAAATGTACCTAAAACTGTACTTTACTACTATTTATACATTTTGAGACTCCAAATCTCAGTTATCGGTTTCTCTGACTACCAATAATCGATAAGAGTATTGATCGTACTGCACACCGACCTGGGTCAACCACGGGTTGTGGAGGAGAAGCAGCGCCGTTGTCCAGCTGCAGAAGTGCTTTCTCGATGGCCTGGCTGAACGAGTTCTGGAAGCTGGGCACGGGGACCCGGTCCGACCCGTCGCTCTCCCCGTCGCTGTCTGCCGCCGGCGGAGCGAGCAGATAATCTACACACACACACACACACACACACACACACACACACACACAACACACACACACACACACACACACACAACACACACAACACACACAACACACACACACACACACACACACACACACACACACACACACACACACATCAGGACGCCTGCAAGGATCTCCACGGCTCGACAGGTTGAACAGGAAATACACAGAAACACACAAAGCGGCAGAAATTCACCTGAACGGCGTCAGGAGGTTCTTCTTCAACCGGCTGACACACAGTTTAACAAAGGAACCTTTGTTACTGTTTAATGAGGCAATTATATCTGATTTGTCCTTTGATACCAGATTAATATCTCAATGTGACACTTTGAGACGCTGCCGTGGACAACTACAGTTACTTCTGCATATGGATGGATGGAAATGATTTATTATTGGGTCTAAAGACGGATAAAGAAACAGTAAAAACCATCATATTGAGACTATTTCAGCAGATATTAATATCACTAATCGATTCATCATTTTCAGTCTTTTCATTAAGAAAAGCTTCTGAAATGTGAATATTTTCTGGTTTCTTCAGACAGTAAACTGAATATCTTTGGACGGTTTGAGGACCTTGAAACAGTGATCAACATTTCCTGACGTTCTATAGAGTAAACAATAACCAACAGATCCATCAATAACAATAATACCAATAATAACAATACTAATAATACTAATAATAATCAGTAGTTGCAGATTAATATTCAGTCACTACCTTTCTTTGGAGTGATCCTGGGCCCAGCATCAGCTCTGGCTTTCCCATCTCTTAGCATCTGTACAGGACACAGTGAGGGTCAAACACCACACACACACACACACACACACACACACACACACACACAAACAAACGCACATCACTGTAGGTCTGCATTACGCTGCGCTATCTGTGTGTGTGTGTGTGTGTGTGTGTGTGTGCGCGCCATACGTACCTGTGCAAACGACATACAGTGGGAGTCGTCCTCCACGCTGCCCACAGTGGGGGAGGAGCTCTGCCCATTCAGGCTGGGGAATCTTATCCCGTCTAGAGGAACACAAGGACCGTCAGCTCAGTGTTCAAACACACACAGATTGATCTGCTGTGAGTCGCTGAGCTTTGGAGATATCAGCTGACTTCGTATGGAACCAGCAGTTTTAATGCAGGAACTATTTTCTGTGAACCGAACTACACCCTGCAACCGTGGCGGCACGTTCAGCTGTCTCAGTGGCGCTAGGTGAGCTCGCTAACGTTAAAGCTCGGCCGAGGAGGACGCCGGTAATGTGTCTCGAGCCGCTCGTCCATGAGTACATGCACGCTTCCAGAAAATAGTTCCTACATGAAACTGCTCACAACGAGGAGACGGTGAGGCTGTGAGATGTTCTACGTTGTTGAAATGAAGCTCATTATGTCTCATTCTACTGAAGGAAGACGTCTCTACAGCTGATATCTGCAGGAAGAGACGACTCACACAGGAACAATGTGAACAGATAAACAGGGACAATATGGGAACTGTCCCTTTAAACAGCACTGGACAATAAACTGCTGCTCTTACCAGAGGAAGGACTGCAGCTGAGGGGGGAAGGGGGGGCAAATGTGAAGTCAGGCTGAAGTGGGGGGCTGCTGTAGTAAGGCGGAGATCCGAATGCTGGGAAATGCTGGAGGTTCTCTAATCCGATATGCACCTCAGGATCTGTGGGGGGGGCAAACAGTGTCAGATCTGTTTCTGGAACCTTCTTTCTGGAGTTGTGACGTGATCGGCTGTACTTACATTTCCCCTGCTTCTTGTTCTCCTCAATTTCAATTCGCTTCTCTCTGCGCTTCTCATCCCTCACTTTCTTCTGCCTCAGCCGCTTCCTCTTCTCCAGGTCGTCTAACAGTTCGGAGGAAACGGACGGTTACAATCTTTAAAACCCACAGCTGTGAATCCACATCCTGAAACAAACAGACGCATTGTTCTGACCTGCAAACGTGTCCAGAGTCTCCTTGGACAGGATCGGCGGCTGCAGCGCTAACTCGCAGAGGCTGAACTCGCACGTGAGCGGCAGATGAGCCAGATAGCGATGTCGACGACGGATCTCCTGCAACACGGGACAAGGCGTTAAACATCAGTGACAGGGTCCACAGGTCGGGTTGTAAAAGAGGTTCTGGGGAGTGTTTGCTGACCTCAGTGACCGTGTGTCCCACTATCTCCACCACTGTGGCAGTGATGGAGTCAGGACTCGCCTCCAAGCTGCTGTATTCACGCAACAGACAGCGTACATTCACAGGATGCAGGAACATCTGCTGGCAGTCGTCAGCTGGAGGGAGAAATATGGGAGGAAGAGGAAGAGGAAGAGTCAACACTGAAACTTTAACGTGAGGGAAGAAGAGCCCTCAGACTAACAGGATGTTTCCAGCTATGTTTTAATTCAGATATTTAATTTTCCTCCAGCAGGAGCTCAGTGGTTCCCCACCTTGGTAGAAATAGTAGTAGGGTCCGTGCACCACGCCGGTGGAGGGGCGGCCCGGCTCCGGCAGGCTGGCAGGGCTCTCCTCTTCGGGCTCGGGCTCCGGAGCTGCGTCCATCGCAACCTCTGCAGGCTCCTCCAGCACACACTCCAGAACGCCTTCGGTTAAGCCCTGCAGCTCTAAGGCGGCGTCCTCCGCCACCTCCGCCACCTCGTCATCGAACGCAGAGGAGTACTGCAGCATCGGCTAGAGGAAGGATCATTCCCATAATAAGTAGAAGCCAGTGGGGAAGTAAAATAAACTGCTCCCATCTTCAGTGAACACACAGGGAGGCACTTTTAGACTGACCTTGGTGATGCTGGTGTTAGTGACCACTTCCTCCACAGGAGAAGAAGGTTCTTCCAGAGTCAGAGAGGAGAAGTCGAGGCCGTCTACTGCGTTCGCTTTCTGCTGCTTCAGCAGAGTTTCCTCTCGCTCCTGAACCATAAAGACACAGTTAGAGCCAACAGCAACAACAGACAGTCAGTCTCAGGATGCACTGCGACGCAGATGTTGAAGATTCGCAGATTGATGCAGTTTACAATAATTACAGCCCACTAATGCCGACTGATTTCTGTCCTCAGCTGCACAATAAAGGTGTAGAATGACGTTGCTCTTTTGCATTGAAATGTAGGCAAATGTTACTTTGAATCTTTATTATCCCTTCTAAACTATAACTATAAATCAGGTTTTAGTCACCTGCAGAAGACAAAGGGCGCTCTGGATGAAGCAGCCCTGGGCGTCCTCTTCCTGGCTGAGCTGAGCCTGCAGGACGGTCTTCTCCTCCGCCACCAGGCTCAGGACCTGGGCCGGGGACGTCAGCAGCAGCTTGGAGTACGGACTCAGACACGCATCTACAAACACACGTTCAACGGGAAGTTAGTGTCACTTAGGAGTTATTCATGTACACAACCAGAAGCTGCAACAATCAGCCGATTAATACTCCTAATGAGGGTACGTTTACCCCTAGGGGTCCTTTAGAGTACTGCAGGAGGTACGTGAGATTGTTTTGTTCATGCATAATCCCTAAAATAAATTATCCTATGATAAGTTCAATAAAGAATGTAAATGTAAGTTCAATAAACCACATTTTATATTCAATCAATACATCCTATATTTTATAATATATAAGTATTTTGTGCTGTCAGGAGGTACAGAAAAATTTACACTGAAAAAAGTTTGAGAACCACTGGATTTATTGATTAGCTATAAACTATTAAATTAATTTAAAAGTATTTTAAAGATCATTGAGTCATTTTTTAAGAAAATAAATTCTCAAATGTGAATTTTTTCTGGTTTCTTTATGACAGTAAACTGAATATCTTTGGTTTTTGGAGAAAACGAGACATTTGAGGACGTCACCTTCAACATTTTTCACCATTTTATGGACCAAAAAACGAATTAATGTGGATCAATGATTAGTTACAGCCCTGCCACAGAACACTGAACATTAAAAAATGGTTCTCTGGTATTCATGTGATCAAGAGACAATCGTCCTCTAACATGAGACGAGTTGTCTGAGGACATTATTCATCAGAGTTACTGTTCGTCGCTCCGTTCGTCTCTCACCTCCAAAGCGAACGGGCTCCTCCACCTTCACCCACTGGGAGCTGGGCATGGCCACCAGAGCCCCCTTTTCCCTCCGCATCAGGCGCATGGTGATCACATCACCGGCCACGTACTGCCTGGTCTCCATAGCAACCACACTGCAACAGGAAACCGAGCGTTAGACGCTCAGAGAAACCCGACCGCGGCAGAATAAATCCAACCGCCTGTGTGCGGGGGATCATTCAGGAGATATTTACCTCTTCAGGTCGGCGGTCTGAACGGCCTCGTAGCAGATGGGGCACTTGGACCAGCTCTTGTCGCTGAGAGAGAGGTAGTGCAGCATGCACGGCCAGCAGAAGATGTGTCCGCACCGGGTGATACGGGCCGCCAGCGGAGGGTACAGGCAGATGGGGCAAGACGGCACCTCGTGACTGTAGATGCGCTGCAGATAAAGTTTTTCAAAATGATGAAAAAGTTTAATTGACTCAGTATCTCAAAATAATGAAAGTTTTTCAAAATAATTGACTCACGTTTCTCAAAATAATGAGAAAGTTTTTCAAAATAATGAGAAAGTTTTTCAAAATAATTGACTCACTATCTCAAAATAATGAACGTTTTTCACAATAATGAGAAACTTTCTTAAAATAATGCGTCAGTATCTCAATATTTTGATTCAATAATGACTTAATATCAAAAAGTCATTCTTTTGTTTCAAAATATTGACACACTTTCTCATTATTTTGAGGAACTTTCTCATTATACTGACAGTTTGAGCTCATTAGTGTCCACAAGGATCGTCATTACGTGTGTCAGAGTGTGAACGGGGCAGCGGCCGGTAGCCAGAGCTCAACGGGCGGCGAGCACTCACCACTTGCTGCACACAGTCCCAGTTGACCAGAGTGTCTGGATCAGTGAAGTGAGCCTTGTAGTCCTGATCATCAGTCACCACAAACTGGCAGCTGAAACACACGAAGAGCTCAGCAGGTTAAACACGAGCTACGGCCAATGAGAGCGGTCTCTCTCCAGCACCAGACAGGAAGCAGCAAACCGGGTAGTTACTATGGTAACAGCCGAAAAGACTCCTCAAACACCAACACACACATAAAAGACGGTATTTCTTTTAGGGCTTTTAGTTGAATTCAAACTGTTAATATGTTTTATTTCTCCACTACAGAAACTCTAGCTAACTAAAGTCTGATAATGTTGTCTGGCATCAGTTATTAGTTTGATTAATCCTTTAATAATGTGTGTATTGATTACTGACGCTGGCTGATCAGTTCTAGCTGCAGTGTGCTGTAATCAGATGCCTATCTGGAGTTTTTAAACTAATTAAAACACAATGTTCTCGTTATTAATGGTGTAATTAATGACTGTGTGTACGGAGGTGTTTGTTTACTTGGCCTGCAGGAAGAGCTCCTTGTTGAAGGGCTTGTGCTTGTGGCCCCATTTGTTTCGGCGGCCCCAGTAGGAGTGGCCTCCGTCTCCGACGCCACCGGTACCTCCACGGGGTTCAAAGGTAAAGTTCAGCAGGTGGTTCAGGCTTATTTTCTTCGGTCCAGCAAACTGAGCCGGGCTAAACTCGGCCCGGCGCGTCTCTGCTACCTGCGGAGACGGATAAGAGACGAGGTTCATAAGAGTTTAATGACCTTTTTAGCACAGGTTGATGCAGACGCCCGTCTCTAAACAGACCACAACATTTAAAATCTACTTTAAACTGATGCTGTGCTTCTTCTTAAAGTTCAAATAATAAGATTTTCTTTGTTTCTCTTGCTCCTGAAATGTTTTAAACCTTAAAAAAGAGGCGATCCCTAAAGAATACCAACCTCCTCGCGTCGTCCTCCCCCTGTAACTCCATACTGTCGTCCGCCTCTCTGAGCGGGTCTCTTCTCAAAATTCTTGCTTTTCTGTGAATTGGTGCGGCGAGGGCCTTGGAAACTGTCGGCTTTAGGAAAGGAGGGCTCTCGCTTGCGGCTGTAGCGCTTGGAGCCTCCATTATTTTTACCTTCTGAAATAAAAAATAAAATAAGAAAATATATTAGCATGAGAGTAGTTTATGATCAGATTACCAATAAATGTAATTTGGCTCTCAGTCAACGTCCCGCCCTCAGCACTATCTGTTGGTTACACATTCACTCAGTCCTGGAATCAACATCTTCAAAACTATTAAAGTATAAACATCAAAACATTTATTTCTTCAATTATTGATGCATTTATGTGTTTATCACAGTGTCGGGGAGTAAGGAATTACTACTAATAATATATCTTTCTCCAGTAACTAGTAGTGTAAATAACTACTGTTGGCAGTGAGTAAAGGATAAAATAATATTACTTTTTAAAAGAGTAATCAGTAATAAATTACAGTAAATAGACCAACATTGTTTATCGTGTAGGTTAGTCTATAATAATGCATCATGATTTATTAGAGGATTCATATTTTGTATTAATAATGTGAATCTGCAACTTTAAAGTTATAAAGGATAAAGTTGAAAAGTTTAAAGTTATAAAGTATAAAGTTAAGGCTGCACAATATAATAAAAACATCATATTGACATTATTTTAAGATATTGCGATATGATTCACGATTTGTGTGGAAATCATAATTTTTGCATCACAAATTAAATTTTAACTAAAAGAAAATCTAATAAAATAATTCTTGAAATGTGAATATTTGTGGTTCTGTACCAAGCAAATCTCAATAAAGTACAATTACCTCAGAACTGTTTTTGTGTAAATTAACTTTGTTAAACTCCAACGTTGGTCATTTTAAATTCACTCAGATTTTTAACTGCAAATGTTTATCGGCTCCTTATGAAAGCTAATTAGTAAAAAAGATTCTGCAAGTCATTGTAATGAGAAAGTTTTTCAAAATAATGAGAAAGTTTTTCAAAATAATGAGAAAGTCGTTATATTGACAGAGTGAGCTCATTGTTGCCCCAACACAGAGAGACAGACAGATAGTGCCCCAACACAGAGAGACAGACAGATAGTGCCCCAACACAGAGAGACAGACAGATAGTGCCCCAACACAGAGAGACAGACAGATAGTGCCCCAACACAGAGAGACAGACAGATAGTGCCCCAACACAGAGAGACAGACAGATAGTGCCCCAACACAGAGAGACAGACAGATAGTGCCCCAACACAGAGAGACAGACAGATAGTGCTCCAACACAGAGAGACAGACAGATAGTGCCCTAACACAGAGAGACAGACAGATAGTGCCCCAACACAGAGAGACAGACAGATAGTGCCCCAACACAGAGAGACAGACAGATAGTGCCCCAACACAGAGAGACAGACAGATACATGCCCCAACACAGAGAGACAGACAGATAAACAAAAGAGAGAAACAGGCCACGAGACGACAATATACATAGAGACAGACAGATACATGCCCCAACACAGAGAGACAGACAGATAGTGCCCCAACACAGAGAGACAGACAGATAGTGCTCCAACACAGAGAGACAGACAGATAGTGCCCCTAACACAGAGAGACAGACAGATAGTGCTCACAACAACAGAGAGACAGACAGATAGTGCCCCAACACAGAGAGACAGACAGATAGTGCCCCAACACAGAGAGACAGACAGTTAGTGCCCCAACACAGAGAGACAGACAGATACATGCCCCAACACAGAGAGACAGACAGATAAACAACAGAGAGACAGACAGATACATTCCCCAACAGGCCACAGTGTCTGACAGCCACACTGACAGTAACGGTGTTTACCGGCTGATATTAACGGTGTTTACCGGCTGATATTAACGGTGTTTACCGGCTGATATTAACGGTGTTTACCGGCTGATATTAACGGTGTTTACCGGCTGATATTAACGGTGTTTACCGGCTGATACTGACGGTGTTTACCGGCTGATATTAACGGTGTTTACCGGCTGATACTGACGGTGTTTACCGGCTGATATTAACTGGCTGTCATTAACTGGCTGTCATTAACGGGGCTCGCCGGTTCCGCTCACCTGTTTTGGGTTTAGTCTCTCCCGGCGCTGGGCCTGTGGAGCTGGAACGGGGCGGAACCTTGGTGCTGGTGCTGCTGTTGGGGTTCTTCTCCATGTTTGTATCCGGGCAGAGAGTGGTGGTGCTGGGGCCGAGCTCCGGGCAGAGAGCCGCCGAGCTCTCTAGCATCAAACGGGGACACGGAGAAGGAAAGCGGGCTGCAGTGAGTGCGGGTCAGGCGACGAAGGCCCTGGTTCATTTCTGTCAAACGCGGAGACCCCATCACGGCGACATCTTGACAATAAACCCAACCGAAGGAAAAAGAAGAGACACGATCAACGGCGTCTCAAGTAATGGAGGTTGTTGGAAGAGAGGACGACAGCTCGCCACGCGGGGCCAAGACCCCCCGAGTTCACGGTTTTTACTCGGTAGAGAAAACAACGTGCCCGTTAACAGCACCGGAACGTTCCCCGGAAGCTGGAAAACTTCACCGTTTAAAAGGTTTTTCACCACAAAAACAGATCCGAGACAACGAGCTTGCACTAATGGCGACGGGTCGCCAAGCAAGAACCTCAGGGACCCGGATGTTTCTTCTACCGTTTGCAAATATGATTATCGCCGCTAGGCATTGTGGGAAGTGTAGTTGTGAAAGTACAGGTTAGTGTTGGACTACAGAATAACACTGCTCATTTTACACTTTTCTGAAGCCTGATTTCATAGACTGAGATTTATTTAAATAATTAAAATTTGGCAGGATGGTTACTAACTCTTTCTTCTCTAATGAGACACTCATAAATTATATTTATTATTGCTTTAAAGACTTTAACTGTTGTTGTTTTCTAACATTATGTCACATATACACTGGAGGCTTGTGTATAATTCTCTACTGTTTGTTGTTTACAAATTGAGTTTGTAATCCACATTTGTTCAAGAAAGAGGAATATATATATATATATTCATCTTTTATATATGTAATGTACATATTGATACATAAATATTTATGTTTCTTTATATATAGATATAAATGTATATATTCCTCTTTCTTTATATATGTATATATAGATATAAATGTATATATTCCTCTCTTTATATATGTATATATAGATATAAATGTATATATTCCTTTCTTTATATATGTATATATAGATATAAATGTATATATTCCTCTCTTTATATATGTATATATAGATATAAATGTATATATTCCTTTCTTTATATATGTATATATAGATATAAATGTATATATTCCTCTCTTTATATATGTATATATAGATATAAATGTATATATTCCTCTCTTTATATATGTATATATAGATATAAATGTATATATTCCTCTCTTTATATATGTATATATAGATATAAATGTATATATTCCTTTTTTTATATATGTATATATAGATATAAATGTATATATTCCTCTCTTTATTATATGTATATATAGATATAAATGTATATATTCCTTTCTTTATATATGTATATATAGATATAAATGTATATACTCCTCTCTTTATATATGTATATATAGATATAAATGTATATATTCCTCTCTTTATATATGTATATATAGATATAAATGTATATATTCCTCTCTTTATATATGTATATATAGATATAAATGTATATATTCCTTTCTTTATATATGTATATATAGATATAAATGTATATATTCCTCTTTTTATATATGTATATATAGATATAAATGTATATATTCCTCTTTTATATATATATGTATATATAGATATAAATGTATATATTCCTTTCTTTATATATGTATATATAGATATAAATGTATATATTCCTTTCTTTATATATGTATATATAGATATAAATGTATATATTCCTCTTTCTTTATATATGTATATATAGATATAAATGTATATATTCCTCTTTCTTTATATATGTATATATAGATATAAATGTATATATTCCTTTCTTTATATATACATATATAGATATAAATGTTTATATTCCTCTTTCTTTATATATGTTTACATTTACCGTATAAGTGTGTGCAAAAGTCTATTCATACGACACCATGACACATAGATTATCTTGAAAAATAGTTCTTTAATTTGTAAACAAACTACTAATTAGCACAAAAGATAATATAAATACAAAATAAATTCCATAGAACATAAACTGTGTTTGCTGCTAACTGAGCCTCCTCTGTGCTCCAGTAACAGTCGGTGATGAACACATGAATCCATTAGCAAAACAGTAGCTCATTCAAGATGCGACTTCATGTGTCACTTTTATCTTTTAACCGTCTTCAAAATGTCTTTTTAACATAGATTAGCCTAGCACGTAGCATATTTAAGTACAGGAAAGAAGGAAGTTGACGGAGGCTTGCTCAACTGTGATTGGACCACAGAGCAAAAAGGGGGCGGGGCTCAGTGGACGATGGATCAGCTGACGTTGACCATATTTCCACAGCTGTCGGTTTCTTCTCAGACTGCGGCCATCCTTTACTGCACGCTGTGACCTCACTCCTCTTCATCTTCCTCGCTCTCTGATCCATCTTCAAAGCCTTCCTTGTTTCCTCCTTTGAGGGAACAGTTGAGAATCTCTCTGCGGATCTGTTCTTCTTCCTCTACATGAAAAAAAAGGGAAACTTTGGTCGGTTTGTGCATCTTGTGTCAAATAAACAAAAAACAACATTCAGAAATGCTTCAATACGTCCTGTAAGATTCATGTTCAACACAAAGTTAACCTCAGTTAGCTCGCTCACTACGTTATTACAGTTCACTTAACGGCCACTAGTGTTTGCTGTTAACTACAGCTAAATAAAAGTAACATATAGGACCTTTAATTTGGGGATTTTATGACTGAAGAGTTAAAAAACACGAGTAACTTTAATGTACTGTAATCCCTTACCTTTGTTTTTACACTTAGGGAGCATTCGATGGAGCTGCTGTTTGTTGTATCGTATCAGAAACTTCTGACACGTTCTGATTGTTCCTGGAGAAAACAAATACCTTTAATGAATCTCTGAATGATGTTTAAGACTGTTAAAGTGTATGTGTTTGGGTCATTATGTGTTTTCTTACCTCCCACATGCAAACAGTTGAGGAAACAGGGGATTTTCTGCCCACAAGCTTCGACACTGGTGATGAAAGGCAACGCAGACCAGAGGAGTCTGTAACACCTTTTGGGGAAACGCAGGAATACTGTTCCAGTGTGAGCGTTCACATATTTCACTGAAGAGGAACAGAGAGATCACAGAGAGCTCAGTCAACACTACATTATCCTGAAAGCAGAGTGATCAGTGAGTCCACTATAATATTACTCCAGCACTAAAGCTCTTCTAATGTATCTCACAAACAGCTTTTATACATTTATGCTGGAGTAATGTAATTTACACTGACACACACTGTCTGGGTGGAAGTAACTTTATAAACTGTTTTATTTCTATTTTATTCTAATTTAAATATTCCTACATATGTTCTATGTAGCATGAAGGATGTATATTAAACTTTATACTCAACTACATCTATCAGAAAGCTTTGTTTCTACTTACTCTGTAGATTAGGTCAGTTACAGTTTATAAAATATGATGCATTGTTATAGATTAAATATGATGTTCTTTATTTGTGCATAGAAGAAAATAATATTATGGCCACTAAATCCTTCGCACTGGTCCTTTAGTTGTTGGTAACATGTGTTTACTCTACTAGTTAATCTGCTGTGAAAAAGGTTGGTTGCTAACAAAGAATCCAAGCAGCATACTTTAACAGAAAAGAAAATCGAGCAATAACTTTACATTAACTTAAAGAAGGTTTAATCTATGAAGTACTAAAAAATGCAGAAATAAATGACTAAACATAAAACAATGAAAAATAAATACATTTCCGTCATGAAAAAGAATATTTTTGTATTTTTACATTCATTTATTTATGCATTTCTACATTTATTTATATATTTTTACATTTATTTCTACAATATGACGTGTATTTATATATTTCTATATGTATGTATTTATTTATATATTTCTACATTTACTCATTTCTTTATTTCTATATGTTTAAATGTATTTATTTCTACATGTATTTATTGATTTATTTCTGTATCTGAGGCAGGATTGGTCAGAAAGAGACTAGTGACTTTTTACATGTATTAAATATAATTATTATTAGAAAATATATATGAATATATAAATTAAAAAATATATGAATAAATGTAGAAATAAAAAACAAAATATAAAAATACAGAAATATTCATTTTCATGACCAAAATATTTATTCTATTTTTTTCCATGCGTAGTTATTAACTACGACGGAGTATTAGGGCCATACTAAGAGGATAAATAAATAAATAATTAAATAAAATTTTGGAAATTATGAGAATAAATTTGTAATATTACGAGAAGTTTAAGAACAGTTTTTCTGGCTGACCAACAGGCTGACAGTTCTCATAAAATGACTACTTTATTTTCATAATATTACGACTTTATTCTCCCAATAAAATGACTTTATTTTCGTAATATTATTCAATATTACGACTTTTTCTAATATTATCTTTATTTTTTTAATATTACGACTTTATTTTCATAATATTACGACTTTTTTCTCGCAATATTATGACTTTATTTTCGTAATATTACGACTTTTTCTTATAATATTACGACTTTTTTCTCGCAATATTATGACTTTATTTTTCGAATTTATTAGACTTTATTTTCGTAATTTACACACTTTTTTTATTTTCATAATATTACGACTTTTTTATTTTTTTCAATATTATGACTTTATTTTCGTAATTTTTTTTTTCGCAATATTACGACTTTATTTTCGTAATTTTTTTTTCTTGTAATATTACGACTTTTATTCTTTATTTTCGTAATATTTTTTTTCTTGTAATATTTTTTTTATTATGACTTTATTTTTGTACGTTATTTTTTTTTATATTATGATATAATTATAATATTATATTATAATTTCCAAATTTCTCTTAGTCTGGCCCTAATACTCCGTCGTAATTAACTTATGCTTTTGTAATTGTTTTGTCTTTAATATTAATAAATATATAACGCGACTAATTCAAAGAGTCTTCAAACCTTTATCTTTAGGATTTAAATCAGATTTAAAGTCCCCAAACGTCCCAAAGCAGAGAGTTTATTAACTGATTTAAAACCTTCCAGCAGCGGCTCCTACCGTTGAACCTGATGCTGCAGAGAGCGGCTCCGTAGTCTCCGTGGATCCGGGCCACCGCTGCCTTCACCGCGGCTGCCACCGCCCGGTCGTCCAGCAGCAGCAGCTGGCTCCGGTCCGACACGTTCACCTCGCACAGTAAATACCTGTCGGCGGAGAGCGGGAACCGTCACACACCGACAGTAAACACAAACACTGTGAGAGGAAGAGCGGGTTTTTACCTCGACTTCACCCGCACCATCACGGCCCCGCTCGTCTTCTTCTACCGCGGGAACTTCCGTCAACACACCGATCAGCCACCGGAGGGTGAAGCTAGCGCCGCGCTCCGGACAGTAATGGCGCTGCTGGGTGCGCTTAGCAACAGTCACTGCGCAGCACGAATTAGTAGTCGTCTATTTATTAACACATCTAGACGGTTTAACGGAAAACAAAACCACTTAATCTTAATGTATTAGGAAGATAAAAAAGATAAGAGGTTTTATATTTGATAAAATGGTTTAATCTAACTCACACTATCTCCTAACACGTTAAAGTGACACTAAACACCCAGTTGAAGAAGAAGCGGGAGTTCCCGGGCTGTAAACCGCTCACACCCCTGCGGTAACTATGACAATGGCCACCGTTCTCAGCCAATCACGATCGAGCTTTCCCGCCTCCTATACGCGTTCTCCGCCATCTTGAAAATTACACCCGCAGTTAGTCAAGAAGTCGCTCCCCCCGCGAGCCAAGAAGCACAGCAACTCTTCATCATCATCATCATCATCGCCGCCGCCGCCGCCGCCGTCGTTGTCCCGGTAATGAACGGCTCACGGAACAAACCGGCACCGACTGTCAGCGCAGCTCTCACGGACGCGGACGCCGGCGCGGAGACGACGAACCACCGGGAGCGAAAGAGCGGCGGAGGAATGCTGAAGAAGCTGAAGTCGAGGCGCAGTCAGACGGATCGGTGGCCTGTGGTGACCGAGGATGAGCTCCGGGCTCTGGGGACGGACATCACCCCGGACCACGTCCTCGGGCTCCGGGCCGTCACTGAGGGTCAGTTATATGGAAGTTAAATGAGGATAAATACCGAGTAAATGTCCCGTTTTTAGATTAATACGTCCATTAAATATAAAGGAAATACTGATAAATGTGTTAAATTACTGTTTTTAGTTTCTTTAACATTAATTAAACAGGGGAGGATGAACCAGGGGCGTAGCAAGGAGTTAGAGCCCCCTATATACATACTATATTATCAGCCCCCCCCCATCCTTACAGCTGCTTTAAAGCTCCAGTGTGAAACATTGAGGAGGATTTATTGTCAGAAATATAATATAATATTCATATATATGTTTTTATTAGTGTATAATCACCTGAATATGAGAGTAATTGTGTTTTTGTGACCTTAGAAGGAGCTGTTTATATTTAGAGGAAGCGGGAGTCCACTATGTCTCTACAGTAGCCCAGAAGGGACAAACCCAAACACCGGCTCCAGGTTGTGTTTTTCTGCAGCCACTGTAGTTCTCATTCAAATACAGGCGCGAGCAGTATTCAGTTAGTTGCAATCTGCACTGCTAGACGCCACTAAATCCTCCACACGTCCTTTAAAACCTGTTTTTAAAAAGTCTAAATCAATAATATTCTGAATTAATTTTTTTTTTTAAAGTTTTTAATCGAAGAAGCTAACGACAGCCACCTTGTTTTCCTCTGCACATGCTCAGTACGGATCGAGCAGCTCTGTAGTGTGACCAGGAAGAGCGTTAACGCGGCGGCGGCGGTCACGTGACGCACACTGACTCCATAAACAGTGTTTCCCATTAGGTTACATTGTGAAAGCAGCGTCTGTAAACTGTGGATTCTTTGTTGTTTAGTGTCACAATCGCAACTAATCTGAATTTGATCCGTTCAGTCCGATAACATTTGGACACATCGTCCAGATTAAATCATTTTGGCTCCTTTGAAGTTAACGGAGGGATAAAGCAGACGTCTCCAGTGCGGTCTGTATTCATCTGAGTGGTTTCTTTACAGCAGGAAGTGGCCACCGAGCAGCTTTCATAGGAACGAACCGACTCTTTATACTCTGTATACATCCATGGCTGTCGATGGGTGTTTGCAGTGTTTGTGAGGTTCGTTCTCATTCCCCGGTCGTTGAATACATTAAATAACTGCAGCTTCACCACCACATACCCTTAAATCCTACACACTGCTCCTGGGTCTGAAAAGGAGGTTTTAGGCCACTTAATATTATCAATAATAACAATTAGGAAAGTGCTGATTGGGAAAATTTAAAAGAAATGTTTAAAATAACAATTAGGCAGCTATCCAGAGCCAATAGAGATATTTGTGTTGTTATTTATTCGGCCTTTAGTGCTGAGAAACAGATAAATCTACACAGATAAGCTGCTTTGTTGCAGTTCAGTTTATTTCTCACTGATATCTGTAAATACATCTTATTTACCAATAGACTGATGTCAGTAAACAAGGCGAATATCAGCCGTTACTGATCTTCTGTTGCTATATCGGTGCCTCCCTGATAATAATATAATTTATCTATGTGGCAAGTTTCCTACAGAGGATGTAGCTCAAAGTGAAGAGACAATAAATAAATAAAACGCTGAATAACAAATAAAAGAGTCGTGCTAAGAACAATAGAGTTTGTGAAGGTTAAAAACAGGAAGTAAAATAAAGAGTTAGAAACAACACAATGTGTGAAAGAACAAAGCAAAGGGAAATGTTGGTTAAATGTTTACAGAGCATTTCTTATAAGTGTGTGAATAAGAAGCAGCAGAGGATGTGAGAGTGAACAGAACAGCAGCGTACTGTGGTCCTATGAAGCTGACGTGGCAAACATAATGTAATAATATAATGTAATAATATAAAGCTGCTAAATGAAGCTGTGTTTGTTTCTCTCCACCTCACAAATATTTGCTGCTTCCTGCTCTTGAACGAGGTCGATAACACATTCTCTGTGGATTCATTAGATTCTTTCTCTCTTTATGTTCCCTGAATATTACCGTCACCCTCCACCCCACCGCTAACTGCCCCCGCTAACTGCCCCCGCTTAACCCCTCTGAGTCCGACCCCGGGGGTCTGTCATCAGACACCCAGTCTGCCACAGTCGCAGCTAACGCTCAATAATGCCCCCCATTGTTTCTGCTCCTTTCCCGGAGCAGACAACAATGGCGCTACTTCCCTGCTCGCTCACTGCGCTGTGGCGAGAGGCTCCAGGCGTTACTCACCGCCGCGGCAGAAAGCAGACACTGAAACTCTAGTTGCTCATCGAGTTGGATCTCACGTCTCCACGTCAGCCTGCGAGCTCCAGAGTATCTCGTGACTTTTCATCGTTATTGGTGAATCTAACTGTTTGTTAATGAGTTCTTATGGATTCACCTGCTGTATGTTTGTGTCACATTTCAGACTACCTGTGCAAACCCGAGGACAACATCTACAACATCGACTTCACACGTTTTAAAATCAGAGATCTGGAAACGGGAACGGTGCTGTTTGAGATCGCCAAACCTCCCAACAGCGGTGAGTAGACGGGTCGACTTCAGCCACTCCTCCTCCAACAGTTTGTACCTGCACAGGGGCTGCAGGTGGAAATGAGCTAATGAACTAATGCATGCTTCTTATACCCAACAATTAATCAAAATATTATTCAAATCACAGAAGCTGTAAAAGGTAATATGTGTGACAAACAGCTGCCCTGGCCTGATTTTAATAGTTGTTTTCACTGAAAATTAAATTTGTGATGCAGAAATGATAATTCCCACACTAATTGTGAATCAAATCTGTCAAAATAATCACAGTATGATGTTTTTAACACGTTAGCCGAGTAGAAAGTAGATCTCAGAGGACCTCAGGAAGACTGTAGTAACCACACTTTAGTCTGGGGAAACCTAAAAACATTAATTCACAAACCTTTGAGCAGCACTGTGTGTAAATAAATACCCACAGACGCTGTGGCACCAGGACTCAGTTGGTTAAAGTGATTAAGCATCCTAAGTAGAATGTAGAGATTGTATTCAGGCTTCAAAGAATCAACCGTTGGATCAATATATTAAAGTAATCTTTACTCTGGCCTCTTCTTTGAGTTTGTAATCAACTCAATACCTCCTCAATGAAATGCACTGAAACAATATGTGACACAAAATGTCTCATATGTAGAATCATGTTGACGATAACTGAAAACACAATGTGTATATCTATAAATATAAGAACGTAGATGCACTATTCCGCCTTTCAGTCTCTTTTCTAACTGTCAGTGCTACAGCTCACTATAATCTGTCCTGTGGATGTTTCCTGTGTCAGGTGCTGTGGACGGTGAAGAGGACGGAGCAGACGTGGACACCAGTGCGGGGCGCTTTGTGCGCTATCAGTTCACTCCAGCCTTCCTAAAGCTGTGTACCGTCGGAGCGACGTAAGTAAATGGAGCGACGAGCTGCAGACGAGAGACGAATAATCAGACGTTACTGTTCATCCTTTTAAGAGTCGACCTGTTTGTGTGAATGTCTCCTCTGTCTCTGAACCGCAGTGTGGAGTTCACAGTGGGCGACCGGCCCATCAACAGCTTCCGTATGATAGAGAGGCATTACTTCCAGGGACGCCTGCTCAAGAACTTTGACTTTGACTTTGGATTTTGCATCCCCAACAGCCGCAACACATGTGAACACATTTACGAGTTCCCACAGCTTCCAGAGGAGCTCAGTAAGTTCTGCTCGGTTTTAATCCGCCGCCGCTGCTAACGAGCTATTTCCACCTATTAATCCCCATCTTCCTTCTTCCCTTCCAGTTCGCCAGATGGTGGCGCACCCTTACGAGACCAGATCAGACAGTTTCTACTTTGTGGACAACAAACTCATCATGCACAACAAGGCGGACTACGCCTACAACGGCGGTCTGTAACAGCTGAAGGGAAGAATGTGTGCAATACTTCCCAGAGGATTCATTTCCTGGATTACAACCATCCAGAAGCTTCTTCCTGGGGAGGCGGACAGAAGTTATTCCTACCAGCGTTCTTCAGAATCAGCGGAGCACGTCCGGGATCCATCCATCAGTACCTCACCGAGCTCCGGTTCTGGGCCTCCGACGAACGCTCTGTTAAACTGACGAGGATCACGTTACCGCTCCGACACGTTTGCCTTAAGTTTCTTGCCGTCTCTGCTGGAAAGGGACACGGACCTCGCACAGACTGTGTTAGTTATGACTTTACTTTAAGTATGTAGACGATATCGGTTGATGTTTGTTTTGAACTTCCTTCTGCAGTCGACTCTTTTGTGTTTCCGTTGTGGAACAGCGAGCGTCAACCAGATTGTTTTACAGTATTGTTAGTTAGAGACGATCATGTAGCGCTAGTTTGAGTTTCATTCTTCCTTTTAATATCAGTCAGTTAGTGAATCATCGTGACTCTTTGTGTCAGACGTTTAAAAGGTCCAGTGTGTATCTAGAGGTTGCAACTCCCTCGCTTCACCCGTCCAAGCCTGAAGGAGAAACAGCGTTCAATGTCCTACAGTTCAACACTTTTTATGTTTAGAGTTAGTTTAAAATAGAAACTTATTGGGCACCTGACCAATCCCAGTCCCTGACAGACAGTGGGATCAATAATAGATAAAAACAGCTCGTTCTAAGGTTACAGTTCCCGTATTCAGGTGATTACACACTAATGAAAACATCCCTATGAATATTATATTCCATGTCTGACAACAGATCCTCCTCAGTGTTACACACCGGACCTTGAAGTCAACCTTAGATTATAATCTTCAGACATTTAAAGCAACATTATGTAAGATTTGGGATTTGTTTGGGATTTGTTTGGGATTTGTTTGGGATTTGTTTGGGATTTGTTTGGGATTTGGTGCCTCCAGTTGTCCCACGGTGGTAAATATGGACAGATTATCTTTGCTAACACAGCCGAACGTCAAGCAGGTGCAGCAACATAAGAGCATAGCATGCAGCTAATATTACTAACAGCTGTCTGTCTGCAGCTTTTTATTTCACCAAGTTCTCACCAACGACTAAAAGCCAATCCCACATTCCTCTGAGGTGTCTGCCGTCAGCCGGGTCCACAGAAGCTGCTGAGCCCGGTTACGTTGCTCCTCCCGGTGGTTACCGGTGAGAACCATTCACCCTGTTACAACTCAACGTGACTTTAAATCTGTTATTTGAAGGTAGTAAAGTTACGTAATGTTGCTTTAATTCAGCACAAGCTGTCAAACATCCTCTACACTCTGGGAAACGTAGCAGCAGAGTTACTGGACCTTCTGCTCTCTTCATCCACTCTTAATCACGGTTGTTTATTCCTTCGAGGTCTTCCTGGTTTATCTGGCCCGACTGCGGCTCTGCACTCAGGTTCTACCAATCAAAGTACCACAGTAGCACAAAACAGGGCGACACTGAGCGGGGTCAGCGAGGGTTTATTTTATTAATGGAGGCTGTTTTCAGGACTTCAGTCCAACTATAATACGTTTAATTTAGATACAGAGGCAATTAAATGTTGCTTTTAAGATACATAACTATCAGAAATCTGCATTTTCACACGTCTGTTTGCTCAATTAATCGATTAGCTGTTCATAAAATGTCAGAGCAATGTTGATCGCTGTTTCCCAAAGCCCGAGGTCCACAACTCAAAGATATTCACTTTACTGTCACTTTATTTAAGTTACATTAACTCATCTGGTTTCACAGTGTAATAAAACAGCTGGCACATCATTTATAATCAATAACAACCCTCCAATAAAACATTTTATATATAATTATATCTGCTGAAAGTCTCAGTGTCCGCTGTGATTGGTCGGATCAATTCCTTTTGATTTTCACATTATAGAGAAATTAATAGAAATCAGAAATCGACCTGAAGGAACTTTTAACTTTTTATGTAATTTACATTAAAATCATGTAAAACGACAGAAACAGTCTTTACTGCACATTAACCTGGATTCAACGTGCCTTAAACCCGACGTTCATTCAGTCTGTTCATCCACCTGTGAGACAAACACCTGTTCACTGTCTCACTGTGTAGCCCGTTAACGACCCGTTAACGACCCGTTAACAACCCGTTAACGACCTCAGGCAGCCGCAGTGTTCGCTCTGTGATCCAACCTCGTAATGAACATTGTTACAGTATCAGAGGTTTGTTCAGTTATAATCTGGTGGTATAAATGCCTTCATAAGTGGGAACGCTTTGCACAAAAGAAACCAAGAACATATTGTGTAACCTGTTGATTGGACTCTTTTCATATTGGCTGATTTTACAAAATGTTCATGTTGATTTATTGTAAATAAAAATGTCTCAATGAAAAACCTGCTGCTCATTATTTCAGTGGATTATTATTTTCTGTGCTGTCTCTGTATGTTAACTGGATGGTAAACATTAGGCAGTAATCTGAGTATTTAACCTCTCCAACACCTTATTATGTTATATATTGTTTTATGAACGTATATTTACACGTTATCACGCACACAGTGTCGGAGAGCAAACTGAATGTCTTTGATAAGACATGAATATGGCGTCATTAGTAACACTGCGAGGGTCCGTGCAAATATGTCAAACACGGTACCAGATGAGCCTTATTTTAACGACTTTCTATAAATGTGTGGACCCGAGCTTTCAGAAACTTAATATATGACTTAATAATGATAATTTTAATAGTTAAAAATGCAAATTTTCATACATTTCCAGGACAGAATTCTAAACATTGGATAAAACCAGGTTCATATGTAATATTATTATTATGTGTTTCACAGAAAAAACACTAGGAAAAAAAACAACCCACATTTAGGACATTTATTCTCCCTTTTTACGATCAGACTACATTACCCAGAATCCTCGGCTGCAAACAGACAACACGAGCGGCACGTGTCTTACGATGGCGGCGGGCAGCGCAGAGATGGTCGGTGTGAGGGAGTCCAGCAGCAGCAGTGATGAAGAGGCTCTGAGGAGATGTCAGGAGGCGGTTTGGGAAAATAAACGCGACACAAAGAAAGGTGAAAGTCTTTATCTAACGGCGGGAAACAGACAGGACGTGAAGGTTACTGCGCAGACGCATAAACTCCAGCGGGAATGCGACAGGAACGTACGACCGAAGTCCGCTTAGAAAATGTCAGATTTAAGTTATTTCTACATGTCTGAGTTCATTGTTGGACTTTAGAGCTCATTAAGTTGCTGTAGTATCTTTCAGCCTGCAGGTTTTAACTTTCGGCACCAATAACAACATTAATTTAATTATCGATTAGCTGTTTGATCCCAAGTTGATCATAGCTTCAAGTTGACGTCCTCAAATGTCTCAGAAGGATTTGGAGTTTATTGTGATTAAAGAAACAGAAATTATTCACATTGGAGGAGCTGAAATCAGAGAAGAATGACTCTAAACAATTAATCGATTATTAAACTAGTTGCTGATTAATTAAAAAGTTGACAACCAGGGGCGTGACCGGGGGGGGGTTACAACATATCTGAATATAAATGGTTCTGTGGTTGTTTACAGACACTTTATATTAATATAATGCAGGTTTATATTTTATAATTCAGTATTTAATTAAATGTGTTTCAGATGGTGACACCAGTGTGCAGCAGTCAAAGCGGTGAGTCAATAAAACCACCGACTGTAAACTATTATTATTAGATTATTATTATTATTAGGAAGGAAAAATAAATAGTTTCTTATTAGTTTATTTTTATTTTTTTTTGTGTTTGACACATTAACACATTTTCTGTTTATTAATATTTTATTTCTTAGTTTTAATATGTGGTATAGTTTTAGTTAATTTTAGTCTCTTCTTACATTTTTATTTGTATTTTATTTAACTAAAATGTTTTTTTACACCTTGTTTTAATTGTTTGTTTAGTTTTAGTGAACTATAATTATAACAGTAATATAATATACAACATTAGTTCCAGCTACATAATAAATGTGCCGCTGTGCTTCAATAAAACTGTGTAAATTGGTATAATTATAATATATTATAATAATTATAATATTTGAATAAGAGAAATAAGTTTGTCTTTCTGTGACAGAGTCGTCGTCGCTGACCACGAACACGATGGAAACGAGCTCCAGGTCACCGCCGGGTTTCGAACACACGTCGCTAAAAAGTTAGGAAATCTTCTGGACAGGTGAGACAGATTTTATTTTATATAAAAGATAAACTTTAAACTTATTATAGAATATATAAAAATAAACGTACAAAGTGACCTTTAACTATAATATCTGTTCCAGTTTCATCACAGAGACGGAAACTTCCTCCTGCGTGGAATCAACCAAACGTGACGATGACGACGATGAAGGTCAAGTTCTATATGTAACTGATTCAATCAATAATCTATAATCATTAAACACGTCTGGATTTTAAAACAAGCTCGGCTCAGTCCGTTAGAAATCAAAATAATTTGTTCTTTTTCAGGCTTTCGTCTGTTTTCTACGTCCGTCCCCGGACAGACCGCCGCCGAGGATCTTCCCGCTCCTCCGCGGCGTCGGCCTGTTCCCAGCTCAAGGTTCTTCTTCTTTTGTGCTTTTAATTGCAGATCGGCGTGTTTATTGTTCAGCTAACATTAAAAATCTCTTCTGTTAGCGACAGCGACAGCGAGATGGAAACGAGGCTGAAGGAGGCGGCGGTGTCCATCAAAGATCTCTTACCCTCGCTGTCGTCCACGCTCCCGACCCCGGCGGCGGGACTTCCCCGCTCGGAGATAACGAAGAAAAAGAAGAAGAAGAAGAAGAAACCGGCGGAGGAAGAGGAGAGCGGCGTTGCGAAGAAGAAGGAAAAGAGGAAACCGGATGAAGAAGACTCCGTCGGTTCTCCTCCGAAAGCTCAAAACGACGGCGAGCGCTCGAGCTCCGAGCAGCAACACCTACGAGTCAAAGTGAAGAAGAAAAAAAGGCGGGAAGGAAACTCGGAGGAAGAAACTTTGAACTGAACTTTCATTATTTTTCCGTCTGACACAAACTTTAAATGGTTGGATGCTGATTTATTTTAGGAAACTGTTCACACCTGATATTAACATCTGATCTGTTCAGTCCGTTAGAGCCGATCCGGTTGTTCCGTGTTTAACCACGTTGGGAAATAACTACGTAATCAATATCTTAATGTGTAACATTCCCCGAATTTATAAGAAGGCCCAAATAATTAACAGTCTGTCGTAAATAACGTTTCACAAAGTTTATAAAGTCTCTCTTCACTCAGTAACTCTTAAATGGTGCTATTTTTCAATGGAGTCTGGTGGTATTGAAGTTAGTAGTTCACCCAAACAAAGAAAACTCACACCCGTTCCTGAAGTAGTCTTTAGTTTGTCGTCAGTAAGAGTGAAAAAGCATCCAAACGCAGTGACATAAAATAAATGCAGGTAACACGCAAGTTTCAACTTAATGTACAATTTCTGAATATTACAAAACATTTTTTTTTAATAAAAATACACGTTGGTGTTGATTTTCAGCTGATTGTCGTATCAAAAGTGAATCTTCTCTTAATCGCTGTTCGTGTCCCAGAGAGTCTTTATCGCCCCTGAACCCAACGGAGGGCAGCTGTCCAATAAAAGCCCCTCCAGCTGACGGCGAGGAGCTCCTTCACTGCGCCGTAGACACCATCTGTGTAGGAATGTAGGAGCCGAGGTCTGTGGGCGAGGGCGAGAGGAGGTGAGACGGGTGGCTGTCTGTCGTCTGAGAGGCAGGATACAGCTCCAGACTCCCCGAAGACGCTGTTCACAGGAAACAGAGAATCCGTTATCGATATCGTAACATCGACCGCCTTCATCCTGAACAAACTGGGCCACCGTGTCCACCTGAACGCCAACAGGTACGGTAATGACTGTGAGCAGTTACCTGGCACAGGTGTGTGCGGCTGCAGGTGCAGAGAGTCGTCTTGTAAAGGTGAGTCCGTCTGCTCCTCCGGATCAGTCGTTAGAATCTAGCTCAGAACATAAAACAGTTTTTATATTAATTGACACTTTACCGGCTGACCCACCTGACCCACAGGAACCCACCTGACCCACAGGAACCCACCTGACCCACCTGACCCGCATGTACCCACCTGACCCACCTGACCCACCTGACCTACAGGTACACACCTGACCCACAGGAACCCACCTGACCCACCTGACCTACAGGTACACACCTGACCCACAGGAACCCCCTGACCCACAGGTACCCACCTGACCCACCTGACCCACAGGTACCCACCTGACCCACCTGACCTACAGGTACACACCTGACCCACAGGAACCCACCTGACCTACAGGAACCCACCTGACCCACAGGAACCCACCTGACCCACAGGAACCCACCTGACCCACAGGAACCCATCTGATCCACAGGTACCCACCTGACCCACAGGAACCCACCTGACCCACAGGTACCCACCTGACCCACAGGTACCCACCTGACCCACAGGTACCCACCTGACACACCTGACCCACAGGTACCCACCTGACCCACAGGTACCCACCTGACCCACAGGAACCCACCTGACCCACAGGACCTACAGGAACCCACCTGACCCACCTGACCTACAGGAACCCACAGGAACCCACCTGACCCACAGGAACCCATCTGACCTACAGTTACCTACCTGACCCACAGGAACCCCCTGACCCACAGGTACCCACCTGACCCACCTGACCTACAGGTACCCACCTGACCCACTTGACCTACAGGTACCCACCTGACCCACAGGTACCCACCTGACCCACAGGAACCCACCTGACCCACAGTTACCCACCTGACCCGGACCCACCTGACCCACAGGAACCCACCTGACCCACAGTTACCCACCTGACCCACAGGAACCCACCTGACCCACAGGAACCCACCTGACCCACCTGACCCACAGGAACCCACCTGACCCACAGGAACCCACCTGACCCACAGGTACCCACCTGACCCACAGGAACCCACCACCACCTGACCCACAGGAACCCACCTGACCCACAGGACCCACCTGACCCACAGGTACCCACCTGACCCACAGGAACCCATCTGACCCACAGGAACCCACGTGACCCACCTGACCTACAGGAACCCACCTGACCTACAGGAACCCACAGGAACCCACCTGACCCACAGGAACCCATCTGACCTACAGTTACCTACCTGACCCACAGGAACCCCCTGACCCACAGGAACCCACCTGACCCACAGGAACCCACAGGAACCCACCTGACCCACAGGAACCCACCTGACCCACAGGAACCCACCTGACCCACAGGAACCCATCTGACCTACAGTTACCTACCTGACCCACAGGAACCCCCTGACCCACAGGAACCCCCTGACCCACAGGAACCCACTTGACCCACAGGAACCCACCTGACCCACCTGACCCACAGGAACCCACCTGACCTACAGGAACCCACCTGACCCACAGGAACCCACCTGACCCACAGGTACCTACCTGTCTGACGGTGGCGAGGCTCGTCAGCGTCCCGAGTCCACTGCTGTCAGCGATGACCATGGCCTGAGAGAGCAGGCTGGACGAGTGGTACTGGGGCGAGTCCAACTTGTTGTACACTGAAACGAGGGAACAGGTGAGTGAGTCTCCGCTCGCCATCGACCTTTTAAATCGTGACGCCGTCGCCGCGCTCTTACTATGACAGGGCAGCGGCGCCATGGTGGCCATGAAGGGACTGGCGCCCATGTGCCCCTGGAGCTGCTGGGATATCTGCTGCTGGGAGGAGGCGTGAAGCTGCTGCTGGAAGGAGATCGGCTGGAGGGTCGTGAACCCGCCGCCGACCGACTGCGGCTGCGTGGACGCCAAACCTGCCAATCAAACACAGCCGATCAATAGGGTCAGATTTTAAACTGATCGATATCAGCATGAAACTTCACCAGTTGCTTATTTATATCAAGACAATTATTTTTTGTATTACAAGTATTATGAGATTTAATGTTTAAATATGCAAATTATGTGTTTTCTAATTATAAACGTGTTATTTTTTATACATTTGCAGGATAGAAATCTGAATTTTTGCCATGTTTTTAGTAATAAAATGTGACATAAATCAGGCTGTGAATAATATATGAACAAATCCTTTTGTAAAAACATTCAGAATATATAGAGGAATAAAACTGGAAGGTTTGGTTTATGTACGAACTGCTGAACGAGATTTATTTATCAGAATATGAGAAAAAACTCATTCTGAGAAAACAGCCTTTATGTAAAATTCACTACAGGTGAATGGGGTCAAAATTTAAACTAACAGATATCAAATTAAATTATGTTTAAATATGCAAATCAGCTACTGAAGTGGAGATTTATCTCAGAATATGAGAAAAAACTGCTTTTAAATATGTGTTTTGTAAAATCCCAATTTTAGGCCATAAAATGTCTTAAATATGATTTGACAGGTATTTTTTGATTGATTGGATTAATGAACCTAAAGTTAAGTCAAACACACTTTCTTTGCCAGTATGGATGTTAAATGGTCTTAAAAGTGAAATTTAACCTGTTTTAACAAATAAATATCAACATTTTTAAGACAATTATTATTTCTATGTAAAGTTTTCTGAAATCTTATGTTTAAATATGCAGATAAAGATTATATAATGTTAACTTTATTATAAATCTACAGATAAAGTAGTGAAATAAAGTTTTCTTTTCTCTCAAACAAACAGAGGACGGCGAGGACGGTGGCGAGCCGGCGTTACCGATGAGCAGCGAGGACTCCCCCAGGCTCATGACGCCGGGCAGCGAGGCCATGATGAGGCTCTGCGAGGACGTGGGCGCGGCGGTCAGGCTGTGCAGCGAGGTCAGAGTGCTCACGGGGGGCAGCGGGCCGCCACTGGACACCTGAGACCAGAAGGTAAAAACACGGTCACCATGGCAACAGATGGACATAATGAACTCTGGGAGCGGGACGTCACCGCCACCGCCGCCGCCACTCACCTGCTTGGCGTTGTGAGTCTCAAGGAGTGTGTGGCTGGGCTCCAGTTGGACGGGACTGCCCACGAGGCGTCCCACCCGCTCGCCGCCGCCACCTCTGGCCGAGCTCACAGTGTCACACAGGAGCTGCTGGCTGTACTTCACACCTGCAGGAACAACAACAACGCCGGATTAAAACCAAACCAACAAACCATCCGGCGCAGTCTCTCGTCCAGGACGCCGGCGTGTTACCGTGCTCGGGACTCGGCGGGAGGTTGGCGTGAGAGGAGGTGGCGGACTGGTTGCTGTAAGGTGTGTCCAGAGCCAGTTTGTGACGGAACGCCTCCTCTTTACGGCGGTTGGCGAACCAGTTGTACACCCGGACCTCGGTGACCAGGTTGGAGCCCAGACCGGCGAGCTGGGAGGGAGACACGCCCCTCTGGAGGCACTCCGCCCTGGGGGAGGAAGAGTTCCCATTAGGTCCCTTTAACTGGTTCCCAGTGCTGGACGCTGGTTCCACCCTCCCACTACTAACACTTCATGGTTATTGAGATATTCAGTCAATGTTCTGAGATAATAAGTCAGTATTTTAAGATATTAACTCATTATTTGGTATATTAAGTCATTATTTGGTATATTAAGTCATTATTTGGTATATTAAGTCATTATTTTGGTATATTAACTCATTATTTGGTATATTAAGTCATTATTTGGTATATTAAGTCATTATTTTGGTATATTAACTCATTATTTGGTATATTAAGTCATTATTTTGGTATATTAACTCATTATTTTGGTATATTAACTCATTATTTTGGTATAGTAAGTCATTATTTTGGTATATTAACTCATTATTTTGGTATAGTAAGTCATTATTTGGTATATTAACTCATTATTTGGTATATTAAGTCATTATTTTGGTATATTAACTCATTATTTTGGTATAGTAAGTCATTATTTTGGCGGTATTGATCTTCCGTACCTCTGTCTCAGTGATCTCGGTGTCTCACCTGTTGCACTCCTCCACTAATCCCTCTCTCTCCTCCTTGCTGGGGTTCTTCTGCCGTTCGTAGGCGTGAAAGAGGATCTGCAGGGACGCCGGACCCCATTTGAACCGGTTCCTGCGGCCCTTCCTGACGTCCTCTCCCGGCTCCTCCGCAGACGCCAGGCCGTGTTTGGCGTTGGTGAACTCTGAAAGGTAATATACGTTATATATCTGTTATCTACCTGAGCCTCACACTCTCAGGTGAGTTCTGATCGGAGGACCGGGTACGTCGGGTACTCACGCTGGCTGATCTCGCACTGCTTCTTGACGTACCAGGTGTACAGCGCCGCTCTCTTCTGGTTCTTCATGGGCGTTCCCTTGTTCAGGTGCTGGGACAGGTGGGACTGGTTGAGCCCGGTGGACTCTACCACCTCTCTCTGAGGGAGGTTGTGCTGCTGCATGTAGCTCTTCACCATCTTCGCAACGTGCCAGGGATCCCCCCTACCGGACAGAGACGTCACATCTGTACCTGCCCGACTTACTGGTATTATTCTACATTTCTAATGTTTTATCTGATATTTCTAACAGTTTAAAGGACCAGTGTGTCTCTAACAGATCTTTTAGGTTTTAATCTGGTAGTTTTCAGATCAGTCAGATCCAGATAGAACCAGGATCAGGATCACAGAGTCTCACAGTCTTTGGACCTCCATCTGTTGGTCAAAGTAACGCAACAGTTCTTAACACACAGGGGAAGTTGTAAATCAGTTTGTATTTTGTTTATATTCATTATTTATATTCATTTATCTGCATTATTGTTTAGTTTTAGTTCTTTATTAGTTTTAGTTTTTGTTGTGTCACAAATTTGACCAAATTGACTAAAACTAAAGACATTTCCTGTTTATTTTATTTTATTTTAATAAGTAAACAGCGAGGTTTCAGTTCTTGTTTCTTCACTTTACAGTTTTTAAATATGATCTGGATCAAAGTTTTATTATATTTCAGAACCTGATCCTATAAAATTCGGCTTTGTTAATCCAGATCACATGTTGTTTTCCAGTATTTCCAAACTCTAATTATACTTTTGATGCTAAAAATGTGGATTAAAGGAAAACATAGAGACCAACGTTGTTATAGTTCACTAAAACTGAATTTACAGAACAAACTAATATCAAATAAAAATATCCAGGAAACGAGGAGGTGTTAGTGAATATATATTGTTTATAATAAAAAACAAAAATTAACTCTGAAACTAAACAATTTTAAACAATAATGTGCATATCAAGAATTTATAATATAATAATATAATATAATAAACTGATTATTACTGTTGTTATAAAATGTTGTTACTTTATTATTACAGATGGAGGTCTACGACTCTGTGATCCTGATCCTGATCCTGGTTCTGATTCTGGCTCTGATTCCATCTGGATCTGAATAATCTGAAAAACCTACAAGATCAGTTTCATCTGGGTGAGCTTACACATAGTTTAATTTTTTAGTTTAGTTTTACTTTATAAATCCACGTTGGATCATCCTGATTTGGGAAATTTAGAGTTTGTAAATACCCAAAAAACAACATTTAATCTGGATTCAGGACCTAATCCCATATTTTACCCCTTTCTTTAAGTACCAGATGTTGTTCTGTGGAGACTTTCAGATCCAGACTGATTACAAACTAATGAAAACAAACCTGAATATTAGATTTCTCACACTGGACCTTTAAACTCTGTCTATTATAGATCTCCACAGGCTCAGTTTGTCACATAAAGCTCAGAGGGAAGTGGAGAGCGGCTTGTTGACAGAGCGAGATAAGGGAGAGCACTCGGGGCCAAAGTCCGGCCCTCAGATCACTGGAGGGGAAAAACATGTAAAAGGTTTATGAAGCCTAATTTAACACTTTCTAACTGTCGGTGCAGAAGCAGAAACACACAGAAATCCTTCAGTTAATTCACCAAAATGTGTTTTCAAACAGACATTTAAATTAAAAACACACATAAAATGTCTGTAAAGTTTATTCCAAACGTCAGAAAACAGGTTTTAAAGATTGTTTGTTCGTAGGTAAACACAGCCTCTCACATGGCCCGGCTCCATTAATCTCCACCTGTGCACGCCGCCGCTTATTTATTAAGAAAAAAGGGCCCGAGAACAACGATGAGGGTGGGTAATTAGTAACTAGCAAAAGGAGGAACCCTCTTTAAAGAGAGAGGGAGGAATCGGTGAGTACTCACTGCAGGAGCTGGTCCACTTCAGCCCTCAGCTTGGCCGACTCCTCCGGGGAAAGCTTCTCCAGCTCTCGGTAGATCGGCGGCGGGAAGTCCATCTCCCCTTCCTCTGAGCTCTCGCCGCCGTCGCCCTTCTCGCCGCCGGCACTCGGCCCTCTCTCCCGCTCCAGCTCCCCGACGGCTTGCACCAGGACGTCCCGGGACAGGCCGGACCCCAACAGGGCCCAGATCAGCTGCTCCTGAAGGGCAGTCAGTCGGCTCGGCCTCCCCTCGGCCGCCGCGGGCCTCTCCTCCGTCCTCTCCTCCATTCGCTGTGACTCGCCTCAGACTAAACACCTTGTGCACGCTCAGACGGCGAGCAGCTTACGGCCTCATTATACTCGCAGTCCCCCAACTTCAGCTCCGGAGAGCGGATACTTTCATTTTCCCGTTCAATCTCCCCCCGACGTGTCCCGAGCTGCCTGGTGTTTCGCTCTCCACCTGCTGTTTTGCTTTCAAAGGTCAATTTTCTTTTTTTTTTACCTTCCTCCTCTTCACCCCCTCCTCCTCCTTACGAGCACCCTGTGAACTTTGTCCCCGCTCCCTCGGTCCCCAACAGCGACCAAAGTGCGGTTTAAAAGCAGTGAATAAAAGCGAAGGGGGGGGGACGTTACAGACACAGGTTTTATGTTTCCAGGTGTAAATATATTTCTGCTTCCACAGAGACTCACACTGAAGCTCCTCTCACACTTTTGTTTGAGTTGTTGGTGTATTTCAAACTTTAATGCTGAAGCACACAGTTAAAAATGTTAAAATAAAAGCGCAGAGCAACATATAAAGAAGATTCACTGAGCAGGAACATGATTGATGTGTCCTACGCGCCACGAGAGGCCGCCGTGGTGTTGTTCCTGCCTCTGAAGGCTCCGGTTTTTATCCCTGAAGCAAACACAGAGATCAGCACTGTGACAGCTTTTTAAAGTCAGTGTCTCCCATCATTTCAACTTTTTATCTAATAATTTTGTCTTTTTTCTAATAATTTTCACTTTTATCTCATAACTTTAACTAAACGTGAACATTTTTTCATTATCAAAGCTATGTTTTCATTTTATTTAATTTTTTTCTGGCAGAAATGGGCTTCCATACAAATCAGTAATAATACAAACAAACAGTATTCACCAGTTGTTGTTATTATTATCAGTAGTTTCACACTGTTCGATAAGTTTGGTTCAGGGATAAAAACTGGAGCGTTCAGAACTTTAATGATCAGGATCCAGGAAGTTCTGTAACAGCTGGTTTGATTAACAACATGTTGTCTGATGTTTATTCTGTCAAACTTTCACCTGAAAGTCAGTGAGATTTTATTTATGTAGCCCAAAAATCACAGTTTACCTCAGCAGCTTTTCAATCTGTACAACATTCAACATCCACGTGGGGGCGCCAGAGCTTCACAGGGGGCCACACGAGGCCTTCAGTCTCTGATCAACAACCTCGTCCTACGTTAGAAAACAACCAGAGAGCTGAACAATGAGAGGAAAACAGTGAATCTGTCAGAAAAGAAGAATATTAAGTCTGTATGATTGTTGAAAGTTATAAAAATACAGAATACAGACAGAGAACTTTATAAAGATATCAGGAAAACTCATCTCTGATCAATATTATAAGATATAATAACAATATATAAAACTCTGGTTTTACACAAACTTCCTGCTCTTATTGTTATTATTAAATATAATATGAAATAAACACAAAATATAGTCAGTTTACTCACTGATAGAAAGACTGCTGTAGTGAAGTAAAAGTATAAAGTATCATAAAATGTAAATAAAAACAAGTCACTGTAAATACAAATGTCTCAAACTGGAGAACTCGTTAATGACTATATATTCTAACACTTTGTATTAACTTAACAACTTTGTAACCTCTAGTTTTAATAAGTGCTACACAAGGTTATTATAAAGTATATTATAGTTCACTTTAGTTAATAAAAACTAACTGAAACAATATTGTGTTACTAAAACTAAAGTGAAATTAAAATGTACAGATTAACAATTTATGACATAAAAATGTACAAGAACTAATTTTCTTTGTATTTTTATATCAAATCCAATTATTGTGTCTTCCTCTTACCCTCCATTTTATTATTAAAAAACATTTTTAAACAATGAAAACTAAACCGAAACGAGGAAACCCTGAAAAATAAACTAATTAAAACCATAATAACTCTGATGCTACGTGAATAAAGTTATGTACTCTCACAGAAACATATGTGTACTTTCTAAATGTCACAAAGTGTCAATATAATGTCCATTATTGTTGTTTATTGTTGTTTTTAAAGCCTCTCTGACTTTATTCTTTCATTAAAGGGAAACTCTGAGCGTGTTTGAGCCTCCACATGTGGCTTTAAACTGTTTACACTTTGTCTTTATTTATCAGAATTGAAGATGTCTTTGTGCTCCGCCCCCGTTGTTGTCCGGAGTGATAAGTTGGAAGCGTCTCGGAGACGAAGGAGGCCAAACCGAATGGGAGAAAACCCCTTTAGAGAGTTAATGTCGCCCTTTATCTTTTCCTCCCTCTTTCAGTGTAAAACGCTCACTTTCTCTGCCTGGATCACCTTATACCGCTCTCAGGTTCGGGCCTATCAGCACCTTTTTTGTGTGGAGCTCTTGTTACCCCACCCCACCCTTGGGAAGATGGCATTATACTGTATTTGGAAGGGTAACAGAGCTCCCTCTATCTCCCTGAGACATGCCGCTGACCTGTAATTAAGTCCCATTGTACTATTCAAGAGAAAACTCACCACCAAAACGGACAGAGGGCAGTGTGTGTGGATTTCCAGCGGCTCAGATACCGCTGTGACTAATGCTCCGGCACACAGGCCGGGTTTATCAAAATGGACCACATGCAGCACACATTAGAGCTCGCATTCTCCCTCTCCAGAGGACTCAAAGCTATGTTGATTGGTAATGAGATACAATCCACACTGTCCATCTCTCATTAGTGAGCCATTGCTGGCTGCCTCTGTCTGTGTTCTCTCCTCCTCCTCCTCCTCCTCTTCCTCCTCCTCCACATCCCCGCCATTCAACCCCATTGATCATGCATGCAGAAATTTAACACACCCCTTAATTCCTGTCCAAATAGCCGCTGTCCCACTTCCAGAGCTTCATCTGCTCGGAGGTTGGAGGAGGGCAGTGCAGCGAGGACGGATATGAATCTGAATCAAACGTCCTGCGTTACTCTTCTTTAACCTCCTCTTCCTCATCAACGCTAACCGACGCTAGCTCCGGGTTTGGTTAACGTCTACAGCGTGGCTTTCGAGGGAGCTCACTCTCACGGTGGTTGCCAAAGTTTACACATAATCCACGATGTTACTGACGGTGTAGAGACATAGAGATTCAGAGTAAAACCAGCAGATTTCAGACCCTCCAGGAAGCTGCGATCACAACAATTCATGTAAAACCTCAATCTCTATGTCCGATCACCGCGACTTTTCTGCAAATTCAACCAATAATCGTAGTTTTCCAGCACGAACCGTCGACTCATACATCAGCAAACTCACCTGGTTGTTTCTAGAGTTAAAGATTCAAACCACCAAAATATTTTCCCTCCAAACAGTCGGTTTTATTCTCACTGGAACAAGTTGCTTTTGATTTTTAATGAATTATACAAAAGTTATCTCAGATTTTTTGCAGTGTTCACGTTCTCCCACAATTTCATCGCTAAAAAAAAAGGCTAAAAACGTCACAATTTTCAGAAAGGCTGCCATTAAATCAAAATTCTGGAGGCAGAGTATATTATTATTATTATATTGTCAATATTTTAGAGGCCTAAACCAGTTTAATTTCAGTTTAAATGCTCAGAACAGTTCAGAACCAGGTGTGTAGTAGTGATACCGGAGCGGAGCCGGTTCCCTTTTGGTGGAAAAGCCCTAAAGATGGGCCCCCGAAACCCTGTTTATAAGCAGTTCTAGACCAGCAGAGTGTCGGTTCTCTGACTAACGAACTGCAAACAACTGGTTGGAAATGATGGAACCGGCTCTGAAACCCTCGGTGGAACAGATATTCGTGTGTCTCCAGACTTTAAGCCCCAAAAACTTTTGCACCGAACTCCGAGGCGTTCCACTCTGCACCCGCCGTAAGTCAAAGCCGTCATTGTCTGCGAGCGGCTCAGGCCATTGATTGGCCTTCACATTGGTTACCAGGTCACATGTTGAGTCAGTGTTGAGAAGATTAGCCGGAGCTGGCTTTGGTACTAATTAAATACTTAAACCCCAGCAGTGAATGAGCACACAGCACACAAACCTCCTGTTCCACGGCGCCGGTGGACGCTGCTTTAAAACACCGACACACAGCGACTGTAGTTGATAGTCGGAGAGTCTGAGGGTGTTTAAAGGAGAAACAGTGGCCAAAACTTATAATTATAACAATAATAATAATGTTTGTTCATGCTCTGAGCTCTGCTTTTAGTTTTTTCTGCTTCTATAACGTGTTTCTTGTCTGACCAGTCGAACGAAAACGACTAAAATACACGTTTAAGTGTCAGCACCAGATAATGCCTCATTTGCATATTTAAACATGAAATCTCTGAAAACTTGTAATACAAAAAATAACTGTCTTAATGTAAATAAACAACTGGGGAAGTTTCATGCTAATATCTGTTAGTTTAAAATTCGACCCCATTCACCTGTTGTGAGTTTTACAATAAAGGCCGTTTTCTCTAAATGAGTTTTGTCTCATATTCTGAGAAATAAATCTCCACTTCAGAAGCTCTTACAGACACCAAACCTTCCAGTTTTATTCCTCTACATGTTCTGAAGGTCTTTACAGAAGGATGCGTTCATATATTATTCACAGCCGGATTTATGTCACATTTTATTCCTAAAAACATGAGAAAAATAGATGTTTTAATTCCTGACAAACTAATGTTGATTAATTAATGTAACTGTGCAGTCAGAGCTGATGTTTGGACATTTGAGGAGCTCATTAGCTGCAGGTTTGTTCCTGTAACTATAAATTCTGCCTGTTGACACTTTATCGGAGGCGGAAATTGCGTAAAGTCGGCAAGAATGTGACAGGAAGTTGGGAGATTCTGCCTTCACAATAAATGTTTGTCACTTAGAAAAAGCGAGGACCTGGTTTACCTGATCAGGTGCATTTTGGTGTTCTGTATTTTTGCGTACGCTCACATTGTTTAACAGAATGTCTTTAAAACAGATTTCTGTCTTCAGTTCTGCTATCACTGTTATTTTATCTATAGATTGATCTGTTTTCTTTTCTATTGATTGTGTCTAAAGTTGTAACTGGTTTGTTTGATTGTTGTATTTTATATTATTGTGTCTCGTACTGTTTCTGTTGTTGTGTTTGTTTTTAATGAAATATTCTCCTCTGTTGGCCTTATTCTAATTTAATCTGCCTTCCATGGTTTTTATTTATTCTTTATAACATTAGTGAGAAAGATGCTGTAGTAGTTATTATTTTGTTATTATAAATATTATGTTAAGTAATAGTCGTAGCAGTATTATTATTATCATTACAGTATTAGCAGTACTAGAAGTATTATTGTTGTTGTTATTTTTATTGTTATTATTATTACAGGAGTTGTAGCAGTAATATAATTATTACTATTGTTCTATTATCTTATTATTATTATTATTATTATTATTACAAAGTACTATGTAACATTGTTAAGAAAGATGCAGTCATAAATGCATATAATTTTTATAATTTTAATATATTACTATTGTTATTATTATTACTATCCCTGATTATAGATATAATATAATATAGTTAATAAAACTCATATGGTCACTTTTGTCTCTAAAAAAAAAAAACTCCACCATGTGTTTTATTTTGAAAGTCTGCAGCGGAAGCGGCGTGGTGGTCTGCCGCGCATTGATGTCTGTCTCTGTGGGATGAGAGGAGGAGGAGGAGGAGGAGGAGGAGGAGGAGTCTCTCCCAGCCTTGCATCTGGCCCGCTCCCCTCTCTGTCACCCCGGGCCAAACCCGCCCAGATCCTCTCACTCACTCTGCGCCTGTTCTCCCGCACGGCACGGCACGGCTCGGCTCGGACGGTCACAGTCACTCACGCACACAGCGAGGACGCGGAATGGAGACGGAAGGGAGCCAGAGCAGCCTGTCCGCCACGGACTCCCCGCACGACCCCTGGTAACGCAACAACTTTTATTTACAGTTAAAAGTCTCCAGTTTGCCTCCGGACCTCTGCTCCGTTAAATCCGCTGTTTTGTGAATGGAGTCTGGTGCGCAGCCGCTTCACACACCTCCAGCCTCCAAATCAGAGCTGCTCTCTTTCCCTCCAGGGTTGCACTTTTAAAACCTCAATAACAAGTTTTTATATTCATATATAAAAAAATCCGTCTTTTGTGAATTTATACATTTGTTATATTTTATCTCTTGTTTTTATTTTTTTCTCCTCACAGCAAAATGTTCATAGGTGGACTCAGCTGGCAGACAACTCAAGGTAAATCTGTCTCCAGCAGCAGCTCATAAAATCACAGTGTGTGTTTAAAAATCCTGGCACAGATCAGATGGGAACTTGTGTGAAAAGACGTATTTCTTAATTTTCCTGTTTGCTTACATTGAATTTGTTTATTTGCTTGTTTTTTTAAAAAGTTTTTGAATGTGAGACTGAATGCACCCATTCAGAACTCCATAAGAGGAATGAGTGATTTAAAAAGAACTCCTGAAATTTGCTTATTTGTGTGTAATTTTAGTGAAAGATATGATATATTTTAACAAAAGAATACAAAGTTTTGTGAAACCAGAGTTGCTCTATTAAAAAAAGTTATCTTGTTTTGTCCCCCCCCCCCCCTGCAGAGGGTTTGAAGGAGTACTTCTGCAAGTACGGCGAGGTGAAGGAGTGTATGGTGATGCGAGATCCGGTTACTAAGCGCTCGAGGTGAGGGAGCTGCGAGCCCGGCTTCCCGAGGACGGGGGGAGGAGTGGGGGGGGGGGAGGCACACGGAGCTGAAAGTTTATCTGACCTCCGTGATTCCTCCCCGCTCATAAACGTATCATTACATGTCAACATGAGTTTTCTGTGTCACTAATACCCCCCCCCCTCTCTTCCCCGCCGTCTGCAGAGGGTTCGGATTCGTCACCTTTGTTGATCAGGCCGGCGTGGATAAAGTTTTGGCCCAAACCAGACACGAGTTGGACTCCAAAACAGTGAGTTCTCTGTGTTTTATTCCTCGCCCCCCCAACTCAACCAACCCCAAACTACCAGCAGCTAATCCCATCGCTCAGTGTTTGATTAGTGGATTTTCCAATAATCCGCTGCAGAGGTGTCACATTTGTTTGCTGATGTTTCCTGAACGTTACAATAAGATGTGACGACTCCAGAAGTTTCCTGAGTTTGGGAAACAAACTTCCTGTTGCTCTCTCCATGAAGTCACCTGAACTTAAAATGTATTAATGTGTGTGTGTGTGTGTGTGTGTGTGTGTGTGTGTGTCTTTTTGTCAGTAATGAATGTGGGCCGGTTTGGGAACAATGTGGTCGCCATAGGGACCGCTGCCCCCGCCTCTCTCCTCTGTGGGAGTGGTGATGGCTGCGGGTTAGTCACTGTATTGAAATGAAGGGGAGGCTATTTTCTTCTTGTTCTTCTGTTTTCTTTTTACCCCGTTTGTCCTCCGAGACGTCGGAGGGAAATAAAAACAGGTTGTTTGTTGCAAGAAAACAACGATTTTACAATAATTCTGAATCTAAAATGAGAGTTTTGTTGAGGTCAAACGTCCCCCGGCGCTCCTGCTGCTGCTGTAGTGTCACTCGCAGGCACGACAGCTATGACAAGTAGCGCCATCATGGTTGGACGCCACTAACTCGCCATGGGGTTTGTTTCCATAGTGACCTCCTCCCCCCCCCCCACTCTTCTTTCACAGTTGAAGAAGAAGAGTGGCTCTGTCACAAAACATAACAATACATTTACAGTCTTTGGGAATGAAGACGAGGTTATGATCCTGATCTTAAGGGAATTCAACGGAGGATCCTAAATTCTGCTCCTTCACTTGGGTGTGTCGTGGCGTGGAGAGAGGGAGAGGAGGGGAGGGGGGGGTGCTCAGTGATCAGCCACAGGGGTTGGATGGTGAGTAGAGTAGAGGCCTTTTTAGCCGGCTCACCCCCCTCCCCCCTGGACGCAGACAGGTTATCCTGTTAGAGAGAGAAAAGTTCTCCAGTGGCAACAGAAAGAATGTGCCATGCTGTGACCGACTGAACCGACTCCGCCGCTGGAATTAACCGAGCCGAGAAAGAGCTAAAGAGCAAATACGGTTGCTGCGGAGGAATTTATTGGTGCTGGTCGACCCGAAGAGAGACCAGAACTGTGATTTATGTTCCCCACCTTTTGTAGGGGGACAAGGTTTCCATTCAACCGCAGCTCGGAGGAGAGTTTTTACAACAAAGTCACACAGTTGTAACCATTTCCACGCTGAGCAGAGTGGAAGGAGGTTGGGAGAGGAGGGAGAGGAGGGAGAGGAGGGAGGATAACCCCGTCCTGTGATTAGCGTGGCTCTGCTAACTAATAGGATTGGAGCTTGTTCCTCAGAGATGTCGAGCGCTGCCCAATCGGCACGTTGACTCGAGTGTGCGTTCTCGGCGCGCTCGGCCAACTGTTGCATAGCCGGGACGTAGTTGGTCAAAGGGGATTGCCCTGATTTCATAAACCTCTCTCGGACTTACGCTCAGCTTCTCCCCCCCCCCCCCGTTCGGCCTCCTTAAAGTTACTTCACACGTCTTCTTATGTGTGTAAAAAAACAGCCTCGTACGAGCAACATTAAGAGATTAATGAGAATATTGGCTGTTTCTATATAGTTAATATTAATGCCTGCAGCCGGGTCGGATTCCTCTTGAAATCAATGAAACGTGGCGGTAGAGACAGTACCACCTTTGTCCACAGGGGCCGCCAGAGTCAACACGAAATTAAAACTCCTTGTTGCAGCTTTAAAGCTCCAGTGTGTCACACTGAGGAGGAAATATAATATTCATAGGTTTGATTCTTTCGTGTAAAAATCGTGTGCATTGCAATATATTTTTTCCCAACTCAATATCGATTCATTGGCTAGTGGGGCCGCGGTGAGCAACAGCTTTGTGTGATTTGCGTTGTACGGACGGAGGCCGCACTCGACCACACAACAACAACAACAACAACAACAACAACATGGCAACCGAAGCAGGTAGCAGCAGTGTTAAACCAGCGCCTTCGACTTTAAAAGCAAACACATGGCGGAAGTCTCCATCCCGAAGCTTTTAAAATTATCAACAGGTACTCTAGATAGGGTATTTAATGTTTTTCACAAGTTTTGGAGCCACCGTAGTTTCTCCTACATGCTTGGAAGGGGAAGGTGAGGCGAGGGGTACTCAGTTGGTCGCAGTCTCACCACTAGCTGCCACTAAATCCTCCACACTGGTCCTTTAAAGATCCTCTACAGACAGGTTTTCTGACCTAAAAGCTTTTTTGGAATATTAATTTGAGTCTGGAAAAAAGTTCAATAACTTTAATTAAAAGACTCGAAATTATCCAGAAATATATTTTATTCTTCGTTCTCAGTGTTTATTTATACTGGGCAAATTATTCGGTCCCCTCCAGACATGTTTTAGGACTTTAGGAGGGTTTCCAAACTTTTTCCCCAGATTTGTGTCTTAAAGGTCCAGTGTGCAGGATTTAGTGGCAGCTGGCGAGGTGGTTGCAGATCCTCGCTTCACCCCTCACTCTTTCCAAGCGCGAAGGAGAAACTAGGGATGCTTCAAAATGCACAAAAAACACGAAAGTCCTTTTTAGAGCCGGTGTGTAATTTGTCCGCTCTGGGCTACTGTAGAAACAAGGCGGCCTCCACCAGAAGAGGACCCGCTTCCTCTGTAGATAAAAACATTATAAGGTGATTTTACACTAATAAAAACATACCTATTAATATTATATTCACTCCTAAATGTGACACACTGGAGCTTTAAAGAGTATTTTTATTTATTTTTAGGTTTGAAGATTCTTCATAGTCCATTAATTATTAAACTAAGATCATTATAAGCTACATTTCTTCCCTTGTTGGTCCAACTTCCCGTTAGTGAAGCTCTGATTGAGTCTGTACGAGTGCTGTCGTACGTCCTCGCTCAGGTTAAACCCGAGTCGGTCATTTTACCATCCAGGGGAAAAAAGGCGGCAACAGAACAATGCTGGGAAGTAGCACGGTCCCATTTCGGGGGTTAATAAATAATCATATCGCTGCACAGTCACGTGAACTCGTCGATACCTGATAAATGACGTTTTATACGTATTGGAGGAGTTTCTGATTCTGATATTAAAACAACTGTGTGTATAATTTCCACCTTAAAAACCCCTTAAACAATCATCTATTCTCATTAAAAATTAAATAATCTATGAAATATGCAAATGTTTTTCCTGCCGGACACAAGATGTCTCCTCCTCGGTGTTTATGATGTCACAAATCCCGCTCATAAGCCCCGCCCCCTTTTAAAATCAGATGTTTAATGAGCACAAACGAACTCTGCCTGGAGGGAGAGGAGCTTTAAACGTCAGGTAAGTACAGAGAGACGTTCCCCTCCGGCGGTGAATGTGAACGTTTTAATTGATGCAGCCACTTTATCTGTTTAATATCCACAGCTCCCCCCCCCACCCACACACACACACACACACACACACACACACCCAACGGACGAGCTGTGTGCTGCCATGTGTTTGATTCTGTCTGTGTGTGTGTGTGTTGTCTGTTTTTGAATGTGCACAGGAGTGTTGGACATCAGGAGGGTTGGTGACCGGAGGTGACTATCAGAGTAGTCTAGCCACCATTATTAGAAACTAAACAGTAGACTCTGCATCTGATCCTCCAGTCTTAGCCTTTTTAGTCTTCTCACTCTTGCTCTCTAGAAAACAAACAGATTCAAAGAACAAGAAAAAAAAAAAAAAAAGCAAAATAAAAGTTTGCGGTGACTCAAGTAGAACCGACGCTCTGGTAAACGCATGTGGTTTACCATAGAGGCTCTAGCTCTCTACTGTAGTTCAACTCTACCCTCTCATGGTTACGGACTAATCTTAGCGCTGTACTGTCTCACCATCTGTTAGTGTAACTGCAGTACAGTGTGGAAGTAGTCTAGTTGTTCTCTAGCTCTGTTATAGATCAGTATAGACTAATATAGAGGTCTCAAATTCCAATTTTTACAGCCTGTCTATGATTGCATCCTCGTGGCATGGTGTGGTTCTCTCTCCAATCTTATCTTTGGTGAAGCTCGGTGACGTTTACGCACCAGTTTTCTACTTGTTTCTTTCGTAGTTGTTAGTGGTGAGATATCAAAAATACTGCTTAAAAAAAAGAAGCTTTTTCCTGGACGTAAGGACGACACGATGAGCGGCGCTCAGAGCTGACAATCGAACGCATTACAGGTGATTGGCCCCGATCCGCCGGTCCCTCTCCTTCCTCGCCGTCGGGGCTCGGCGTGGAGGAAGGAGAGCTCGAGGTGTGTGTGTGATTGTAGCGTCTGTGTGAGATTCCAGGAGATCACATGTCACATGATGGTGACGAGAGAGGCAAAGGGTCCGCCGGACATTCCCGGGCTTTCCACCTGAGACACACTCACATCAGGTTTTACCCCTGTATGTGTAGTAATGTGTGTAAACTCATCCACAGTAAGTTTATTTAAACGTACAGTCTGTACTTTCTGCTGTTGGTGGCGGTCGCTCACGTCAATAACAAAAGAGGAAGTTTGGTGGCAGCAAAGGATCATGGTTGTCTCCCGGTTAGGATTCCTTCAGTGTTCATGGTTCAGGAGGTTTCTACCGGGAGCCCAATGATCCACAGAGGTCTCCTCCTCTCCAACACAAACAGACCCGCTGATTAAAACCACTAAACACACCGAATAAAGCTATTATTATTATTATTATTATCATTAATCCATCAATCATTTTCTTCATTAATAGATTAGTTGTTTGGTCTCGGAGGCAGACAGAGTGTTTAATAGTGGACTGATTGGTTTGCTTTCACCCAATCGTAGCGTCATCCATCAGTTTATGGAGAACCGCTGTGAACACTCGAGTTCGTCGCTATGACAGTTTGTTGGAGCCAGCGGAGGTCACGTACTGCGAGTTGAGCTGCTTTCATTGGCCGCACGGCAGGAAACTATGGCAACAGAATCTGGATCCATATCTGATCAGCACTGTTTGACAGTTTGATCTGAGTTTGGTGCGTTGAGCTGGACGGACTCACTGAGAATGAGCTGTCAATCACAAGGTAGCCCCGCCCTAAAGCATACCCTGCTTTATGGTCTGTTTTACTCTAAATGGGACCATCAGTTACTAAATGAACATCATGCTGTATGGAAGAAGACTGAAACTAGAGACTGAGACCAGAAACTCATCAGGAAACTGTTTACTGAGCTCATTAATCAACTGAGAAGTCGACTCATTTCTCCATAAGATTCGATACTATCAGACTTTTATGCATGCAGATAAACTGGTTCAGGGTTTGTTTCTGAATAGTTGTTGAGTTTAATACACAGACAAAGACAGCAGAGCCTCCAGGACACAGTCAGGACGTGCTTACAATGAGTGTGTGTTCAACAGTTACACTTTGTTTTCCAGCCTTTTAAAAAAAAAAAAAAAAAAAAACAGGTTTCTGCTCTCTTTCATCGCTGCTCTGTGCCAGGCCAAGAGGAGGAAAACATGGATTTAATTGATCATTGATTAGATGAAAGATGATGTGACAGGTGGCTGGTTCACCTGTGTCGCCGCTCTAACCCGCCCTCCTCTCTCTCTGTCTGTATTCTCTCCCGCAGATCGATCCGAAGGTCGCGTTCCCCCGCAGAGCTCAGCCCAAGGTGAGTGAAACCTCCCGAACGGTAGCGTGTGCATTGTTCGCGGCAGGTTAGTGTGTGTTTCTCTATCGGGGCTAATGCCTCGTAATCTGATGAACACAGGCGGCGCTGACATCACTCAACTGTCATGTGATCAGGTGTTAACAAAAACGTTCACAACTTTGGAGACGCTCGCCATTGTTGGAGCTCCCTAAACGTCCGTATTGTGTTTCAAGTACGCTCTGTCCCGAACGACAACAACACGGAGTGAGAGAGGACTCGGTGAGTGAGGAGTGCGAGCAGAGAGGTGTTAATAACGTTCACTGCAACCGAAAGTAACAGTAAAGTAATCTGTGATAGAGCTGCAACAATCCTGGACACTATATTTCTACTGTTATATCAAAATCCAATCAAATGTAATCAATCAACTTTTATCGACACAGAGCGAAGATTCATTTGAAATTATACGCGACTCCCACTTTGAAAACCACCACTAATCAATCAGTCGATCGAAAAGAAGAAAATATTAATGATCGATTTATTGTTGAAGTCATTTTTAAAGCATAAAAGACCAACAATGCTGTTTCCAACCTCTTAAATCGGATTATATCATATTAAAGTTTGTGTTTTGGACCAAACTAAACATTTAGAGACATTAACGTTGGACTTTATGAAACTGGGACGGATCAGAAACAGATCAAACAACGAACTAATGAATCTGGAGACTACTCAGACAGATCAATAGAATGAAAATAATAGTTAGACGCTGCTGTTAGAAAGTTAATTTCTCCGTCTTGTCACAGAAACTGTCGCTCTGACAGAAAGTGGAGGTGATGTAAAATAATCTGAGGTGTGTCCAACATAAGAAACATTAATCTGTAAATCAGCAAACATCAAACAGAAGTTTTTATCTGTTCAAAGACCAAATTAAAGTTCTTCACCTTCACCTTCACCTGTTCTTTTAAATATGTATATTTAAAGTATTTTAAGTATTTATGATCACTGTCTCATTTAAGAGCGTAAAACAAAACGTTACTCAGTGTTTTTACCTTAAAAAACCAACTGTTGATTATTTATTGAGAGCAGATAACTTTTATTGGACCTCAGGAAGAAGAATGAGGAAGTTTCAGGATTCACAAACTTTTAATCAGAACTTTATTATCATTTCATTAAAAATATACAGTAACAGCAGTTATAATTCAGAATCAATAATACTTTATTGATCCACAGGGTCAATAAGATTGTTAAAATATGTGCTTTAATTACAATATATAACAACAATATATACAGAAAATAGAAAAATAAAACTAGAAAAACAACATAAAATATAAAACAAATAATAAAATATAAACTACATAAAAGAAAAATGTATACAAATATAAAGAAATAGAAAAATATAAACAAATATATATATAGAAAATATTTTTTAGAAAATATATATAATAAAGTATATATATGTATGTTTATAAAGAACCATATATTAAAAAGAATGTTAAAACAAATCTCAAATGTATGATATAAAATATTAAAATATATATCAATCTAAAACATGTATATAATATATCTCTATATATTAATGTGTGTTTCCTCCTCTTGCAGTTAGTGACTCGAACCAAGAAGATCTTCGTTGGAGGCCTGTCAGTGAACACGACCATCGAGGACGTCAAACAGTACTTTGACCAGTTCGGGAAGGTGAGCGACACATTTTACGTGTTAAAGTCTCGGGGACGTCGAGGCCGTCGGACGCCGTATCGACGCCATCGATCAGAGAACTGAAAAAAAAAACCTTTAATGCTTTAACTGACTTACACGAGTCGGTGTCAGGCGGCGGAAAACAAATCAACAGCTTAGAGAAAAAACCCACTAACCAGCAGCAGCTCGGCCGAGTCTGATTCACCGCAAAGTGTCTGAGAAAAACTTCACTCGGAGGCGAAGGGGTTACTGCGAGGAGAGGGCGAGAAAAACGCTTGGAAGGGAAAAATAACGAGGCTGAGAGGCTCCGGGGAGCAGCAGGCGAAGTTAGGGGGGGACTTGAAGAGGGAGGCGGCGTGGTGGAGGGTGGAGGGTGGAGGGGGGGGAGAAAAGTTTTGTAGTGAGTGTGTGGTGATGGTGAGGAAGGAGGAGGGATTATCAGAATCTGAATTAATCTGATGTAACAGCTGCTCCTACCCACAACCCCCCTCCTGGCCCGTTACCGTGGTGACCTGGCTTTGCCCATTGTCCCCAAGTAATTCTGTGGGTAAGGGGGTTTTGTTCTGAAGGAGGAGGGATGTTCGGGGCAGGGTTGAGGAGGGTGGGGGGGGGTGTTAGCATGCAAGTGTTGGGTGCTTGAGGGGGGGCAACTCAGGAGTTTAAGTCCCCTAAAAAAAACTTCTTTTTTAAAAATATTTCTACTTAAAAGTTGTTTTTCCGGCGGCTCCGAGAGACACGAGGACGGAGGACAGATGATGGGCTGACAAAGGAGAGAGGGAGGGCCCCCGATGGAGGGAGGCGTAAGGGAGAGAGAGAGAGGGGAACTGGGGCAAAGATGGGGTGTGTGTGTGGGGGGGGGCTATTATGCCTCAAACAAAGCTACACAAATATTTAGTTAGTTTGTCCAGAAGTTATCTGCATACTGTGAAGTTACGAGTTGTTACACATTAAAAATAAAAAGCAGCAGCAGGTGGATGAAAACTTTTCAAAGTCAAACAGACGTCGTGTTTTTCTTATTTTATTTCCGACTGCACTTTATCACCACCCCCCCACTCCCCCCCCACTCCCCTTCACCCTCAGCGCTCTCCCTCCTCAATCATAACGTGGAGATGAATTTTGGGCCGAGAGAGATACCGAGGGATGGACGGTGAAATGTAGGCTCCAGCCATCCATGGAAGTTCCTGATTAGACTGCCTCACTGGACCTTTTGTGTCCCGTCCTGGTGAGGACAAAGGAGCGTGGAGAGGGATGGGCAGGGGATAACAGGGAAGATGAGAGGTGGGAGAGGGAAAAAAAAAAAAAAGGATAAGAGGGAATATTGTCGCCGTTAAAAAGGGCCAGTGTTTGAAATATCGAGCAATGATGTGCGATAAACTCCAGTTTTTAGACGTTGTTGTGACGCGTTCGTCTGTTCGGGGTTTTTACTGTTTGAGCTCAAGCCCCGCCCCCTTTATCGCTCTGTGCACCAATAAGAGTTGAGCAAGAATCGGTCAACTTCCTCCTTTCCTGTACTTAGATATGCTACGTGCTAAGCTAATCTATGTTGGAAATACAACCACATTTTAAAGACGGTTAAAAGTTAAAAGCAACATATAGTCACATTTTAAGTTACGTTTGCTAACTGGTTTCTTTATTTGTACCCGAAGGTAAATTAATACAATATAATATATAATAATAATAATAATAATAATAATAATAATAAAAGAAAAACTTTTATCTTTTAACAATCTCCAAAATGTGATTGTCTTTAGTAGCTGTTTCATAAGCCCCGCCCCTTTTTGGGGTCCTCCAATAACAGTTTCCTGTATGTAGATATGCTACGTGCTAAGAGACAACCACATTTCGAAGATGATTAAAAGATAAAAGAAACATTTATCTTATATCTTATCTTAGCAAAACCTTAGCTAACTAGCTAACTAATCTACATGAGGTAGCTTAGTGCGCTAGGACTTCGTTATAGAGGAAAACACTTGCGAACTAGGTAGCTAATTACAGTAATTGTTAGACAGTAGTTACATCTGATTAACTTTTTATCTTTTTACCATCCTCAGAATTAGATTAGCCTAGCACGTAGCATGTCTAAGTACAGGAAAGGAGGAAGTTGACCGAGGCTTTGCTCAACTGTGATTGGAGCACAGAGCACGGAGGGGGCGTGGCTTATGAATCGATGGTTAAAAGCGTTGCCGATCAGCGAGCTTCCTGCCGTCGGTTAAACGTTAAAAAGCGACGAGCTGCAGAAATAGAAGCTGAACATGTTCGTCGGGCTGGAAGGAAGCAGCGACTTTAAGAGTCAACAGGTCTCCTTTCACACTGACACTCCTCACTCACCTTTGACCTTTCTGTAGGCACACTGCCCTCGGGGGTGCGTGTGTGTGTGTGTGTGTGTGTGTGTGTGAGACAGATTGTTCAGTGGACCATATCCAGTAAACTTATTATAGACCGAGAGCACAGATTCATTTACCGAATGTTTATTTGGACCTCCGGAGCGTAAACATGTCGGCTCGGAGGAGGAAAAACAGAGAGCGGGAACATCAACTCTGACATAAGAAACCCTGTGTGTGTGTGTGTGTGTGTGTGTGTGTGTGTGTGTGTGTGTGTGTGTGTGTGTGTGTGTGTGGGGAACAGACACCTGTGTCTTCGCTCTGTAAAGGGAGGCCGGAGGGAGAGGTCAAAGGGAGAAGAAGAGGAGGGAGGAATTATGGCCGACTGTGCCAACAAACAAAGCCTCCAGGCCTCTTTGTTCTCCCTTTGTCTCTTCTTTCTCCTCCCTTTCCACTTTGACCCAATCTTTTCCTCTCTCTCTCTCTCTCTCTCTCTCTCTCTCTCTCTCTCTCTTCCAGGACTCTCTGTGCTCTCTTTCTCCACCTGTCGCTCTTCCTCTCTCTATCAGCTCTCCTCCTCCTCCTCCTCCCCTCTCTCTCTCATCGAGTCTCCACCTGCCTACAGGATTCACCTTTCTGCTTGCGACTGGTTTTCTGTCTTTGTCTCGCCGGTTGTTTCACGAAGGCGTATTTGATGTTTACGCTGTAATACAATAACTTATTTTAACTAAAGAAAACTTAACATTGTTGTAAGTAAAAGAAAGATTATTGATTGAGAAGCTACTGGATCAATGAAAACTGAAAGTTTAGTTACTTAAAGTTTTGTATATAATCAGTAAAAAAAAAAGTTATTTATTTATCTGTAAAAAATTTTAAGTTCAAAGATTCCTGATTTAAAAGCTACTAATTAAGTTAGTTTTACTTAAAATGTTTTTTAAAAAAAGTTAAATTAACTTATTTGGTTTTACAGTAAAGTTATTTTAACTCAATATTTTAAGTTATCTAATGTAATTACATCAAATAAGCAACACAAATTCAAAAAATACTATTGATTAAGCAGATTTTACTATTACTTTTAAGTGACAACAACTTTTATAAGTTACAGAAACTTTTTCACTTTTGTTTGTCAGTGTCACCTAAAATGACTAAAACTACTTGTTAAAAAATTTTTTTTTTAAGTTAAATCATCTGTTTTTAACTCAAAACAATAGTTGAAACTGAAACATTAAACATTTTAACAACCACAAACTCCGTTTTTAAAGTTAAAATCACAAAAACTACTTGATCAAAAATGTTTTTCTTAAAAAAATTGAGTTAGTTTTACCTAAAAAACTGACAAACTTAAAGTTAAATGAACTAATCTGGTTTTTACAGTGTAAATGGACTTTTTGTACAGTTGCCATGGGAATGTCAAACTTTGGAGGGGAGGCAGATTATGGTCTGTCTCTCTCTCTCTCTCTCTCTCTCTCTCTCTCTCTCTCTCTCTCTCTCTCTCTCTTTTGTGTGTGAGGAGGGGTTGTGACCAGGGTACATACAGTATTTCCTCCCTGCGTTTGCCCCCTTTGGCCTCCTCTTTGTAACCTGTCGCTCATCTCCTCCCCTCTTCCTCCCCCCCCCCTCTCTCCTCTCTGTCCATCTGTTGCTGAGCCTCCCTGCAGAACTTGAGAAGGGCTGAGGTCAGGCAATATGCCGCGTGGCAAGAGAGCGAGCGCCGCCTTAAATAAAAAATAAAAAAACTAAAACTTGTGTCTCTCTCTCCCCCGTTCGTCTCTCTCCCCCGTTCTTCTCTCTCCCCCGTTCTTCAGGTCGACGACGCCATGCTCATGTTCGACAAGACCACCAACAGACACAGAGGTGAGACGAACTTCCCTCCCCCCTTTTTACATCTCGATCCTCTTCCTCCAGCTCCCTCTTTCCACGCCGTCTATTGATCCCCCTCCTCCCCTCCTCCCCTCCTCCTCCGCGGGCCTCCTTCCTGTGGGCTGAGCTGGAGGAGACGAACGGGGCTAGTCTAATTAGCCAGTCCGTTAATCTGGATCAGGATAAAGCCTCCTTAAGCACCTCCTCCCCACCCTGGGACTGATCGATTATGACAGCCTACCAGCTTTGCCCGGGCCTTCTGGCCGAGAAGGGAGGGAAGAAAGGGATGAGTGCAGAATAGCAGCATTGAAGGAAAGAGGGGGGAGGAAGGTGGTTGGCGTTGGAGGGGGGGGTGTTAAGCGGCTATTACAGCGCCGATTACTGGAGACTATTAGCTGCACAGAAAGGCCCTACTGTCTGAACCCGCCGTGCTTAAACCCGCCTTGTCCTCGCGCAGGGTTCGGCTTCGTGACGTTTGAGAACGAGGACGTGGTGGAGAAAGTGTGCGAGATCCACTTCCACGAGATCAACAACAAAATGGTGAGAGAGAAAATAAACGTCCTGGAACGCCACGGCGCCGGTTTAATAAACGGGCAGTGAACCTGATTTTTGTTTTCGTGTGTTGAACAGGTGGAGTGTAAGAAGGCTCAGCCCAAGGAGGTGATGTCCCCCACGGGCTCAGCCAGGGGGCGCTCTCGTGTGATGCCCTATGGGATGGACGCCTTCATGCTGGGCATTGGTATGCTGGGTAAGGTAGTATTGATCAGGACAGGAAGGATGTGGCTGCACGCGTGAACCCGATGAGGCTGCAGCTGCCTTAAAGGTCACGTGGTGCCTTGTGGCGGGCGGCGGCGGCAAAAGCTGACCACTTTAACTGCACTCAGCTCGATAAACATTTTATATTCAGTGTTTAAACCTAAAGCAAATATATTTAAATCACTAAGTAGCCTGATTACAGGATGTCCTGTCGTCTAAAAACCTAAAATTCAGAACTACACTACAAACAACATTTAACACAAACTATTTACATTAAAACTAAATAAATACGGAAGAACCATGAATGAATTATGGTCTTTTTAGCAGCTAACGTGGTATTAACCCCGAGGACAGTCGTCATTAACGTCATTAAAACTCTTTAAGATCAAATCCTCATTTATATTGTTCCAATAATTAACAATTTATGACAAAAAACAAAATGTGTCACCCGTCAATCAATCTTCAACTTTTAGCGACACAGAGCGAAGATTCATTAGTTACCTAGCGGAGCTCACTGATTACTGTACAAACACAACTTTATCAGAGATTTGGGTGAAACTGGATCAGATTTTATGGAGAGAATATTCTCTGGTTTTCCCTCCGACGTCCTCCGCTCTCTGGTAATGTAGCTGCCGTCAGCATTAACAACTGAACGAGGCTCAGCAGCCTCAGTGAACCTCAGAGACAGACAGAGGACGGTTTGTACCAACAGTTTCTGACTACAGTCAGTAAAGTTTGTCTATAAACTTTATTTTAAAGCGTCTTTACAGTGTGACAAAGAATTACGTGATATATACATAATACATAAACTTACTGTGGATGAGCTGATGTGGTTTAATGAGATAAATACAGATATTATTATTAAATTAAATCCTTCAAACCTAAAATTAGAAAATTACATTTCTAAAATATGATTTTTTTTACAGGTCTTAAACATGTATTGGATTAATTAACTAATATAAAGTTGTTTGAGTCCTCTCACACTTTCTTTTAGGTTTGTTTTAGGGAACAATATCATATTTAATATACAAATATTATAATTAATCATCACATCCATTTTCCTTCCTATGCTTCCAACTTTTTTTGCCTATTTGGACATAAAATAAATAAATAAATTGGGTCCATAAAGGTCTTAAAAAGTCCTGCAGAACCTCTGATTATAGTTTTACTTATAACCACGATGATTAATATGTTATAAAAGGTTTAATGTCACATTTAAATTAATTTATTGTTGTACTTGCAGTTAGTTTTGGGACAGCTTTATAACCCCTTATAGACCTTTTTCACAGCAGCTGTGTTGGACATTAAATAGTTGGGTAAACACAGGTGTTACAGTGATTCAGTTACATCCGTTCCACCTGTGTTTACCCAACTATTTAATGTTCAAAACAGCTGCTGTGAAAAAGGCTCATTATTAGACGTTCCTAACCCCCACCCGATGACATCACTATGACGTCATCGGGGGTTATTTACAGTATACAGTTTTTCGGGGGTGAGATGAGCGTTCGGGCCCTTTAAGGTTCCCGATCCTCTCGCTGTAGAGTCGAACTCGTTAACTGGTTTTAATTGAGCTCGCCAGTCGTCAGCCACGCCGATGCTGCCACCTACTGTTCAGACTGAGAACTGCAGCTGTACGTCAGAGCAGAGGATCACCGACCCTTTTTCTATCAGTACGACTGTATTTAATGTTTATTTCAGATTATATTCAGTAATTATAATAACTACAACAGCAGAGAACAACAAACTGCAGGAAGTTTGAGTAACAGCAGAGATTTTGATGAACTTTGAGCTGATTATTTCCTCTGAATATTAATCAGAGACAAGTTTTACTGATATTTTTTAAATAATTCTGTCTGTATTTATGTATTATCTTTATTTTTAACACTCATACAGACACAATAAGCTTTGTTTTTGACAGATTCAGTGTTTTTTTTCTCATTGTTCGATCAGCTCTTTGGTTCTTTCAACTTAAATAATAAAATAGAAAATAAAAATAAGAGTTTCCGCCACATTTAAAGTAATTAAAATATATTAAATTAGTTCTAATAGATGAATCGGGGGGGTTGCAAGGCCTTCATGATTTTAAGGGTTGTAAGAAAACTTTATCTCGGCAAAATTTCTGTGAAGAAAACTAAATTAAAATGTTCTTTTTAAAGATTTAGATTATTATTTAACTGGATGAAGAGCTGAACATTAGAAAACAACCAAAGAGCTGATAGAACAATGAAAAGAAAACACTGAATCTGTCAAAAAAGAAGAATATTAAGTCTGTTTGATGGTTAAAAATCATAAAAATACAGAATACAGAAGAAAATTGTATAAAAATATCAGTAAAACTCATCTCTGATCAATATTCACAGGAAATAATCAGTTCAGAATTAATCCAAATCACTTGTTTCACACAAACTTCCTGCTGTTATTGTTATTATTGACTATAATATGAAGTTAACTCGCTGATAGAGAAGGAGTTCCTTAAAGAAAATTGTTGGGAATATCTGGATTAGAGGATATTTTAAATAAATAAAATACATTGAATTAGTTGTACTATTATTACAATCTGAATGCTGATCTGAGGTCAGTGAATAAAGATTAAATCTGTAACAAACTGAGAGTGAAACAGAAGCTGCTCCAGATTCAAACCAACAGGTGTCGAGTTTCACCCACCTGCAGGTCACACGCAGTACCCAGACTCCACAGATAGGGGGCAGCACAGCCACACACCTGTTCCTGTGTTTGACTCTGTGTGTGTCTGTCAGTGTGTGTGTGTGTGTGTGTGTGTGTGTGTGTGTGCGTGCGTGTCTGTGTGTGTGTGTGTGTTTGCAGGATGTTGACGGCGGTCTTTGTGTTTCCTGCAGGTTATCCGGGCTTCCAGACGGCCACGTACACCAGCCGGAGCTACGCTGGGATCACTCCTGGATACACCTACCAGTTCCCTGGTAATCACACACACACACACACACACACATACACACACACACACACACACACACACACAGACAGTGTGACACTAAAATCATCCCGGTTGTTCCTGGTAGCTTTAAATCATCTTAAACTCACAAAGTCTTCCAGGTGTTTGCTGACGAACTTTAAACTAATTATAATGTTAAATATTAATAATATAGGTTAGATTCTTATTATTATTATTATATTATTATTATTATAAGCTACCAGGAACTACTTCTTCTTGTTTCCAGCTCTTGTGGAGGCTGCACAGTTTACAGTTCGTGTAGCAGGTAGTTTAGTGTGTGAGCATGCACAGGGGCGGATCTAGAGGAATATTCACGGGGGGGCCAGTCCCCTCTTCCAGAGGCTGTAACGGGCTCCGTTTAAAGATACTGGTATTATATAAAACTAGAAGAACCAACACATCCATTGGCGAAATATTGGGAAAACTGTTCTGGTCATTGAAAAAGGTCCATTGACCTCTGACCTCAACATATCTGAATGTAAATGGGTCAAAACAGTCTGGACGTGCTCCAAACAGAATCTAATCAATCACATTAATCAATATTTGCTGAAGATATTTGAACTCAAACACATTCTTGTGGCACATTGAGTGACGCATCGAATAAAAGGTTTCATTAGAAATCAACACATTGTTTTATTGACACTCGTTTTTCACTGAATTTAAGTCTCAAATAAAAAGATTTGTTATTTTTTGAAGTTGAATTTGATACTAAATCTAACTGAGTCAGGAACAAAATGCTGGACGCTCTTCTATTTAACGCCGTCAGCAAAAACAATAAATGAAAGGATGATTTTGGTGTCAATAATCTTATTTACTGATCAATAAACGTTGTAGTTTGTGTGCTGAACTGACGGAGAGACACAAATACAAACATGTTTCCATAGAAACACGAGAAAAAAAACACTGTGAGTTTAAATGGCTGCTTGTAAATATCAAGGAGTGGATTCACAAAGTGTGTGTGTGTGCGTGCGTGTGTGGTGATTTAAGGTGTGTGTGTGTGTGTGTGTGTGTGTGTGTGTGTGTGTGATTTAATGCAGTGTGTGTGTGTGTGTGTGTGATTTAATGCAGTGTGTGTGTGTATGTGTGTGTGTGTGTAATCAGATGTACATATATTTTTATATTTTATGATAAAAACTGTCACATTTTCTGTTTCTTGCTCTGTATTGATTTATAACTCCTCTCCACGGACTGTAAAACCTTTAATCCCTGTTGTGTGCCGATGTGGACTCTGCAGACCTCCAGGTGTCCCCCTTTACCTGTGTGTGTGTGTGTGTGTGTGTGTGTGTGTGTGTGTTCTTGCTGGCGGCGGCGGTGTGTGTCTCACAGCACTCTGATGTTTCTGTTTTAGAGTTCCACTTAGAGAGGACTCCCCTTCTGACTTCACCCCACCCCCCTGAGCTCACAGGTCAGTCAGTCCCTCCTCTGGACTTTACAAGCAGCATGTGTTCAGGTTCTGGTTCTGCATGTTTGTGTTTGTCAGTCGGTCGCTATCTGAAGGTAGCGAGGAAGGTTTATCCGCTCTGAAGTCTTCCTCCAGGAGACCTCCTCGTTTTTTATTCCTACTTTTCTTTTAAAAGTGTTTTCCAGAGAGTTCCTGAGGTCCCTGGAGGGAGACTTTAAGTGCTGTTGTTAGTTAGTGGTGGTGTTGTTGTTTGTTTGTTTCTTTGTTTGTTTGTTCGACGCATTTAATCCGGATCTCTTGTGTTCTGTCTCTTCAGCGATTCCTCTCACGGCGTACGGACCAATGGCGGCGGCGGCGGCGGCGGCAGCAGTAGTTAGAGGTACGGACGCAGTGGTCATACGTTAAATATACGATGATATTCAGAGTTAAACAGAACTCAGAAAACCTGAACAAACACCTGGAAATATACCGCTGTCGCACCGTGTGATCGGATCCATTGTAGGTTTCATGTTTTCCCCCAAAAACCTGAAAGAAAAATGTGACAGTTTCAGAATATCTGTGCTTGTTTTTAAGGTTTAACTTCAGCTTCAGTCTCAAAAACATGGATCATATTTCAGGAAATATTCTGGTTCCAAACCTGATGTTAGTGGTTTTAATAATTATTAAGGAAAACTGCTCATTGAAGCTCAGAGCACTTTACATCTGCACTGTCCAATCTTTTTAAGTATTATAAGTAAATATAAAAAACCAGAAACTGCACAAACAGATTTTTATCTAAGTCAGTTTAAAGTAACACTTTAAACACTCTTTATTCTTTTAGTTTAACAACCCGAGCAGCTGTAACCAGTTTCTCTCCGGGGATCAATAAAGTATTTCTGATCTTTTCCAGTGTTGATTTCTAACATCTTACATTTGTTGTTGTTGTTTATTTTGCCTTTAGGCTCCACCCCGTCTCGCTCAGCTGGATTTTTAGGTACGAGCAGCCCGGGGCCGATGGCGGACCTTTACGGGACGGCCAGTCAGGAGTCGGCGGTCAGCAGTTACCTCAGCGCTGCGAGCCCCGCCCCGAGCACCGGATTCAGCCACAGTCTGGGGGTGAGACAACTGCCTGCTTTAATATTATATTTAAATTCCTTGACGTACATCTGCTGTGTTGTGCCCTGTTTACGCCCTTTCTGGGGCAGCAGTAGAGCTGTTTCCAGTTCAGGGCAACTCAAAGGTTCACCAGTGTTGCACAATTTAAAAATGATCCTTGTTTATGTTTAATTTACATTTTTATTTCAGTTAAATAAACTTATTCTAACCAGTTTTAATGAACTATAATAGGCTTTACCCTTCCTCTCTCAGGGCCCTTTGATCGCCACGGCCTTCACTAACGGCTACCACTGAGAGCGTAAGTCAGCTCCCCTTACTCTTCATCATCTTTATCTCACGTACATGTGAAGTCCTGTGAATAACCTCCCTCCTCTTCCTCCTCTTCCTCCTCCTCCTGTGTCAGTGCGGAGCTGCAGACTGAGAGCTGGAAGGAGTTGAAGCTGCTTTGGAGCTGATCTGGCCTGCCTCTGTCCAGCCCACCTCTCCGGCCGGGGGCAGCTGAACCCTCAACCCCCTTCCTCCTCCTTCCTCCTCCTTACTCCTCCTCCTCCTCCTCCTCCTCCTCTTCCTCCACCCTGGTCCCGGAGTCAGCCTGCACCCAGCCGACCGAACCTACTGACGCCTCACTAAACTCCTCCTGAGAGAGAGAGACGAAGAAAGGAGCCGAAGTGTGTATCACTACATGTAATCGCGACATGCTGTATTGTTAGTGTTTGTTTTGTTGTTTATTTTGTGATTTTCTTTATGTGTTTGGTTTTTTTTGGGGGGGGGGTTGATTTGACCTCTAAAACCTGATCTCTCTGAGATTAAAACCTCCAGCTGAAGCTTGTTTGAAGGTCAGGAGCTGTAATTTGTACTGGAATGTATATTTGTCACTAGTTCACACTGAATTTTAACACAAACATTTTGTGATTAATCTCGTTTCCTGTCACAAACTTTATATCTCGGTAGGTTTTTAACACTAATAACTCGCAGACGACGAAGGTCATTAGTCACAGTTACACACATGAGCTGTACAATTCTTGTAAAATATTGTAAATATGAGTTTTTTTCCGGGGAGGGGCTCCGCTCATGTTTGTGTCGGGGGAGGTTACAGTTTCACGCGGAGGTCGAGCACATTGGAGCGGCGCCGGTTACTGCGCTCCTCTCCGGGCGTTTCACTGAACGAGAGGCTGGAACAACACTTTACTTTTTTGGGTCGGGGAGGGGAGGGGGGGGATGTTTGGGTGTGAACTCGCTCCTCTGTCGGGGGGGCAGAACGCTGTTTTCTTACGTTGTCATATTGTTGTTTGAACTTTTGTGTTTGTGAAGGAAAATGAAGGAGCACAGTGGATGTTTGTCACATGGTTTCATACACACTGGGGGGGGAGGGAGTCGGGGGGGGTACCTCAGTTGCAAATGTGAAATTTTAATCTGATTTTTTGTTGTTGTTGTTGTTGCATTAACATCACGTGTGGATGGTTGAACCTTTTAGAAAGGTGGCTTCTCCAACCGGATGGGGACGGTCTCCTGCCCCGAACCCTCACTGCGTATCCACTGGAGGTCTCAGACTGTAGCAGCTACTTTTAGACCAAAATGTTCAGAGCTACTAGGATGTTGCACGATAAATGTTAGCTTGAGAACAAAAAGCACTCTGGATCCACCAGGTTTTACATTTTGATACTCGCTCACACTGCTGCGGGCCGCCGACGGTGGCTCCGACCCTGATGCTGTTTTCACTGAAGAATAACAATCTTTGTCGACACTGTAACATTTTTCTGATTTTCTTTTTCCTGTCATGTTTTATTCCTTTGAAGAAAAAAAAAAAAAACTTTTTAAAATTCCTAATAAATTATTTTAAAACATTCCATTTATGTGTCCGGTTTCACTTTGTTTTACACATTCAGACTTTATTCTTTTGTATATTTGCTTTATTATTGACTCACTAAAAGGTCTGAACACAATATTTATTCAATAATTGTCATTTTTTCTTCTTTAAAAATAAACTTTCTATCTATCTTAAATCTACTGAGCTTCATACTACGACTCCCCAACACACCTTATTTTAAACAGTGGTGTTAATATATTCTACTGATTCTATACTAATTTACTATAAATCTATACTAAATCAATTTACATATGTACTAAATTACAACAAATATGTCCTAAATTACTATAAATGTTTTAAATGACCATAAATTTGTACTAAGTCACTATACGTGTGTATTATATTACTACATGTACTAAATTACTATAAATATGCACTAAATTACTATAATGTGTACTAAATTACTATAATGTGTACTGAATTAGTATAAATGTATAGTAAATAACATTTTGTTCTAAATAATATAATTTTGAACTAACTTACTTTAAGTTTGTAACAACTGTTATACATTTATAGTAAATTACATTCAATATAAAGTTATGTGAACCAGTAAAATGTAATTTTTTCCTGACACACTATATCAGTAACAATCAGTCCTCTGTGTCTCTGCTGGCTGATTTCTCTCTTCCATCATCACTGCTCCGCTGCCTCGCCTCCCTCGCCTCCCCCTCCACCCTCCCTCGCCTCCCTCACCTCCCCCTCAACCCTCCCAGTGTCTCAGCTCCACTGCCTCCCCTCCTCTCTCCTCTTACTGTCTCTCGGCACTGTCTCTCGGTCATGAACACCAAGCCCTGGCTGGACGGGAGCTCCGACCACCTGAAGAACCGGGAGGCTCAGGAGATCCCCCCTCTGAGGAACTACCTCTGCCTGACCATGTTCACCTGTTTCTGCCCCGCGTGGCCCGTCAATATTGTGGCTCTGGTTTTCTCTGTGCTGGTGAGTCACACAGTTCTGGTTCCTGTTGATGAACACTTGCAGAATAAGACACTTTAAGCTGCACGACGTTGAAATACAGAAATATATATTATATATATATGTGTCACTGCTCCTCGGCAATGGTGTTATTCTAATGTATTCTCTGCTTGTACTAAATTTATACTAGTTCACTATATATTTCATACTAAATTACTATATGTCTATTAAATTACTATAAATGTCAATTAAATTACTATAAATCTATACATGAAACATATAAATGAATGTAAATGTGTACTAAACTACTATAAATGTGTACTAAATTACTATAAATGTGTACTAAATTACTATAAATGTGTACTAAATTACTATAAATGTGTATTTAACTACTATAAATGTCTATTAAATTACTATAAATCTATACATGAAACATATAAATGAATGTAAATGTGTACTAAATTACTATAAATGTGTACTAAATTACTATAAATGTGTACTTAACTACTATAAATGTGTACTAAATTACTATAAATGTGTGAATTACAATAAATGTGTTTACATGAGGGCTGGATTTAAAGCACATTTAGACCTAATTAACGTGTTTTGTCAATATATTGATCGAGTAGCAAACATGTTATTTAACACTACAAATGATTTATAGTATAAACTGAATCTGATGAGATACAGAAAAAGCCTCCTGATCAAATCTATTTCCAGTTTGTACATAATGAATTGATCCCAGTGAGTTTAAGTATTGATCGGAGCAGCACACTCAGGTCTACCAGCAGCTGTTGCCTCGTTGTAGCTGTGAGTAACAAGATGATGGTGGTTGTTTGTGACGACGTTGGCTGCAGTGCAAATATGAATTAGAGATGAGAAGAAAAGCAGCTGCAGGCAGAGAAATGTGGATTCACAGCCAGAAGATTATAGTCACATTGACACAGACGGTGGAACCAGTTTATTCTACGAGTCCCGAACTTATACAAACATCATATATACATTTATATATACTGAAAATGTGTCGAACTTCACTGATTGATCTAAACATATGCTCGATTAAACGCGATAAAAGTAGTGCTGTTGAGATAAACGCCTTTTCAAACCTCATTCATTTCCATATTTTCCAGTACTTAGATATGCTACATGCTAAGCTAATCTTCGTTGAAAAGACAACCACATTTTGAAGATGGTTTGAAGATAAATGTGACATATATTTATGTTAATTGTTAGTTATCAGCTGTAACTAGCTATCTAACAATTACTGTGTTTTGCTCTATGACAAAGTGCTAGCCTGCTAAGCTACCTCACAATTGATGTAGATTAGTTAGCTACTTAAAATATAACTTGTTACAACACGTTTCTTTTATCTTTTAATCATCTTCAAAATGTGGTTGTCTTTTCAACGCAGATTAGCTTAGCATATAGCATATCTACATACAGGAAACTATTATTGGAGGACCCCAAAAAGGGGCGGGGCTTATGAAGGGCCCATGGATGAATATGTGAATATATGAGTTAGTTAGAGCTCTATTTTAACATAAGAACTATTGATTTAGAGTGATTAACTTTGACCTCTCGCGCACCCTGTAGGCCCAAAGGAGCTATGACGAAGAGGACTACGACGGCTCCAAGCGGCTCGGTCGGAAAGCTCTCCACCTGGGGATCGTCTCGTTTGCTATTGGCCTCGTGATCGTCACCGCGCTCACCGTCGTGCACTTCACTGCGGTATGAACGCTCCACACAAACGATACCAAAACCAACGTGAGGAAAGAATGAACGTGCTCCTCTTCCTCCTCGCAGCAGGTGGCGTGAAGCTCCTGAGGAGGAGGTGAAGCTGTCGTGGAGAGGTCAGATCCTCCATGTGAAGGCGGTCGGTTCGGGGCCCGGCGTTAACAGCTCTGGAGGATCAGCTGGTTGCAGCTGCTGTGTTTAAGATATTACAATGAAACTTTTAATAGTTTTTTGTAATTGCAAGTTTACACACTGTATGTCTCTATGACAGATTGTTTTATAATATTAATATGTATGTTTGTCTGTATTAAATATATATTCTCTAAGTAATTTCATGGCTTAAAAATCATGACCAGTTATTTGACCTATGACCCACAAAATGCTGTCTTTGTATTAGCATAAACAGATTTATAGGTAAAGTGTCTTCTTCCTGACAACTTCTAATTTATTACAATAAATAATCTGTATTTCTTATTGTTTATTGTTTTGTGTATAAAAAGTTGAAATAGATGAGTAATTAATCATTTTAGTATTATTTTGTGAAGTTGAACCTACAACATATTTATTTTATTTTTATTTTATACTTAAAACTAGTTAGCACTAGCACAGTAATATGTGAACTATAATCAATATCTGCTCCGATCAGCTCAGCTAATAACACACAGATGAAGTCAGTAAAAGTTCCCCAGGGGAGAAAATGAAGATTCCCTTTGTTTTAATTTCTACTTTGTCCTGAAATTATCCAGAAAACAGGATTTACAGACACTGAAACTTCAGTTTACTGGTTTTCTCTAAGAAAGACTGAAGTTAGTTTCTGTGGTTTGTCTTTGTAGGGCGGTGTAGTTTTCACTTAGTTAAACTTCATGGGTTCGTTCCCCCGTTGCAGATGTGGTTGTTCTGCCACCGTAGTTTGAGCTGTATCTGAAACTTCACCACTAGATGTTAGTAAATCCTACACACTGGTCCTTCAATGATAAAGTATTAATAACTTTATCTGAAATATTGCTCTTTCCTGTGAATGTTGTGGGCATAAAACATGTAAAATAAAAGGTTTTACTTACTCAGAACATGGTCTGATAAACAAAACTGTAAATGTATAACAACAATGACACCATCCATATTTCTGAGGGCATCAATGCGATATAATAACATTAATACACCCTGAAGCAATAAACAAATGGTATGCAGCAGCAGTGGGTTTCATGATCTGTTTCACCATCTGGCCTCAGTTCACACCCATCTTTTGACTCCGGTTGCAATTTGTTGAGTCTGGGCGATGGTGTACTCTGATATGTAACATTAACGCTGTCACGAGGCTAAAAATAGAGTTTATAATCCTCCGGCTGCGCTGTGATCCAGCACAATAATTACAGAGAAAATAAAAGTTTAATCACCAAACTCATCAAGGAGGAGCTTCCCCGACCCTGGAAGCACCTCCGCTAACAGGGATCCACTTTCTTCTGTGGGTTTAAACAATGTTAGAAGTTGCAGCCGGTCGCTCTGTCGGGCGTCCAGCAGAAGAAAAGGTGCCAGAACATTTGTGTCGAAGGGAGGAACCGATCAGCACCTGCTAGTGAGCTGGCGGAGACGACAGGGAAAGATTGAAGATCTAAAAATGTAGTGAGGATGAACTGGAACCGGCAGTTTGGACAAAGAGTTTGACAACTTTAAAACCCTTTTTTGGTGAATTAGCTGCCAGGAGCAAGTCGAGAACGTGTTGGTGGACACAAGCTGAAGTCTTCTTTTCTAGAGGATGTTCCCAGACCTTCTTTTGACTGGGGTTGGCATTAAGTATCAGCTTTCCAGTCATTCCCAATTCATGCCACACTGTTTATGGACCCCAGTACACATAAATATTCACATACACTCGAAGAAAATAACACATTTACACCAAAGAAATGCATTTTTTTTAACATAAAGTGGCCATCTGTAAAGAAGAGACTTGTTTGTTCCCATAGAAACAACAAAATAACTAAATGTAGCCCCACTTTGCAGCATTGTTTAGATACCTTCACGACATGCTAGCATGATACCAACTGAGAATGAGCTGTCAATCACAAGGTAGCCCCGCCCTTAAGCATACCCTGCTTTATGGTCTGTTTTACTCTCAATGGGACCATCAGTTACTAAATGAACATCATGCTGTATGGAAGAAGACTGAAACTAGAGACTGAGACCAGAAACTCATCAGGAAACTGTTTACTGAGGGAATAAATCAGGAGACAAGTTGGCTCATTTCTCCATAAGACTGAATGGTATCAGTTTATATTGCAACCAGTGGAGCTGCCCCCTGCTGGACATTACACAGAATGCAGGTTTCAGACACTCGGCTATGTATATGTTAATTTACTGAAGCAAAATAAACTACATTAACTGACATTAAAGGACCAGTGTGAAGGATTTAGACTCCACCTAACAGATCTTCCTCAATGTTTCACACCGGACCTTTAACTGACCTTCAGAGGTTGCTTCAACCCTGAGAGGAGTGAGTTTGACCTTTCCTGAGCTGAAATACTGATGACTCTTTGTTGTTTTATTTTGAGTGTGTACAGTGAAACTGGAGAGCCGTGAGAACGACTCAGAGAAATCAGTGTTTATTTTACTGAGCTGTACCAACTGTATTCAGGCCTCTCACTGAACCCACACAGATATATATTTAATATAGGAACCATCTGTTTATTTACTGTGTGACCTTTGGGGGTCCACGATCCTCAGGTTGGGAACCACTGAGCAACATCGCTCCCTCTTTGTGATATTCTCAGGTTTATTCTTAAATAATCTGCAACAATCGGGTTAAACTTTAACTCTCCTGAGCTCGACGATGTATGGAAGCACATAACTGTCAATGTGACGGGAAAAAAGGACATATATTCTATTCTATGAGAAACTGTCTTAGTAAATTACTTAATATCTCAAAATATTGACTTAATATCTCAAAATAATGACTTAAAATCTCAAAATATTGACTTAATATCTCTAAATAATGACTTAATATCTCAAAATAATGACTTAATATCTCAAAATAATGACTTAAAATCTCAAAATATTAACTTAAAATCTCAAAATATTAACTTAAAATCTCAAAATATTGACTTAATATTTCAAATAATGACTTAATATTTCAAAATAATGACTTAAAATCTCAAAATATTAACTTAAAAGCTCAAAATACTAACTTAAAATCTCAAAATAATGACTTAATATTTCAAAATAATGACTTAAAATCTCAAAATATTAACTTAAAATCTCAAAATATTGACTTAATATTTCAAATAATGACTTAATATTTCAAAATAATGACTTAAAATCTCAAAATATTAACTTAAAAGCTCAAAATACTAACTTAAAATCTCAAAATAATGACTTAATATTTCAAAATAATGACTTATTATTAAAATAATATTAATATAAATATTTATATAATATTTTTTAATTTATCTCAAAATATTAACTTCAAATCCAAAAACAACTTAAAATCTCAAAATAATGACTTATTATCTCAAAATATTGACTTAATATCTCAAAATAATGACTTAATATCAGAAACTATTGACTTATTATCTTAAAATATTGATTTAATATCTCAAATAATTACCTAAATATCTCAAAATATTAACTTAAATATCAAACTAACTTCAAATCTCAAAATAATGACTTAATATTTAAAATAATGACTTATTATCTCAAAATACTAACTAAAAATAAAAAAAAATAATAATATTAAAAAAAAAAATATTATAAAAAAAAAAAAAAAAAAAAAAAAAAAAAAAAAAAAAAAAAAAAAAAAAAAAAAAAAAAAAAAAAAAAAAAAAAAAAAAAAAAAAAAAAAAAAAAAAATCTCAAAATATTAAGTTAAAACTCAAAATACTAACTTAAAATCTCAAAATAATGACTTAATATTTCAAAATGAAACTTATTTTCAGAATAGTAACTTAAAATATCATAATGACTTAATATATTATATTCAAATAATGACTTCTCAAGTATCTCAAAGTCATTATTTGTAGATAATAAGTCTTTATAATGACTCACAGGCTCCTTTTGTTTCTCTCACATTGGCACTAAAGAGCTTCCATAAACTCAGGAGGCGGAAGAGGTGTGTTTTGTTCTGCACACACACGCACGCACACCACACACACACACACACACACACGCACGCTCTCGGACGGTGGAAGTTGGGCAGTGAATAAACGCAGCTGTTGTCTGCATTAAAGACATTAAAGACATTAAAGAGTGAAAAGAGGTGAAAGAGGACAAAGCGAACATCAGCAGCCCGTTAATCGGAACCCTGCTCCGCCTCATGGTCGCGGTTCCGGTCCGACAGCACGGGAACTTCTCCGGGTTCAGACGCGGAAACAACAGCGAGGATCGAGGCAGGTTTTACTCCCAGAAAGCCTCAAACAGATGAAGACCAGGACCGAGAGCTCCGGGTGATCAGACTGCAGCTCACAGACCTCAGGTGGGTTTATAAAGAGGAACATGGTTGTGGAGGAACGGCCACAAGTTAGGGGACAACAGGGCCCCTGGTGGTCAGTTCAGGGTCCAGGGACCAGTGTGGGGCCCCTGGTGGTGAGTTCAGGTTCCAGTGTGGGGCTCCTGGTGGTGAGTTCAGGTTCCAGTGTGGGTCTCCTGGTGGTCAGTTCAGGGTCCAGGGACCAGTGTGGGGCTCCTGGTGGTGAGTTCAGGGTCCAGTGTGGGGCTCCTGGTGGTGAGTTCAGGTTCCAGTGTGGGGCTCCTAGTGGTCAGTTCAGGGTCCAGGGACCAGTGTAGGGCCCCTAGTGGTCAGTTCAGGGTCCAGGGACCAGTGTAGGGCCCCTGGTGGTCAGTTCAGGATCCAGGGACCAGTGTGGGTCTCCTGGTGTTGAGTTCAGGTTCCAGGGACCAGTGTGGGACTTCTGGTGGTCAGTTCAGGGTCCAGGGACCAGTGTGGGGCTCCTGGTGGTGAGTTCAGGGTCCAGGGACCAGTGTGGGGCTCCTGGTGGTGAGTTCAGGTTCCAGTGTGGGGCTCCTGGTGGTGAGTTCAGGGTCCAGGGACCAGTGTGGGGCTTCTGGTGGTGAGTTCAGGGTCTAGGGACCAGTGTGGGGCTCTTGGTGGTGAGTTCAGGTTCCGTGGACCAGTGTGGGGCTCCTGGTGGTGAGTTCAGGTTCCAGGGACCAGTGTGGGGCTCTTGGTGGTGAGTTCAAGGTTCTGCTCTTGTTCTCCAAATGTAAGAAAACATGTTTTGTTTCACTCCAACAATAATAAATAATCAATAATCAATAATCATGATTTTAAATAATTTTAACTCTTTAAGATCAAATCCTCAGTTATATTGTTCCTCTATTTAACAATTTATACCAAAAACATTTGATAAAAACTCAATTTCTTTTTGTTTTTATACCAAAATCCAGTTATTTTATCTTCCTGTAAATTAAAATCTGACGCCAGCGTTTATGAACTAATCCCCCCCGACTGCAGGAAATATGTAAATAAGGAAATAAGTGGACTGGATTTGTGTTCTGAAAGGCGTCTCTGTGTGTGTTTGATGCCACAGGGATGGGGAACAGCAACAGTGACCGGTCCAGTGGGGGTCAGGGGGACCGGAAGGAGGCCCGACCCAACATCCTGATGGACAGCACAGAGGACACAGACCTCTTCCGGGGAGACGACCCAAAGGTACGAAGACCGGGACCGTCACAGCGTTTATAATAATATAACTACATCAGGTGATCGTCTGTGTTTCCAGAATCAGATACTTAATGAAATAAATGTCCCGGTTCTGAGTTTTTAGAGACTTCTGGGTCCAGTTAGACGACTCGAATATCAGAGCGGAGCCTAAAAACAGAAACCTGCTGAATTTACAGTCAAATGTCAGAAAATAATAAATATATCTGGACCCATAAATCCTGTCAGCCGTAAACAATGAAGTCTTTAATGTGTTTATATATTAATATTTATATATGACAGTATTTTTGTATCGTGTTTATTCTCAGTAAATATCATAAAACATCATCATAACCTTTTATTTTAGTTTGAATTGAAAATTATTATTTCTGCTAAATTTACATCTAAATTAAATTATATTTGTAAATTACTGATTAAATTAACTTAATTTAATATATATATATTGAAAAATTTCAAAAAAAGTGTATTTACTCAATATAAGTAACTTGGAGTGAGTCAGTCACTATTTTTACATCCAAATATATAAAACTGAATTAATTTGAATTTAAGTTTAAAAGTAATAAGATTTGTGTAAACTGTTGCTGTTAGTTTTAAAAAGGTTTTTACAGTGCAGGTAGACTGACTTAGATTGTTGTTATAATGTTAAAGTTTTCTAGTTCAGTTCTTAACCATGTACAAAACAGGCTCAAATACACTATAGAGTGCTAAAATGGCACACATGTCTGTGCTGTTTCTGTCCTGCTGGGAACGCCTACATTGACCCTTGAAGGGGTCAGAGGTCAATGAAAGGCTCAGTATGGTGCAGCTGCAGCCAATCGGATCAACTCAGATTAATAAATAATAATAAATAAATAAATTAGCCACAAAAACAGCTCTATACCTCACCTATCTGTAATGTTCCTGTGAAACCAGATCACTTACAAATCCCATATTCTGCACTGTAATATAACATAACATAATATAATATAATATAACATAACATAATATAATATAATATAATATAATATAGCATAATATAACATAACATAATATTACATGATATGATATGATATAATATAATATAATATAATATAATATAACATAATATAATATAACATAATATAATATAATATTACATAATATAATATAACATAACATAATATAATATAACATAATATAATATAATATAATATAATATAACATAATAATATAATATAACATAACATGATATAATATAACATCATATAATATAATAATATTATTATTATTATTATTATATATAATATAACATATAAAATCTCATTAGTTTTCTGCACGTTTTTACACATTAATTAATAATAATAAATAATAAATAAATAATAATAATTAAAAAGTGTGATAAGGAACTCTGATGAGGAGTTTAAAATTATGTTGAATCTATAATCAAAAATAAAATAATAATCAAAATAACATTTAATTTTAATGTTATGAATCTCAGAGAATTTTATTACAGCAGATATACAGGATGTGTTTCATAGATGATTCTAATTCAATCACGTTTAATCATAAAATACTGAATATATCAAACATTTAAAGTAACATAAACTAAATTGATCAACTTTAAGTTAAAAAAGATTCTTGATTAAGCAGCTTTAACTATTAATTTTAAGTGAAATTAACTTAGTTATGGAAGCATTCATGATTAAATACTTTTTACTGTTTTCACAGTATAAATAAAAATTACAAAATTAAGTCATTGTCAGTTAAAATTACTAAAACTACCTGATTCTTACAATATTAAGTTAGTTTGACTTTCAATGTAATCAGTTTCAACAGTTAAATTAATTTATCTGATTTATTTATTAATCCGACTCACCATAAACCTTTTATTTATAAAAAATAAATAGAAATGTCCTATAAACTCTCGTCCGCTCCCATCCAGTTCATCCTGTCGGTGTTTCTCTCATTAACAACATTAATATTATTAATATTATAATATTAATCTCCAGGCTCCGCAGGAAATACAGGAGTTTCTGGCCTGGCAGCAGGACCTGGAGAGCGACAGCAAGAGTCCAACGCAGGCCGCCAGACCCACAGTGTTCAGGTGGCCCGGCGCCGCCAAAGAGGTCTTCGTGTCCGGGTCCTTTAACAACTGGGCCACCAAGATCCCGCTCAACAGAAGGTACTCAGTGCAGGATGGTTAGAAAGCAGCACCAGGAGCCCGGTAACCGTTAACCATCACTAATAACGTCTGTCTCTCAACACCAGTCAGAAGAACTTTGTGGCCATAGTGGACCTGCCGGAGGGGGAGCACCAGTACAAGTTCTGTGTGGACGGTTTGTGGACTTTGGATCCTGCTGGGGTGAGTGACAGCGTTTAGAGATAATCAATGATCGTACTTTACTCTCTCAGGAGAGTTTCTATATATCTGTTTACGCTCTGTGTCCCAGGCCGTGATGACGTCAAAGACGGGAACGATCAATAACGTCATCCAGGTGAAGAGAACTGACTTCGAGGTGTTTGATGCCCTCAGGATCGACTCGGAGGATTCTGCTGACCTCTCAGGTACCTGGATTCAACCCCAGATGTTGTTTTTTAATCAGCGTTAAAAGGTTTTAGAACAAAACACAGTAAAGTTAAAGGTTGTCACAAACTCCACAGTCGTTGTTGTTGTTTGTTCCACTAACAGTAGTTGTTGTTGTTTGTTCCACTAACAGTTGTTGTTGTTGTTTGTTCCACTAACAGTAGTTGTTGTTTGTTCCACTAACAGTAGTTGTTGTTGTTTGTTCCACTAACAGTAGTTGTTGTTTGTTCCACTAACAGTAGTTGTTGTTTGTTCCACTAACAGTAGTCGTTGTTTGTTCCACTAACAGTAGTTGTTGTTTGTTCCACTAACAGTAGTTGTTGTTTGTTCCACTAACAGTAGTTGTTGTTTGTTCCACTAACAGTAGTTGTTGTTGTTTGTTCCACTAACAGTAGTTGTTGTTTGTTCCACTAACAGTTGTTGTTGTTTGTTCCACTAACAGTTGTTGTTGTTGTTGTTTGTTCCACTAACAGTAGTTGTTGTTTGTTCCACTAACAGTAGTTGTTGTTTGTTCCACTAACAGTAGTTGTTGTTTGTTCCACTAACAGTAGTCGTTGTTTGTTCCACTAACAGTAGTCGTTGTTTGTTCCACTAACAGTAGTTGTTGTTTGTTCCTCTAACAGTAGTTGTTGTTTGTTCCTCTAACAGTAGTTGTTGTTTGTTCCACTAACAGTAGTTGTTGTTTGTTCCACTAACAGTAGTTGTTGTTTGTTCCACTGACAGACTCAGGTTGTTATTGTCAGTGTCTGACAGCATTATGGAAAGGATCCCTACAGAGATAGACCTTTAGTTTAACCACAAACAGCCGTAATATCACTATCACTCTCCACCAGACTCCAGAGACAAAAACACTCATTTTACCTTCAGATCATCAGAACTTCATTCAAAGTGGACAGAAACAGAATAAAACTGATTAAAAGCGTCTCTGTTAGTGTTTCCAACAATCACCAACTCTGGTTTGGTGGAAATAAATCCTTAATTCACCGACGTAGATGATAAAAACAGCAGTTTCAGTCGGAGCAGACCGGCTATGGAAACAAACCACAGAGAGGCTGCGATACAACACAGGCAGAGGGAGAGAGACACCATGTGACTCTGTAGCTTTTATATTAATTAACTTTAATATGAGACTTTATTAAAACCGCCTCCTGTGTCGGTTCCTCTCCAGACTTGTCCAGTTCCCCCCCCGGTCCGTACCTACAGGACGCATACGTCATCAAACCAGAGGACAAGATCAAACATCCTCCTTATTTACCTCCTCACCTGCTGCAGGTGCTGCTCAACAAGGACACCGGTGTGTCTGTAAGTACAGTGTGTGTGTGTGTGTGTGTGTGTGTGTGTGTGTGTGTGTGTGTGTGAGTGAGTTAATAAAACTGATCCTGACTCTGAATCTTCATCAGTGCGACCCGACGCTGCTTCCAGAGCCCAACCATGTGATGCTCAATCACCTGTACGCCCTCTCCATCAAGGTAACGGATGTGTGTTATGTTGTTGTCCCAAAAATTTAAAATGTGTCATATTTTCTTATTGTAATATAATTTCTAGTTTTCAAAACGAAAGAACAGAAAATGGGTCGTTTGGAGGGTTTGGCTTTTTTTTTGTGCTATTTATTAACAAAAGAAAAATATTTTTCTAAATAAAAAATAATAAATTTATTTATAAATGAAAAAATAACAAATTTATTTATAAATAAAAACATTTTATTTATTTATAAATTAAAAAATGACATTTATTTGTAAATTTAAAAAATGAATTTATTTAAAATTTTAAAGAAATATATACTTTAAAAAAAAATTATTAAAAATTAATACATGCATAAAAATAAAAAAATTCATAGAAACAAATAAGAAATAAATTGCATTATACATAAAAATACATTTATTTGTAAATTAAAAAAATAAATAAAATTTCTAAATAAAAGCTTAATTAAAAATAATGAATAATAATTAAATGTATCTATAAATAAAAATACATTAATTTATAAACAGTACTCAAGAAACGTCTCATTTCCTGAGTACTGTTTATAAATAGGGGAACAAAAAACTGAGTATGGGTTGTTTTTTATTTTTATTTATATATAAATATATAAAAAACGGAAATAGGTCGTACTTTTAGTTTCCGAGTCTCTCTGGCGTCATTTTGTCCTCAGTGACGTCATCATAAACTAAAGTGTCTTTATCTTGACTCTAACATGCAACATTCAGTGACTTTCCCTCATTATTCTCTGGTATTTATCATTATCTAATATCTTTTATTGCCAATAATCTCAATACTTTTAATGATTTTTAAATGTAGGAAACGGAGAATAAACTTTATTTCTTGTCTTTCAGGACGGCGTGATGGTTCTCAGCGCAACTCACCGATACAAAAAGAAGTATGTGACCACTCTCCTCTACAAGCCAATATAACCACCGGAGCCACGACTCTTATTCTGAAATAACAATAATAATAATAATAATCATCAGTTTGCTGCTTTAATTGTTAAAACTGGACCTAAAAATCTGTTTTTTACCCTCCTGTAACTTTTAATTTTGTAAATGTTAAACTTTCTGTTTGTTTTTATACTTTAACCTGATTCGTCGTCAGACTTTTAGTTGATAACTCCTCGTTAACCTTTGACCTTTATAACGGTTGAGTTTAAACTGAAGCTTTTGTTTTTGCTCCCATTTTTCAAAATAAAAGGCCTTTTATTGTGTAGTCGAGGCACAGCTGGGCATTGATCATGTTGTTTGATCAGCGATTGATATTTTACATCTGTCAGGTTTAAACACTAAACCGCAATGCTAACGGAGGCTAATGCTAACAGACTGAAGCTAATGCTAACAGAGGCTAATGCTAACAGACACGAGGACGCAGGTTGAAGTTCAACGAGAAGTTTCTCACATTTTATTTCAAATATTCCTTTTTTTTTGTTTTTTTTACAAAATCAAACCTGTTTATTAATAATCAAGTTTTCTTTATTATAAAGGAATTAAATTTTAAAGAAATTTGCATCATTCTTCTGTGTGTGTGTGTGTGTGTGTGTGTGTGTGTGTGTGTGTGTGTGTGTGTGGGTTGTGCACATTGTGTATCTCAGTTGACGCAGCGGACTTTGGGGTCCAGGTTCTTGTTATCCGGGTTGTACGTGGTCTGAGCGAAGCAGTGAGCCGCCACTCGGTCGCACTCGCACACGGCGGCCTGACATTTATTGTTGGAGGCTGCGGAGACACAGGAAGTAAACACACAGCCGATCAATAACAACAAAACATGAGCGTGTAAAGAGTCGTAGGAATAATACATCTGTAAAACAATACGAAAACTAATAACTTATTTGCTTAAATCACCGAACTCCCCCTGCCTTTATTGGGGACAGGCCTTTATTTGGGACAGGCCTTTATTTGGGACATGCCTGTAATTCCTGAAGCACAAAACTAAACTAAACTCTAACTTCTGCTTCTCTTGAGTTTTGTTCAGCAAATTTGACAACTAACATGATGATTATGATGCTTCAGAGGTTTTTTTCCGTCTCTCTTGTTTACCGTGTTACCGGTAAGTCAGAATGAATTAACGTTTTACTTTGTTGTCGATAGTTTTCGTAACATATATTGAACGATTGAATTGTGGAGAATCTATAACTGATCTAACGATGTTCATTATGTGCATATTGACAGAAATTTAAACATTTATATTTGTGTAGGAGATTAAAACGACCCGGTGGGTTTTAAGAGGTTTTATACATCGAGATAATTTCTATAAAATCCAGACCAGGCCTCTATTGGAGACCTGAGTTTATTTGTCAATACATGTATCTACACCAGGTTTTTAAAAGAGACCCTGCTTTTATTGGAAGTTTTACGGTAAATAAAGAATGTTTTAGAGTATTTCATATTTTGTAGCATACATACTCGTAGCGTAAGGTTAGCTCTCCGACGCGTAACGTTTTTTTAAATTAAAATAAATAATCCTCATTCAAGAGCTTTAAAGTCAGTTTAAATAATAAGTGTATCACAGCATCTGTACATCATGTAGGTTTAATACACTTTAAATAAACGGTGCTAGTTGATTTTATTTGTTTTATTCTAAAAATTATTAATATATTATAAATATATATAAATATAATATATAGTGTTATGTAACTTAATACACTTATTTAGACAGATACTGCAAGTTCAATGTGTGAAACTGTGAGAGAGTTAAACAAATGTTATTATCGATAATAAAGTAAATGTGTTTGAGATGTAGACATTATAAAACTTAATGTTTAAAGTTAATATCAGTTTTATTAATTAACTTAATGTTGGATTCATGTTTAGTGATTTCATTCTACTCAATAAAACCTTTTAAATTAACTCAAAGTCCAACTTACCTCACTTTGTTTAGATCAGAGAGGCATTACAGGCTCAGTCTTACCTGAACAGGTGACTTCCTGATTCGAGCAGCTGAAATCATAAACGAGGACGTAAGGAAGGTCGACGAGGGCGGTGCACCCGGGAGCCTTTCTGCTCGCCTTGTAGCAATCATCGTGAACCTTGCAGCACCTGAAAAACAGAGAACAGTTTCACGTTAGAGAAAACATTTGATAAAATGATTTTAAAAAAACTAAATGTCTGCTCCCTACATGTCCACTTCGTCCACAGGGGTCCCCGTCCCCCCGAAGCCGCACCAGCAGCCGTAATCGTTGTACTTCAAGGGGTTAGTGCCGGGCTGAGGGCACGGGATCATCTTCCCAAACTGCCATAAGGCTCTGGGCAGCAGCGCGCCGCCGGCCGCACAGGCTACAGACACAAACACAAACACATCACCAACATATAATCCTAAATATAACATTAAAGGGTTATTTTAAGGGTATTTTAAGGGTATTTTAAGGGTTGTTTGTCTCACCAGAGAGCAGCAGCAGCAGCAGAGGAGCCGACACGTTCATGACTGCGGTCAGAAAACCAGGATTTCAGTGCGTCCGGCTCTTATAAAGGACGAGATAGGACAGAAACCTGGAGGGCGGAGACTGAAAATGACATAAGTTTCTATATTTGGAGGAGTTTCATTTACCTCAAACGTGTTTTTAACACCTTCAGTTGTGAGAATGTGGAGTAAAAACATATAATCAGTCTGTAGAGGAGTTAAATGTATGGTTCCTTTTAAAAACAGTTATTAAAACAACAGAAGCTTCTTAATAAAGAAAGTCACATTAATTAACTCAAAACTGAAAGAAACTCAGTTGTTTTGAGTGAACTTAAATGTGTTCAGTGTTTTAATTCCAGTTTGTTCCATTAACTCATTTTCTTTAAGTTGACTTTGTATAATTAATTAAATATTAGCATTATAATGCTGTAAAGTTCAGGATTGTTTAATTATAGTTAATATTTCATGTTTATTAATCATCATAAACCCAAATATACATCCAAAGAATCCTAAATGATCCTTTAAAGTGTAAAGATTTTACATTAATTGGCCACTTTTAGCTGTTTTAACAATTATTTTGTAATAATTTGCTTTAATGGAAGAAAACTGAGTAAATTAAATTAAACGTAACATGTATATAAATAAGATGTATTTAAGTGACTTTATTCAGATAAATTCTGTTCGCACATTTTAAATACATTTGGAGAAACTTCAAATAACTGAATGGAATTAGTACAAATTAACTTTAATTTACCCAAATTACAATAAATACTTTTGTTATTTGACTTAATAAACAATTTAATCAGTTTAATCAGTTTGTGTGTGTGTGTGTGTGTGTGTGTACTGATGTGTCCTGTTTATCTTTAATAGTTCAGAGTGAAGTTCAGAGGTCAGTCAGTAGTTTACATACAGTACATAATTTCTTTCATCTTTAATTTCCCTGTTAAATAATAATAATCTCTTATCTTCTGTTCTCTCCTGAGTTTGCATTTTCCTTCTTTGAGTTGCATTTAAAATAACTTTCAGCTAACTCACAGCTGTGTAAACATGCAGACTTCCCACCGCTCTCCTCTGCACCTCGCGGGGCCGGGTTACGTAAAAGAACTATATGTACTGCAGCGAGTATCAGAGTTCCCACGAGTCCTGGAAAACCTGGACATTTAGAGAGTAGATTTCCAGTCATAGAAAACACCTGGAAAGTTATTAAAATGACCAAATATCCTGGAAATAATCTATATAATCCTGGACAATATGAATTATATGTAATATAATATAATATATAACAGAGTTTCCCTTAACCCCTGTGCCCTCCTCATATTTACTACCCTCTGGACATCTTCGTGGCAAATATGTACACACACAAAAAAACTGCTATTAAATCCTCATACATCAATATATTCTTCTGCTTTGTTTCATAAATCTCTTAAAGAACTTCAAACTTGCTCAAAACTACAAAACATTAAATAATTTTCTGGATTTTAACCCTTTAAATTTTTTAATTATTTGAATTATTTCATTATTTATTACAAAAAAAGCAAAAACTTAATTATTTTCCATATAATAAATAGTAGGGGAGTGGGGCTTTGGTGGTGATGGTCTTGGTTATGTCAAAGATTGATTTGATGATTTACATTTTTACAAAATACAAATATCGGCCTATTGCATGTTTTTTTTAAGTTTTCTTAAAATCAAGAAGGCCTCACAACCCCTCATGTAGCTTTGGCGCCCCCTAGTGGAGGGTCCCGACCACTACGTTATAAAGAAAGCGTGTCTTTATTCAAAATAAATAAAGGAGAACAAGCGTCTTTATATTCACAGTTGTTGTTTTATTGTCCAATAAAAGCCTCAAACACTTTCTGTACAATACGTGCAACTTTCAGCCCTTTTCTAGGACGTTATAATGAATTAATAATAAAAACATAATCTCAGGTCTGTGGTGTCGCTGTTCGTCACGCTCTGCTTTCACAGATGTACCGGTGCACCAGGTTACAGTCGGCGTCGTTCCACAGTTTGCGTTTGCGTTGCTCGGAGCCGTGAAGCTGCCCGCAGTCCTCGCCGCTCTCTACATAGTCCCAGTTGTCAGGTTGACCGACGTCCCAGAAACTACAGAGGCAGCAGCCGTTAGCATATAAATATAAATACATAACTTATAAAAACAAAGATTTCTTTTAAGCTTCGCTCACGTTGGCGTTGAGTTGTAGTTGGTTCCATCCACCCAGGTCCAGTGGCCCTCGTGTTCTCGCTCCACGAGTCCAATCCAGTAGCTGTATCTGATTATAACTATCTGGGAAATGTAGTCCTAGAAACACAAACAAGTCTTTATTGATCTTAAACTCATCTGTATTTGACCCAAAGCTAAAAAAAGAGTGTTACAATCTTACGGTTGCAGCCCCGAAACATAAAACAATGGCAACAAAAGGTGAAGATCACAGCTGAAAATGGACATTATTATTAATTAATACAGTTATGTTGGGCTTGTTGTTGGTTTTTATTTCTTATTTATATGTCTAACCCATAAAATTCATATAAGAAAGAATTTACAAGCTTATTTGATGGATTTGTACGTCACAGATTAAAAGGATTCAAGGATATTTTATGGTCATTCAAATGAAAATTAAAAATTTAATCAAAATATTATTTCCTTTCTGTTACCTGTTTTTATTTAATATTAATATTTAAATTTATTTTGTATATTTATTTATTTACATTATTTATTATTACATTTAATATATTTAATATACAAAATGTTTAATTTATAACTATACATATAATATATAATACATATTAATATTATATATATATAATATGTAATATAATAATGTATATATTTTTTATGTACATGTATGTATATATCATAATATTACTATTTTAATTTAAATTTAATTTAAATTATTTGTTTATTTTAACTTTGTAAATAAATTATATATAAATTAAATATATATATTATATATAATATATATGTAATTTATATATAATATATAAATTACATATATTTTTTACATATATTAAAATATTTAATATATATTTTAATTAATTAGGACATACATTTACTATATTTAATATATGAAATGTATAATTTATAATTTATAATTGTAATATATATAATATATATAAAGTAATGTATAATAATGTAGTGAAGAATGATCCTGTGCTTCCTGTTTTGATGTGTAATGTTAATAAATTATTATCCTGTTTTTATTATATTTATTGTTGAGTTTGTGTTTAATCACATTGAAAATTAGCTTATAGCCAATAAATGTCCCAATATTTAAATAAATAAATGTCTCAGTCAAACACCGGAGCCTCACCAGCTCCTCCACGGTGTTCAGAACCAGCAGGTGTCCTCCGTGTGTTCGGCACTGCTCCTCCGCTTTGCTCCAGGTGAAGAGGTCGTTGGACAGCAGGTAGCAGCTCCTCTGGAAAGACGACCATCCTTCCCGACACGTTCCTGAAGGGACGGAGATTAAGAAAGTCTAAAGAGTCTGATTGAGTAAAACCACTGATTCTGATTTTATTGATTTTAAAGGTTCCATATGTGAGATTCTGAAGTGTTTTACGTGTTATTTTTTATTTATTAATCACTTTTTAGTGCCTTCTCTCTCCGCAACAGTAGCTAACATTAGTTTATAAATGGAGTCCAATGGTCCAAATAAAATACAGGATCACTGCAGACATATTGTAACATTATTCTGAATATAATTGTTGTTTATTTTCCAGCGTTCAGTCTAGTTTTTGTCACTTTTGGCCGACGCCCAGGACGCTAACTTGCAGTTCACCCTAACGGCCACCGGTGTCACTATTGAGTCAGATATCGAACCTTTAAGGTATCCGGTGTTTACCTTGAACGGGGACAAGCGGCTTTACGAGGACTTTCACGTCAGGTCGAGCACCTTGAGTTTAAAAAACATAAAAGTCTTATAAAGGACGTCAACTGCTACGGCTTCATCTTTACACCCCGACCTGTTCCCGACCTGAACTGTGCGCCGACGCCGATCCTCCGTTGCCGATTCTCTCGAGCAGAAGTTTGACATCAGTCACTTCCTTGTTCAACTGGGAGACTTTGAGATACGACAGTTGTTACGTGATGAGTTGAAGCAATGTGAATATAGTGAATTAATGAGTGAATGAGCGTACATTTAATCCCAGTGACCATCAGCAGGATTAACAGCAGCAGCACCAGGACTCCATACAGGACGTAAACCAACATCCTCTTCCAACCTACGATAAAAACATTTTATTATAAGGAGGAAATTAATGGATCAAAATCAGATTAAATGTTTTTTTTTACCTGTTTGTGGAGCCATTCTTTGCTCTCCTCGGGCCGAGATGTTATCAGGCGACCCGAACTGCTGATACTGAGACTCCATAACTGGAAAAAGAGCTCAGATTCTTTTAGAAAAAGTATTTTTTAAAACAAATATTTCCTCCTATATTAATGTAATTTGCAACTCAGAAAAAAGAACAGCTCAACAAACATAATCAGTCCATAGTCTTTCTGTGCGATGGCAAATAGGGTCAACTAAATCTCCCTTTGTTTGTTTTTAACCCAGATATGTTAACTATTAACAGATCAATAAATAAAAGGGATTTCTGTCATTACATATAAATCACACTAACATTAACAAAGATAAGAAGCAGCGTTTACTTTAAATCTGAATTATGATATAAAAGAACCGTTTACATCGACATTATTCACTGTTTACTTTATGGTTCTGTTTGTTCTTGTGGAGTAATTAAAGCACTTTTATATTAATGTTTAAAAATATTATAAAAGCATTTAAAGAACAAATGCAGTCGACCAACAACGAGAGCTTTTATCACTTACCTTCATCAACCAGAATATCTCTGAATATCTCCGGTTGGACTCTGACCGTGAGATCACACCGAGTCCTCCCCTTTAAAGAGAAATGCTGAATATCAATCACAAAAAGTGTTTTTAAATGTTTTCTACAATTATTCTGTTATTATTCATCTTTATCTGCTGTCCCAGAATCAGAGAGAGAATTACAGCACACACATTACACAAGTTAATGTCCTTTTTTATTGTAAGTTTGAGGTGGTCACAAGCAGGTAAAGGTAAGAGGACCCAAACGCAGACCACTGATTTATTACATGAATCACAGGAACAGGAGGTTTACGGGCGGGTGAGGGAGTCCAGGAGGGTCCAGAAGAACTAAATAAAGAAGAGAGGGAAGGATTAAAGAGGGATAGGTGAACCTGAATCAGGGCGGGGCAGACGAGAGGAGAGGTAAATACTACAAAATAAAACAAGAAGTAATGAAAATCCTAACCAATAACGAGCAGTGGAGGATGTTTGAGTACAAGTAATCCGATCCGGAGGAGATTTAAAGGAACATTTCAGGAGTCTGGGAGCTGGAGGTGGACCGACGAGTGAAACAAGTCAAATATTGAATTTTTATTTTAATTTAACTTTACCCTCCCTTTTTCTTGGTACATTTTATTTTGTTAATTTTTGTAGGGGCAGTGCACAATTAAAAGTAACAGAGTTTGTTAACAGCTAATTATCTGTTGTTTCTACCTTTACTGTTGATGTTGCTGTATATAGAATTTAATACCTCATCTTTTAATTTATATTATTAATATTAATAACAAATACAGTAATTATTGTACTTCTGCTGCTGTGACACTTTTATTTATATTCTCACATTCTTTACAACACGTCGTTTTTTTATGTATATTATAATATATATATATTATATATATATATCACTGCCTGTCTCAATAACATCTGTCAACACTTACCACAGTCACTTTTCTGTTTGCACTATTTAATATCATTACTGTACACTTTTACATATATAAATATATATATATATATTTATATAATTTCCTACATGCATTAATGTTAAGACCTGTGATGTATATTTATAGATATATTATGTCAAGCCTATATTCTTCTGATAGATTACTGCTGTGTATGTATTTTCTCTATATATATCTATACTTACACCTGTAACCTGTGCTATATTTTTAATCACATCTGTATAAAAAGCTATATATAATGTACATACAACTCTTTATTATCTCCATTGTTTTGTTATATCTTGTATTTTTCCTTTTTATTTTTTATATTTAATGTGTATTTATCTATTTTCTTATCTGATGTGTTTTATCTGGAGCTGCTGTGGGATCAATAAAGTCTAGCTTATCTTTTTTATCATATATTTATATTGTATTATAAGGTCCATACTTATACTTCTTATTATATTTCTATTTATTATTTATTTAATTATTATTTATTTTACTTAAATGTATTTACCTATATATATATATAATATATATATATATATATATATATTGTTAGATATTGTAATATAATTATTATTTCTATATATATAGTTAGATATAGTAATATTATTATTATTTACATATATTGTTATATATAAAGAAATAATAATACTATTACTATATCTAACTATATAGTTAGATATAGTAATATTATTATTATTATATTGTTAGATATTATAATATAATTATTATTATTATATATATTGTTAGATATATATAATATAATTATTATTTCTATATATATGTATTGTTAGATATAGTAATATTATTATATATATAGTAAGATATATATAATTATTATTTATATATATATAGTTAGATATATATAATTATTATTTATATATATATAGTTAGATATATATAATATAATTATTATATATATAGTTAGATATATATAATTATTATTTATATATATATAGTTAGATATATATAATATAATTATTATATATATAGTTAGATACATATAATTATTATTATATGTATAGTTAGATATATATAATTATTATATATATAGTTAGATATTATAATATAATTATTATATATATAGTTAGATATATATATAATATAATAATTATGATATATATAGTTAGATATATATAATATAATTATTATTTGAGTCTGCCTGTAGTTCACACTGTCGCCGCTTGGTGGCGCAGTAGAGCCGCGCGCCGCTCCTCCACGTGACCCCCTCTGTATAAGTTCCTTCCGGTTCTCCTCGGCTCGCTCAGAAAAGAAGATGGCGGCTCTCGGACGGCTCTCTCACGCGCTGCTGCGTTCTCCCGCCACCCGGAACCGACGTCACCTCTCCGCTGCTGCCGCCGGAGGACACGGAGAGCAGACCGGTAACCGTTAACCCTCCGTTAAACCTCCGTTAACCCTCCGTTAACCCTCCGTTAAACCTCCGTTAACCCTCCGTTAAACCCTCCGGTTCACATTAACGGGGATTCATCTACAGACTCACTCTGTGACCTTGCGGAGCTAACGCTAGCTCCGTTAGCGTTAGCTCCGTTAGCATTAGCGTTAGCATCAGCTCCGTTAGCATCAGCTCCGTTAGCATCAGCTCCGTTAGCATCAGCTCCGTTAGCATTAGCACCGTTAGCATTAGCACCGTTAGCATTAGCTCCGTTAGCATTAGCGTTAGCATTAGCATTAGCACCGTTAGCATTAGCTCCGTTAGCATCAGCGTTAGCCTCCTTGAGCCTGAAGAAGCTGCCTCATTAAAACATTAAAACAACTTTAAATCAACATTAAAACATTAAAACATTAAAACATCTTTAAATCAACATTAAAACATTAAAACAGCCTCACAGAGAGTTAGTGTAGTTTAACTGTGTTTACTCTGATTTATATCTGTGGATTTAAAGTGAGAAAGTGTTAGATTAAAGGGTCAAACAGGTCAACGGACACTATTATTATTATTATTATTATTATTATTATTATTATTATATTTAACTTTAATTTGTCTCCTGTAGGAACATTATTATATATTCTATATTTCCTGTTTAATCGGGTCTCAGTTTGTATTTTAGTACAGTTATTTACATTTTGTTGTTGTTGTTGTTGTTGTTCCTGTTTTTTATATATTAACATTAATTAGAATAAACTTTATTCAACATTTAACAGATTAAAAACATTAAACACTCACAATACGGCGGCTTTAAAAGAGACTATAACAACTACAGTGTGTCTTATTATCAGCAGCATTCAATACAAACTCTGAACTAAAGTTTACACTTATATTTTATAATTAATATAATGAAATTAACATTAAAAGGAATTAAACTGTACAACAAATCAAAGGAAAGTAAGAAAAGCAAACGCAGTCAGTAAAGTATAGAAGCAGGATGATATTTAATCTGCAGAGAACATATTAAACATCTAATATATTAATGTTTAATATCTTATTTAAAGGTTCTTTAAGTCGAACCAGAAAGAAGTTACATGAATAAATAAATAAATAAATGTTGAATAGTTTCTTTAATATTCGTCCCGATAATCTCAGGAACATTTTGTCTACACCTGTAATAAGTTTTATTTAGGACACAATGAATGTGTGTTTGGTTACAGAGAGTTTAATAAACGTTTCCAAATTGTGTTTATTTACAAAACAAAGAGTGTTTATGGAATAATATTTTCATTATCGGTCAGTTTGCTCCGAACTTCGTGGTTCGATTCTTAAAAATCTTTAAGTCAACTGGAAAAGAGAAAAGTTTCCTTCTGAATTATATCTCAATTAAACCTTAAAGTTTATTACATTTAATCTGTATTTTAGATTTCCTGTTGTTTTCTGTGAATATACGCAGTGTAGATTCATTATTAGTTGTGTTTAACATCCACTGATGATGTTTGTTAGAAACTCTTGTGATAGAGAGAAAGTTTATAGTCACAAACAGAATAAATGTTTACGTACAATAATAAAATAAGAGATTCTACAGAAGTGAAGACGTTTAATATTCTTTAGTATTACAGATAGACTTTAAGAAACTTATATAAAAAATAGAGACTTTTATTATTATTATTATTATTATTATTATTATTAGACTTTATTGGAGCTGAATGATAAAAAAAACATGATTGTTCTGACAGATATTGTGATTAATGATTATGAGGGAGTGAAAATATAACCACAAATTGAAACTATTAAAATCGTGATGTGATCTTTTTAAGGCTCTGTAACAAACAAACAATGAAATTACCTTTTAAATACAAATAATCAGGCTTAAATTTACAGCAGAGAGCTGTTATTATTTGATTTTTCTTATTTTAATCTGAGTTTTAAAAGTTATAGAACTGTAATAAAAGTCATTATCTGTGTAGTTACAGTAATTATTGCTGTTTACACTGATAAACAACATTTATTTAACATAATTATATAAGATGTCTGTCAATTAACAAACAAATCCATTTAAAATTACACAACAAATACTTATTTTTACTGTTAACTGTCAATAATTTTATATAATTCTATAATTAAAACAGTTTAATAGTCTTTACGTGGAAAAAAATATATATTTTCTTTAAATAAGCTCTAATTTAATTACATTTAACGTTGTTTTAATGACATTAACATTTTTGTTGTAGAAACTTTTATAATTATAATAATTATAGAAGATATCATCTCTTTGTCTCCGTCTTCGTCTTCCAGCCCGGACCTGGAAGATCCTGACCTTCGTGGTCGCCCTGCCCGGCGTTGCGGTGTGCATGTTGAACATGTACCTGAAGGAGCAGAACCACAGCCACGAGATGCCCGAGTTCGTCCCGTACAGCCACCTCCGCATCCGCAGCAAGGTCCGAGTCCACGCCGCTCCACGTCGCTCCACAGTGGCCGCCTGTAGCGCCGCGGTTTGATTGGCTCTAACGTGTTCTCTCTCTCTCTCTCGCAGCGGTTCCCGTGGGGAGATGGAAACCACAGCCTCTTCCACAACTCGCACTTGAACGCCCTCCCTGACGGCTACGAGGGCCACGACGACTAAACCCAAACCCGTCTCTCTCCTCCAGACCTCCAGACCGGGACCAGTTCTCCCACAGCGTTTGTTACTGGACCACAACCCCATTCACAGTCTTCTTTATTGTTGTTGTTGTTGTTGTTGTTAACCTCCGTGCTCTCGAACACGAGCGCACCCGAACCAACTGCTTCTTTTGTTCTGGACCATGAAACACAACGTCCGCTTAAACCTGAATTAACGTAAATAAAGTAACTATTATTACCTCAGTTCGTGTCTTTATTTCTTCTGTGTGTCTTTTTATTTAAAAACAGATTATTTAAACGTCTGAGAGGAAGAATAATAATAATAATCAAAGTAGGAATAAGAGAATAAATCAGAATGGACGACTTTATTTCTCCCCTCGTTCTTCCAATTTAATAAAAAATACAATAAAAGTTAAAATATTCAATTTTTTACCCTTTTAATCCACTAAAGAGTCATTTAGTCACTAATTCAAGATAAAACTTATTATTTATTAAGTTTATTATTTAACTTTTAAGTTGCAAACATGTTGATGTTAATATAAATGTGGAAACCAAGTTATAAAAAAAAGCATAAACAACTTCTGTTTCTGCTAATAATTATTAAATAAGTGGTCATTTAAAATCACCTTTGAACTCGATGTAACATTTGTTGAACATAATTAGAAGTTGCCTTAAAGATTGACACAAATCTGCCTTTTTCACAGCGAGCCTGTCGGCAGCAGCTCAGGTGTGAACAGTAAATAATAATGGCTGAGTTCCATTTAGCTGCTTTAGCTTCACTTTAATAAACATCTGTAATGTTATTAGTCACATCTGTGCTTTCCCTGCCGGCATATGTCCAAAGATTTAAACTTTTATTGTTCAAAACGTGTAAAAAAAAAACATTAAAATTTAACTTATTAATCCTTCTCAATTAAACTTTACATATATTGATCTATTGATATAAACACAAACATATATGTTGTTTCTAAGCAACCAAACATCTGTAAATATCTCAGATTAAATTAAAACCTTCCTGATAAAGAACATTTTATATATATAATATAATATAAACTCAGCTGATATTAATATCATTTATTAGCTGTTTAAAGTCTCTGCAGACTCCAGGATGGTGAAGGATTGATGATAATGTGTATTTATGTGTATTTATGTGTCTGTGGCTCCGTATTAATGCTGCTCCTCTTTATTGATCTCATATTGATCGTTAATGTCTGACGTCAAGCTGCTCGCTCGTTGTTTGTGAGCGGAGATTTGTGTCAGTGTTTATAATGGAGGTTGTTTATCTGCCATTGATTAAGATTACATGAACAAATGTGACGTAACATAAAATTAATGAAGGGTATAACTCACACACACACACACACACACACACACACACACACACACACACACACTATTGATCTGTCACATGATCAGCTGGTTGGACATGAACAGAAACATTTGGGTACAAACTATTAAATTATTGTCCTATTTTGTTAATCAATTAATCAGTTTTGATGAAAAAAAGTCAAAATTCTTCTTTCTTTATTTATTTATTTATTTATTCTTTAATAACAGTGAACTGAATATCTTCAGTTTGTATCATTTTATCAACCAAACAATCAATAAATCAATAAACTGATCGTCTTCTTATTTCTATCTTCTATAGATTCTCATCTATTATAAAGTTCATATTTCAGACTCTTATTATATTTTTATATTTTCTATATATATTGTTGTTACATATTGTAAATATAATAAATATTATTATTATTATTATTATTATTTCTCTTTGATGTCTTGTGAACAGCGTCTGTGACTGGTTTCGCCCCGATGGATCAATAAAGTATTTCTGATTCTGATTAATCATTTTATTGCAGAAAATTCATGATTCCACAAATGATTCAGTTTTTTTACATGTTTTAGCATTTTTATTTTTATAAACAATAAAACAAACAAACAAAAAAACTTGTTACAAATTCATCTAATTTAGGATAATACGGGAACATTAATACACTTAATTAATTAATAATAATAAATAAAAACAAATTATTATATTATTAATGACAATAATTTGTTTTTATTTATTATTAATTAATTAATAATAAATAAAAACAAATATTATTATTAATGATATTTGTTTTAATTTATTATTAATTACTTAAGTAATAATAATAAATAAAAACAAATTATTATTATTATTATTATTAATGATAATTTGTTTTTATTTATTTACTTTTTCATTGATGATTAATTGATTAAGCTAATTTAACAAAATCATAATAAATACAAACAAATTATTTTCATTAATTATAATAAAAAGATAATAATAATAAATTAATTTTAGTTATCGATCCGCATGTTAATCGATATTTGACGTTTCTGACCCACGTGACTCCGCACTGACTCCTCCTCCTTCACGTGAACGCGCCTTAAGCCGAATTAGAAAATCCAGGGTTAACAAAGCTCGCGGGCTTTCAGCCTCTTCCCGCCGGCCGCCTCCTCCCGCCAACCGCCGCGCGCACACTTATTGATCACAGGAGGAGTGAGGTGACCAGCCGTGGGATCGATTAGGCCGGGCTGCGATCCGTCTCGCGGCCGCAGGGTTCCGATCTGATCAGTAAATCTAGCATTGAAACATCTCGGATAACTGCGCGCGCACGCTGCGACAGGAAGGGGAGAGCAATCGATCCCCGAGAACCCGGATCACAGAGTCCATGAGAGGTGAGACCAGAGAGGGGTGAGACCTGAGAGGGGTTAGACCTGAGGGGGGTGAGACCTGAGAGGGGTTAGACCTGAGGGGTGAGACCTGGGAGGGGTGAGACCTGGGAGGGGTGAGACCAGAGGGGTGAGACCTGAGAGAGGTGAGACCTGAGGGGGGTGAGACCTGAGGGGGGTGAGACCTGAGAGGGGTGAGACCTGAGGGGGTGAGACCTGAGGGGGTGAGACCGAGAGGTTAGACCTGAGGGGGTGAGACCTGAGAGGTGAGACCTGAGGGGTGAGACCTGAGGGGGGTGAGACCTGAGAGGTGAGACCTGAGGGGTGAGACCTGAGGGGGGTGAGACCAGAGGGGTGAGACCTGGGAGGGGTGAGACCTGAGAGGGGTGAGACCTGGTCCGAGAGCTAAATCACAATATTAATTGTATTTTAATTAATTAATTATATTAATTAACTTTTCAATGGGAAGTGTAAAATCTATTATTATAGACATACATATTATTATTATTATTATTATTAATAATAAAAATATTACTAACTTTAATTTAAGTGTGTGTATATTATATATATAATATATATATATATTTTTTATTATAGTTATTTTATTGTATTTTATTATTATGCTACTGTGCCAATAATGGAAAAAAAATAAATGAAATAATAATATTAATATGAACTTAAAATAGAAAAAAATTAAAAGTAGACTTATAAGTTAAAAAACATAAATATAAAATAAATGTTCCTTAATTAATTAATTGCACGCTGAAATCCGGATCACATGAACACAAACAGACATTTATTGTATATTTATTTTTTAATTTCTTTATTTTTCAATGTGAAACAGACGTTTAGATCACCAAAGCAAATGTAAAATATATTATTATAAAAAAGAAGTTTAAATATATAATTTCTTACAGGCACATTATTAATATTATACCACCTCCTGCTGTGATCTTCCATATCAATAACATCTCTATATATAACTCTTATTCTACTTTTATTAGAATATTTTATATTTTATTTATTTAATTTCTATTATATCTTGTATTTTTCTATTCTATTTTTATTTAATATGTATTTTTTGTTTATATTCTGTTGTATCTGAAGCTCCTATAGTGAGTGAATTTCCCCAGTGTGGTTAAATAAAGTTATCATATATCATTTATTTGTTAAAATAAACATAAATCATTTGTTTTATTTTAATAGATTTCCAGATGATGAAGAAGAACGAGCGGGCTCATTTCTTCAGCTCCAAAGAGCAGGAACTGATCCTGAGGTTGTACGAGGAGGAGAAAGAAATACTGACGGCCAAATCCAACACGACCAGCGCCTCGAAGCTGAGAGAGGAAGCCTGGCAGAGGATCGCTGACAAAATAAACGCGTAAGAAGACTTTTTTATTTATTTATTTAACTCTTCATTGTCTTTTAGAAATATGAGGTGGATCACAGAAACAGACGAACATAATCTGAACGGTTACAGAACTAAGAGTCGAAAACAAACAAGAAAATACATTAAAAAATCTAAATGTAATAATAGAATATATAATTTATAATCCTCCATTAACAGTTAAATCAGTTCATCATTGTTTTTTCCAGGAAATCACAGAAAACTTTACAAATGTATGGAAGTAAAAAGAAAAACTGTTTGTTATTATAATGAAAGTTTCTCAAAATAAATCAATATTTTGATACTGAGTCAATTTGTTGAGATTTTTTTGTCATTATTCTGATTTACAGAATATATTTTTCCTAATTGGCATTAATGGGCTTCCATACAATTTTTTCCAAAACGTATAAAGTTTGTCTTTCGTAAAATAGTTATAATTTATTTATTTTAGTTCTGGTAACAATTAAATGTTCTCCTTTCCTAAAGTTTTACATGCATTATTATTATTATTATCATTATTATTATCATTATTATCATTATTATTATTATTACTACTATTATTATTATTATAATTAAATTTTGTTATCATCATCATCATTATTATCATTATTATTATTACTATATTATTATTATTATTATTATTATTATCATTATTATTACTATCATCATTATCATTATTATTATTATTATTATTATTATCATTATTATCATTATCATTATCATTATTATTATTATTATTATGTAACATCCTCGGGACAGAAAACGCCTTAAACTGATTAAAGTTCTGTACAAAAAAAATCAAAATATACAATAAAAAAAAAAAGAAATCATACAAACAGCAACAATCTCTTTAAAAGTCACAATAATAATAAAAATATGATATAATGTAATATAATGTAATATAATGTAATATACAGATAGTTTTAATGCATATTTATGTCTGTATGTGTGGAAAAGAACATTAAAATAAACAAAAAGGGACAAAATACAGATAAAATCTAACACATGGACCGTTAAGGTCACCGTTACTGACAGCGTTGTGGTCGTTCTGCCTCCTCAGGGTGTCCGACAGCGGCTATAAGAGGTCGTGGCAGCAGGTGAAGGTCAAACATAAGAACATCGTTCAAACAGGTAACAAAACAAACTCCATCCTCCAACAGAATGACCTCCAGCCGAGCTTTAACTCTCTAATCCGTCCTCACGCAGCAAAAAGACGACACGCCGAGGTGACGAGGACCGAGGGGGGCTCGGCGACCCCGTCCCTGACCTCCGCAGAGGAAGACGTCCTGCAGCACAAAGACGCCACGCTGAGGCTGGAGGTCCTCCCCGGGGGCATCGAGCCTCTGACCGGGTCCGAGAGCTCTTTCATCAGCGGTACGTGCCCCTAACCTCTGATTCCGACCGCTTCAGGACCCGAACCGCAATCTAACTCAGTGTTTACAGTCTCAGGCCACCCCGTCCTCCTGCTGCCCGTAACCAAGACGGAGCCGGAGAGCCTGAGCAGCGACGAGACCGACGTCAGCGACACGCATTTCGAACGAGTAAGAACTTCGAAAACCTCGATTTTATAAAGTCAGAATCAGAGTTTACGTGTTTTTATTCCATCTGTCTCCTGCAGCCGATGACTCCTCCTGTTCTAACTTTACATCCAATGAAATCAGCCCGGGCTTTTATTTGCTTAAATCACTGAACTCCCCCTGCTTTTATTTGGGACAGGCCTTTATTTGGGACAGGCCTTTATTTGGGACAGGCCTCTATTAGGGACAGGCCTTTATTTGGGACAGGCCTTTATTTGGGACAGGCCTCTAATAGGGACAGGCCTTTATTTGGGACAGGCCTTTATTCGGGACAGGCCTCTATTAGGGACAGGCCTTTATTTGGGACAGGCCTTTATTTGGGACAGGCCTTTATTTGGGACAGGCCTCTATTAGGGACAGGCCTTTATTTGGGACAGGCCTTTATTTGGGACAGGCCTCTATTAGGGACAGGCCTTTATTTGGGACAGGCCTTTATTTGGGACAGGCCTTTATTTGGGACAGGCCTTTATTTGGGACAGGGCTTTGTGGAAGATTGAATTGTGGAGAATCTATAACTGATCTAATGATGTTCATTATCAACATATTGACAGAAGTTTAAACATTTATATTTGTGTAGGAGATCAAAACGACTTAAAACTCGCTCAAGCAGGCGACCCGGTGGGTTTTAAGAGGTTTTATACATCGAGACAATTTCTATAAAATCCAGACCAGGCCTCTATTAGAGACCTGCATCTATTAGGGACCCTGCTTTTATTGGAAGTTTTACGGTAATCTATAATTCACGTATTAATTACAGTTGCATACATTATTAATAAAATATGAAACTAGATTAGAGTCTGAGGTTATTTATATGCTGCTCATTGACTTTTTGCTGCTGCTGTTATTTATTATGGATAAAATTAACCTCACAATCGACTTAAAATGAGTCAAAATCAGCTCACTGGGAGTCGAAATGTGGTTTAATCGACATTTTTGTTCTTTAAAAAGTGTCAGAAATGGATTCAGCGTCCTCAGTAACATTTAAAACTTCTAAAACTTCTCCGCTATCGTCCAAATCAGCCAATGAAATATCGTCTGTGTCGGTGAAAAACTTTGGACTTTCTTGCAGGACGTGAACAGCAGCAGCTTCCAGGAGAGAGCCGACTCGTCGTGTCCCGCCGCCGCCGCCGCCGCCGCCGGCAGGGGCGCTCAGGTGAGCTTCGAATGTGTCGGTAGCTTTAAGGTAAAGTCAGAGAACGAGAGCGAAATCCGAACACACGATGTTTGATTTCTTCCACAGAAGCAGACCGAAGACATCCGAGCGCTCTACTGCTGCTACCTCAGGAAGGAGATCGAGAACCGCGAGCAGCAGATGGCGTTCAGGGCGCTGAAGATGAGGAAGCTGGAGAAAGAAATATTACTACTCGATAAACAGCTGATGTAGAAACACTTTTTATCTTCCGATGAGTAACAAAAACGACAACAACTGATTCATTTAAGGTCAGACGGTTGTAATAAACGGCTTCAGTCACATGATTGCCCCCGGAGGTTGTTGTCACGTGACTTACTCACAGTTTAAAGGGAACTTACGACCACGTCAGATGAGTGATGTAGGAACTCTTTTATACGCGTTTTAAGAGACAATAATTTAACATTTTAACTTAAATTTTGTTTTCGGTTGCAGTCACTGACGGGCGGAGGTCTAATCTGACGGGCGGAGGTCTAATCTGACGGGCGGAGGTCTAATCCTCGCTGCTAAAGCTCTGACATCAACACTTATTCCTTATTTTAGAGGTTTTTTTAATGGAGTCTGGTCCTTGAGTTGGATTAAACACGACAATGAAACACTAATATAGAACGACGACACTCGATACCTCAAGAAAAATGTTCCTGCACACAAAAACAACACGTTTGTAATAATGTTAATTTAATTATTTAATCTTTTTCTTCCCCCGTTTGTTTCATCTGAGCAGCTTCGGGGTGAAAGTCCAACGATAAATCTGTTTTTATTTGTATATTTTCTTTAGTATCGACACTTCTGACGACCTTAACGAGGTTATTTTGCTCTACAGGATTATTTTTCAGTTGCCTTGTCTGAATAATTCGGACACACGTGGCCAAACACTAACATCACTTTACCTTTATAATGAGGAATCGCAGGTAAACTGATTTCTGCCACCAGCAACATGGGCTACTTTATTAATTGTTTTATTATTTGTTTTATTATTTTATTAATTGTTTTATTATTTGTTTTATTAATTATTTTATTATTTGTTTTATTATTTGTTTTATTAATTATTTTATTATTTGTTTTATTATTTGTTTTATTATTTGTTTTATTAATTATTGTATTATTTGTTTTATTAATTGTTTTATTATTTGTTTTATGATTTTATTATTTGTTTTATTATTTTATTATTTGTTTTACTATTTGTTTTATTATTTGTTTTATTATTGTTTTATTAATTATTTTATTATTTGTTTTATTAATTGTTTTATTATTTTATTAATTATTTGTTTTATTTGTTTTATTAATTGTTTTATTATTTGTTTTATTATTTTATTATTTGTTTTATTATTTGTTTTATTAATTGTTTTATTATTTTATTAATTATTTGTTTTATTTGTTTTATTAATTGTTTTATTATTTTATTGTTTTATTATTTGTTTTATTATTTGTTTTATTATTTGTTTTATTATTGTTTTATTAATTATTTTATTATTTGTTTTATTAATTGTTTTATTATTGTTTTATTATTTGTTTTATTATTGTTTTATTATTTGTTTTATTATTTGTTTTATTATTGTTTTATTATTTTATTAATTATTTTATTATTTGTTTTATTATTTGTTTTATTATTTTTTATTATTTGTTTTATTAATTATTTTATTGTTTTATTATTTGTTTTATTAACTGTAAGTTATGACACTATCTGTACGTTCGCACTGTAGAAGCGCTTCCTGTAATTTCTAATAATTAATTTTTTGTTTGTTTGTTTTTTTTAATGAATATTTATTAATTAGTGTAAATGTTGTTTTTGTGTTTTATTATTTATTTCTGTTTGCTCCAGAAACAGTAGCCTGTATAATAATAATAATAACAATGTATCTGAAAACAATAAAAACATTTAAAAACTATTATTGATCAGGATGAGATTTATTGATCGGGATGAGATTTATTGATCAGGATGAGATTTATTGATCAGGATGAGATTTATTGATTAAGATGAGATTTATTGATCAGGATGAGATTTATTGATCAGGATGAAATGTATTGATTAGGATGAGATTTATTGATCAGGATGAAATGTATTGATTAGGATGAGATTTATTGATCAGGATGAAATGTATTGATCAGGATGAGATTTATTGATTAAGTTATAGAATAAAGTTTTTGGTGAAGTTTAATCTCATCAGAATGTCGCTGTTATATCTGTAAATATCTGTTTATTAGAAAATAAAGTTGTTGTTGTTTTGTAAACAAACAAACGAGCTGAACGCGTCACTTCCGGGTCGCTGTCAGACGCTCGCGGAGGTCCGTTGAGAATCAAAATGGCGGCGGCTCTTCCGGAAGCGCAGTTTCCCGCCGGCGGTTCGGACTCGATCTAAACCCGAACCCGGACCGGAGACCCGGGTCCACTCAGACCCGGGTCCACTCAGACCCGCTGACCTCGGTCCCGGGCCGCTGGTCGCCGGTTGACGCCGCTTTATTCCCGCCACTGGCTGACGGAGCTGCGCGCGCTCCCGGTACCCCGCTGCAGACCTCCTCAATCGATCCCCGAGAACCGGATCGGTTGTTTCTATAGTCAGAGTCTGTGATTGATTATTATCAATATGTAATCAATAATTTAACATTTTAAAGCTCCAACATCAGTTTAAAGTAGTTAAAGGTCGTTTATATATAATCAGTGTAAGAGTCTGTGATTGATTATTATCAATATGTAATCAATAATTTAACATTAACATCAGTCTGTGTCATCAGATCAATCAGATTAATTCCCTCCAGCATTGATCACATCCTGATTAAATATATATTTTATTATTATTTAGAATTAAACCTTCAACCTGTGTTTACAGGTGAAGAAGAAAGTTAATTAATTAATTAAATTATCCGTTAAAACAAATAAATGTTAATAATTTGATTTAATGGAAGAAAACTGAGTAAATTTACAGATTAAAGAAAACATGTTTGTTGTTATATTTGTTTATAAATAATCATAATCATAATTATATAGAAAGTACAGTCATTATTAGAAACCTCCTGGTTTAACAACAATAAAAAAACAACATATAAACAACAAAACATATATAATATGAAATAGAAAATAAAAAGAGACAGTATCTATTTAAATAAAATGCTGCTTTAAAACTAATATATCTATAACAATATAATGTAAAACTATATTTTATGTAAAAAAATATCAAATTAAATAAAGTTATTTTCCATATTTTCAATTAATATTTATGTATTTTTCTCAGTATTTGACTATTTAAATATATTTTATATGTGAATACATCTTTTAAAGGCTACTGTGTTATGTGTTGTTTAGTTGTTTAATTCTGCTTTAAAACTAATATATCAGTAATAATATGATGTAAAACTTTAATACTATTTTATATTTTTCACTACACAGTGGAAATAAGTAACTTTTATAACTTTTTTTTAGTTATTCTCGATATTTTTGATGAATATTTGATTATTTCTCTCTTTATTTTTATATATTTCTCATATTAAATGAATAAAACCTCATTTATTTAACCTTTAAGCTCATTATAAAGTGTTATAAACTGTTTTTGATGCTGTTTGTTGAATTAAACCGGAGGGCTGCTCTGAGCGCGTCCTGGCTCTCTAGTTTGTCCCTGTGAGCTCTCCGTACTTTCACATGACTCCCGCTGCGTGTGACTGCCCCGCATTCCTCCGCAGACTCTCTCCCCGCAGCAGAGAGCCGAGCACCGCACACACACGCCGACCTGCGGGGGTTGTTTCTGTCCGTTCCCCGGTGACCGAGCGCTTCCTCCGGTGCTTCCTCCGGGACTTCCTGTCGGTGATGGCCGAGCTGCAGCCGTCGGACTCCGGACGGTAAGACCCGCAGAGTCCCGCTGAGTCCCGCAGAGTCCCGGTCCTCTCTCAGTCCGCCTCCTTCAGGGTCCAGATCCGGACTCCTGCTGGATCCGGACCCTGAAATAAAACCTCTGTTTGTTTGTTAAACCCTGCAGCTGAAATGATGCCAAACATTGTTGTTGTTGTTGTTGTTGTTGTTGTTGTTGTTTTTAAAGCAAACAAATTAACATTAACAGCGTGCTGCCTTCAGGGTCCGTTCAGCAACATCAACTTTAATAGAAGAATAAACGTTTAAAACATTTAAAACCTGAATAAAAACAACCAGCAGAAGATTTCAGCTCATTAACGGTTGAACACGAACTAGTTAAAGATTATAATCCTTCATTTATTCACAGTTCGGACATAAAATATCAGAAATTAACAACATGTGAGTTACAATATGTGAGTTTGCTCAGTTTAAGAGACATTACAGACATAAATATACATTAAAACTATCAGTTTGATCCATTGTACGATCAATAAAGTGTCCTGCACTTTGTTCTAATTACAATTAAAAGAGAATTAATGTAAAAACTAATGAAAAACCAACTTCTGAACACTTAAAAGCCTTAAAAAAAGACTTTATTTCCAGTTTAAACGTAAAATATCATCAGAAATTAACAACCTGTTACATAAAATACTCTGTTTATTGTTGTTTATTGTTGTTTATTGTTGTTTTCTTACTTTTTATTCTATATTTTAATGTTCCCAAGGTGCCGTTTGTGTTCCTGGGACATAAATATACATTAAAACTTTCTGTTTAAGACATTATATTAGCAATATTATCTATTTCTTTTATTATTGTCTGACTCTTATCGGACATATTAGTTAAAATACACATTTTAGTCCCAACTGCAGCCTCCAGTGGAGTCCGCCATGTTCCTACGGTAGCCCAGAACAGACAAAAAACCAAACATTGGCTCTAAATAAGGACGTTTAGAGGTTAAAGTGACGCTGGCCCTTTAAAACAACAGAAACTAATCTGTTTATGTAATTAAATAAAACATCAATACTTTAATGAGAGAGAATAAAAGTAATAAATAAAAAGACAACAGCAGATAAAAGCAGGAAGTGATCTGGAAAATTATCTGTTTACACCTTAAATGTTGTTGTTATTGTCTTTATTGATCAATCTGTCGATCAGTTTCTCTTCTGATTGATCAAAACGTTAAAAATATATTCATAAACCACGAAATATTCACTTTTCAGCAGCTGAAATCAAATAATTTGGATGTTTTCTGTCTTAAACAATTAATCAATGAATCTGTCGATCAGTTTATTGATTAATTGATTAGTCGTTTGGTTCATAAAATGCTGAAAAACCCAAAAATATTTAGTTTTTTGTCTCAAAAGACGAAAGAAACTAGAAAATATTCACATTTCAGGAGCTGAAATCAGAGAATCTGGATGTTTTTTCTTTAAAAAATGACTCAAAAAACGATTGATCGATTATCAGATAATTAATTGATCTCTTAATGACATTTTCTGTGTGTTTTATTTTGAAGGTGTACGTATTTCTTCCTGTACGATGGGTCGAAGGTCAAAGGCGAGGGCGACCCCACGAGGGAGGGAATCTGCTACTTCTACCCTGAAGAGGTTTGTACTGTCTGATATTGATCCCTGATAACTGATATTGATCACCCAGTGTTCACTATGTGTGTGTGTGTCAGACCCCGTTGGACCGACAGGAGCTGCTCTGCGGTCAGCTCGCCGGCGTCGGACGCTGCGTCTCCGAGCTGTCCCTCTCTCCCGTCCGCGTCCTGCAGCTGCGACGCAACAAGTTCGCCATCCGCATGAAAGACGACTTCTTCTGGGTGAGTCCAACGTGTTTCTGAGTGTATTGATCGTCGACTATCAATCAGTTTATTGACGACACCCGATTATGTTCTACAGATACTGATCAATGAACCCAAACAGGGAACTCAACTCTCCAGATTTTGATCCATTTTCAGCAGATTGGAGAGATTTTATGATTTTTTTAAGGAACTTTTTATACAATTATCTGTATATTTATTATTATTATTGTTATTATTTATTTTATTATTTATTTTAACAATCATAAATACTTAATAAGCCGTTGTTCTAATACAGATTGTGTTGTTTAAATATTAAATAACACAATATAAAAGTTATTTTAACTGAACTAACAGTTTATATCAAAACATTTTAACTTTCACAAAGTATTTATTTCACAATATAAATAAAACATTAAGTCAGTATCACTTAAATTTGTTAAAACCACTTCATCAAAAATGTTTTTTGACTTAAAATTTGTTAGTTTTACTTAAAACCTGCAATTTCAAATATATTTTTTAGTTAAATTAAATTCTAAACTGTAACACATGTTTATATACAGTATAAGTTGTGAGGCTTTGTGACCCCCCTGTGAGGCTCTGGCGACCCCTCGCGGGGGTCCCGACCCTCGCGTTGAACCACTGTTTTAAGGTGTGTGTGTGTTTGTTGTCGCAGGCTCTCGGCTGCTCGATGGACGTCCCGATCGTCAGCGTCTGCGAACTCCTCGATCAGCTGATCGACCTTTTTACTTTCTACAACGGCTCCATCAGACAAAGTTACCAGGTACCTCATTTACATAATACACTGTAAAACATAAAGTCATGTAAAATACACTGTAAATAAAACATTAGAACTTTATGTTTTAAGTCAAACTCAAACTTTTAAGTTGAAATTAACTTAAGTTTTGCCAATTTATAATCTTTTGTTGAGATAATTTACTTTTCTTCTTTGAGTTTTAAATAATAATAAAAAAATATTTTTCATTAATTGAAGGGTTGGAAATATTAAATTATAAACTGTTTTTCACTTTAATGACTAAACAAGTTTTTCTAAAGAAGATTCTTATTAGACTATTTAAAAGTTTAATAGTTTGACTTAAAATTATGAGTTTTCTCAATTTATTTTACAGTGTAATCTTCAGATTAGATGTTTTAAGAAACTTAAATGAGTTATAATAAGATAAAATATACCTTTTATTAAACCCCCGTAGGAGAAGTTACACACAGCAGCATTGGGGAATATAAAAAACAATTAACAATGTCTTAAATATTTTAAGTTTTAGATAAATAAATAAAGTTTAATGTATAAAATGTGTTGGATTAATGAAGCTAACTAGGCTGTGTAAAGTTTTCATTCTTTTAAATGTGTTTTTTTGGGGGACAAATTTTTATTGATCGTAGTGTAACGACTACAAAACAAAACCGATATGGAACCAATACAGATTGTCCTTCATATTCTTCAAGTATGGACGTAAAACAGGTTAAATTTTATCCTTAAAGGCCGTAAAAAAGTCTTAAAATGAACCTGCTGAAAGCCTGAGCTAAAGCTGTTGCACCATAAATGTGTTGTTTTCACCACTGTTTTGTTTGCTGTCGTAGACGAACACTAGAAGAACAAAAGTCACAAAAAAACCAGCAGATAATTCACTTGATTTTCCTCCTTTTTATCATTTTTATGTGCAGCTCAACAGTCAGGAAGCGCTGGCCGCTCGCTGGGCTCAGTACCTCTCACACCTTCAGTCCGGATCCTCGGAGCTCCATCACATCTTCAGCTGCCTGCGAACCATCGACTCCACCAACGTACGTAACGCCGACACCCAGAGTCACATCTGTACCGCCAAAGTTCAGCTTTTATTATCGGATATCTGAGTTAAAGCGAGTTTTATGATGTTGGGCCATCAAACATCAATGATAACCTCATTATAATAACCTGAACCACGATGAAGATACAGGAAGAGATGAGACGTTGGGACTAATCTCTTCTCAGAAATACAATAAATGATTGTTTGTCCAGCCTCTGGTAATTTAATACAAACAAATAAATAAACCAAATAAACAGACAGAAATCATATAGAAGGAAAAACAGTGAAATTAAATAAAGAAATAACATAATAAGGAAAAAAAGGAGCAATTAGTTTAGTTATCTATTTAGTTATTTTAGTTAAAATAAGATTTATGCAAAAATGAAAAGTTCAGGAAAGAAACAAAACAAAAACAACTTCTGTCTTTTTTAATAACAATATAAACAGAACTTATGTAAGAAGACAGAATTAATGATTTTATTAAACAAGAAAGATCCAAACACAGCGTCGCTATAAATGTCCTTTATTGTTCTGAGTCATTTTCTATAAACCTATAAACATTCAGCTTCTGTTATTCTTTTAAATCTAAAAAACTCAAACACGTCTGCAGACCAAACTCCATTTAAAAATCTTCCATTTTAATAACTAACATGTTCCCCTGTAGTTCTGATGTTATCTGTATGTCGGCTCTATAACGCCGCTGTCAGACAGGATGTGACTGTGTCGCAATCTGCTGTTGTGAAACTCATCAAACACACAAATTTCTGCGTATTAATTAAAGCTAGAGACGTTAATATGTGTGTGCACGCTGGCAAACAACCAGCAGCTTTAAAGGGGAATACAAGCTGCTACCGTTGGTCACATTACATATTACAAACATTATATTCCAACATCCTTTAAATGTCTTTGAGCTGATGTTGTATGGCCTTTTATAAACTGTATTTATCAGGTTTTGTTTGGTCCTTCAGGTCGATCCACTCCTGCTGCTGAAGGCCGCCCTCATTCTTCAGGCCTGCCAGCGCTGCCCTCTGGTGTTAGCCGGCTGCATCCTCTTCAGAGGAAGGTCAGCTCACATTTCCCACCCCTCAGGACATAATAATATATATTTATTTAATATAATGTAAATAAAAAGACTTTAAAATGTGGTTTTTATCCTCTGCAGAGTTGTGAGCACACAGATGTTTCCAGAGCTCACGATGAAGGTGATGGTTCATGAGAGTGAAACTTACACAAAGGTAAGACGACATAGATTAACCCAACGACAGAAACAAGATATTTAAGGACTGTAATTAACATTTTTCACCATTTTATGGAGCAAAAAAACAGATTAAAACTGTAGAAATCTTAAGAGTGAAGTGATTTTAAAAGCCTTTAATATCTCACAGCTGTTTGCTCACAGTAACTATAAATAGCTTTCATTTGTCACTACATCCAGGCCTCAGCTGCCAAAAAAAAACACATAAAACACAACATTTTAATCACATTTACGCTTCAAAAATCATTATCTTGGTGTTTATTTGTGATTTTCTCGCAGTTGTAACTTTTAGTCGCAGGAACCGAGTGCGATGCCAACGACACTATGTCATTTAATTCTGTTTTTAGGCTCCGAGGTCCAACGGACAGAGTAGCTCCAGCCCGTCTGGAGGTGCCGTCAGCTCCACCACCGTGTTCCTGACCCTGTCCGAACTTCAGTACCTGCAGTCCGCCCCCGTCGACAAAGACTTCAGGTAGCTTCATTTGTTTCCAGACGGTTTAATTTACACAGTATTTCCTGTTAAAAACTCCTTAAATCACCTCGGTATCGCAATTTTTTAGCATAAATGATTAAACATGGGAACAATATAACTGAGGATGAGATCTTAAAGGGTTAAATTAAACTGTTCTCTTCCCTCCAGCTCCCATTCGACTCCACACAAAGACACAGTTCCTCCGAGAAAGACCCGCCTGTCGAGAACCTTATCTGACATGGCCTCCACTGAGTCGGAGCCGTCCGATCCGGGTTCCCCTCCGTCCCCCCAGAAGGTCTCCTTCAGTCCCGACTCCACGTTCAGTCCGGTTCCGTCGCAGTCGCTGGAGCCTCCTTTCTCAAACGGGAAACACTCCCACGAAGCTGAGGAGGAGGCGCTGGAGGAGTCGTATTATCACAGCTTTCACAGCAACGGAGGAGGAGGAGGAGGAGGAGGAGGAGACACCTCAGTGTTTGAGGAAGACTCCCCTCTGAACGGAGGAAGAGGAGACGCGGCTTGTGGGACGGTGTTTGACTTCAGAGAGTCTCGGTCCGGTAACGAGGAGTCGCGTGACGATGAGGTTCAGGAGGAGGCCTGCAGAGGAGGAGGTGTTTGTGGGAGCACTGGAGATCCTCTTCCTCCCTCTCCTCCTCCTCTTCCTCGCTCTGGTGCTTTGGGCGACCCGGAGGAGAGTCCGCTGGTCCCCATGACGCTGTACATGCACCGGGTCAAAGGCCTGGTTCTGGCTCTGCTGGTGGAGCTGCACTTCCTGAGCGACACGGCGGCGACGGAGGAAGTGGTGAGAAAATATCAATTTAAAATGTTAAAAAACAGGAAATGCAGATGAAACATTTTCAGCGGCTTGGTTTAAACCTTTAAATTTGTCCAGAATGTTTATTTCTCGATGTTAATCACATTGGTTTGGTGTTTCAATCAATCAATCAATCACATTTTTATGTGAAAACTGACAAACCAATGTAAGAAACATAAACAAATACTTTCCTGTCCGGGTTCAGGATGGGAATCTAGAATTGGTTCCAAATTGTCCGATCCACTAAAATCGAATGCCTCCAAGGTTAATCAATGTTTTTCTGACAAAACAATGACGTCACTGGTGGAGGAAGAAATGATCAATAACGCCACTTATGAATGATTTAAACATCCGACATTCATCTGAATAGAATTCAGAAGTTTTTGAACTGAACCTTAATTTGTTTACCCTACTATAACATGCTGCTGTAAAAAAGTTCTATTGATTAGGTCGACTGTAAAGTTTGGCCAATATTTAAAGGGCCAGTGTGAAACATTTGTGAAGATCTATTGTCAGAAATATAACATTTATAGGTATGTTTTCATTAGTGTAATGTAATCATGATGAAACGTACCGCTGTACTTTCTCCCTCGTGCTGAGAAAGGGTGAAACGAGTGGGTTGCAATCAGCAGCATCACCACTAGAGGCCACTAAAACCTACACACTGATCCTCTAATCACATTTATCAATAAAGCATTGAATATAAATATTTAAAAGTGGCATTATAAATCAATAAATTGTTTTATGTTGTTTGTTTGCATTTAACTTAATTTTAAAATGTCACCACAACATATTAAATTAAATTTAGTCTAAAAGTAAGAAAATATTAAGCACATTTTAATTAATAACGTTAAACATTGTCCAAAAAAACTCATCAATCATTGTGATTTTATAACTTTAGAACGTTTCTATGAACTAAAAACTACTCTGCAATCTGCAACTTCACCACTAGATGTCACTAATCCAAACTCTGGTCCTTTAAAATTAATTATTTTAAATGGCAATATGTATTTAAAATGGTTATTTTAGTCACAGTTGTAATTCCAGTGTATTTTAAATGTTTAATTGAGGCCATATATTCACCCATACACAGACGATGCCCGACTGTACATTAGAGAACTAACGTCTCTTTGTGAGGCTAATAAAAGTTCTGTGTCCAGTATCACAGCAGCCTGGCGTCACTCAATGGACTGGAAGCCCATCTGAGGACCATCTCTCCGGGGCCTCCGGGACCTCCAGGACCCTACTTCTTCTCCCATTTCGACTGCATCCAGAGCACCCTGACAAGTGAGGCTCCCACAATGCTCTCTGATTTCAGCGAGTTTAAGCTCTCCTGCTCCGACCACATCTCTATCTGGGTGTTTGCATGAGCTAATGGCTAATTAGTAAAAAAGGGCTGTGATCAGCATTCCTTTGTGCAGCGTGTCCAGGTTTAATGTGCCGCTGTGGGTCTCCTCTCATTGTGTGTCTCTGCAGCCAACCTGTCTGGTGGACCAGGGGGAGCCCCGGAGCGTCCTTTTGTCAGAGCCACATCACTTCTTCACTCGCATTTCTGTAACACTGAAACTCTGCAGGAGGCTATTATCAGGTCAGTGTGGCAGCGACGTGGAGGTGGTGGTTGGAGGTCAGTGGTTGGGGGGGGGTTCTCATGGCCTTTTAATGCAAGCAGGAGTCGGGGGTGGTTGGAGGGGGGGATCTGTCATTTTCCTTTACTTGCAGAGAGCAGAGGTTCCCAACCTTTTTCCTCTCAGTTTATATTCAATATTAACAGCAGAGAACAATAACTGCATTAACCCAGAGATTATTTGAGCAGATTATTTCCTGTGAATGTTGATCAGAGATGAGTTTTCTGGATATTTTTATACAATTCTTTGTCTGTATTACTTCAAACGGACTTAAAAGGTTTATTTTTTGACAAATTCTGTGTTTTATTCTCCCTGACTTTGTTCTGTTAGCTCTTCGGTTGCTACAGGATATAGAGATATCCGCCTACTGTGTGTATGTCTAAAGTTTTCTTACACCCCTTAAAATCAAGAAGGCCTCGCGACCCCCTGTTAAGCTTTGGCAAGCCCTAGTGGGGGTCCCGATCACTGGTATTGATCACACACCCCCCCAAACATCTGACCTTTACCAGAGAGGAAAACTACTGTTTTATGTCTTTATTATTGCTCTTTTCTGTTGCAGGTCTTTGTTCTACCTCTTCACGGCCTCGTCCTGCATTAGAATACAAAGAGTTGATAGAACAATGAGAAGAAAACACTGAATTTGTCAAAATAAAAGAAGCCTTTTAAGTCTGTTTGATTGTTTAAATGATAAAATATACATAATACAGACAGAGGATTGTATAAAAGGTTCCTAAAACTATCAAGAAAACTTATCTCTGATCAATATTCACAGGAAATAATCTGCAGTTATTGTGTCCACTGTTTGTTGTTCTCTGCTGTTATTATTGAACATAATATGAAATATACATTAAATATAGTCAGTTTTCTCACTGATAGTAAGGGAAACAGTTGGGAACCACTGAGCGGAGAGAATAATGAGAAGAAAACACTGAATTTATCAAAAAAAAGAAGCTTATTAAATCTGTTTGATTGTTGAAAATAATAAAAATACAGAATACAAAGAGAATTGTATAAAAAGTTCCTTAAACAGGAAATAATCGGCTTCAAATTCACCCAAATTTCTTGTTTTACTGATTTCTTTGTACAGTTTGTGAATATAATATAAGATATAATAATGACTTAATAAACACGTGGGACGTTTCCTCTGCAGGAGCGCCGGCGCTGCCGTGTACGGGACCCGCAGCGTGGCTCAGGAGACGTTCTTCCAGCAGCACGGGGCGTCGCTGAGGAACTCGGGCATCCCGAACCACCAGGACAGCGCCTTCTCGCTGCCCAGCAAGGCCCGACACAGACTACTGAAACACGGGGTCAACCTGCTCTGACCCGGGGCGGCGGCGGTGACGGTGGCGGCAGGACGTCCGCTCTATTTGTTGAACTGTCCTGTGAGTAAAACCAACAGAGGAAATGTGATTTAAAGCTCCTGTTCATGTTTTTTTTTATTATTATTTGTATGAAATTATTCACAATGAAGTTTTATTTTCACGCTTGTTTGAGCACAATTTACCTTTTTGTATCAACAGTTCAACCAAATTAAGCTCCAGTTTCACTTCGCAGATGTTGTTTCCGTTCATCCCAAACTGTAATAACTCCTCTTTACTTGTATTTATTAATTTAATTTAGTCTAAAACAGGATAAAAGTCTTTAAAAAGTGTTTTTTGTACAGAATCTTTGCTGCAAAACTGTTGGTTTGTTACACAAATTTCTAAAATAATCTAAAATAGTTTTTATAAAAATATCTATTTCAAATCAAGTTTTTGACAGTAAAAAAAAAAAGTGTTATTTAACTATTTGGCTCTAAAAACTGCTGTTTGTTTTTCCTTTAAAGTGTCATTTGTTCAGGGGGCGGAGCTACAAGGGGGGGCGGGGGCCAATAAATGACACATTACATTAGATTAACTTTAATAATAATATGTTAAAGGTGGAAACGCAAAACTTACTGAGGAAAATAAAAATGTAAATGTTTGATTTCACCTATTTATCAGCTGTTAATTGGTATACAAAGTAAATTTCTTTTTTTAAATTCACAGAAATAAGATTAAAGCTCCAGAGTGAAATATTAAGGAGGATTTATTGTCAGAAATATAATATTATTAAGTGTGTTTTCATTAGTGTACAATCACCTGAAAATAAGAATAAATTGTGTTTTCGTTACCTTATAATGAGATGTTTTTATCTACAGAGGGAGCTCTTCTAGTGGAGTCCGCCAGGATTTAGTGACATCTAGTGGTGACGTTGCAGATTACAACCAACTGAATTTGTGTAAAGTGTGTCGGTGAATCTACGGTGGCCATGAAGCCATCCTATCTGGAGCCAGTGTCTGGTTCCTCTGTAGATAAAAAACAGCTCAATATAAGTAAAAAAAACACAATTTATTCTTATTTTAAGATGATTAAACACTAATAAAAACATACTTATTAATATTATATTTCTGACTGTAGATCCTCCTCAATGTTTCACACTGGAGCTTTAAAATACAATTTACTTATTGAATAAAGTGTTTTTGTTTTTTTTTTGGGACAGTGTTTAACCTTATTAATGAAAATGTGCTGAATTCTTTAAATGTTTTCTTACTTTTAAGTCCAGTATTAATTCCAGTCTTAAATCAGGGAAACATGTTGTTATGGTCACATTTTATACTGAAGTTCAAAGTATTTTATAAAAAATGTCAAATAAAACAATGTATTGATTTCTAATGACGCCTTTAAATATTTGTTTCAGTGCTTTAATAATGTTTGTGGGGGCAAATATTGATTTTTATATATAAAATATGTCTGTAGCTCCGCCCCTGCCTGATGCCTGTCTGTCTGACTGTCTGTCTGTCTGATTATTAGTGGAAATTAAATGAATACATGATCCTCTCAGTTGACTCTTGTGTGAGCTACTTTTGTAAAAGCTTGTTTTAAAACCACAGGGGCAACACGACCTTATTAGGGCCATCAGGGGCCCCTGTATCTGCCCCCCCCCCCCCTCAGGATTAATACCTCCAAAACTCACCTGGAGGACGTGCGCGAGGCTGTTTGGGGTTTAAAAAAAATGATTCATGTTGAGAGCCGCAGCTGCTGGAAGTCAGATGGTGCTTGATGATCGGAATATGGAGTCATTAGAGTCATTAGCTGAGGAGCTGAATGTGAAAGGACCCGGGTCGGGGCTCCTCGGGGCTCCTCGGGGCGCCTCATTATGCACGCACATTGAAAGAAAGCCGCGGGGGGGTAAATGGGTGGTTAAGGGCAGTGAACAAAAAGAGGGGCAGGGTCTGCGAGGAGGGTCAGGATTCAAATTCTAAGTGGGGAAGATGTTCCCATTGTCAGTGGGGGGGTTATAAAGGAGGCGGAGGAGAGCCGGGACCACAACACATCCAAACACCAGGACCTAAAGAGGGATCACCATGGCCTCCTCGCGCTGCACTCGGATTGCTCTGCTTCTTCTCGCGCTCATGACACGTGGAGTATCTGCTCGCGCCGTGGACTTTGGGTCCAAACCCGGAGAGGAGGCCTCCGGAGCGGATTTACGCACGGACGCGCTCCGGCGGTGGAGGATCGGCGGCGGCGGCGCGGAGACGCACCGGGAGCCGTGCGCGGAGCTGGCTGCGCCCTGGCAGGAAAACGCACGGGATACCGGGGATGATACCGGGGATGATACCGGGGATGATACCGGGACCCTGCTGCAGCTGCATGTCCGGCCCTTCAGCCCCAGGGGCCTCCCAGGGTCCGGTGTTCCCGGGAAAGTCGCTTTTCAGCTTCGTCCGGCGGGTTTACCGGTGCTGTCAGGAGGGAATCAGCTGCAGGAGCGTAAAGGGAATACAGGGTCGGCTGAGAGGAGGTGAGAGACAAAAACATGGACTTTATCCACTGCTTTATTCTCTATAGGTTATATTTGTTCAGTTTATATTAAAATAAAACTCGTATTACACATTAAAGGACAGAAACTGTTGAACTGCAGACCTCAAACACTAAGAGAGAGGATTTATTTATATTTAATACCAAACTTAAAGTGTTCAGGAGCAAAAGAATAAAAACTATAAAATCAGAAATAAACTGAAAATAGAAATTAATCCAGATTAAAAACTAATTAAAGTGAGTTAAAAGTGTTTTCTAAAGTGCAGGGTGGGAAGTTTTAGGGAAAATGAATTATTATGTGTGTTATTATAAAATAATATAATTAATATTAATATTGATTATTTCTGTCATCTCTCTGATCTCCTGCCATCTTCATCACATCAGCTCCACAAAGCTCCTGAAGCCAACTAACGAATGCTAACTCACAAAAACTGACACAATATTAAATCCAATGTATTGATTAAAGATTTTAAAGACTAATCAATGAAAGTAAGAACATTTAGTTTCTGCAGTATTGTCAGTGTTTTTAAAGACATCTTCTCACAGACATGAAACTGAAGCTATTTGATTCTTTAGAAAAGTTCATTTAAATCCTCCGTTTAGTTCAGACACTTAAAGCCTGATGGGGATGAAGTTAAAGGACAGTTATGTAAAATTTAAAGCCGTTAAAAACAGACTTTTTCAATGTGCAACGTCTCATTTAGCCGATCCGGGGTCGATGTGAAAGCTTCCCGTCACAACAATATTGTCGACTTATAATTCGAATGCAGGATATAACGCCTCAAACAAACGTCTATATAAAGAATTTACACAAATTCAGTTTATTTGGGTTTTTCCAGCTTCTTCTTTCTCTTTATTTCCTATCCTTCATGTGCAGGTCCTGAGTTAGCAAGCTTTAACTCAAAGAATCAAAACATTTAAGTAAAAGTAAATAAAGTTTATATGTTGAAAATAAAAACATCCTCGATTGAGTAGATTTTTCTAGTAAAGTTAAATTAAACTGACTTAATTTTGTGATTTTTATTTGTGAAACATAATATAAATAGTAATAAATACATAATGAGGAATATTAATTTAATTAACAAAACTAAGTCAGTGTCACTTAAAAATACCAGTTAAAGCAACTTAATCAGGATTAATTCACTTTAATTTAAACAATAACTTAACATCTCTGATTATTTGTGTTTTATTTTGTTTTCACAGTACAAATAAAAACCACACATTTAAGTCCACGTCACTTAAAATTAGTAGTAAAAGCCTCTTAAGGATGTTTTCAATGTGCACAACTGAGTTCAAGGGAAGACGTATTTCTGTAGTCCAACCTGGAAATTAGCATCGCCCAGATTACGAGATAATCTCCACAAATTAACTCCGCTTTATGAGTTTTGTTTTTAAAGAGAAAAGGCTTAAAACCTCACAGATCGGTTATTTACCGATAGATTTTATGTCTCTAGAACAAAACTTTAAAATCTCTTCAGCTTGTTTTTTTACCACAGAACTAAAAACCCAATGCTAACTCCAATCAACAATCAAATGCAAACTCATGTCCGTGTTTTAGGCCTCTTTCTTGCAGCACTTTGTTTATTTTTGTTGTTTTAAAAAGTAAAAGTGAGTATTCTGATTTAAAGTTGAGTTTAGCAGCTTGTTGCTGGCCTCCAGGGGCCCCAGAAAGCTTCCCACCCTCCCCCTTTATGGGCGTCCCTGCATAATCCGTAGCAGTGAAAGCTGATTGGAGGACATTAATGGCTTCATTAACGCAGCTGTAAAGATGTTATCTGCATACAAATGAGTCTTAGTCGTCCCCTGCGAGAACCGTCGAGGCGTCCTGCTGACGGATTAACGAGGTATTAGGAGTGACAACATCACCTCTGTGGTTGATCTCTGACACTCTCCTCCTCTTCCTCCTCCTCCTCCTCCTCCTCCTCAGACACAGACGTGGAGTTTCTCCTCACCCGGGAGATTTCATCGTTGACGCTCCTGCGAGCCGAGCTCCACCTCCAGCTCTCCAACCCGCAGCATCTGGACGTCCATCCTGTTCTCTCATCCATGGCGAAGCGCGGCCTTCCTACGAGGTAAATAACAAAACTAACTCCCGCCTAAAAGCGACAGTGTGGGAGTGATGAACTCTGGGAGGTTTTTAACCCCTCTGTCTCTCGCCTCCTCCTCCAGGTACAGTTTGTGGTCGCGGGGCAACACGGTGGAGCTGAGGGTGGATCTGCTCTTCCTCCTCCAGAGCCTGCAGGAGGCGGCGGGTGGCGCCGACGGGGGTCCCGGCTTGGTGAACATGCGGCGGGTGGTGTTTTCCTCTCTGCAGGACACCGACGGCGCCGGCGCGCTCCCCGCCCTGGATCTGGGCTTGGTCCTGGGCTGCAGCCGGGATGGATCCGGGGTGTCCTGTGGAGCCGGCGGCGTTCACCTCTCACACACGCCGTTCATGGCGCTGTTCTACCAATAAGACTAAATACACTCAGTTTAATCCGTCTGAAAGCTCAGAAAAGAAAACATGCACTTTAATGTCAAATCTATTAATTTATAAATATATATATATATGTGTAAATAGTGAATATGATATACTGTAAGTTTATGGAGGCTATTAAAGCTCAATCTGAGTGTGTGGTCGTTTTCTGTGAACGGACGAGGTTCGGTCAGCTGTGATCTGACCTTTAGATGTTCTGACCTCTCGGATATGTGCTCCTGTTTAAAGGAGTTCTCACAGTTGGTGGGAAAAAGGTGGAAACAACAACACCTGGACAAGCAGAGAGGAAAGCCTGTACATGTGCTGTGACCCTGCTGAGAGCAGCTGAGACTGAAACTGTGGAGGCAGAATCTAAATGTTTGATTTAGAGTATTTATAAAGGCGTTAACGGGGAGTTAAAGTCACAAACATCAGCTTAAAGCTCCTGTGTGTAACAATTAAGAGGATCTAAATGTAATAAAATATTCATAGGTATGTTTTTATTAGTGTTGAATCACCTGAATATGAGAATTATTGTGTTTTTGTTGCCTTAGAGTGTTTTTATCTACAAAGGCAGCGAGTCCTCTTCTGGTGGAGTCCGCCATGTTTCTACGGTAGCCCAGAACAGACAAATATAATATAAAATTCAAATACAGATGCGAGCAGTATTCAGTTAGTTGCAGTTTGCAACTTCACCACTAGACAGTCAGTAAATCTTACATACTGGTCCTTTAAACAATTAAAGGGACAGTCACATATTAAGTTAACTAACTAACTATATATATGTGAAATATTAGATTTATTGGATCATATTATTGAAATAAAAGTTGTTTTGAGTTTAATGGAACCCTATTAGAATACTTTATAAAATGTCTGAGGTCTGAATAATGTAAATACAGGACCAATAAAGTTTGTTTTGAATCTATATTGTTGTTCTGGAGGGATTTTCAAAATAAAATCACCCCCTAGGATGTAAATAAAAACCTGCTGTAGCCTCAGTTTGACCGATTTGACCCCTTTCAGTGGATTTGTGCTTAAATCAGCTCGTACTTTAAGACCTTTCCCCGTTGGACATCAACGAGTTAACGTCTTTGTTCATTCACAAAGTTGCGTAACTCCAAAATGCTTCACACTTTGGATTAACAGGCACTTAATTAACTCCCGTCAAACACCGAATAACCTCGATTTAAAAGCACCGAACGAAAAACAGCAGCGACACGTTCTGATAAAATAGCACATTTATTAAAAAGAGACAGCATTTATCAGCACCGCCCCCCCAGTTGTTGCAGATATATGCCACATCTGAGTGAGATCGGGGGTCTCCGGTACAGTTCTCAGCCCTCCTGCTGCCGCCTACAACCCTCAGAGGAGCACTTATTGATCACATGTACATCTATTACTCGGACCGAAGCACACACACTCGCTGTTTCATGGACGATAGGACAGGCTCTCAAATTTGTCTCAGTTTAAATTCATCTCACACGTTCAGCTGCTTTAAAAAATAAAAATAAAAAGAGAAAACAAGTTGACATGAATCAGAGTAAAATGAAGGTTCACCAGGCGCCACGTTAAGACGAGTTCGGATGGAAATGACGGCAGTTCTTTGGTTCTCGTGAGAAATAACACAGAGCAGATCTTCATTCCACTCCAGGTCGTTCAATCAGGAGACGTTATCGCCTAAAACCGGTGTGAAAAAGGCTGGTGAGGAGCTCAAACACATGAGAGGTAATAAGAGATAATAAACTCTGGATATATATAACAGTCCCTCCAGGATTTCACAGGCTTTATTTGGGTTGTTGTGGCCTAAAACATTGACGAGGATCTATAGTCAGAAATATTATATTATTAATAATAATAATAATAATAATAATTAATAATATCGTTGTGTTTTATCTCCAGTGGCGGAGTCCGCCATGTTGCAATCTTCACTTACACCACTAGATGGCATTAAATGCTATAAATTGGTAACTACAGCTTTCCTAAAAAAAACTACGATGTTTTTAGGCGTTTTTTTTTTTTAAATGAAATTGCAAAAATAGTTGCGATTTAAAAAAAAAAAAAATCATTAAAAATCAATTGCAGTTTGTTCCAGTGAGAATAAAATCGCAATAATTTGAAATTGTTATTAATCAAAAAGATAATTAATAATAACCCGAGTGGGCTGATAAACGTCGCGTCATCTCGTCTATGTTTACTATTTTGACAAACGTTGGTTAAAAGATAATTGTGACTAATGTACATGAATCAGTAATCTGGTTATCTTCCGTTAACTAATTAAGTTGGAGCTCAACGTAGGCGACAAATTCACTGTGATTTGTTTAATTTACATAAATTGTTTTAACTTCCTGGAGGGACTGATACACATTTATCTTATAAACATTTACATTTGTTTCTGACTTTAAGGATATTAATTATACTGACGGCTGTTTGTGTGGAATGAAAATCAAACTGTGTTTAACTGATAAAGGGGGTTAAAAAAAAAACCAAACAAAATAAACCAACAGAAGAGCAACCTCAAGGCGAATGATGGTAAAGCACAATGTATTCAATAATTCAAGGCAACAGAGACAAACACACAAACAAACAAAGGACATGATTTTAAAATACACGAGGCAGTGCAAAAATGTCACACCAATAAAATATCAACGCTTTTAAAAACTCAAAACAGATCCTGAGGAAAAGAATTCAAACATACAAGCGTGTTATAAAATATCTCCAGATCACCCCCCCCACACTCTGATTTAAATTATATATAGAATAGACTGGAAGATCCCACATTTTCAGACATAATCTCATTTATTTTAACTTTTGTTTCCCCCCCCACCCGACAGTCAGTTCATTCGTCTGCCCGTTAAATTTCTTCTTTTATACTCTGTACCAACAACCGTTCCTCCCCAGGAGAAAGGCCACAAAGTCTTCCTCAGGAGAAAAATTAAAAACAAACAAAAAACAAACTCCCCCCTCCAGAAAAAGAAAAAGACCTCAGCTACAACACAAAAGTGATGAAAACAAAAACCGTCACACGATAAAAAAGTGTGATCTTGTACCTTTATATACAGACGCAGCTGTGTAGACTCGCAGAGGAACAGAACGCGGTGACTTTGGTGCTCAATTAAATGAACTTTTTGCATCTTTTCAGAGGAGAAACAAACAAACAAAAAGCCTAGATGGTCTTAAATATGCAAAAAGAAATAAAAACAACAACAAACCCCTAAAAAAAAAACAACAACAGACCGAATATTTTCTGGCTCTTCTCGCTCGCCATCAATCAAAAATGGGGAATCGAGGAGTGAGGAAGGATCCACGACACCTGAATTATTAACCGTTTTTCAAGTACTGCATATGGTCGACAGCAATACTGACAGGGAGGGAGGGGGTCGGAGGGGTCGGGGGACATTTAAGACGCATTAGTGAGACAGGCAAAGTTACAAAATCGTCCTCGGAGTAGAGCGAAGCACTTAAGGGAGGTAACTAGATACATAAATAGGAGGGTTCACAACGCGACTCCACGAAAAAATGAAGAACAAAGCTGCTTTTCAGTCCGTAGGAAAGCAAAAACAACTACAAAAAGGGGGTATCACAGTCGAAGTGGACTCTATGGAGGCTCTTTGGTGCCAATGTGACGGGAAAAAACATCCTGTAAGTCATTATAATGAGAAAGTTTCTCATTACTTTGTGATGCCAACTTAAAATTATGAGAACATTCCTCATTACTTTGATAGTTTCTTCAAATAATGAGAAACTATCAAAGTAATGAGGAATGTTCTCATAATTTTAAGAATATTTCTCATCATTTTGAAAGTTTCTCATTATTTTTTTAGATGCCAAGTCAAAATATTGATAGTATCTCAAAATGAGAAACTTAGTCAAAATATTGAGTTTCTCATAATTTTGAGAAAATTTCTCATTATTTTGAGATACTATCAATATTTTAACTTGGCATCTAAAAATAGCGAGAAACTATTAAAATTGAGAATTTTTCTCAAAATTATGAAAAAAAATTAGACTATTAGTTTCACATAATTTTGATAACGTTTCTCATCACTTTGAGATGCTAACTCAAAATATTGATTGTTTCTCAATATTTTGACTTAGTATCTTAAAATTATGAGAAACTATCAATATTTTGACTTAGTATAATTTTTTTTTTAAACTTTATCAAAATAATGAGAAACTCAATATTTTGAATTAGTTTTCATTATTTTGATAAAGTTTAAAAGAAATTTGAGAAACTAAGTCAAAATATTGAGTTTCTCATTATTTTGAGATACTAAGTGAATATTGTGATAAAGTTTCTCATTATAACGACTTACAGAATCTCTTTTTTCCCCTCACATTGGCAGCAACAGGCTTCCGTAGGACTCTGATAATGTGGCCACGTGGAAGAAGAAAAAAAAAAAAAGGCTCAAGGATAAACGTTTGTCCCCAGTTTGCTCAATTAATTCAAGGACCAGAACAAGTAGCTTAATTGCACTGAAAGTTCACACTGAATCAACAAATGTCCACATTTAAAAGATTTAAGACAACAGATTTGAAAAGGCTGAGTGAAGAAAACACAATAAATGTAAATTTGTAACATCTAGTAAACATTTGATTTTCTACTGTTGTGCTTTCTGGCCTCTGGCTGCAGATGGATGAACACACAGAGGAACTGTAGGGAGGTTTCATACAACCGGTATTATATTAACATTGAGCAGCGGCGACCGGAGGACTGAAGGTCACGGCCCGCCAGAGTCAACACGGTGTTTCTGTCGTACAGCGAAAACACAAATTTGTAACAAAAAAAAAACAAATGTAAAAAGTGGCGAACTCTCTAAATCAATTAATAATTAAATTGACCCTTCCTAAGCCCCGCCCCTTTTTGCTCCCTCTATGTTGGAAAGACGAAAACAGTTTAAAGATGGTTGAAAGATAAAAGCAACATCTTGAGTTAACTAACGATTGATGTAAATTTTGCTTATTTAGTTAACTTAAGACTTCTATTCATACGTGGCGCTTTTATATATTTTATCCATCTTCACGATGTGGTCGTCTCTTCAACATACACGTAGCATAGCATAAGACTTAGGAAGAGTCGATTCCAGCCACCAGATTCTCCTTTTCTAACCAAAACAAAAAACAAAAAGACATTCTTTGGTGAAACAAAAAGGCAGGCATGCATAAAGAATAAAGAAAGAGCGAAAGATCACAGAAAGACACGTCGTTAAAGATCGCGACTCGCTTTCAGCATTTCACAGCATAAACTTTGCTCTCACTGAATGAAACTGTTGAAGGTTGAAACATTCTCACTTTTTATGATTTTAAAAAAAAAAAGGATAAAAAGAAATACTTTGTGATCACTGTTGAGGACACTTTTGAGATTTATGCGTCAGCACTCGTCGGCAACAGGTTTGTGATACGTAAAAAAGGCGACTTAGACAGCAGATAATCAATTATTCTCTCCTCTCGACAACGTATGGCAGGTAGATGATGGCACGTCGAACAAAAAAAAAAAAAAAAAAAGGACTAAACTAAATTCGATTGGAAAGACACAGAAAATAAAAACTTGAGAAAAAAAATGGCGACTGTATTTTTCCACTAACCGTCTGACTCTTGATTTTCTAAGCAGCACCGTTTCCAATTCGAAGGTGTCTGAGCAGGAGTGTTAAAACAAAGAGTGTGCGTTCCTTTGCGACACCCCGGTACAAAAAAAACAATGCTTTTTTTATTTTTTTTAATTTATTTTTTAATTTATTATAATTTTATAATTTTTTTTTTTTTTAAAGTTTATAAAACGTTAGGGCCCCCCGGACCGATCGGCTCCCCGAGCGTTCCCGTTAGCTGCTGAAAATTATGGTTCTGAAACCGTAAAAAGACGGGCGCTCTCTCTCTCTCTCTCTCTGTGGAGAATGACGGACATTGTTCAGCAGAAGTTGATGCGACACATTTCACAACGAAGCGAACAGCATTCGGCTCCTTCCTCGAGAATCTGACAGCAGCTTCATCTCATGAGTGGCTTTCCGAAAAGTCTCTTTTTGTCCTCCTGTGTGTGTGTTTGCTTTTACCTGCTGTTGTTGTCACCTTGACCCTCCCTCCCCTGCCTCCCCCTCCTCCCTCCCTCACCCCTCTCTCTCTCTCGCTCTCTCGCTCTTCATAGTCTCACGTCCGTCGCGGCTCACAGCCGACAGAGGCAGAACAACGTGGGGATGAACACCCCGAACGCCACCAGGATGGGGAACATTAGGCTGCTGTTGTCGGCGGCGTACGGGTTCGGTGTTCGGGGGCCCGACTGGACCCTGTTCTTGGAACCTGGCGTCACCTTGATCTTCCCACCTTCCTCGCCTCCCTCGCTATCCTCCTCTTCCTCCCCGTCCTCCTCCTCGGGCTTCTCCAGGCCGGGGTGAGGCTGAAGTTTTGGCACGTCTGTCGAGTTGTGAAGGGAAGATGGGTGAGGGAAGAAATCGGTACAATCGCGTCTGTACAACTGAAGATGGGCACTCGCTGTACGATCTCAGGAATGTTTAATTATTTAATTAACGAAGAGATCGGCTGCGACGTAAAGATACGAATAATATGAACCATTCTGGCTTTTGACAATTGTCAATAAAGTATCTTGTTTGCAGATTGTCTTTAAAAAACATACGCCGGAGTTTAAGGAAGATCAGAAGTCGTACAGAGTGTGCCCATCTTACAGCTACTGTAATAACACACACAATAAACTCACCTTCTAATGTCCCCTTCATCACGTAGAGAGCGCAGACTTTGGGGTTGTCGTAATAACCCTGAAACACACATAAAAGAATCAGTGAAACAGCAAACAGGCTATTTAAACACAGGAGTGAATATAAACCTGGTTTCTAACAATGTTTTAAAAAGGTCGGAGCAGCCTTTACATAAAGCATCTTATTTTATATAAAGTACAATCAGATATAAAACAGAGTTAATGAAAGACACAGGAATGTGTTTTGAGTCAGCATCAAACAAGATATTTAACATAAATTAACTCTAAGAACAGGATTCAAACTCAGATACGTTAGTGTTTATTTCCGCCTTTATCTTCCTTAAACTCTAATCTAAATATGATCATTAAAAATGCTTTTTCCTCTTCGTTTTTAATCCTAAATTTATCTCACAGTCACATTAAACACACACTTGGTGCAGGTGGATTTCGGCTGCGTGAGGGAGATTTTTTTCTGTCATTTCATTCGTTGGAATAATTTTAACGTTTGCAAAAAAACCCAACAGACTGAACAGCGTGTCCCACTTTTATCTCTTTAAAGAGAGAGCAGCAGAGAAAGACTGCAATGTACAAAAAAAAAAAACCCCACATAAAACAGAGAAGAAGGAGGTCAGCGCTGATTAAAAAAAAACTTATTTTGAAGTGTGCAACCCGACAGATTTCGCCTTCAGCCACATGTTCTACAAACGCCTTAAAGAGAATAAAACACAGACGTACTGCTTCTGGCGCTCTGCAGGACTCGGCTGTGTCTGTGAGTAAAATATAAAAACAGAACCAGAGATCCGACTGTGATGAGCTGCTTTATCTGAAGAACTGCAGAACCACAAATACGGGCAAAATGAACCAACAACTAATCGTTGTTATTGTCGACCTGTGTTAAAACGTAACCCCCACGAGAGGTTGCAGGAAGAGTCTAAAGACTGCTGTTGTTGGATGAGGTGAAGAAACTGTTGCTCCTCTTCTATCATTAAATAAACTGACATATTTTATATATATTTGATATTACATTCAAAACTGTACAATGAACCCAAATAATGAACTCAGTAACTGCAGGAAGTTTGTGTAAAACGAGTGATTTGGATGAATTGAGTGAATTCTCTGTCTGCATTATGTATTTTTAATCATTTTAAACAAACTTAATAAGCTTCTTTTTTGACAAATTCAGTGTTTCCTCTACTTCAGTACCTGTTTGTGAGTAGCTCTCTAACTTAAGCTGAGCTCTCTGACTGATGTGCTGCTGTATTGGTGCAAATACGGGCAAAATAAACGAATATGGGTCAAACACACATTCTAATTAATTAATAAATAAGCATATTCACATATTAAGACAGATGTTTCAGCAACTGATTGGCTGATTTGGACGATATAAGGGAGGTTTGGGAGTTCTGCTGAATTAATTTCTGACATTTTCAAAGCATAACATGGCCGTTTAAACCAGAAGTGGTTATATTTCAACTCCCAGTGGGTTGTTGATTGTGAGGTTATTAAAATTCATAATACATAACAGCAGCAAGAAATATTACACCTGAACTTTTGCACCAATGACACTGAGCTTTCTTGCTTCCAATCCAATCTATTAAACATATAAATAACATCAAAATTAATAAAAATCTGACCACTTACGGTTTAAAAACGGCCATGTTGTGCTTTTAAAATATCAGAAATGGATTCAGCATCCTCATTAAACCCTAAAACCTCTCCTATAATGACTTTGAATCTGATGTAAATTCTGATGCAGTAAGAAGAGAAAAAGCAACGTCTGTACTTCCTGGCAGGAAGTTAAATGATTTTAATGTAGATAGCGAGAAAGATGAGCCTGTTTTATAAGTAACCTAAACATAAAAACCACCTGAACCACATTGTTAAGGTTGCTGGGAAGGTGATGTGTGTCCCACAGACACTGCTGGTGGCTCCTGGCAGGTACAAACCAACTCCTGCACCTTGACTTTGAACCGTCTTCCCTCAGGCCGGAGATTCAGACCAAAGTTCAAGTGCAATAACAGTAAAAACTTCTTTGTTTCCTGTGCAAGAACCATGCCTAATTTGCACATGTAATTTGAATCTAAGCATCTTATTTTAGCATCTTTTTACTGCATTTTGTAGTTACAAGAGTCATTTTTGTGTCTGCAAATCCAGTTTCTATCTGGTTAGTTTTCTTCACAGAAGTGAACAAGTACTGACATTTAGACATTTTAGATGTATATTTTTTAAAGTTTTCCAACACTCCAAGAAGGCCTAGTGAGCCCTCATGAAGCTTTTGGCGACCCCTAGTGGGAGTCCCAACCCCCCTAGGTTGGGAAACACTGGTTTAGGGTGATGGATTCAGGGTCCTCGCTGCTCATTTAGAGTCACACTACTCCAAATTCATCCTCCTCAAACACTACGTATGGCATTCACAACAGATGTTTTTAGATATGAGCACTAACTGGAAGAACGGGTCGGACGTTGGAGAAACTGAAAACAGAATTATTAGTAATTTAATTGACTGCTGCACCACATGGAGGTAAACTGATCTGATAACCAGACGTGGGGGCTGTCAGTCATTTGCATGTCCCACACACTCCACCCGTCTCACACACTCCACCCGTCTGTCGACGGCCCCTTTAGACACCGAGCTCATTGTGTCAACGTGCTGCTGATTTTACATGTCGGCCTCGTGGTTGAGTCCCCGATGGCACTTTGATGATATCATCACATATTCAACGCGGCTCTAGTCTCAAACGAAGGGCCGGCAGGTTAAAGGGGACGGTTCAAGTTGTTGCTTTCACACTTACAGGGTTCACAATCTTTCCAAGAAATGGTTTTCCAGGACCTTTTACAGGAGTTTGTGTTAAAAATTATTAAAAAATACATAATACAGACAGAATTGTATAAAAGTTCCCTAATCAGGAAATAATCTGCTCAATATTCATCAAAATCTCTCATTTTACACAAACCTCCTGCAGTTACAGAGGTCACTGTTTGGTTTCATTGCACAGTTATTGAATTTAATATGAAATATCCATAAAATACGTCACTGAGTCAGTTTATTAAATGATAGAAAAAGGTCCCTGAAGGAAAAAGAGGGTAACTGTAATAACCTCTGCAATCTGTCTGCAGTGAACGACCGGATTCTTCCACAGTTATTGCTGAAGCCACCGAGCTCGTCACACAGGAACGGCAGAGAAAGAACCAAAATATCCAGTTCCACCTGAACGGACAACAGCCTGCAACCACTAAACAGAGCAACACCTGAGGGGAGGGGGGTCGGTTGGATAATGTCAAAATGTCTCCACCCTGACTTCAAGTCATCTTAACAAAAGATTTCCTATCTTAAAAAATAATAATAAACATCTATTTTACACCTGTTGGGTTGAATAAACAGTCTGATTAAAATGCACACCTGTTTATTGTGTACCAGCAGGTTAGAGCCAATTATTATTAATAATATTCACTCTAATTAGTTTGATCTGCAATATCTATAAACGCTGATCAGCTGACAGGAAGAGTATTCAGTCTTTGACACACATCGATTTACTCAAACATCAGAGATTTGTTTTAGTGTTTTGCAGAGAAAGGGCGAGACGCTGAAGCACGGAGCAGGTAAAGCAACAGTTTGGATGTGTTGGGTGATTTCCAAACCAAACACCAAAATAAAGGTGGATAATTAAGAAGAATAAAAAAAAAGGTAAAATCAGAAATGAGCTATAGAAATAGAAATATTCCCTCCACAGTTCCTCTAAGCTGCTTTAATAACCAACAACAGGCTGCGGTTTAACAGCATGTCGGCTGCCAATAAAAACACAGCTGTCGACTCATGATTGAATAATTAATGGATTTTAATACTTTAGACTTAATGTTGTTAAGATTAAATAAATAAATAATAATAAATAAATAAATAAATAAATAAATAAGGCTACACTATTAAACATAAGGCTTTAAAAAAACCCCGATCCAAACACCCGTAAAGCCAGTCGGGCAGGAACGGCAGAGAAAGAGCCAAAGTTTCCAGTTCCACCTGAACAGCCTGCAACCGGGGGAGCGAGGGGGTTTCAGTTGTCAAACTCCACCTTAACTTCAAGTAATTTTAACATAATACTTCCTATTGTCATTAAAAATTAAGGAAAAAACATCACTTTTACTCAAAAGTGGGTCGCAGGAGATTTGCTGCACTTATTTATATTCTCATTTATATTAAAGTATTTTAAAATGTGTATCTTGTTTTACCGATGAGATGAAAATAGGCCTGTTACAATAACTCTTAAATGCATTCATCAGGTCTTATCAATAAAATATTTAACGTCTGTTTCCAAAGAACACATTCATAAAACAAAGTTGTGATTTATTAAACGTGTTTCTCCTCAAAATGGCTGCTTTACCTGGTCAAGAAAATGATATGAAGCAGAAATAGCAGTAAAAAAAAGCACACATTTCTTATTTATAAATATATTTATATGGATCAAACTTCCATTATTTGTTCCTTGAAATACTGAAGGCAGAAAATCTACCAGCTTCATATCACCCTGTTTATAATACAGCATCTTAACGAGGTAAAACGAGCGAACCGACACTCCTCCTGTGACGTAACGGCATCCAGAAATTCCTCAGATGATTCAAAACAACCACAAACTCACCTTTACAAACTCCACGGTGAGCTTGCCGTTGAAAGTGGACACCTCCCCCTGCACGCTCAGCTTGCCACGTCGGATGGAGAAGGGGACGATCTCGTCGTGGGCGGTGCTGTGACCCACTCGGTCGAAGATATCCAGGTCCTTCACCACCACGTGGCCGTTTAGACGCACGTCGAACACCTGGGGAAAGACACATACCCGGATCAGTTAACAGCTAATCCCCACACACCCACACCCACGCCCACACACAGAGACAGAGAGAGAGAGAGATTAACTGTTAATCATTATCTTTGGTGATGTTGTAAAGAAGTTCTGGTCGGAAATATCCGAAATGATGAAAGATATTTGACAAACACTCAGAAATGGATCCAGTGTCTCTGAGTTTGAGCCTCTTAAATAAGGGATGTGACTACTGTGGCTGGCAAAAGGTTATAAAGGACCTCTTCTGTTAGTGGTTGGTGTAAAGTTATATTTGAGCTGGTTCCTGCATACCAAAGGAGATCAGTTCTCCAAAGTCTGCCAGCTTTATTTGAATTATCTTGGAGCTGATTTTTCCTCCATTTTCTTACAGAGAGTCTACAGAACTCCTGTAACCTCCTATACAGATTTATTATTAACTGAGCTATTCTCTTTGTTTTGTTCCTTTATGTGATTGTTGCTCATGTTTGTGTTATTGTGGTTTAATATATTGTATATATACGGTTGGATCTGTCATGTTTCGGGGGTTTGTGTTGCAGCCAGTTGCACAGGAAACTTTGCATGCAGCTAATTCTGGAAGCAAACATCTGAAGGTGAAAAGAGGAAGTCTACAACAAGATAATGATCCTAAACGTGCCTCGAAATCCACCTCATGAGACGCAAGCTGAAGGTTTTATAACGGCCCCTCAGAGTCCACTCACTTAAATATAATTGAAAATCTGTGGGTAGATCTTTGAAGAGGCACCAAGAAATCTCAAACACAAGAACTGAGGGACTTCTAGCTGCTATAAAAGCGTTTGCAAGCTGTGATATTAACACATTCTTGTTCAATTTATGAAATAAAACAAAACAATGCATCAATGTTTGCTGCAAATATTGAGAGAGAGGCTGCGTTTACGTCTCCTCAATGAGACCAAACTGTTATTTGTCGACAGGGCGGCCAAATGTTTGCATTCAACTGTATTACAACTAAAGTTCAAAGTTTAAACCAAGCACAAATAAAAAAAGAGCTCAGAGCAAACACGCTCCATTTTAACTGTAACTGAGCAGATATTGAATACACACAGACTCCGTTATACTACAACATCTCTGATTCAGTCGTTTTCATACCTTCTGCTGCGACTGGGCGAAGTAAACTTCTGCATACTTCATAACGAGTATATAGTCTCCTTCCTCGCGGATGGGGACATCGTATCCGAAAGTGTCCTCGTTGTATCGCTCCGTCTGATACAGGATCTGGTCCTCGGGACTGGAGCGCAGTATTGGCAGACGCACTCCATAATCAGACGCTACGGAGAAAGGAGGACAGCATCAGGTTCAGCTCACATTAATACTGGAAAACTGATCATGTGAAGGCTCTGACCTCCCCCCCCGCACTCGGTGAAATACAGTCCCACTTTACACAGACATTTTTTTCCTACCACATCCCACAGAAGTCAAACCACTGCAGTGCAAGCTGTGTGTGCAGACGGGGGTTCAAACGCAGGTTAACGTGTCGCCGTCTTCACTACGCCTGACGAGGGGAATTCTCTGAGTCACCACAAAAGTCACAAGCGATGCAGATTTGTGTCGAATATGATGGAAAGAACCACAAAGAAGAAGGAAATGCAGCTACGACACAGACTGGGACTCATAACTGCGACTACAGACCATAAGAGCTGTGAAACTACAGCTTCCTGTTACTGTACTCAGGGTTCCCACTCTTTTATCAATTCATCTTCCAGGAGTTTTTACTTGACAACACAGGACAGCACTTGCTTACAAACATCATAAATCATAAAAGCTTCTTATTTGGTCTTTTTAAATCAACTTCCAGGAGTTTCTACGAGTAGTAAAACCAGTTTCTAAATATCCAGCTTTGCCAGGATGCGAGGGAACCCTGTGTGCTCGGGGGAGGGAGTTGGGAAATTTGCAAATAAAATAGATTTAAGTCTTCCACACGCTAAAAGGCCTAACCTGAACTGTGTGCAAAGCATAGAGCTGTCATGAGCTGAGGGGCAGAACAGAAACTATACTGTTATCAACCTCTCAGCATCGGTGACGTGTCTCTTACACAAACTAGAGCTGCACAATGTGGTGCAACGGTTAATACACATTCTTTGGCTCATTATGTGTCACACTGCTGATTTGCAGATTGATGTAAACTGTGCAGCTTTCTACTGTTTGCACTTTAATATAATACTAATATAGTTTATTACACAATATCACAGTAAACTGTCTAATAGACGTGAACAAATAAACACACAATTAGTCAATAAAGAAGCTTATTAATCTGAATGATCAGGGAACTACTGACAATATGATAGATGCCTGTAATCTAAAATATTGACTATTATTGCCGTGTATTTCTATTCGTCTATATCTTCCTCGTCATGGATTATGCACAAACTGATGTATGATTTGTGCGTGAGGTTGGTTCATCACTCATTCACTTTAATAAAAGAAGACGCTGCTATCCTCGGCACCACCATTGAAGCATTGTGGCTGCACAATATCGTTAACTTTAGATCAGAAAAACACACATAAAATAAACGTTCCTAGTCTCCGAATCTCCATTATTAATTGATTTCTCTGTTCTGTAGTCAGCGTACGGTGAATCCAGGTCGGTAGAGACAGTGAGCCGGGTATAGTTCACACATTGGGTAAGATTGTTTAAAATGATAAAGACATCAAACAGGCAGAATGGCATAAAGACACATCTGCTCCTAATGCATTTAAATCACTTCTTTTTACGCAAACTTCTTCCACTTATTGTCTTCATTGTGCAGTTTTGAAGACAATGTGAAACATCCACTACTATATGTGACTTAAATCGGTTTATTAGAGGGCCAGACAAGGTGTTTGTGAAGCGGTGTGATCACCTTGCAGAGAGGGGCGGAGCAGCTCTCCTCTATGCTGACTCCTCATTAGTGTGAGCTTCACTTGCGGAAGCATGCAGAGGTCTTTTTTTTTTTTTTTTTTTTTCTCTCCTCCTCTCCTTCAGCTGGAAATGTCTGAGCAGCTTTTTACCTTCACAATGTCCCTCAGCAGCAGCAGCAGCAGCTTGCAGCTTCAAGCGCACCTTAAAAAACAACACACAGACACAATAAAAGCACCAACTTACCTTTGCCAAGCTTCCCTTCCAGCGGGTCCTTCCTGAAGTGAATACCGTGCACGTCTACATGTGCTTCTCCCCCGGCGTTTACAGCCCAGATCACCCGCTCAGCGAGGCTGGGGCCCCCGCCGTCCGCCCAGCACTGCTCCGCCAGCAGCGACAGCACCGCTGCGAGGAGCCCGACGACCCGCTGCATTGCCCCGCACAGCCCGCTCCTACAGCCACAGACACACGGAGGGGGTGGGGGGGTGAACACCTGCTTGTTTCTGAAGCAGTATCTGCTCTACGGAAGTCCACATGTAACGTTAACTAACGCGCGGAGCTCGTTTTAGTGACAGGCAACACGATCTGTGTGGAGTTAGCCTGTGTGGCTAGCAGGGCACCGACGTTCACGCCCCGCCCTACTCTGCCGCTGATTGGCTGAGCCTGACGTTCTCACCCTGGCGTTGTCCAATCACGCCGCTCAGCCACTAACGGCAACGCGTGTCAGCCAATCAGAAGCGGAGTAGGGCGGGGCGTGACGTGGGAAGGAGAAAAAAAAAAAAAAAAAAAAAGAATTGGCATACCGGCAGTAGCATTAGCATTAGCATTAGCATTAGCACAAAAAAAAAAAAAAGCACAAAATCTGAAATTATACATAAAAACCAAAAATTAAAACCGCGAAACATTCAGCCAGTGTCTCCCTGAAGCAGAGAGTGGCAGATAAAGCAGCAGTGTAACGCCATAAAGCTCCCTGTAACACAAACAGTCGCTGACCGAGCTAACGGCTCTTACCGTCCACTAACTGCTCGTCCTTTTCCCGCCGTGTGAGCCTCCCTCTGCCGGGGCACAGCCTCACCAGGTTGCCGGGGCACTGACGGATGAGCTGTCCGAGGGGCCGAGGGGCCGAGGGGCAGATAATCTCCGTCGGGGGGCCACAGCCGGATGAGCTGACGCTGACTTTCATTCAATGTGTGCTAGCTGCTAGCTGCTAGCTGCCAGGGTCCAGGGGGCGGGGCTGCGGCGCTACCTAACTTACGCTTCCTCTTGAGTGACAGGCGCGGCGTCCAATCACAGCCCTCCACCGGTAAACACCGTTTTATACAGATGTTAAAATAAATCTACTTTATTATGATAATATATATAAAATATAATAATGCACACATTGTAAGGATATTGCGCTTTAGGTATGTTTTAGGGGTGGTAAATAATTTAAGTCTGTCTTTAAAGTGCTGAAGAGTTTATTCTCTATTAGGGTTATTATATTATTATTATTATATTATATTATTAAGGGACCACTTTTATGGCATTTAGTAAACTGATTAAGTGATATATTTTATGGATATTTCATATTTTATTAAAAACTGTAAACAGTGAAGTTTTTGAGCAGATTATTTCCCGTTTAAGGAACTTTTTATACACTTTTCTGTCTGTATTAGGACATTTTTCTTAACATTTCTTCACAGAAGTAAACCATATTCTGAGCAATAGGCCTCGCGACCCCTTTAAGCTTTGGCGACCCCCTAATGGAGGTCAAAACCACCCTGAAATTAAATAAAAATGAGACTTTTCTTTACGATATATCATAATATATATGTTTTTTGGTAACTGTTGTGTTGTATCTTGAGCTGCTGTAACAAGCACATTTCACCAGTGTGTGATCAATTAACTCTATTTTACTTTATTATTTTTTTATTTAATTTAATTTAATCTTATGCTACTATAATAAAAATCAACGTTATATCAAATCCCTAAAATTAATTATTGTTTTAATTAATTTTTTACTCATTTTTCTTTATTTTACTGTATATTTTTACCTCATTGTCTCTTTATTACAGCTTGTGTAATTTATTCTTACACAATAAACATGAGAAGTTTAATATCAGAGGCTATCAGTTATCTTCACTGACATTATTATTTATTTAATATTTTAAATTCTAGTAACATTACACGTGTTCTTTAAGAAAAAAGCTCCCCCCTCCTTCCGGTATGGATATGGTACAGTCCGACTCTCGTCCAATCAGGAGAGTCCAACGCAGCGCGAGGGCTGAGCGGAGAGAGGAATGAATGAAGATAGTTGCTATGGCAACAGCCAACAGAGATGACAGGTGTCTCATGGCTGCCTGAAACAAACACTGCTGGACAGACAGGTAGACAGACAGGCAGACAGGCAGCCAGGCAAAGGGACAGACAGACAGACAGACAGACAGGCAGCCAGGCAGCCAGACAGGCAGGCAGACAGGCAGACAGGCAAAGGGACAGAAACATGCTGCAGCACATCTGTCAATATTTACTGTCAGTTTAAGAGCAAACTCACCGTGTTTCCACTGTATATAAACATTAACTGTATGTAAACATTAACTGTATATAAAACATTAGTTGTATATAAAACATTAACTGTATGTAAACATTAACTGTATATAAACATTAACTGTATATAAACATTAACTGTATATAAACATTAGTTGTATATAAACATTAAGTGTATATAAACATTAGTTGTATATAAACATTAAGTGTATATAAACATTAGCTGTATATAAACATTAACTGTATATAAACATTAACTGTATATAAACATTAACTGTATATAAACATTAACTGTATGTAAACATTAACTGTATATAAACATTAACTGTATATAAACATTAGTTGTATATAAACATTAGTTGTATATAAACATTAACTGTATATAAACATTAACTGTATATAAACATTAACTGTATGTAAACATTAACTGTATATAAAACATTAACTGTATATAAACATTAGTTGTATATAAACATTAACTGTATATAAACATTAGTTGTATATAAACATTAACTGTATATAAACATTAACTGTATATAAACATTAGTTGTATATAAACATTAACTGTATATAAACATTAACTGTATATAAACATTAGCTGCAGCTGAAAGGACAAAGCGGTTCAGCAGCAGTGCTGTTTTTTATTTTTAAATCGTGGGTGTTCCTGTGCCTGTAAAAATAAATAAATAAATAAATAAACCCTCCTCGACTCTTCCTGGAATTAAATTCTATGCACTCAGTTAATGTGGTTATTTTAACTGTTAGCAGGTAGTTTTAGCTGTGGAATAAATTACCGTATGTAAGAAATGTGTCTGTTACTGCGTTATGATGTAATTCATGCTTAAACTGATTATATATAATCTATGGAAGCTCATTAAAGCCAATGTGATATTATAATGGGAAACTTTATTTAGTATTGACTTTAAGATATTATGTAATTATTTTTAAGATATTAAATCATTATTTTGAGATATTAAGTCATTTCTGAAGGGATCCGTTGACCTCTGACCTCAAGATATCTGACTGAAAATGAGTTTTATGGTTACCCAACCCCATTATGCTAATCACATACAGTATAAATGTGTTATTTTAGTGTATTTTAATATTGGGACTGGGGTCCATAAACAGTGTTTGAATTACATGAATTGGGAATTACTGGAAATCTGAAACACAAACTTAATGCCACCCCAAAAACATCTGGACACGCTCCGGTACATCCTGGAAAACCTGGAAAAAGATCAACATTTAGAAGCTAGTTTTCCAGTCATTGAAACACCTGGAAATGTATTAAAATGACCAAATAATCTATGTTTTACTGGATATTGTTGTGTTTTATCCCCTCACTCAGATGGGTGTGTATTTAGTTTGAAACTGTTGGTGAATAAACTGTATGACACTTTAAACACGTTCACCAGATGCAAACCTTCCGGCATCAAGTCTATTTTTTCCAGAGCTGCAAGCGAACATCTCATATCTGCACACACAGCAACACATTCGTTGTTGCTGTGGTTGATAAATAAATGCACAGTGATGTTAACTGCAAGTGCAATTAACACGTTAAATTTCTATCAGATTAATTGTCCTGTAGAATAAAATGAATTCTACTTGATTTGAACTGTTACTGATGAGCTTAATGCAGTTTATGTGTCCGTAAATTAAGTCCTGGAAAAGGTCCTGGAAATGCTTTCTTTAAAAGAGAGTGTGCTGAGTTGCTGCAGGTGAAGCTCACCCAGCCTGCAGTGCGACCAGAGACATGAATAATAGATAAAAACCTCAAGACATGCAGCGACAGCACACAGCGCAACATTAATATACTGGAAGGGACATTTTGACAAGAACTACAAACAGAAAAAAAAGGGGCTCAAATGTAAACACCTTTTTTATTTTTCTACAGTCAACTTGGCGAAATATTTTGTTCACTTTGTTAGACAAAAAAAAATGCAAATGTGCATACTGAATTCAATAATAAATTTCTCTCTTTGGCATGCATAAAAATTGCTTCGACAACACAGATGTGTGGAACGTTACCACAACTACAATCATATCGACACCGACGTACAGTACAGGTGATCACATCCCCTGTAAATACAGTCCGCATGAGTTATTCCTACTGAATGATCTCAGACCTGAAGCTTAAAGGACCAGTGTGCAGGATTTAGTGACATCTAGTGGTGAAGTTGCAGATGGCAACTAACTGAATACAGCTCTGTTTGGAGGTTTGTTGGGACCCACAGGGACGTGTAATGTTATTGCTTTTACTACCTTGATTGCTCGACGCCTTATCCTAAGTACAGGTGAAATTAAAATTGTTATTTTAATCCTTCAAGATCACATTCTCAGTTATATTGTTTCCTAATTTAACAATTTATGCTAACAAATGTACAAAAACTCAATTTCTTTGTATTTTTATATCAAAATTCAATCATTTTATCTTCCTGTAAAACAACAATGTGATGCGTGCTATCCTATAACTGCTTGTTTTTACAGGAAATACATAAATACGATGAAGCAAACAGATCTCTGATTTCTGTTTGTTGTTGACTTTAACTAGAAAAAGGTCAGTTGTCCCGTTTCATACTAGACGGCTTAAAGAAATAATGTTTAATTTAAAACTAGAGAATATTAAGTTCACAGAACAAGAACGTAGTCACTGCAGTTTACCTTTGTTGGCCGGTTGAACCTTTCTAACTATAAAACCAGCTCATCATAAGGGAACAAAAACACAAATATTCCCATATTCAGGTGATCACACACCAATGAAAACATACCTATGAATATTATATTACATTACTGACAATAGATCCTCCTAAATGTTACACACTGGACCTTTAAAGACAGTCTGCACACACAGCTTACAGGAGGCTTTAAATACTGTTTCAGTTGCTGTCAACCTGCAGACAATAACACAGACACAAACGTATATTTCAGAGTTCTGCTGCGTCTCTTCATTGCGAGTCAGACAGTGATGCTTTTATAAGACTGGACCGGCACAGTGAAGAATCACAGATGGTCACACAGTTACATTACAGGTGTTATATTGCCACACAGGTTCCTGGGCGGAGCACCAATGTCACACGAAGGACGAACAATTTCTATTATAACACCAACTGTGTGGAAACGTACTGAAACACTGATACAGGAAGTCTCTCATCCCGACTCTGTTACATCAAAGGCGACTTTTTCTTTTCTTTTTTTTACCATGTAGACATTTTAATCCAATAAGTTATTTAAAAAAAAAAAAAAGTTTAAACTGGTTATAACGAACGTTTTAAGTAACACAAACATTCTTGATTAAGCAGATTTTACTAGTAAATTTAAGTGACAAATTTAAGTTTTCACTGTACAAATAAAAATTACAAAATTAAGTCAATGCCACTTAAAACTACTAAAGTTACTTGATCAAAGATGTTCTTTGAACTTACAAAATTAAATCGGTTCTACTTAAAATTGACAGTTTCAACAATATTTTTAGTTAAATTAACGGGAATACATCGGAAATTTGAAATAAAACCAACAAAAACATTTTAAGTTAAGAAATATTGATTAAGCAGCTTTCAATAGTAATTTTAAGTGAAACCAAATTAGTTTTTTATGTTACAGAAACATTCCTGAATAAGTACTTTTAACTATGTTTTTTTTTTAACTGTACGAAATCATTAAGTCAGTGTCACTTAAAATGACTAAAGTTACTTGAACAAGGATGTTTTTAGAACTTAAAAAATGTAGTTGGTTCTACTTAAAATTTTCAATGTGATCAGTTTCAATGTTTTTTTGATTTAAACGAGCTTATCTGGTTTAACAGTGGGCGATAAGTTATTACAGTTTTAGAAACAGTTTACATCGAAACTTTTAAGTAAAACTAACTAAATTTTTTTAACTTAAGAAATATTATTGAGTCAGCAGCTTTTACTAGAAATTTTAAGTTAAACCAACTTAGTTACAGAAACATTCCTGATTAAGTACTTACAAAATTAAATCAGTATAACTTAAAATTACTGAAGCCACCTGATCAAGAATGTTGGTTCAACTTAAAATGTTAAATGTAATCAGTTTAAACTGTTTTTTTTTGTTAAATGAACTTATCTGGTTTTTACAGTGGAGTATGAGACAAGACACCAGCAATCTATCCACACAGGAAGTTATTTAGTGAGAATTAAAGTGCAAAAACATAAGTCGGACAATCATCAGCTAGGCTACAGCAAGTTCTGCCTCAGTTGGAGACGTTTTCAGGAAGAACACTTATTGACTGAAAGTGTGAGGTGACTCCTCGCTCCGTTAACATTCGAGGAGGTTTCATTCCAGTGTCATTCAGATTCGTGTGGCTCAGAGATCTCGGCGCGTCCCGTCCTCGGTTGTTTATACTTGGTCAAGTACAGAGAAGGACAACGGCTTCACATTCAGGACCGATCATTTCCCGATGTTAGCGAGACATCATTCGTACGAACTCTGCGAAAAGAGAGGGAGGAAATAAAAGTTCACAGAAGACCATAAAGTCGATCAGAGAGAGAGAACTTTCTGGGCATGTGAGTCTTCAACCTGCATTTCTTCTAATGGCCAGCAGGGGGCAGCTAATTGGTTGCATAAAAGCTCCAATAGTATTGAGTCTTATGGAGAAATGATCCGACTTCTCAGTTGATTTATGAGCTCAGTAAACAGTTTCCTGATGAGTTTCTGGTCTCAGTCTCTAGTTTCAGTCTTCTTCCATACAGCATGATGTTCATTTAGTAACTGATGGTCCCATTTAGAGTAAAACAGACCATAAAGCAGGGTATGCTTTAGGGCGGGGCTACCTTGTGATTGACAGCTCATTCTCAGTGAGTCCGTCCAGCTCAACGCACCAAACTCGTTTCAGAAACATATTTTACTGCAGTGGTTCCAACCTTTTTCCTCAAGGAAACCGTTATCCTTTAATAAACCGACATACTTAATGTATATTTCATATTATATTAAAACTGTACAATGAACCCAAACTGTGAACTCACTAACTGCAGGAAGTTTGTGTAAAACAAGAGATTTGGATGAATTTTGAGCAAATTATTTCCTGATAAGGGCAGGATTATGTCTATATTATGTATTTTTAAAAATTTTAAACAATCATACAGACTTATTATGTTTCTTTTTTGGCAAATTCAGTGTTTAGGTTAAACAATTTTCTTTACCTTTACTTTTCTTCACAGAAGTGAACTAAATGCTGACATATTGGCCAACTGTGTACATTTTCTAGCACACCTTAAATTAAAGAAAGGTACTAAATGAACATCATGCTGTATTGAAGAAGACTGAAACTAGAGACTGAGACCATAAACTCATCAGGAAACTGTTTACTGAGCTCATAAATCAACTGAGATTGGCTCGTTTCTCCATAAGACTGAATGGTAATGGAGCTGCCCCCTGCTGTTCATTACACATATTGCAAGTTTATCTTTCAGACCCTTCTTTTTTAGGGAAACTCTACATAGTGTGCCTTTAAATAAGTTTTTTTAGGTGGTTTACCTTCAAAGTCAACAAGTCCGTCACCATTCAAGTCAACATCCCTCAGGATATCTTCTACTTCCTTCAGACCAACCTGGAAACAAAAGGTCGGTGAGTATTCATACAACAGTTTAAAGACTCTCTGTTGTCTCTCTGATCTGATCTGAATCTCACCTGCTGGCCCAACAACTTCCTCATCGCATCTCGGAGCTCAGATGTGCTGATGGCACCGTCTCCGTTGGTGTCAAACTGGGAACAAAAGGCGACATTAAAAGTGTAAATAGTAAAAAAAAAAATCTCACAGCATTAAAACCAACTGTCTCCGTCTGAATCCAGAGGCTCTTACCTCTCTAAACGCGTCTTTTAACTCTTTTATCCCGATCATGTCTGCGGTTTCGGCGAGGAGTTTTGGGCCCATCAACTCTACAAAATCCTCAAAATCAACATGACCTCCCACTTAAGGAAAAACAGATTGTGGCACAGAAGTTCAAACCACGACACACACACAAGATAGATTAATGACATATAGGTGCAATGGGCAGTTAAATACTTACAGTTCATGTTTATCTGTTGACTCAGTTCGATCAGCTCCATCTCAGTGGGCATGTATCCCATCGTTCTCATACAGTTCCCGAGGTCTTTACAGCTGATGAAACCGTCCTTGTCCTTGTCAAACTCTTTGAAAGCGTCCCGCAACTCTGTTGAGCAATTCAAAGTAAAAAGAAATATAGTTATTTAGCAAATATAATACAGTTTCTACAGGTTTTAACAGGCTAAATTTAAGACTTTTTTAAGAGCATTATTAATGTAATTTAAGAGCCAAAAGCCTGCAGTTCCTCTAACTGCCACTAGAGGCTCCAGCAGTGAGTCTCCATAAGGTCTCATATTAAAATGTTCAACTTTACAGCAGAAATAAACATATTTACACCCTTTTTCCTCGTTCGTGACAACTGTACAACTCACCTGTTTAAATTATATCAAGGCTTAAAGTTATGTTTAATTAAGGGCGTGGTTGAGTTGAGTGACAGGCGGCTGTTTTCAGTAACGAGGCTTCGTACGGCTCCAACCACGCAGTCTGGACTACCAAGATGGCGACTTCACTGAAACCCCTTTTCCAACATGCACAGCTACTAATTTCTCACATCAGTGTTTAATTTATAGCATCAACGTTACGATAATTCATAACATTAATCTATGTTTGCTCGGGTATTGGTATGACGTTTATCCACACACGTGCTGGCTCGGTTCGGCTCGGTTCAGCTCGGTTTGATCCACGATGGTTGAGATATCTCAAGACTGAATGAAAAGATTAACACATTTAGCTTTCTATAAATTCTTCACAATAAAAGTCAGCGGTTATTTTGTCATTTGCAGGCTTTTATTATGACGCAGCAAAACCAGGAAGCGTTTGGTTTTCATCAGCAGTAACTGAACCCGACTCCTATAAAGCTGAACGCGAACACGAAACAGTAAAATAAAGTAGATATCTGAAGGAAACTGGGACGCAGGACCTCAGAGATTCAGTCGGAAGATACAAACGTACAGAGAGCTGAACAGACTTATAGAAACGTCCGTCTGAGGGGTCGAAAAGGTGGAAAAGCTTTTCGACTTTAACTTAAAATCACATTTAAAAGTGAGACTGAAAAAAGCAACTTCATACAAATTAATGTCAATAATCCAATTAATGTTTAAGACCTGAAAAAAATCATATTTAAAACCTAAAACTTAGATTATTTGAGTTTTTAACTCCCTGCAGACTCTGTATTAATAACATTTTTGGCCCCACGTGTTTAAATATGCCTTCCTTTGTTTTGTATCTTTAAAATACATTAAATACAAGAAAGAGAGAACATTAAAGAAACTTACCGTCCATCTCTTCTGGCCTCAGCTCTCGGTCCTGTTGAGAGATAACAATCAATCGCTGATCAAATTCACATGAAAAAGCAGCATCATAACAAACTCAGAGCGTGCAAACACACCACCGACAGCGCCGAGACTCGAATGATGCCCAAACCTAAATCAGAGTCCTCCATAACAATCAGCCTCCTCGTGAACCTCAAACTTGAAAAAGTCTGAGAGGTAAAAGATGAGAGAGAAGAGTGAAACTGTCTCAGTGTAAAGAGGCCGATCTCTATCGAGCACGAACCTCAGAGTTCACAGAAGAATGCAGCGGTTTGTTCTTCCAGCGCTCGCTTACAATGAACGCAACCTTTAAAGGGCAGAGAGTGAGGCAGACATATCCCAGAACCCTCAGGGGTTAACAGCAGGAGCCGCGAGGAAGTCTAAACACAACAGCGTTCGTGACGTCAGGCGAGAAGAAACGTCTGACCAGAAACCAACACCAGAGAGAGAGCATCAATCAATCAATCAATCAATCAATCAATCAATCAATCAACATCACTGTAAAACCTGACAACACATCCTAATTAAAGAAGTAAGTTTATATAAATTAATCCTCTAAACTAATTAAATTGCTGAAGTTTGTTTTCATTTTCTTTAAGTTGACTTTATATAATTATATAAATATAAACATTATACTGCTGTAAAGCTTTTAAATTTTAGTTTATATTTCAGTTTATTAATCATCATAAACCCAAATGTGCATCCAAATAATCCTCAACGATCCCCTAAAGTGTAAATATTTTAAACTAATTGGCAACCATTTTAATAATCAGTTAATTATAAACTAATTATCATACGTCAGCTGTTTTAACAGTTTATGTAATAATTTGCTTTAATGGAAGAAAAATTAGTAAATTTAACATTTGTGTAAAGATGCATTTAAGTGACTTTATCCAGATAAATTCAGTTCAATTAACTGAATTCAATTAGTACAAATTAACTTAATTGACCTAAAGTGACTTTAATAATAAATACTTTAGTTATTTGACTTAATACACAGTTTAATCGGTTTCCTCAAACAGTTTAAGTTGAACTTACTCATCAGGTTTTATAGTGTAACAGGTTGTATTTGATCAACGGGAAGTTGTTCCTCGATAACGCTCTCGTATCTGTAAATATGAAGCTACAGCCAGTTAGCCTAGCTCTGCCTGAGGGAAACAAAATCCGCTTATCAAACCCGACAAATTTAATCTCTTTTCTATACACGACGAACTCCAGGAACTATTAGACTGTGGTAGATGGAGTTTGTAACCGGGCTAGCTGTTAAGGTAAGTGTTCTCAATCCCAGGCCGTCACACACAGACGCGAGTAGTGTTCAGTTAGTTGCAATCTGCCACTTCTCCACTAGATGGCACTAAGTCCTAAACACTGGTGCTCAGGCTCCAAACCTGTGTGTCCCCTACTGACAGCAGGATACCAGAGAAAAGCAGCAGGAGTGGAAATAATGAACTATAGGCCTTTTTCACAGCGGCCATTTTGACCTGAAATAGTAGGGTAAACAACAAATGAGACTAATTAAAGTTTATTTTAGTGAATGTTTCCAGTGAGCCGACATGCAATTAATTAGTGTCATTGGTAACAACTGTGTTTACCCTACTATTGTAAACCCTACCCTACATGTAAAACAGGCTGCTGTGAAAAAGGTCTATTATGATAGAAACTGAAAGCGACAGTTGTTGTGGCAGCTTGTTTGCTAATGTTAGAACTCTAATATAAATACAGACAGATAAAGATGTGGATAAAGAAAAGGATGTTTGTCCAGACTTACGTACAGCCTGCCTGCACGTGGCCATGCCTTTACTCAGGAAGACACAGGTTTGCCCGAGTATGTTGCTCACGAGAACGTAGTTTTGTGTCACGGAAACAATCGAGTCCCGATAAGGCCCGAGATACCCCGCCGGGCCCATCTGCTCACAGGACAGCACCCCTCTGAACCTCCTATCAGCATCCTGGACCATCTTCCAGAGGGGTGCAGAGACAATGTTAGACATCAACAACTTCTGTGAGAGAAATCTGTACGTTTACGGGTTTTTTCCTGTTTATTTTACAGAAGTATCCTGTGAGTTTACACGTCTAATGTAAAATAACGTGAAAAATCTGCAACTGTAAATAAAATGACAAAAATGTCCTATTTTTCCAGATAAAAAGATCAAAATACATGATTTTGTTGCAGATATTTACTATTTATTTAATAGATTAAACTGTTAAGTTCAAGTTTAATACTTTTTTCTAAAATTATGTAAAATTAGTGACAATTAACAGTAAAAAAAGAGTATTTGTTGTGTAATTTTACATGGATTTGTTTGTTAATTGACAGATATTTTGTATAATTCTGGAAGTTTTAAAGACAAAAACGTTGAATAAATGTTGTTTATCAGTGTATAAGTATTGGTCAACTGTCAAAATACAGTTTATCAATCAATAATTACTGTAATTTCACAGATGATTTTTATTAGTTAAAATTCTGAATAAAATCAGAAAAATCCAATAATAACAGCACTCTACTGTAAATTTAAGCTTTATTATTTGTATTATAGCAGTGTTCACTTGTATTTATAGCTTATTTAATTGGTTTTACAGTGTAAATATGTTTAATTAAACATTAAAAATGTGATTTTACGTAAAATTAAACCTTAAAAACTGTATTTTAATTACAGATAGTTACTGTATTCTTACTTGCAAGTTGACTGTATTGAATTTTTTCTGTGTCTAAAAGTATTTGTGTGTGTATGACAGAGAGAAACAAAAATATGAAAACATGGAAGGAAGGTAAATGCATCAATAAAACGGCGCGTTGCCAACTTTCCACTCATCCTTCATAACAGTTTACTCGCCACGTTTTAGGTACTGGCACCTCACACCTATACACTGTCACAGGAACAGTAAACACACTCAGAAGCAGAGGAAAGACGAGCGAAAGCTCCGGGGAACATTAAAGACGTCTTCTTCTTATTCTCTAGAAAATAGTTCCTGTCGCACTCTGCCAGAGTCTGCAGCCATTAATCTAAAGTGTTTATACAGAACGCACTCGAGGGCCAAACACCAGCAATAAGTTGCAGTTCATAAAGGAATTTCCATCACAAACCACCAACGTTAAACAGATATTAAAAACTAACCACGAGTTCGATCTGTAGGCTAATAATCGACTAACTCTTCATGAAAACATGGCAGAAAATGCAGTTTTCAGCCTCTCAGATATGGAGATTTTACGGCTTTTCTCTTATTAAATAGAGAAGAAAGAACAAATGCAACTGCACACAATTATGTAAGATTTAAACAAATCTAATAAGACTGAGAAACACAATCATACTGTTCTCAGAGGCCATTTTAATCATCATTAAAGTAATTTTCAAGCCAATATATATGGAGATTCCTCTGTTTTGGAGTATTTGGGGTTTAAACTGACAAAACAAGACATTTAAAGACGTTCTGACATTTTAGAGACGAACGATTAATCGATTAATCTATAAAATCTAGTTGCACGACTGACTTTGAGCAAAAACAACAAATAAAACTGCAAAATTAAAAGTAATTTTTCTGTTTTCAGCCGCTCAAATATGGCGATTTACGGCTTTTCTCTGCTATTAAACAGAACATATTTGAGCTAACGTCTGAAGACATTTTATAGACTAATGATTAACCGATTAATCTAAATAATTGCCATTAATCGGCAGTAGTTGCAGCCCTTATTAAAACTCTGAATATAATAATATCCATTTTGAGGACATTTTAAAAATAATTTAAGTATTTTTTATGCAAAAAAGGCAGAAAATGCTGTTATTGTAAAGGAGTGTCTCACACAAACAATGCACGGAAAAAAAAGGTTTAAATCTTTCTGGGTTTTTAAAGAGCAAAGTTCAGAGAATAATCCCGAGAGAGACACAATCCTACCGTTCTCAGAGGCCAGTCGAAGCAGTTTCCCATACCAAAAGAGAAAAGCGGCACTAAAAAGGACCATGAGGACTTTTTCTCCTTTAAATTTGCAGTTTGGACTTCGAGAGGAGCGCAAACTCTGGTTTCAGCAAGACCCATGAAGACCGGGGACGCTTAAAACCTTCAGCTGGTGGAAACAAAAACCGTGCACGGTGCTCTGAAGTGAATGTAAGTAAATGAAAGTAGCTGCAGCGACACTCAGAAAGAGGCTGAGACACTGAATGAGAGAAGAGAGAGAGAGGGACGACGGCCAAGCAGAGAAAACAGAATTATGCCTATTAAAGGAAAAGAGGGTCGATCTGCTGTCTGAGAGATATTTCATGAGACTGTCACACTGACCAAACTGTTATTCTGTGAACATCACGGACACTTCGGCTCATTCACAGGCACCAAACACCAGAATAAACACCAGAATAAACACCAGAATAAACAAGAATAAACAAGAGAATAAATGAGAAAATAAACGTGAGAATAAAGAAGAAAATAAACAAGAGTAAGAATAAACGGGATAAAATCTGTAAGTTTACGGGGTTTTCCCGTTTATTTTCCCGTTTTTTTCTGTATTTTTTAAAATACAGGAAAATAATCATAAAATTACAGAAATTGCCTGAGTTTATGTGTCTAATGTAAGATAACGTGAAAAATCTGCAAATAATCATAAAATATCTGCTTATGCAAAGAAGAATTCACATGTAAAGATTCAAATACTTTTGTTTTGCAGATATTTACTCTTTATTTAATAGATTAAACTGTTAAATTCAAGTTTAATACTGACAATATGTTTCTAAAATTACGTAAAATCAATCATCAAGAGTAAAAAAAGGATTTGTTGTGTAATTTTACATGGATTTGTTTGTTAATTGACGGATAAGCATCTGTCAAAATACAGTTTTTATCAGTGAAAACAGCAATAATTACTGTAATTACACAGATAATGACTTTTATTACAGTTCTATAACTTAATGACTTTTATTACAGTTCTATAACTTTTAAAATAATAAATATGAAATAATAACAGCACTCTTAAGTAAATTTAACCATGATTATTTGTATTATAGCAGCGTTTGCCTGTATTTATAGCTCATTTAATCGTTTTTACAGTGTAAAAATATTTAATTAAACATTAAAAAGCCCCAAAAAACTACAGAAAAAGCTAAAAAAACTGTATTTTAATGATATAAAACGTCTGTATTTGCACCTGAAGAGTGACCTCTGCTGCAGGGGTCACACACACACACACACACACACACACACACACACACACACATTGTTTGCTGTTTCTAAGCTGTGAAAATCTGCAAGTTTACAAGAACACAGTGTAATGACCTATTTCCAGTCCTCCTCAGCTGCACTCTCACGCTCGAGTGTTAGAACAATTTGTCAACCTCGAGATTGCGTTTGAATTCAGAGATTGCACTTTACATTCGTGTCATGCTTTTTGTTTTACATCATCCTCCGCAGGCGAAAGACAAGGTCGCCGCGACCTACGGACGCCACACGGAGAGAACGACTGCGAGAAGAATACACAATGTTATCACCAAGTGCTGCTACTTGTTTGATTAAAGGGTCAAATTTCACTTCATGGTTTTAAAGTGACAATAAAAATATCAGTTTAACTCTTTAAGATCACATCCTCAGTTATACTGTTCCCATATTTAACAGTTTGTGCTACAAACATTCACAAAAACCTCATTTTCTTTGTGTTTTTATATTAAAATCCAATCATTGTGTCTTCCTGTAAAACAAAATGTGACACAGTTTGACGACAGCGGTACCGAGGGGATTTATGGGAGTTTCCAGATGGACTTGTTGCTAAAAGAAGCAAACTGTCGCTAACAGTAATGTTATGTTGCATATCCCCTTTGTGCCTGCGTCAGCGTTGTGGTTGTCTGTCAGAAGCTGTCATACATTGACTGTTGATCCAGTCTGGAGCCACATTGTTACCATCCACTGTTTAGATCTTGGTGCTTTTTAACTCTAGATTTGAACCGGATTTTTAAGGTGGAACTGCTTTATTCAGTGTTTTTATTGATTTTAATCAGCAGGTCTGTTTGTTTTGAAGAGGAGGAGACCTCTGTGGATAATTCGACTCTGAAAGAAAACGACTCCAATGATCCAACGCTGCTTCACCACCTCATCTTAGTGCCTCAAGTGTTTCCAGATTCACTCAGAATATATTGTTCCAAAGGCACTGAGTGTATTCCTCCATCCAGCTGTCTCATCAAAGACCTTCTTTCAGGCCACGCTAATGTTTTCACAGAGCTGCTCGCGGACTGACTCACAGGTTATTTGTAGAATAAGCCTTTCATACTATGAGTACACGCCACAATGGGTGATACCGAGCCTATTTTACGACTTCCTTTCAGAAAACGTACGTAAAAAAAAAAAATCACCTCCTGATTCGGGATTGAAGGCCGTACATGGGAGAGCATGGTATCAGCAGCCGTGTGCGTGAGGCTTTGTGAGGGTTTGTGATCTAAAACTGGCTCCTGATAAGATCCGAGAGCTTAAAATAGAAGCTGAGGAACATCAAACAACCGATTGAATAATGAATGTATATAAATACGTCTTTATATTTGCACATCAGAGATCTTTCCACCTCTCTCTCTCTCTCTCTCTCTCTGTGTGTAGTGGAACATTTTATCTGCCGCAGCACTTCAATAAGAAAGGAGGTGATTGAGAAGGTCTGTAGGAGGGGAGAGCTGTATTTACAACTTACATAAGAACGTGTAGAGGAAGCGTTTTCCCTCGACAGCCCGTCCAGAAACGCCCGCAGGCTGCAGCACAGAGCGCATTAACAACCCGTGTACTGACTGTGAAACAGGACAAACATCACCTCCACGCTGATTTATTAAACAAAACGTCATCAAAAGAGAGATGTCAAAGTGATCAGTGGAGCCAGAGGTTTATTTATTACTGTGCTTCAGTAGGATGACACTGAGCATCTGCAGCCAGCAGGGGGCAGCGCAGGGGAAGCTTAGCTCAAACACCGATCACACGCAACGAAATGTGCCTGGAAAAAGCTCCAAAATGAAGATATTTGACCTCACAATCATTTTATTACTCTATAACTTGTTTTATTTAGACATTTTCAGCCATTTTTCTAAATAAATGTCTGTTTTCATTTGAGTCTAAAGTTTATTTGACACCAAACAGACGTTTCCATCGTCTAGATCCGCCCCTGATGAGCTCTCCCGAAAACAAAGTACTGACAATACATTTCTGTATCTTTATCATCAGCAATCTGTTCTTGATGTTAAATGACCTAAAATCACTCCACCTCCTGTTAATGACGCCCACATAGAGGCTCTGCTTATCAGTGTTGGGCAGTAACTCATTATATCACAGTAATAATATTACTTCTAATATCAATCAATCATTAGTTTGGAAATATTCACATTATTTTGATTTTAACAAACAAAACAGGAGAGAAAATTACATAATTACTCAAAATAATGACTCGAATATTAAAGAATTAGTGATAAAATTCCAGTTTTGTTCCATTTACTTATTTTCTTTATGTTATACTATAATTCTTAATATTTTATAGGTCATGAATCCTCATATTCCCAATTACAGCATCAATTTTAAATGACGCTCAAAGTGTAAAGATTTGATGTTTGTTACATAGAAAACTCTTAATAATTATATTCAGCAGCTGTAAGTAATCTCATTACTCTGATTTTAACAACAAAACTGGATTTTAATCATCATTAGTCTGAATTTTGGGGAGATTTTCCAACTTTGTGTGGAGTAGCAGAGAAGTAATGTAACTAATTACTGTTGGCAGAGAGTAATAAAAAGAGTTGTGAGTAATAAATTACATTTTTTGAGATTTAATTGGAAATAAATGTGGATTAAATGTGTAATAAATGTGGATTATTTCTCCTGCAGGGCCTCACCTGTCCGAACAGGGAGTTGAGGATGGTGCGTAAATTGATGTCGGATGCAGAAGAAGCGGCGCTGGACCTCCGGGAGCGGCGGGACGACCTGCTGGACAGCGGGACCAGGGAGCAGGAGGACGGGGACGGACTGCTGGCCCCTTTCAGCTCCCTCGGCTCGCACAGAGGAGCCCGGTCGTCGGTGCTGTCCGACAGGGAGGGCACCCTGGGGACCGGGCGGGAGTGCGTGTGGCAGCGGCGGGGGTGCTCGGGTTCAGGGGCCGCCGGCGGTGGACGGTCCTCCCGGTTGTGCTTCCTGCGGTGGTGGTGCCGGTGTGCGGGTTTGTTGGAGGACCTGCAGCGCTCCCTCACACCCCGGCCCGCCTCCCCGTTTGGCTCCTGCGGTTCGGGAACTTGTCCGTGAGGGGCGTGTGACCTACACTTGCCCCGGGCGGCGGCGGCGGCCGCGGCGGGGTCCGGGCTGCCGACCAGGGACGGGTGGCACAGGGGTCTCCGCGCACTGATGTCGCACTCGGCCGACCAGAAGGACTCCTCGGCTCTGCTGCTGCTGCTGTGCAGTGCGGCGGGACGGTGGTGGTGCTGGTGCTGATGCTGGTGCTGATGCTGCTGATGGTGATGCTGACTCCTCCGGCTCTCCGCGGTGCGTTCAGGGAGCTGTGTTGGTCTCTTCACCGCCGCCGCCGCCGAGGAGGAGGAGGATTTCAGTAAGGAGGTCGTGGATTCAGATTTTGTAAAGGAGGAGCTCATCGCTGCGGATGTGGTCGAGTGTGTGTCGGTGGGTTGATCGTCGACATCACACACCGTGCTCCCTCCACTGTCGACCCATCGTTAGCTCATAGCAGAGGCTGCCCGCCGTGAGTTCAGCACCTGGTTGCTGTGCGGCAGCGCGGCAGGAGCGCACACGTCGATGCGGAGCGCGTCACCTTTTCATTGATGCTCTCCGGCTCCGTGGCAGTGACGTGGGTGGGGACGGTAGTAAGAAGTTTTCCATGACAAACACAAACCGAAGAACACATCAGATACTGCGGAGCACAAAGAGGAAACCTGGCCTCAGGAGGAACTGTTAATGAAAGATAATGAAGATGGTTGATCCAGAAAATGTCAAATTACAACTAAATAAAGCCAAACTGTCGTAGAGCGAATGAAAGAGCACAATGTGACAATAAAATAATATGATGATGATATAATGATAACTACTTAGAGCATCATCTCATAATAATGACTCAATAGGTCTACCTGCTGCAGAGATTTTTACTTATTTGGTCATTAATTGAAGATATTAAGTCACTATTTTGAGTGTTAAGTCAATATTTTGACATATTAAGTCAATATTTTGAGATATTAAGTCATTATTTTGAGATATTAAGTCAATATTTTGAGATATTAAGTCAATATTTTGATATTAAGTCAATATTTCAGATATTAAGTCAATATTTTGAGATATTAAGTCAATTCAGATACTAAGTCAATATTTTGACATATTAAGCCATTATTTTGAGATATTAATTTATTTTTGAGACATTAAGTCATATTTTATATTAAGTCAATATTTCAGATATTAAGTCAATATTTTGAGATATTAATTCAATATTTTGAGACACTAAGTCAATATTTTGAGACATTAATTCAATATTTTGACATATTAAGTCAATATTTTGACATATTAAGTCATTATTTCGAGATATTACTTGCTGCGGTTTTAATTTAAGATATTAGTCACTTTTTGAGATAATAAGTCAATATTTTGACATATTAAGTTATTATTTTTAGAAATTATTTTTTTAGATTTAATTTATATTAAGTCACTATTTTGAGATAATAAGTCATATTTTGACATATTAAGTCATTATTTCGAGATATTACTTGCTGTGAGATTTTTACTTATTTAGTATTAATTTAAGATATTAAGTATTTTGTTTTTGAGATATTAAGTAATATTTTGACATATTATGTCATATTTTGAGATATTAAGTCAATATTTTGACATATTATTCATATTTTTGAGAAATAAAGTCATATTTTGAGATATTAATTATATTTTGAGAAATAAGTCAATATTTTGAGAAATAAAGTCAATATTTTGAGATAGTTACTATTTTGAAATATTAAGTCATTATTTTGAGATATTAATTCAATATTTTGAGACATTAAGTCAATATTTTGAGATAAGTCATTATTTTGAAATATTAAGTCAATATTTTGACATATTAAGTCATTATTTCGAGATATTACTTGCTGCAGAGATTTTAATTTAAGATATTAAGTCACTATTTTGAGATAATAAGTCAATATTTTGACATATTAAGTCATTATTTCGAGATATTACTTGCTGTAGAGATTTTTACTTATTTAGTCATTAATTTAAGATATTAAGTCACTATTTTGAGATATTAAGTCAATATTTTGAGATATTAAGTCAATATTTTGACATATTATGTCATTATTTTGAGATATTAAGTCAATATTTTGACATATTAATTCAATATTTTTGAGAAATAAAGTCAATATTTTGAGATATTAATTCAATATTTTGAGAAATAAAGTCAATATTTTGAGAAATAAAGTCAATATTTTGAGATAAGTTACTATTTTGAAATATTAAGTCATTATTTTGAGATATTAATTCAATATTTTGAGACATTAAGTCAATATTTTGAGATAAGTCATTATTTTGAAATATTAAGTCAGTATTTTTAGATAATAAGTCAATATTTTGAGTGATTTAAATAAGTTTTTCCCTGTTTAGGAAACTTTTTTATACAATGTTCTGTCTGTATTATGTCTAGTGGAGGTCAGGTTGCTTTAGATTAGTAATAACCAACCCAAAAGGTTTTGGGTCAGTTAAGATTCTACGCTTCACTGGAAAAAACACCTCCGTGCTATTAAAACAAGCCACAGTTGAAATAAGTATTTGTACTGTGATTTTACATGGATTTGTTTGTTAATTAACAGATATTTTGTTTAATTAAGGAAAGTTTCACAACAGAAATGTTGAATAAATGTTATTTATCAGTGTATAAGCATTGGTAAACTGTCAAAATACAGTTTTAATCAGTGAAAACAACAATAATTACTGTAATTACACAGATAATGACTTTTATTACAGTTCTATAACTTTTAAAATAAGAAAAATCAAATAATAACACTCTTCTGTAAATTGAATCCTGATTATTTGTATTATAGCAGCGATCGCCTAAATTTATAGCTCATTTCATAGTTTTTACAGTGTAAATAAAGATTTTATATAAAATGAAAGCTAGAAACTGTATTTTAACAGTTTACAGTAAATTGCTGTATCTTTATTGTTATTTTACAATATTTTCAGCTGCCAGAATCTTACCGTTGTGTTTTCACAGTGAAGCTTGAGGCCTACAGATGTGGATGATCAGACAGATGTGGATGATCAGACAGATGTGGATGATCAGACAGATGTGGGGCCATATGTTGTTGTTATTCAGCACTTTAGTGCTTCAGGCTTCGTCCTCCAGAGGCACTGCAGGTCTGACAGGAAGTAACTGCTGAGGAATAAATATAGATATTACCCGTTTACGCCTCCTGGTGCTACGACTGCAGAGCTGCATCCAACTGATGATGAGTTTATTCTGTCCTCTGGTTTCATGTATTGATGAATGTGTGATCAATACCAGTGTGGCAGCTCTGCAGAACACTTTATCCTCACTGGTTCAACCTCCTGCAGTTTGTTTTCATCAGTAGCTCTCAAGCTTTTATACATTGTACCCAGTTTTATTTTGAAAAACTCACCTCTCTCCTCGTGTCACTTCCTAGTTTTGGCCATTTTCCCGCTCCCATTAGTTTCACCTGTGTGACCCCTCACCTGTAGCTGTGAGTCCATCCTTCTCGTTATGTTCCTGTGTTTCCTTTTGAGCTTCTTCCACCCAAACCTGTCTACCTGCTCTACCTGCACTGGTTGGATGCCTCTATGGTAAAGTGCCCTCGAGGGGGCAACAGGGGCGGATCCAGAGAAATATTCATGGGGTGTAAAGAGGGTTGCAGCTGATTTAATCAATCATATATATCAATATTTGCTTGGAAAAGCCTCCAAATGAAGATATTTGATAAGATATTAACTTAAAAACATTATTATGGCACATTCGTGAAGCATTGAATAGAAATATCGACATTAGAAATCAATAAATTGACTTGAACTTAAGTCTAAAATGTGACCATAACAGATCATTAAATTAATTTCTGCTTTTATTTTTAAAATTAATCCACATTAAAGTGTTAAATTTGACACCAAACTGTGGGTGGGCAGGTGTTTTCTAGATCCGCCCCTGCTCAGTGGGGTCACATGGCTCATTATTTGCCCCCAGCAGGTCAATCTGACCCTCGATGGATTATATACAGTCGTATCTCTCTGGTCCACCGGGAGGAACAATCTTACACAACAACAAACCATTATATACAATAAAATGTCAGTTTTCTCACAAATATACAGAAACAACAACTCACAAATATTGTTATTGCTATATACGGAAGCCTATTGGTGCCATTATTATTATTATCATTATAATCAATAACTTTCTCATTATTTTTGAGATACTAAGTCGTTATTTTGAGAAAGTTTCTCATTATAATCACTCACAGAATCATTTGTTTCATCACATTGGCACCAATAGGCTTCCATACAAACCAGATGAGTTCATTTAACAAAAAATTTACAATTTTAAGTAAAACTGACTAAATTTTGTAAGTTATTAAATAAACCTCCTTGATCAATAGTTTTAGTAATTTTAAGTGATTTGTTGAAATTTGAACATTTTAAGTCACACAAACTTAATTTTTTAAACTCAAAAAGATTCTTAAAGCAGCGTTTAATAATAATTTTAAGTTACACTAACTTAGTTACAGAAACATTCCTGATTAAGTACTTTTTACTTTTATTTTCACTGTATAAATAAAAATGATAAAATTAAGTCACTAAAATTATTAAAACTACTTGATCAAGGAGGTTTTTTAATTTAAAATGTTCAATTCAGTGTTTTTGAGTTAAAATAAGTTATATAAATAACAAAATCATCCTGAACTGTGACATTATTTTAAACTCTTTAGAAATAATTAATGAGGATTTTAACAAACGTGTGAAATCTGGAAGAAAAGTGAAACTTCTGACAACAGCCGGTTAAATAAGATACTCGACCATTTATTAAATGTACAGAAATACTGTTTCAAAATCCACACAAGAATGTGCTAAAGGACAAATCCTTGATCAAATGTAAACAAAATGGCCGGACCCCTCCCCCCCCCACCGCATACTGGTTTATAAAGCGAATTTGAGACCTAATCATGGACAGCTCAATGTGAGTGTCGGCGTTGTAAACAAGCTCGTAAATAATCAGACTTTTGTAAACATTGGAATTGAAACAGATGCTTGAATTGTAAAGCGGCTGAAGATTAACTGTCGCTACCTTTTAGACTGCGCACACACACGTCCATGAAGTGCTGTTGGGAGTAATTAATTAATTAATTAAGGATTGTGGGTTTTAATAATAAAGGATACCATATGGCACTGCAAAAAATTACAGAGTGGTTCAGAAAAAGAAACACGTCACAGAACAACAGAGATTACTTCATAAACATCTTACAGAATCTACAAATCCAATCTATCAAAACGACTTCGTGGTCGAACAGTTCGGAGAACGGAGGGCGGAGTCGCTTTAGCTGTAAATAAAGACAACACAATAGTTTATAGCATCGAAGGACAATCGCTTCAAAACATCTCAGACCGCTCGTTTTTTTTTTTTTTTTTTTTTTAACCTCGACCCTATTTACAGAAATACAAACCTGATATCAAATACAACAAGAGTTTAGTAAATTTACCAAAAACGCTTCATCTCCAGGCGTCACAGCACACGATCTGACCTAAAAATGTGCTTTTCTAACCATGTCTCGTGAAAGCAGGGCTGATTTATTCATTTATTTTCAAAGGGGGGAGCACAATAAACGAACCACACCAGCATCAGGAGATCATGACTGACAAGATTTTTTTTTTTAGCTGCGTCTGTAAACATTCACGTCACGATCTGACGTTGGACCTCAGTTATCAGGAGACGACGAGGACAAAACCTGCACAGCGATGATGAGACGGTTCCCAAACCTTCATCCTTAAAAGGACCTTTTATATCATTTATTTATACAATATTCAACAAATACAGGCCGATATAAACTCAATAACTGCAGGAAGTTTGTGTAAAAACCAGAGATTTGGATTAATTTTGAGCAGATTAGAGAGTTTTTATGATGTTTTAGGAGCTTTTTATACATTATTATGTTTATTTTTAACAATAAATACTTAATAGGCCTCTTTTATAAACAATTCAGTCATTGTTCTGATACAGCTTGTGCTCAGGTCAAAGTTTAGATATTAAATAATACACTGTAATAACACAAACTACATTTTGTACGTAAAAAAAACATAATTAAGTACTTTTTACTGGGTATTTTCTTTACAGTACAATTACAAATGTCAAAATGAAGTCAGTGTCACTTGAAATTAGTTAACTTATAATTTTAATACATTTTGAGTTAAATTAACTTATCTGGTTTTACAGTGTAATCTAAACTTTTAAAAATAAACTGTTTAATTTAGTTTTCTTCCCAGAAATCAACATAATGCTGAGATATCGGCCTACTGTGTATATCTTATTAAGTTTTCTTACACCCCTTAAAATCAAGAAGGCCTTACGACCCCCCTGTGAAGCTTTGGCGACCCCTAATGGGGCGACGATCCACAGGTTGGGAACCACGGTGACACTTTACGGACACTTCCTGCAAAGCATTTAGTTTAGATATCCATCACCACTGCCGGATTAGTTGTAAAGACCCAGTTGTGCATCCTGCTTTTGGTTATTTATCATGAATTAGCAGATAGAGCCAGTATGTAGGTTTCCAATCTGAGGGTCGGGGGCCCCCACTAGGGGTCGCCAAAGCTTCCCTGAGGGGTCACGAGGCCTTCTTGATTTTAAGGGGTGTAAGAAAACATTTAAAATATACAGTCGGCCTAAATCTCAACATTTTGTTAATTTCTGTGAAGAAAACTAACTGAAACTGTTATTTTTAGAGTTCAGATTAAAACAAAGAGAACAAAGTTTCAATTTGTTAAATACATAATTGTACAAAAAGTTTCTAAAAATATCATAAAAACTAGTTTCTGATCAATATTCACAGGAAATAATCTGCTCATAATTAATGTTAAACCTCTATCGCACCCTAGTGGCCGACTGCAGTATCGTCATTAAGCCTCCATGTTGGACAAAAACTAAAACACACATCAAATATTTTTTTTCCTAAAGATGATTTCTGCCATTTTAGGTCGTTTTCACTCTGATATTTGTTCTTAGGTTATTTTTATCATCAGTTTGGTTTTAATTTAGTTATTTGAAGCTATAAAAAGGAGGTTTCGCATCATGACTGACAGCCGAGATATTCTGGCCTCATTCGTGTACAGTGAGGAGGGAGAGGAGGAAGAGGAGGGAGAGGAGGAAGAGGAGGTAGAGGAGGGAGAGGAGGAAGAGGAGGCGTCCATCTTGTATCTGTCGATGGCTCCATAAAGGTTGGGAACCAGTGGCCTAAAATAAACCAGCACTGTTACGCAGTGATCCGTTAGATTTAGCTCCACTTTAGTTGTGATTTAAGAATGTGTTGAATAATTTATAATAAAACTAACTGGATATTTTGAGTAATATGAAGAGTTGAATTTCTTAGCCCTTGCGGAAATGTATGTAAGTTTTACAGAAAGTGTGAAATATATGATGATAGATGGATGTTTCCCCTAAAGAGTTCCAGTGTTTAACACTGAGGAGGATCTTTTGTCAGAAAGGTCATTTGATATTAAATATGTATGTTTTTATTCGTGTTTTAACCACCTGGACCTTTGTGTTTTTGTTTCCTTAGAATGAGACGCCTTTATCTTTAGTGTTTCTACAGTAGCTCAGAACTCAGTGACGACGTTTACATGCACAAAATATTCAGGTTATTCCAAAAAAAAGACAATATTCCTACTATAAATATTACTACTAATGATAATTATCATTCCTGTTTCTATGCAGCTGTGTGTACTCTGATTAACTGCAGTCTCGTTGCCTCCCTCTTTCATCCGTTCAACCACCTTCTTGAAAAGGTCGACGTTGTTACGTTCACTCATAACCTATTGATATTAAAGTCTTTTATAATAAACCGGTGAGAGTCCCTTTTTGTTTCTATGCCTCTTTTAATTAATGTTAACAGCCTTAGTTTTCAGGTTTTAATCATTGGTTTTTACATTATTTGTCTCCCTTTTATGTTTTTGATGTTTTTGTACGAAAGGTGTTGTAGAAATAAAGCTTTTCTTTAGTGCTTCAATCTCTACAAACTGTTGGATAACTTGGTTTGTTTGTTTAAAGTTCCTAAAATGATCAGAAAAAACTCATCTCTGATCAATAATCTGCTCAAAATTCATCCAAATCTCTGGTTTTACACAAACTTATTGCAGTTATTGAGTTCACTGTTTGTTGTTCATTGTGCAGTTTATCAGCTGTTCTCAACTATTATTGATATTATTGAACATAATATGAAACATCCATAAAATATAGTCAGTGGAAAAAAGGTTGGGAACCACCAAAAGCATAAAAATAAGTGTGCATGTAAACGCAGTCAGTGACTCCAGTTAATGTGTAGCTGACAGAAAAGGTTGGACCCACACAGGCTCTCATATCTGTGAGTGTAAAACCAAAATAAAACTAATATGAGTCGCCCTAGAATCTCATTTAGTCCAGAATTGATCTAAAATTAGAGCAAAAACTGAAGAAATATCAGCTCGCTTGCTAATTTTCACATAATTCACCTCATATATTTCAACTTAAAAGGAAATAACGGACAATAAATGTGCAGAAATCTGCGTCTGCGTCTGATAAAAGAGGCCCAATGTTCGATCATCTGCTATGAGGAACGGTATGAGACGGAGAATATGTACACAGTGAGTGTGCGAGCTGGTCTGGAGGCAGAAAAAAGGACACTTCCTTTAAAACCTGCCGTCTCTCCCCCCCCCCGGGTCGGACATGGTTTCTCACTCACACCTATTTGCCTTCTTTGTCCTCTAAGCGGCCCGGAGTAAAAATGTAGTCCAAGGCTTGTCTCTCGGCGGCGGCCACGTTGGGGTGCCACAGATCCACCATGAAGACCACCCGGGGGCCGTCGTCTGCGCCGCCTGCACACACGGAAAAATCAACACCACCATTTTGTCACAATCTCAACCTGAAAAACCAAAAAACTGACTCATATTAAAGCAGCATTATGTAACTTTTCTACACTGTAAAAACCAGATCAGTTCATTTAATTTAAAAAATTGTTGAAACTGATATTTTAGGTAGAACTCAACTCAATTATTTATTGATTTTTGAATCAAGTAGTTTTAGTAATTTTAAGTGGAAACAACAAAAGTAAAAAGTATTTAATCAGGAATGTTTCTGTAACTTATAAAACTAAGTTGGTTTCACTTAAAATTACTAGTTAAAGCTACCTAATTAATTTTCTTTTTTCACTTAACTTTAACTTAAAAAATTTAGTTTGTTTCACTTGACGAAATCAGTTTCAACAATTATTTTGAGTTAAAATAATTTATTGTAGCTATAAAACCAGATAAGTTGATTTAACTAAAAAAAAATTGTTGAAACTGATATTTTAAGTAACACAAACTCAATTTTGTAAGTTAAAAACATCTTTAATCAAGCAGCTTCAGTAAGTTTAAGTGATACCGACTCATTTTTGTCATTTTAATTTATACTGTGAAAACAAAATATCTAGTAAAAGCTGCTGAATCGAGAATCTTTTTTAACTTAAAAAATTTAGTTTTTGTTACTTACAACATTTTTTTGAGTTAAAATAACTTTATTACAGTTTGCATTAAAATACCAGCGTCACTGACTAACAGGATGAACGGTTCCTCTGTACGACTGTTTTTACTGTAACTGCACTTGAGTTACTGGATCATATTTTATGTTAATAAATTCGTATTTTATACTAGTTTCTTTTACTGGGAGGCTTTATTGGGTTGCACTGTGGCTGTTATCTTCTCATTTACTTACCTGTAAACTATTTTGAAAACATAAATATGATCATTCAAACACATTTACATACGCTGTGTATATATTGTACATCCTGTTATATCCACCTTCCTCATGTACATAATAAGTCGCTTTTATCGAGGAATTTCACCTCAAGGCAGCTTCTTTTGTTTCCAAAACCCTGTATATCCTTAAATATCTTAAGAGAAAGTTCTGATGGGTGAATTTCACTAATCCTCTTTCACTTTCACTCCCAGGCCATCATTTTATTTCAGATTTTAATTCGATAGACGCATTCAGACTCGTTAAACGTCCTCTGAAAGACAATAAAGCTTCTTCCTACTCACATGTTTCCCAAATCATTTCTGAAATACAAAGTCAGCTATGATCCACAGCCTGTTTCCCTCTGATGTAAAAGGAGTAAAGATTCTGGGAAATGAGTCTTAGTCTTTGTCAAAAAATAAAAATTATCTTGACAATAATTTCAAGAAGTGATCTGGTTTTAATAAAATCTATCTAACTGTGTCTTAATAAGATATTACAGCTAATATTGAGCTCGATTTAACCAGTAACAACAATGGTTGCATAATATCCCAGCAGAGGAAACAGATTATTGTCCTTACTTTAAGGATAAAACCACTCACACAACTTCTCAGTTTAAGAGAAAGTCGACTGGTCTCAGTGTCGGAAATGAAGCAGCTGTTTAGTTTTTTCATTGTTTTAATAAAAAATGATAAAAATAAGAAGCTTCTGGTGCTTCAATTTACTTCTTTTCATTATTCTGTTTGAAGAAATTGTCTAATTGTCAGTTATTTCTGCTAATTATTAATCTCAGATTAAGGGTCAAACTCTTAAATTCAGCTCAATAAAGATATATATCTAAAATAACTGAGATTTTTGGTCTTTATTCTCGTTTTAAGGCCCATTAAAGTCTCTCAGTGGCTGATTTTTATGCTAGTTTTAAGAATAGTTTTTGCTCAATACAAGAAAATGTGATAATATTTAAGAATATTTCCATCAGGGTTGTTGTTGTAGAGAACGATAAGATAAGAATTTAGTCTTTTTTGCATCTTTATCCAGAGATAAATGAGTCGAGCTGAGAAGAAGTTCAGAAGAACAGAGAGAGCAGATAAATAAAATAATAATAATAATAATCTCATCCTACTGTTTTATTACCCAAAGAAATGTGATATAATGTGAGTAAATGTTCTTCTGTTGGCCTAATAATAAATTCTGAGTATTGAAGATCACATTTCTTTGGTATCTATGGTGATCATTGATGCAGATTATTATTAGATTCACTCTGTGAATGTTGGTGATGCTTTGCCTCTTTTTAGTCATCCTCAACATTTAGGTATTCTTTGTCAGCTAACAGTCATATTAGGACAGAATTGTTGAGTTTGAGTCGACAGCTTCTAGAAACTGACAGATACTAATTTGCTTATGTTGGTCAATTTGTACAATTAGCATTTATAATCACATATACAGACAATATTTCGACAGTATAGGAGCGGTTTTGGGGATTATTTTGCACATTTTCAAAGAAAAACTGTGAATGTTCGGATGTAATATTTCCATTGATTGTCTTTGCTGCTGCAGTTGTGCATTAAATCAACTCACAATTAATCGAAATCAGTCCAACGGAGCTTTGACAGTGAGCTGTCCTTCTTGCTGTCAGTGATATTGGCTACTATTACACACTGCTGCTTTAATCAGGCTCAGTTTTCTTTTGGATTTGACCATTTTCAGGCCAATCCTCCTTCTAGGAATAAATAAAAAGGGGCAATAAGAGATTAAACCTTAATCCCTCCTTACCCTCGTGGAAGGCCCTGTGGAGGAAGGAGTCATCAAAGAGCAGACAGCTGCCCTCAGACCAGCACTGCGGCTCCCCACCGACCACCAGCTCACAGGAAGGGGGAACTCTGAGACCTGCCGGAGACAAACGACAAGTCTGATCACACATCCCTGACTGTCCTGTATTACTACAGCACGCTCCTGCCCACACAGCCACAAAACATTCCTATTTATAGCCGCTCACAGAGCTCAGGTGCAGAGAAGAACATGAAAATTAAGCCCCTAAATTTGAGCTGCCGTGACCCCGGAGGACACAGCTGATGCTCCTCCTCTCACATGGTCGATCTCTTACCCAGGTGGCAGCGCAGCCTCACGTTGGTCGGCCCGTAGTGCTCGGTGATCAGAGCTCCGGGCGTCAGCACGGAGAAGCAGGCGTTCCCGAACACGTTGTTGGCGATGAAGGTGCGCAGCTGGCCCAGCACCCTCCAGGCCCGTGGGCATCTCCGGACATTCAGAACCAGCGGGGTGCCTTGGTTGACCAGGTAGTAGGTCCACCACTGCCCACGGGGTGTGCTGTTGGCCTTCCAGCCCGGTGGCAGGGAGGAGCCGCTGCGGGCCGGAGGCTGGTGGTAGATGCTCTCAAACTCGGCCAGGAGGGCGGGGAAGCTCTGCTCCAGCAGCTCCACGTCGTGCCTCTGGACTTCCCTGGAGAAGAACGGCGCCGACGGGAGATCCGGGAGGAAGAAGACCTCTGGCCGCTGGATGGTGGGTCGACTGTTGAGGTATCTTCCTTGATCGCGGACCCCTTTGTGCACCCGACCCATACCCGACCAGGTGTAGCGCTTGGCGTAATCCTGCAGGCTGTGGTAGAGCCTCTGGTTCAGACTCTCCCCGGCGCTGGTGCAACGGAAGCACTCGGCCGACTGGCAGAAGGCGAAGCCGTTCTGCTCTTCCAGCATGGACCCGTGCTTCCCTTTCCCCCTCCCGCGGCAGTCCGAACTCATGAAGCCCCCCACCACCCCTCCGATGCGGCCGGGCCCAGCCAGATACCTCCCGCGCAGGGGGCTGGTGCCGTGCTCCCGGCCCACCCTGTAACAATACCACATGAAGAGCAGCAGCACACACATGGCTATGGCGAAAGCACAGATCTCGCACTCCCTCACAGACTGCATCCCCCCCGCCACCATCTCCCTCACGTTCTCCAGTGACCACTCCATCTCCGGACTGCTGAATCTGACGGAGGGAAAAAAAAGTGCTGATGGGGTTAACACGTCGTTCCTGGATGGTGATTGAAAGGGGCCGTTAATGAGCTCTTATCGCCGCCCCGAATGTAAACAGTCTGCTGATTCGATCTGACACACTCCTCACTCTTCGGTGCTAACATTTCAGCACTCTGCGCCGAGGGAAGGCTTCTCCTTGCATGATGTCTGAGCTGTGCCGTAGTGTTATTTGTTGCCTCTCTCTCTCTCTCTCTCTCTCTCTCTCTCAGACAAATGCAGACAGACACCGCGCCTTAGGGTGATCTGCTCCCTGGAAAACAAAAGGCAGAAGGAGAGAGACAGAAGGGGTGAGGAGGATAGAGAGAGAGAGGATACTGGAGCTGACATTTGCTGCGATTAACATCCTGTTTGCTAAATTCCCATCCTGTGTGCACCTCATGAAGGAAAAAACACCTGCTGGAAACTCACCCACACACACCCTGCACACACCCCTTTGTACTGCACTGTGTGAAACCATGAGTCACTGCTGCATTTTAACACGGATCCGCAATAAAACACAAGAAAACGCACGAAAAAGAGGGCGAATTACGAGAACTTAAAAACAGTGTTTACACCCAGATTTATAACTGAGATTCAGCAGGAGATAAATGGATCCTCAGGGTGGGTGGGGAGGGGGGGGGTTGAGGATGGGGAGGGGGGGGGTTGTAGTCTTTAAAAAAAAATGGATTACATGATTATATAATGATAATGGACCAGCAGCCGGGAGTGCAATGCGTCAACTGTGATCAGAAGTGCTCCAAACCAAAAATGGTCGGGTAATCCTGCTCCAGTGGACCCTCCCCTACATCCTGTCTGACAGCACCAAGACGCCCCCACATTACCCCCCCAACCACCAACCACCAACCACCCCCTCCAACACACACTGACCATTAAAACACACAGCTTTAATCCTCCAAAATAAAACCTCTGCTGGAACAAAGCGCTGCCCGCATATGAAGGTGGACGTTGGTTCCGTACCTACTCAGCATTCATGGCCGGTGGAGCCGAGGGGCGCACAGGTGTTTCTCCAGGCGAAAGCTGCGCACCACTGCAGTGCACACGGAGGTTGGACGCATATCAGGCGCGCACATTATAGGAAATATCTCCAAAATGCTCCAAAAGAAAAGTCCTAAGTGGAGCCGGCAGAGGTCACATACTGGAGCCGAACCATGAGGAGGCTGTTGGCCCGGCGACGGTGCGACTCTCCCGGGGGGATGGACAGCAGCGTCCGACGGGGGCTTCTTCTTTCTGGTGGTATTGTTGTAAATAACTGGAGCTCCACCAGGGAGGACACCCACCGCAAAGAGACCGCAGGAACACACGGGACAGCGTTTCCGGGCGGAGCCTTCAAAATAAAGCAGAAATAACTCCTCCCATCCACAGATAATAAAATCATCTAAAATCTCAGCAGATTCACATTTAACTCTAACTCTAAAATTAACATTATTTAATTTGATCTGTTATAGTCACATTTTAGACTCACTGATTAAATGTCTGAATTTTTGGAAATAAAACAATTTAATGATTTTCTTTCTTTTTTAATGAACATATTTTTTGGGGCATTTTAAAATTAAATTATAATGACAATAAAACCAAGAACACATTATAGTTGATGATAAGATTAATCAATAAGGTACTTTATTGTAAGTAATAATAATAAATAAATAAATATATGGGTCATTGTATCATAAGAAGCTGTTGAACGATTCCCCCTGTTCAACCTGTAGAGTTTAGCTGCGACCAAAACAAAGTTTCTTCCATTAAAATAGTGAATATTTTTTCCAGCTTCAGGTATTTAAATATTCCAATCTTACTGAAAAGACTAAAACGACCTCCAATGCTCCACCAGTCTCAGACAAAACATATGAGTGAGATTACAAGGAGCCTGGGAGCATTTGCTATAGATGTGCTATGGATTTATTGCTTTGCTATAGATTTGCTATGGATTCATAGATTTACTATAGATTCATAGATTTGCTATAGATTTATAGGTTTGCTATAGATTTGCTATAGATTTATAGATTTGCTATAGATCTATAGGTTTGCTATAGATTTGTTATAGATTTATAGATTTGCTATAGATTCATAGCTTTGCTACAGATTTATAGGTTTGCTATAGATTTGCTATAGATTTATAGATTTGCTATAGATCTTTAGGTTTGCTATAGAATTGCTATAGATTCATAGATTTGCTATAGATTCATAGGTTTGCTATAGATTCCTAGTTTTGCTATAGATTCATAGATTTGCTATAGATTTATAGGTTTGCTATAGATTCCTAGTTTTGCTATAGATTCATAGATTTGCTATAGATTCCTAGTTTTGCTATAGATTCATAGATTTATAGGTTTGCTATAGATTCCTAGTTTTGCTATAGATTCATAGATTTGCTGTAGATTTATAGTTTTGCTATAGATTCCTAGTTTTGCTATAGATTCATAGCTTTGCTATAGATTCATAGATTTGCTATAGATTAATATAGGTTTGCTATAGATTTGCTATAGATTCATAGATTTGCTATGGATTTATAGATTTGCTATAAATTTGCTATAGATTTGCTATAGATTCATAGATTTGCTATAGATTAATATAGGTTTGCTATAGATTTGCTATAGATTCATAGCTTTGCTATAGATTCATAGGTTTGTTATAGAGTCATAGATTTGCTATAGATTCATAGCTTTGCTATAGATTCATAGGTTTGTTATAGAGTCATAGATTTGCTATAGATTCATAGATTTGCTATGGATTTATAGATTTGCTATAAATTTACTATAGATTTGCTATAGATTCCTAGTTTTGCTATAGATGTGTAGATTTGCTATAAATTTACTATAGATTTGCTATAGATTCCTAGTTTTGCTATAGATGTGTAGGTTTGCTATAGATTTATTTTCAGTGCTTTAAAATGTGTTATTCATGTTTTTGAGTTCTGAGCTTTACAAATATTGATATATGTGATTGTTTGTGATTAAATCCGTATGAAAATAGTTGCAGCGCTTAAAAACCCTTTTATTTTGAAGTCGTATATCCGGTATTGGTGTGGTATTCTGTGACTTCACTGATCTGAGAGCCTCCCTCTTCCGTATGTCTCTCATGGCTCGCCCATCGACCACTGCTTGATATCGCTGCACACAGCATTTCCCACGATGCACTGCGGCTCGCCCGGACTGCGCTCACAGCAGTTTGATGCTGAACGTTTGTGACAAAATATGACAACAGCTTTTCCTAGAAAGTCTGCAGTTTGGCCCTCGTGGCATCGATTACTAATCGATCAGTACGGAAACAGAATATTGTCTCATTAACCCCAAAGAGGAGGAAGAAAGTCCTAACATTTGTTCTGGTTGGTTTAAAGTCTTGAAATTTGGAACCAACATACTCCATGATAATGTTCAACAGTATAACTTTGAAATTTTAAGATAACATGAAAAATCACATTTTTATCAACGGTTAAAAATTAGAAATTAGGAAACAAGGTAAAAAGGTGTTTATTGAATGTTCAAATTAAATATTCTTCAGTGCTCCTATTGGTTTATGGATTTATTTATTATTGTTTTTATGCATCATATGGAAGCTCATTTCCGCCAATGTGACGGAGAAAAGAAGGATTCTGCAAGTCATTAGTATCTCAAAATATTGACTTTGTGGTACTTAGTCTATATTTTGAGAACTTATTGGATCTTTTTTACCGTTATATTGGCAGAAATGGGCTTCCATAGAGCTGTCAGACTTGTGTGCAACTGTTATCAATACGTTGTCTTTGCGCTCTAGGCGGAGGAGGGTGGAGCCAGGCTGCGCAGGCCCCTCTTTTTATGTGGTCCTGAGCTGCCGTTTTGTCAGTCAGTGAAGTTTTATCACAAGAGAAAGGTCAGAAGAACTGTTGGATAAAATCAGACATGCCGAGGTCAAATGAGGCTGAGAGTGGGTTATTTTTCTGCACACTGTTCCTGTTCTCTGCTGTGATTGTTGTGATTGGTGCGATTGTGTGTGTTGCTTTATTTTCGAGGCCCTAGTGTCCACATGGCTGCAGTGGCCGCAGACTCTGGGAACTGTTCACGGATTGGACTGTAAGTGGCATTTTACACCTTTTGTTGATTGACATTGGCTGTTAATCGGCAGGCAACACCACCAGCACCATCACACTGAACACAGGGGCCCCCCAAGGATGTGTGCTGAGCCCCCTCCTCTTCACTCTGCTGACCCACGACTGCACACCATCATTCAGCTCCAACCTCTTCATTAAGTTTGCGGACGATACAACTGTGGTGGGTCCCATCAACAACGGCGATGAGACAACCTACAGGAGTGAGGTGAGCAGGCTGGCCACGTGGTGCAAAGACAACAATCTCCACCTGAATGTGGAGAAGACGAAGGAGACTGTTGTGGACTTCAGGAGAGTGCACACCCAGCATACTCCACTAACTATCGACGGTGCTGCAGTGGAGAGGGTGAGCAGCACCAAGTTCCTGGGTGTGCACATCTCTGAAGACCTGTCCTGGAGCCACAACACTGCATCACTGGCCACTGAGAAGAGCAGGAGCCCCGTCCCCCATCATGCACACCTTCTACAGAGGCACCATCGAGAGCATCCTGATAAGCTGCATCACTGTGTGGTACGGCGCCTGCACTGTGTCCTGCCGCAAGACTCTGCAGCTCATAGTGAGAGCAGCTGACAGGATCATTGGTGCTCTACCGTCACTCCCACCTCTGCCTACCCTCCCACCTCTGTCTTTGCCCCCTGCCACAGACTAGGACCCCCCAACCACCACTCACACACTCTGAACTCAGGGACTGCACATTCCACTTTCCCCTGTTTATTTGCACTACACAGCACTACCTCACCTGTTTAAATATTTATTTATCCTATTTTATTTCATCATGTAAATATCCAAGTGCCTTAATTCTTGATTGTTGTTTATTTTATGTCTTGTTGATTGTTTATTTTATGCCATGTTAAATTGTTGATTGTTTATTTTATGTCTTTTTCTATTTATAGAAAATTTATTTTTATTGCCTGTTTGCACCATGGGTCCGAGAGGACTGAAATTTCATCTGTGCTGTATGTTGTGCATATAGCATATTTGACAATAAAGCTGACTTGACTTGATCTGTTGTGTGTAGTATTCTATTTGCCTCGTTGAATCATATGCAGCTCTACAGAGCAGGAACGGGATGTGGTTTTTGTAACAGTCTTCTGCAATCACCTTATTTGGTGGTTGGCTCTAATATACCGGATTCATAAATAAGCTGCACTGATGGTTGTGGGTGTGAAATCTTGCAGGGACATCATTAAAAGTGGCGGCTCAGCGGTAGATGGCGCCATCGCCGTGCTGCTGTGCACCTCCGTGATGATCCCACAGAGTATTGGCATCGGAGGGGGGTCCATATTCACAGTGATGGACAGCTCTGGTAACATTCATCCCAACACAGCAGAAATAACCAGCCTGTGTTTTCCTGCTGCTGTTGAGACCACTGACAACATCTCCTCTTTTTTAAAAATAAAGGTAAAGGGAAAGTCATCAACTCCAGAGAGACCGTTCCCAGGAGCTTTAAACCGGACCTGTTGGAGTCAAATCCCGGTAAATCCTCTAAGATGTCAGGTACTGTATTACATCATCATCGTTCTGTCTTCCTCGTAGGGAGCCTCGCTTGTTGTTTTTGTTCTGTCTGTTGTGTTAGATATTAGGTCACTGGGTTACTGGGCTCCTGCTGGAGGAGGAACCTAAATATTCTGCTGTTTGTGTCTCCCTGTTGGGGGATTTCAGTATAGGTCACATGTGGAGAACTTTATTTACACACAGAAGGAAAGTAAGATCTGAGATAATGAGAACATTATGTACAACAGTATTGTTTTAACAATGGATAAAGATATTGGAATTGAAGTATTAAAGTGAGTCCACAAGTACAAGTACAAGGTCTAGTGTGTAGGATTTTGTCGCACAGGAGGCAAAACCCTTCTGGTGGCCAGCGATGAGGAAGGAGGCCGGGAAGTAGAAGACAAGACGACTACTGCATAACCAGAACCAGTAACTGCAGCTCAGTAGGACCAGGTGTTGGCCAGACCGTAGACGGGGCCAACCCTGGCTCCAGATCACAGCCAGAGAAGGAATTCATATCCCTGAAGTTCAGGGTCGATACGTCCTGAACATTAATACAAATGAGACCCAAACATTACGGTAGGAAAGACCCACAATGGACCTTTTTCACAGCATCATTCATAACACCTGGGTGCTTTTTACTCGGGGAGAATAGTGGAGGATTTAATCTGTGACGTACAGGAGGCAGGTATTGTGTTTCCCAACCCTTCTCTATCTCTGCCTCTACACAATGATCCAATTACAAATTAACAGATCAATTGGCTCTGCAGCGATCGCTCGCCGGCTCCAGCCTGAGCTGCCGGGATCTTAAAAGTCTTGATTATGTGGAGTTTTTGTTCAGCTCTGCTCAGCAGAACCGTTTGTCTCTTTGCTCAGGAGGAAGTCTCACGCTGCAGGACCTGGTCGAGTATAAAGTCACAGTGAGCGACGCCTGGGTTGTTCCTCTGGGTGAGTACAAGATGCACATCCCTCCACCGCCTGCAGGGGGCATCATCCTCAACATCATCCTCAACATCATGAAAGGTTCCCGCAGAGCTGCTGCTCATCTGCTTTCAAATCGCATAATGGAGCTCATTGGTTGTGTTCATGTGTTGAACAAGTTTATACTTTCATTAGTTGTTCACCCGAACTATGAGACTGAATTATTCTGTGATGATGTGTTTCTTGTTAGGGAAACATCTAAAAGTTGTTTTTATTTGCAGGGTATCAGCTGAGTTCAGCCTCTATAAACGATGAAAATAAGACACTCACCTATCATCGATTTGTTGAAGCTTTAAGGTTTGCCCAAGGATTTAGGAAATACATCCGCGATCCAAAATTCACGCCAGCAGTAGAATGCCTTTATTGTCACTATACACATGTACAATGAGATTAAAAAGCCAACTCCAATAGCAGTGCAAAAACAGTGTAAAAAATTATAGAAAAAAAAAATACAATATAAACATATGACATAAAGTAAATCAATTAAGTTTCACAAAATGATCCAGTGAAAAACTGAACATATTTCCCTTTTTTTGCAGAATTTCTTTTATTTTAATGGATTATCAATAATCAAAATAGTTGACAACTGATCTATTAAACGACTTCTTGCAGCTTTACTTTATATACTGTTAGGAAGTTAAATCTATTACAAATCCATGATATTTTATTTGTTGATCATCTGTTTTTAATCTGCGAAGTAACGAGAAACCACAGTAATAGTTACCATATAGCTGAGTACACCAAAATCAGTATAGTAAATGTACTTGCTACTTACTATTCAGGATTTAATCCTGTCAGTTGTCAAGTAAGCTGAGATCCCTGATTCGCTAAAACCACTTTGGAAAGCAAAGGACTTCCCATGGAGAAACGGAGAAAGATAACAACGGAGCATTAGGGACTCTCCATCTGAATAACGCAATGCACAGAGTTTATAATAACCAAAAGCTGTATAATGATTGAAGTTGATTCTATATTACAAAATGAAATATGTAACAATGAAAGGAAACGTGATTATATGATTGTAACTGATTATTTGATAATTAATGAGTATAAATGCATAGTAGTAAGATAGAACTATGGAAAGTAAGGTCAAGAGAGGAAATCATGTTGAAGTGTTGAGTAACTAGATGAAAAGGCACCTATTGCAACCGGAAATGACTGGTGCTGAGAGAAAAGGGAAGTTGGAGCGCACACAAAGGACACACCATGTAAGGATGAGCACACATATACAAACACACTGAACAGAGAGTCACTGTTACAGTTCAGGCCGGTTATCCAGCACCAACCGCTGGCTCCTGGGTCTCAGTAACCGGCGGCTTCGCCCTGTTTCCTGCCATCGGACGCAGCGCTGATGCAGCAGCCGTCCTTCTCCACGGCGTTGACCACGTTGTAGAATGTTCTTTCCTGTTTATCTTCGTGTCCCAGAGCTTTCAGACCCTTGATTACATCCTGGGAGGCCAAAAGAAGAGAGGAGGAGGCTCAGATTGAACAAATATGATGCAGTTTCAGCAAATAAATGTTTGTTTTTTTGTTACCTGATCAAACTCTGCTTCAAACTCCACTGTATTATTAGCTAGGACATAAACAATGGGGGCGGCGATCGCCTCCTCCAGGCTCTTTCCAAACCAGAGGTGGTTCATGAGCGCCTGGAAGAGAAAGCAACGGCTGTTAGTCTGCAGCAATTTAATCCTATTGGCACTTAGTGTACGGCGGATACGTACGGAGGCGATCCCGGGCACGATCTTGCCTCTGCCGGCCCCTCCGATCACCAGCGTCTTGGACTGAGACTTCAGCACAGTGGGGGCCATGGAGGAGGAAGGCTTCTCCCCTAAAGACAACAACACAACATCAGTGACTGACGGGACGCTGAGAGAGAAAGTTATTATAAATATTTTACCTTCGTTCAAGAGCTGATAGTTAATGTTAAACTGTAATAAATGTTTGTTTCTGAGTCAAATTTTTGTCTTTTTGCATTGGAAAAGTAATCTCGTTTCAAGAAAATATATAAAACTTTGTCTTAATAAGATATTACAGCTCATATTGACTGGCTGATGGATTAGTTTTCAGATGTAGGTTGCATGTTAATGATTGCTATAGATTACCTCACTAGTTAGCTAGTGGTTTACGCTGTAGAAAAATGCTAACTAACTAGCTGACTAGCTTGCTAATTATTGATATAGATTAGCTTGTTAAGTGTTATATTCTATTAGAACAAGAATACCGTAAAACTTCCAATAAAAGCAGGGTCCCTAACAGACGCAGGTCTCTTTTAAAAGCCTGGTGTGGATACACGTTTTGACAAATAAACGCAGGTCTCCAATAGAGGCCTGGTCTGGATTTTATAGAAATTATCTCGATGTATAAAACCTCTTAAAACCCACCGGGTCGCCTGCTTGAGGGAGTTTTAAGTCGTTTTGATCTCCTACACAAATATAAATGTTTAAATTTCTGTCAATATGTACATAATGAACATCATTAGATCAGTTATAGATTCTCCACAATTCAATCTTTCACTATATTTTACGAAAACTATCAACAACAAAGTATAACGTTAATTCATTCTGACTTACCGGTAACACGGTAAACAAGAGAGATGGAAAAAAACCTCTGAAGCATCATAATCATCATGTTAGTTGTCAAATTTGCTGAACAAAACTCAAGAGAAGCAGAAGTTAGAGTTTAGTTTAGTTTTGTGCTAAAGGAATTAAAGGCCTGTCCCAAATAGAGGCCTGTCCCCAATAAAGACCTGTCCCCAATAAAGGCAGGGGCAGTTCAGTGATTTAAGCAAATAAATGCCCGGGCTATTATTAGAAGTTTTACGGGATATATCTTTGTCTTACAGCTAATATTGAGCTCGATTTAACCAGTTATAACAATGGTTTGCATCCAGTAAACCAAATAACGCTACAAGAGGAGAAATATGTACTTTTGAGGTGAACTGTCCCTTTACACTTTATCTTGAGAGGAACATGAATTTTATGGTAATTTAAATATATTTAACCCTTTATCAGATCAGCGATCCTTCCTGATTGATCATCAATATATATTTGACTGTTTTTACTCATATTAATTACCAGCAGAGATTCTATCGCCTGTTTTGCAGAAGTCGGCCAGCTGGTTGTTGAGGATGACTCCGGTGTTCGGAGAGAAGATCTTTGAGCCGAATCTGTGAATAAATATATAAACATTATACACTAACTGGAGTATTTTAACCCTTGTTCCCCAGTCTCTCATTAATCCATTCACACAGTGTTTGACTGACATGTGGTTGATGGTGCTGGTGACGGACACGGCCAACCCGTCCTTAATCAGCACAGACACATGTGTGGTTCCCAAGCTGTCCACGTACGGCGTGATGTTGTAATACTGCGGATCGTGAGTCTGGTTGCTGCTGATCTTCCCCCGCACGTAGTCGGCAAAACTGTCCTCTATGAATTTCTTGGCTATCTGTGAGAGAAATAAAGATCATTTAATAACATATAATATGAGTTTAATAATTACCACAAACTAAATTACAATTTTTTAAAAGAAAAACTACATTTAAAAATCCTGCTAATAATAATCCCATCTTTACTAAACTAACTGTAATCTGATTGATTGATTTTAAAAAACAGCCTCATCCTCTGAGTACAGTTAATTACTTTACTTACTTACTAAAAAATGTATGTATCCCTTGTGTACTGTTAAGAAGCCATTGGGGGCTTTATTGTGAAAAGCAAGGGTCATTCTGAGCTTCCTGTTAACATACAGTTACTCAATTGGGGCTTTTATTTTGAAAGAATTTAAGATACAATTACTTTCTGGGGATTTTATTTTGAAATTATATATATATATATATATAAGTATCCCTTGCCCTGTTAACAAGCCATTGGGAGCTTTATTTTGAAAAACAAGGGTCAATCTTTTATAAGATTTCTATATAGTTATTATTAATGTTCGGATTCCCCTTGAAATCAATGAAACGTGGTAGAAACAGTACCTATTTTGTCCACATGGGGCTCAAAGTGAAAGATCTTAATACTTATTAGGATCTAAATACTTTGGTTATTAGCCTTAAATACTGAAAATACGATAAAAATGCACATTTTTACAGAAACGTACTTCTGGCGACGTGAACTTTGGATCCCGGATGTGTGTCTTTAATCCGTTGGCGAACCTTAAAGCTTCGATATAACGATGATAGGTGAGGATCTTCTGATCGCCCTTCAGAGAGGCCGGATTCAGCTGATAACCTGCAAATAAAAACAGTTTTATATTTGTATGAAGACGTTTTCCTGTTTCCTGTAAGACATTAATTGTTTATATACTTCAAAACTCTAAAATCAGCCTCCCAGTTGGTAAAAGTCAGCAGTAATTAAAAAACTTCTCTCAGTTAATTTCTATAGTTTCTACCTGTTTTAAATTTAATTAAATTTGTGTGGGAATATTTTTATTTAAACTGCACTTGTTTACAAAAGCACACCAGGTCATATAACTAACAATTAACTCTATTTAATTGGGTAAAAACCCCTCGATACACAACGATCTCGCACAATTTGATTCTTACTTGTGCAACATTTCATAAATATCTCTTTAAATCTATTATTTTATATCAGTTTATAGTCTTATACAACCGTAAATAAAACAAAAATACCACCAGAAACTAAAATAATTTAAAAAACATGCGTACAAGTTGTTCATTCGTTTCATTAAAGAACAAACAACAACTAAAGAACGTAATAATTTCAGTTTTTTGTTTTAAAAATTAAAAAAAGAAGCTAGTTTCCTGAGTTTGTTTCCCACATTTAAAAACTAAAACGGTCGCTGCCTGAGCAGGAAACCTTTCATGATGTTGAGGATGAAGCTGAGGAGGATGCCCGATGCAGGCGGTGGAGGGATGTGCATCTGGTACTCTCCCAGAGGAACAACCAAGGCGTCGCTCACTGTGACATTATACTCGGCCAGGTCCTGCAGCGTGAGACTTCCTCCTGAGCAAAGAGACAAACGGTTCTGCTGAGCAGAGCTGAACAAAAACTCCACATAATCAAGACTTTTAATGGATCCCGGCAGCTCAGGCTGGAGCCGGCGAGCGATCGCTGCAGAGCCGATTGATCTGTTCGTTAGTAATTGGATCATTGTGCAGAGGCAGAGATAGAGAAGGGTTGGGAAACACATTACCTGCCTCCTGGACGTCACGGATTAAATCCTCCGCTATTCTCCCCGAGTAAAAAGCGTCCGCCCCGTCCTTCGCAATCGTCTCCAAAGTGTCGGCCAGTTTCTCAAACTTCACAGTGTCGCCGGTCTTCAGCAGGTTCCCGTCTTTATCTGAGTAAAACTTTCTACAGGACGCAAACACAGAACAAATTTTTATATTTATCTTGTATTCAGAGCAGCCATTAAGATCACATACTCAATTATATTGATCCACTATTTAACAATTTATACCAAAAACATTCACAAAAACTTTTATTTGTGTTTTTATATCAAAATCCAGTAATTTGTTCTTCCTGTAGAACAAAATGTGTCACCCTTCAATCAATCTTCAACTTTTAGGGACACAGAGCGAAGATTTATTAGTTAGCCTCAGTCTGTTAGCCTAACTGCAATGACGCAATGGTGGTGAAGACAACAACTCCCATAATCCCACTCTGCTTCACCGCCTCATCAAACGTAATCTTCTGTCGGACTCATTGTAACTCCTGTGGGAGTCGTTCCTACCGTAGTTCTTGGGTTTTGTTTACTTCAAAGATGTGTAGACCCTGCATTTTGGGGATAGGAAATCCTTCTCTGGCCAGTTTGATGGTCGGCTCGAAGAGTTTGGCCCACGGCAGCTTCCCATAAAGCCTGTGAGCTTCTTCATAGCCCCGAATTTCACCCGGGACCCCAATCCACTCACTTCCTGCAGACGGGTAGACAGGTGATGTATTTTTACTCAAGTTTGTTTCAAGCAAATGTATGTATCAATAAATATCTGTAGGGGATCTTTAAGTACAATTGATCCTTCATAAGCCCCGCCCCTTTTTGGAACCTCGGTCAACTTCCTCTTTACCTGTACTCGGATATGCTACGTGCTAAGCTAATCTATGTTGAAAAGACAACCACATTTTGAAGACGTTTAAAAGACGCAAGCGACAAATATAGTGACATCACTATATAACTAGCTCGCCAATATACATCAATTGTTAGTTAGCTAGTTACCTAGCATAAATGTTACAATTATTGTAGATTAGCAGATAGCTAACTAACTAGCCACATAACTAGCTAGCTAACACTAGATGTACATTAGCTGGCTGGTTAGCTAAAGTTCTGCTGACATTAGCTAACTTGAGATGTGGCTGTATATATGTTGTTTTTATTCTTTAAACATCTTGAAAATGTGGTTGTCTTTTTAACATAGATTAGCTTAGCATATAGCATATCGCTAGCTAACTAGCCAGCTAATTTATATTAATCATTAGCTAGTTAGAAAACATTTTAATTCTGATCTGTGGTCATGAAGTCTTTTGAGCGCCTTGTTCTTTCCCATCTGAAAGCCATAACGGACCCTCTCCTGGACCCCCTGCAGTTCGCCTACAGAGCCAACAGGTCTGTTTCTCCTCTGATCTTCTCCCCGTACACCAACAGCTGCACCTCCAGTCACCAGTCCGTCAGGCTCCTGAAGTTCGCGGATTACACCTCCCTCATTGGGCTCATCTCTAGTGGAGATGAATCCACCTACAGATGGGAGATTGACCATCTGGTGACCTGGTGCAGCCAGAACAACCTGGAGCTAAACGCTCTAGAAACAGTGGAGATGGTTGTGGACTTAAGGAAGAACCCAGCCCCACCCGCCCCCATCATCCTGTAGGACTTCCCAGTTGACTCTGTGGAGTCCTTCCTTGGTACCATTATCACCCAGGACCTCGAGTGGGAGCTGAACATCAGCTCCCTCTCTAAGAAAGCCCAGCAGAGGATGTACTTCCTGCAGCAGCTGGGAAAGTTCAACCTGCCAAAGACGATGATGGTGCACTTCTAAACCGCCATCATCGAGTCCATCCTTACCTCTTCTATCACCATCTGGTACGCTGCTGCCACTGCCAAGGACAAGGGCAGACTGCAGCGTATCATTCGTTCCGCTTAGAAGGTGATCGGCTGCAACCTGCCATCCCTCCAGGACCTGTACGTCTCTAGGACCAGGAAGCATGCAGGCAAGATTGTGGCTGACCCCTCCAACCCAGCCACAAACTCTTTGACCCTCTCCCCTCTGGCAGGAGGCTGCGGTCCATCAGGACCAAAACCTCTCGCCACAAAAACAGCTTCTTTCCTCTGCAGCCTCATTAACAAGGCCCGGACCCCCCACTGCACTGTCACTGACTCTTATACCCACCCAATATACATATGCATTACATTAATGCACTCCCATCTTCTGTACAGTTTTTTTTATCTTTTTCTTATCTTTATTTATTTATATTTTTAAAAAGTACTTTATTCTTGTGTGATTTTTTGTGTGATTGAATATTTTAAGCATCATTGCACCAAGATAAATTCCTCATATGTGTAAAAACCTACCTGGCAATAAATCTCATTCTTTTTTAACTTTTCAATGTAAATTTCTTTTGTTAAAATAACTTTATTACAGTGCACAAAACGTAGAATAAAAACAACTTATAATTAATTGATTATTAAACTGGAAATTATTATTAATTTTCTGTATTTGTTTAAGTGACAAACATAAAATCTTTACACTTTGGGATCATTAAGAATTATTTTGATGCATATTTGGGATTAAAATAATTAATAAACTGAATTATGAACTATAATTGAACAATCCTGAGTTATACAACATTATAATGTTTATATTTTTATATAAAGTCAACTTGAAGATAATGAGTCAATAGAACAAACTGGAATTAAGTTGCTTCAAAGTTTTTGAGTTGAATTAATGTGAATGAGAAGATTAATTTATGTTAACTTATTTATTTTATTAAGATGTTTTCAGGTTTTACAGTGAAATGTAATAATTGTTACTTTAATGGAACTAAAATTAAATAAAATGTATCTTTAGTGTTTTAATAAAGATATTTTACTTTATTCAGATATATAGGTTTAATAAGTTTGGATGGTTATATTTTTATTAAAGTTAAATTAACTGGATATAATTCGTACAATTCAACATATTTTATCCAAATGACCTCAACAAACGTTTGAGTTAATGAACTCGAGTTGAGCCAACTGATTGTATTTTATAGTGCAACAAGAATAGGAACAACAAGTGAAGCTCCTTCTGAGGAAAAGTGAACCAGTATCTGTTACCTGTCCTGCTGTCGTTGCAGGAACTCAGCAGGTCCGGTTTAAAGGTCCTGGGTACGGTCTCTCTGGAGTTGATGACTTTCACTTTACCTTTATTTTTAAAAAAGAGGAGATGTTGTCAGTGGTCTCAACAGCAGCAGGAAAACACAGGCTGGTTATTTCTGCTGTGTTGGGATGAATGTTACCAGAGCTGTCCATCACTGTGAATATGGACCCCCCACCGATGCCATTACTCTGTGGGTTTATCACGGAGGTGCACAGCAGTGCGGCGATGGCACCATCTACCGCTGAGCCGCCACTTTTAATGATGTCCCTGCAAGATTTCAAACCCACAACCATCAGTGCAGCTAATTTATGTTTCCGTTATGTTAGAGCAAACCACCAAGAACGGAAAAAGGCGTCTTGGTGCTTTGCATATACGCTGGTGTCAGTTTCCTTGTTTATATCCGCTCTATGGAGGAATTCTATTGGAATTTGGTTTCATGAGGCACATTTAATAGAGTTTAAGTTGTAGTTAGTTTTATATAAGCAGGTAATAACTTTTAGAATATGCAGCTTAAGCAAATCTCAAAGATATAAAGTGGTAAAGTAGAAAATGTGTCGTGCGTAAAGTGGAAACTGCGCACAACAGATATCAATGTCTGTGGAACAAAAGGTGTAAAAATGCCACTCACAGTCCAATCCGTGAACAGACCCCAGAGTCTGCGGCCACTGCAGCTTCGGAGAAAGTGCCAGGTGGACATCTGCTCACAATAACAACAATACACACAATCACAGCAATCACAGAGAGCAGGATCAGTGCGCAGCAACAGTACACCATCGCCTTTGACCTCGCCATGGCTGATTTTATCCAACACCTCCGCGAGGTGTCAAAGTTTCTTCTGACATTTCTCTTGTGCTATAACTTCACTGACTGACAGGCAGCTCAGGACCACATGAAAAGAGGGGCGGGCAGACTCCACCCTCCGCCGGGAACGCACAGAGAGAAAGAGAAAGCTTTGGCACAACTGTTGAGTCATGCCTTTCACCTTAAAAACCTCTGTAGACCCGCCTCTGTGGCACTTAACAAGGGTGGTGATGGGGGCTGTGAAACGGCCCAGAGGCTGATTTAATCACTTTTATCGAATATTTTTCTGAAAAAGCTTCAAAATGAAGATATTTGAAGTCATAAATGTTACATTATTGTGGCACAGCAGTAAATAACTGATCAGGATTATTTAAAATCAATACATTTTCTTTTGTTAAATTACAAGTTTCCATCTCATCACGGAGGTGCACAGCAGCGCGGCGATGGCGCCATCTACCGCTGAACCGCCACTTTTAATGATGTCCCTGCAAGATTTCAAACCCACAACCATCAGTGCAGCTAATTTATGTATCCGTTATGTTAGAGCAAACCACCAAGAACGGAAAAAGGCGTCTTGGTGCTTTGCATATACGCTGGTGTCAGTTTCCTTGTTTATATCCGCTCTATCGACGAATTCTATTGGAATTTGGTTCCATGAGGCACATTTAAAAGAGTTTAAGTTGTAGTTAGTTTTATATAAGCAGGTAATAACTTTTAGAGCATGCAGCTTAAGCAGATCTCAAAGATATAAAGTGGTAAAGTAGAAAATGTGTCGTGCGTAAAGTGGAAACTGCGCACAACAGATATCAATGTCTGTGGAACAAAAGATGTAAAAATGCCACTCACAGTCCAATCCGTGAACAGACCCCAGAGTCTGTGGCCACTGCAGCTTCGGAGAAAGTGCCAGGTGGACATCTGCTCACAGTAACAACTATATACACAATCACAGCAATCACAGAGAGCAGGATCAGTGCGCAGCAACAGTACACCATCGCCTTTGACCTCGCCATGGCTGATTTTATCCAACACCTCCGCGAGGTGTCAAAGTTTCTTCTGATCTTTCTCTTGTGCTATAACTTCACTGACTGACAGGCAGCACAGGACCACATGAAAAGAGGGGCGGGCACCGCTCAGCCAGACTCCACCCTCCGCAGGGAGCGCACAGAGAGAGGGAGAAAGCTTTGGCACAACTGTTGAGTCATGCCTTTCACCTTAAAAACCTCTGTAGACCCGCCTCTGTGGCACTTAACCAGGGTGGTGATGGGGGCTGTGAAACGGCCCAGAGGCTGATTTAATCACTTTTATCGAATATTTACTTGAAAAAGCCTCAAAATGAAGATATTTGAAGTCATAAATGTTACATTATTGTGGCACAGCAGTAAAGAACTGATCAGGATTATTTAAAATCAATACATTTTCTTTTGTTAAATTACAAGTTTCCACCCCATCGAAATCACTCCTCACTAGACAGAACCTTTATAAACCTTTATGATATCATTTGGTTGATATAGAATCGATTATTTGAAGTTAACAGGTTGTTTTGAGTCTTTATGAGAAAAGAGAGAAAAATGCCAGATTGTAGATACATTAATGACGTAAGTTAACGATCACCTAATTCATTATTAGTACTATTTATTTGACATTATTCAGATCTTTAAGATTTTCTCTTAATTATTCAATCTTATCTTATTTATTCTTATTTTTATACACACAAAAAGAAATCAATAAATTGTTTTATTTTGAAATATTTCCACCATACATTGTCTATAAATGTCTTTTCTATTTAACTTTAGGGTCCAGTGTTTAACATTTAGAAGGATTTACTGTCAGAAATATAATATAATATCATATAATATTCATAGGAATGTTTTTATTAGTTTATAATCACCTGAATATAAGAAAGAAATAAGAACTGACGTTTTTAATTTACAGACCAATAACAGTAATTTCTCCTTTCCTGTACTTAGATATGCTACATGCTCGGCTAATCTATGTTTGCTCCTGGGTCTCAGTAACCGGCGGCTTTGCCCTGTTTCCTGGCATCGGACCAGGCGCTGATGCAGACGCCGTCCATCTCCACGACGTTGACCACGCTGTAGAATCTTCCTGCAGGTTTATCTTTGTGTCCCAGAGCTTTCAGACCCTCGATTACATCCTGGGAGGCCAAAAGAAGAGAGAGGAGGAGGCTCAGATGCTGCTCCCCTAAAGACAACAACACAACAGCAGTGATTGTATCGTATTGACTGATTTGTATTGTTTGTATTTCCCAGTAGTTACCAGGAGAGAAGTTATCGACTCTCTGACAGAAGTCGGCCAGTCGGTTGTTGAGGAAGACTTCGGTGCTCAGAGATAAAATCCTTGAGGCAAATCTGTGAGGAAAATGCATCAAAAGAATCGAAACTAATCTGACGGCAAACTGGAGGAATAAAACATATATTATATAATATATATTAAAGCTGTTAGCTGAGCTTCAGGAGCAGGACCTATTCTACATATTCTACAACCAGAACAGAGACAAAGCCTTGAGCATGCTAAGCTAACACTCAATCTAGCTACTTCATCCATTCATTCACTCCAGGTGTCGGGATCTTTAGGATCAGCTGGCGCCTTCGGCACAGCACCCAGCTTTCCTCTACAGCTCTTGCAGAAGCAATTTCCTTCTTTACCGAACTCCAGTTTTCCCTCTCAACATGTTCTAGCCCCGACAGGCAGCCATTAACTTCATCCTGTCTACAGCCGATCCTCCCGTTCGTCATTCAAACTCATTCATCTCCCATCCTTCTCTATTTCCCACCAGTCTACGAAAACAGATCTCACACGGAAATCACTCAAATCTCACTCTCCTCATCATGCCTTCCCTCCGTCAAACGTCTTATCAGTTTCCCACAGCACACCGACAGGATATGGATGACTACATTAACCACGCCATAGGCCTCATCAAACTGGCCTGGAAAAGGGTCGTGGCTCTCAAAAGTGGACACCATCAGTGCTTTCAAGGTTCTCCCCATCCACCCTGAACTCTGGCAATTTTTTGGCGTCAGTCTCATCTTCTGTTGCAAAAGTAACCCAAAACTCTTTGACACCCTGTCAGAAGACCTCTGCTGGATCCGGTCTCACCATAACCATTCAATAAAACTCACGACACAGGCTTCACTCCCAATTTCCTTCTTGCGCTGCACAAAACAGAAACTATAAGCCTTTAACTCCCACTTGCTATCAATCGCGTCTTCTATCTCCCTGGACAGTCCAAGTCCTGTCAAACTCCACCTCTAGCTCCACCTTCTCGCCAACTGTAATGGAATCACCTTCTTCTACGACGAGCAACTGACTCACCCACACTACATCAATCTGTAAACTGACGCTGCTCCTTCTTTCGTTTTTTTGAGGATTTCTACAACGGAAGATGGTTTGCAGCTGAATGACCATCTGAACTTGCGAGTGAAAGCAAAGTCACTTCCTCTGCTCTCTTCGAAATCTACCCGATAATAGCCGCAGTTCCAACCTCGCATTTGTAGAAATAATAAACAAAGGTTGCTCCAACGCCTCATCCACAAGGCCATTCACGCAATGCCAGCTTTGGCACTTACCAATACGTCATTCCCAACGCCATCACTGACTCGCTTTCTGATTTCTCTTTCCAGAAGTTCAGAAGCTTGGTCCTCCACCACGCAGACACCCTCACAACTCCGGTTTCTTCTTCTTAGACACTGAGGTTTTACATGTAAGCCTGCCCTAATTACCCTGAATGTCAACTCTCAGTACTCCATCGTCAAAGAGCAGCACCCTCAACCCGTTCATATTACTGCTCAGCTTGGAAGAGTTTCACTTCCATGAGCCGTTTAAAGGGTCTGAGCCTTTGCCTGTGGGTATTACCCTGCCAGGTTCAGAAGAGGACTGTTTAAGCTGGTGGCGAGGAGACACACCTAGCTTCTAACTGCCTTCATCAAAACGCCTACCCTGCTCACTCTAGTGCAGCACCTGACCGAATAGCCCTAGAGTCAAGTAACACACTAGTCACGTTCGTTAACGGTAGCTCTCCTCTTATTGATCTGTGCACTTGGTGGTTGCTAGGATTATTTTTAGTGGCTTGGACAGTAAGCCCCAAGGGTCTGTTTAATTTATTTGGCTAGGGTAACCTGTTAAAACCTTCAAGTTGTTGAACACATAATAATTATAATAATTACGACCTGATGAGATATCATAAATCCAATGTTCACAATCTATTCTTTAACTGCAGATGTTATATTTTATTGCAAGATTCAGCAAGGGCTAGCATACAGCATAAATTGACTCAAAATTGTGTACGGCCAATACAGTTCTTCCTTGCCTGCCGTACTGTTGGTTGCTGTTGAAACTCCCGACTTTGTCCAAAGTCCGCAAAGTCTCTGACCAGTGCAGTCTCTGCTGGCAGGGTGAAAAAAAGAGTGATCCTTGGAAATCAATTGGAAACCTAAGGCCGGGTGGAAATGGTTAATCCTCCTCTGCTCGACACTCTCGTTTCGGCTTTAGGTTGTTGGACTTCTCTTTCTGCGATGTTGAGCTTGTTCGTTGCTCCGATGTGGTCGATCGATCAGCGTCTTGAACCCGAGAGCCGGCCGAGGACTAACCCTGATCTTCCTTGTGCAGCACCTTTTATCCCCATTGTCTCCTAGGGTGTTGTTCGGTTCGTACCTAGTACTTCCTGTTTTGCTCCTCACAAGATGTGTCCTGCTGAACAGTAAGATGAACGGGTTGAGGGTGCTGCTCTTTGACGATGGAGTACTGAGAGTTGACATTCAGGGTAATTAGGGCAGGCTTACATGTAGAACCTCAGTGTCTAATAAGAAGAAACCGGAGTTGTGAGGTTGTCTGCGTGGTGGAGGACCAAGCTTCTGAACTTCTGGAAAGAGAAATCAGAAAGAGAGTCAGTGATGGCGTTGGGAATGACGTATTGGTAAGTGCCAAAGCTGGCATTGCGTGAATGGCATTGTGGATGAGGCGTTGGAGCAACCTTTGTTTATTATTTCTACAAATGCGAGGTTGGAACTGCGGCTATTATCGGGTAGATTTCGAAGAGAGCAGAGGAAGTGACTTTGCTTTCACTCGCAAGTTCAGATGGTCATTCAGCTGCAAACGAAAGAAGGAGCAGCGTCAGTTTACAGATTGATGTAGTGTGGGTGAGTCAGTTGCTCGTCGTAGAAGAAGGTGATTCCATTACAGTTGGCGAGAAGGTGGAGCTAGAGTAATGGCTTCGGAGGGGGGTCCATATTCACAGTGATGGACAGCTCTGGTAACATTCATCCCAACACAGCAGAAATAACCAGCCTGTGTTTTCCTGCTGCTGTTGAGACCACTGACAACATCTCCTCTTTTTAAAAATAAAGGTAAAGTGAAAGTCATCAACTCCAGAGAGACCGTTCCCAGGAGCTTTAAACCGGACCTGTTGGAGTCAAATCCCGGTAAATCCTCTAAGATGTCAGGTACTGTATTACATCATCATCGTTCTGTCTTCCTCGTAGGGAGCCTCGCTTGTTGTTTTTGTTCTGTCTGTTGTGTTAGATATTAGGTCACTGGGTTACTGGGCTCCTGCTGGAGGAGGAACCTAAATATTCTGCTGTTTGTGTCTCCCTGTTGGGGGATTTCAGTATAGGTCACATGTGGAGAACTTTATTTACACACAGAAGGAAAGTAAGATCTGAGATAATGAGAACATTATGTACAACAGTATTGTTTTAACAATGGATAAAGATATTGGAATTGAAGTATTAAAGTGAGTCCACAAGTACAAGGTCTAGTGTGTAGGATTTTGTCGCACAGGAGGCAAAACCCTTCTGGTGGCCAGCGATGAGGAAGGAGGCCAGGAAGTAGAAGACAAGACGACTACTGCATAACCAGAACCAGTAACTGCAGCTCAGTAGGACCAGGTGTTGGCCAGACCGTAGACGGGGCCAACCCTGGCTCCAGATCACAGCCAGAGAAGGAATTCATATCCCTGAAGTTCAGGGTCGATACGTCCTGAACATTAATACAAATGAGACCCAAACATTACGGTAGGAAAGACCCACAATGGACCTTTTTCACAGCATCATTCATAACACCTGGGCGCTTTTTACTCGGGGAGAAG